AGCCAACCTCACAATCTATACAATATATTTTCTTGAACATTCTAAATTATAATCAAACCTCGCTTGTTGGACGGTCTCTTCAAGTATCTCTCTGGCATCTTTTCATTCAGTCCCAAAGCTACTGGGAAACATCTCGACCAAGTCGGACTGATAACTACGACCGCCATCGAGACCCACTTACCATGTCTCCTTTCCTTAAGGCCAACATCAGGCCTCGGGAACTACGGGTAATATCCAAATTCACACGCCCAGCATCATCTTCATGTAGCCCCTAAATCTCAAATATGCCAGCGCAAGCAGCGCTTCAAGAAAATCAACTCGTCAGATCGTCATACTCGTCAATTGCGCCATCCGACCAAGTTGTCTGGTCAACTCACCCCATCTTCAAAACCACGAAACTCATAACCAAGTACCGGACGGAAAGAACAAATGTTTCAACTATCGACACTTTCAAAATCCTGTAACTTAGCCAAAGCAAATACCTAAGGTGATGAGTAGTTCGCTATTCAGCCGAAATCTGACGAGTCCCCTGAATGAGGCATTCAGGGGAAGCCCGGAGTCCAACAGCCCACCGAGACGTCGTCATTCAAAATTGAGGATCCGGAAACCGACATCACTAGAACCGTCCGATTAGTTGCCTCATTCGCCTCATCCACCTATACGACGGTGCTGCTTCCCGATTCCCCATGGGTTGTCCGGAAACCCACCGAGCTATCGAATTGAGCGGTGCCACGACCCCATTCCAAGCCGGGCGACACTTGAAAAATATTCCTTCAATCTGACACATTGCAGGGAGATTAAGATTCGGGCTTGCGGGAAGGCATAATTGCGGAGCACCGGATTAGTGTTGCAAATGTATAGTATAGGGCGATGCATCTGTCCGGACGCAGCGAGCTCGGTCGATATATGTTGAGAATAATGTCCGTCCGGCATGGCAACCCAGGCAACAGGGCGGGAAAGGACAATATATCAAGTTTTTCAGGGGGTCGAGACTGTCAGAACCATCGTTCCTGCGTCGGTTATCACTTGATCCCGCAGCGTCATGGTAGTTGACACGTAGATTACCACGGAGCAGAGGTGTACGTGGGTTTGCACCATGCGTTTACCATGCGTTTATGAAATTGACAGCTACCGCGGCGGCTGCATAATGGACTGTGGATGTAGAAGGTGGGCGCGAAGATCGGTGCTCATTTGTTTTTCTTGTGCGAGCTAGTTGGACCAAGTGCTACATGTCTACTGAAGGTGGTTGATTGATCGCGCACTATGATCCATCGCGGAGGGCCTAATTGAAAGCTAATGGGTAGAACTGAGCACCACGATTGGGGCTGTACGTTGTGGAGTCACAATTTGCCTTGTGCTGCATATGGTGTAGGCTACTCACTAGATGCGTGATAGCATCAATCCTGAGGAGGGGCTCAAGTTGCTAGTCTCGGCTGCTGACAGGCACGCAATTGAGTGGACATGGTCTTTGGGGATTTGTGGCAGCCGGGCTGGGTCAATAGCGTCGCAGATCGGGGGTGCCGGGCTTTGTCAGCTCGTGTTTGACAAATTTAAAGACGAGGCTGCCTGTGAGTAATCTGAGTATGGGTATTTCCAGTATTGTCGATGTATTCAGATACAGCCTCAATTTGTTCGACGCAAATCAAGATCGGGCGCGCAATTTGTTGTGAGCTGACATCACTGAATGCGGGACAGAGTCACGGGATTCCGTCTTCTGTTCGCGTTTCCGAGAGTTTGGGTTTGTTTATCGGAACGCGCCCGTAACAACTGACATCACCACGAGAGGGGACACATGGATGGCCTAGACACGGGGGTGTGATGGGACCCCGCAGATGCGACAGGACAATATCGGCTGGCGGAGACTTACGACTGGTCCGTTGCACATGGAATTGTGACGCAGCTGACGGATCACATCATCCTGTTTCCTCCTCAGGACCCCACTAGAGCAGTTAGTGGCGCACTGGAGGAGCAGAGATCGGACAAGGCCGACCAGTCACCCCAGTCGAGGATGGCGAACAAACCACGGTCAGCGCATGAAGATGCAGCCGCCTACCCGTGTGATTGGCATCTCTTTCCTGCGCGGCAGCTGTAGACGAGGCTATCTAAGCCCGAGCGTGATAAACAAAGACGTTCGATCCACGACGCGTCCGTGTCCATTGTAAACAATAGAGCCTGAGACCCCAGACTCTAGCTTCAACGTCATGAACCGTCATAGTGTCATTTTGTCCGGCTAGAACTAATTGGAGATCAATCGATCAAGACCGGCGGAGAATGCCCGCGCAGTGACGTAGCGACACGGACCAACATGGGGTCAACGTTGCGCGGTTTGTCCGACATGGACATGGAGCTTTTCACCGCTATTCAATTGACACGGGCTCTATGACAGAGCATGTTGGATCGGGGCAGCTGCAGGCTGATGCGCCATCCGGGCCCACCAGCTGTCTAGACCGACAAGGTAGAAATCAACCGGCGTTTCAGTAGAATCTCAGTGCCTAGAATAGTAAGTCATGGGGTGCAGCAGTTGGAGACAATTTGGCGCCCACTGTAACTGGATGGATTGTCGCCGACTCCATCCACTAGGAGTTTCAGGTCCATCAAAGAGCCGCGTTGATAACATGGTGGCAAATTCTAGGCAGTTTGTGTCCGTTCCCTGCCTATTTAGCGCTTCTTGAAGGACTTGATCAAGACCAGCACTCTCATTAGAATGGACGGACATCTGATCTCGGCGATGAGCGCCGACCAGTGTCGGCCTCCGATAGGCTCTGGAGGTTCGGACCTGTTCGGACCCGTAGCTCCATGGACGCGACACGCCCAATCCTGAAATCTCTAATCCAAGTGGTCTTGACAGTGACGTTGTACCTGCAGCAAATAGAAGCTCGGCCCTAGTGACCCCTGAACGGTTCCATTGGGATATGAAATATTTGTGAACCGGTATCCTAGGATGCCCCATTGCAGAGGATCGTTGAACGGGCGACGGTTGAGAGGAGACCAACGATCGATTCCAATCGAAGTCCCTGGGTAGAGCCTTAATAGCTAAAAAACCAACTCTCGGTACCAAGGGGCCAAGGGATGCGCGACATTGAACGTTCCCCTCGCCGGACCCTTGATCTACACTTTGGCCGCCGGGAATGTGTGCACCTGCAAGGGCGTCTTCAAAAAGAAGTATGAGATTCCATCACCATTCCTTACCGGATACTCACATCTCTTGGGATGGTGGGGTACAGCACTGCTTAATTGCCTCCCAACCAGGCAATGATCTGGCCGCCACGAACACCGCGGATTGCGATCTCGAGATTGCCCTAACGCTTCGCCAATGATTGCCTCGGCTTTCTAATTCCGAAGAATCTCACCAGATGACTGGACTGGATCGGTGAATTCCCTTATCGGATGCTTCGTCCAGGGCTGCTCATCCCAGGCATTATCGGCCGAGTGTTGCAACGCGCCATTCGGGCCGGGGTTTGGATCTCCCGAACGGGTAACAGGCCTTGCGACATCCAAAAGGAACAAGAGCCTTCCAGTTCAAGGCAGGAGTGAAGTTGAATATCGGCACTCTTGCAGAAGGATTGAATCCCGGGGTCAGAGTCATGCTTCATCCTTGCATACTGCATCACTTGCATCTTAAACCTTGTGAACCTCGTTTGGCACCGTTTTGCCTTTTCTGAGCTCAATTTTTCCGAGCGAGTGGAACGGAGTGGAGACCTTCACTCGTTAGACTCGATCTCGCTCCGTTTTTTCAGCTGGGCTGTCTTACGGCACACACGGCTCGTGAGTGCAGAAAAAAAAATTGCTAGGTGGATACGGAAGACCCATGGAAGATGCACGGAAGAGTCCAGTTCGGTACCTAGGCAGCGTATATGCCCCGAAGCATTCGTACGACGGGGTACAGGTACACAGAGGAAGACAAGCAATCTACTGAATGAAATGCTAAATTTATGCTCATCCATGGCACCGAGAGAGGACTAGGGATCTCCTCGCTTTTGATCTTCTTTTTACACCTAGCATGTCCCTTTGAGTGTCCAAGGCCAGGGATGTGAACCCCGAGACACATGGTCGCCAAGAACTAGGATTCAGCCCGCAAAGAAAATGAGGGCGGAAGAAAGAAAGTGGAAGCTGATAGGCGAGCAGTTGCTGAGCAGCCGGTAGTCCAGACGATGGGCGGCAAGGGAGTCCGGGCAACCAGACTGGGGCCAAATACCCTCTTCCACAACCCCCCCTTTAGTGAAGCGCACATCTATACTACGAATGGACAGGCCGGGGCAAAAGATTGAGAGAACATGCATACTCCCAAGCAGGCGATCGTACCTGACGCCCTCCGCACATGGGGTCCACTGTAGCATAGTCCAAAGAGTGCTAGTCTAGCGCGTGCCTGAGAAACCTGTAATTACGTATTGGGCGCATTACCCGTGCGGTACCTCACTGCCTCAGAAACGGTACCGTACCCTATCTGGAGATCCTCCCCACTTGCGTTGCCATTGCAACAGACCCATCCCTTCAGCTTCACGAGGTTTCTTTCTTCAGTCAGTCCTATTCCACCTTTTCTCTTCTTTCTTGACATTCGACTTCCACCAATTCGACATCTCAACTCCTCGACTATCCCTCGACAACCTCCTCCTGCCCAAACCTTCATACTCCAGGTCTCACAATCGACGTTGGTGAACCTGTACTTCCACCCCTCAGCCACCGTTGCCCACGAGCTGCCGCCCCTCCCAATTGCAGATACCGACATATTCGACCCAAACCGTCCCCCCCGGTATGGCTCTCTAAGCTTCCCCGCCATTGCAAGACAAGATTCTCTGGTTTGAGGGTTTAGGATTCTGGGATTTCGCCGTCTGGCTAGCTGGGAATATTCGACGTCGTGGAGATTCTAAAGGTTGGAGTGGATCGCATTGCAGCGGCCAAGTGGAACTACCGGGAACGACCGCCTCGGGACTGTATTCAGCTGTGACTCTCGCAATTGTACTACGTCAGGATCTGGTCCAGTGTGCAGTTCGACCTCAAATATGGAGCAATCATCTCCGCTGGCGGCCATGCAACCGCCGTCTATGATGTTCGGTCACTGCTTTCGGGCAGAGTCTACTTCGTATCCGTCCTTGTCGGGCTTCGGCCCCAATAGCTTCAATTTCAAGGACCTGTCCATGAAGAAGTCTGGTCCCGACTATTTCAACATGAACCCTCTACGGGCTTCGTCCCCCACGGCCAGCTTGGCTGCCGACTTGTCACAGAATTTTCATATTGATCAAAGGTTGGTGTACGGTCTTTCGGGACAAAGGCTCATTCAACGCATACTGATTCTATTTTAGTCCGCAACTTGCAACGCCCCGCCGCTCTTTGTTCACGTCGAGCATGCTTGCTCATGCCAATGGTTATGGTAGGACCTCCATCTATAAGTACATATGAAAGGTGGTGTGCTAAGACTGAAAGTAGATGATGTGATGACAACCCCTCCGCTGCCGTCGTCCTCGCCTGCCCCAGCTATGGACGTGATGGAATTGTCTCCGCTGCCTCACAAGCCCGCCTTCGTTCTGACAACCGAGATCGAAGTGCACTCGCCGTCACCATATGGCAGTCCTATGGCCTCCCCTTTGGAGTCCCCATTGGCGTCGGGTGCCGCGAGTCCTCTCCAAGCTTCACCTATGGAGGCTCCTCTCCCTGCTCCCGAGTAAGAAGCACAAGGAACAGTCGTGTATTTGAATGATCTAACAGTCTGTAGGAGACGTCGCCCTGGATTCCTTCGACCTAGCCTCGCAAAAAGCAAGGCTGCGTCGTTCCAGCTTGGAATGAATCGACCCACCCAGGAGAGCAAGGCTCCTCCCTTCCGGTTCAGCTCTGCCGGAGCTAAGACCTCCCTGAGCACTTCCACCTCTCTCGAGGATATGTTTGGGGATTCTCCTCCCCAAGAGAGATCCCTCCGCAACACTTCCTCGAACAATCTCGCACCGCCGCGTCTGCGGCCGCCCTTCCACCATGCTCGTAGCAGCGGCTCCCCTGCTCCCAACTCCATTCGCAAGCCCTCCCATCCCTTGATGCGCCCTCGTAAGCAGTGCCGGCGCTCATTGAGTATGTTTGAGCACCCGGCCGATGTTATTGCCGAAAAAGAGGCCAAGGTATCTACAAATGCACCCCTTCAGTCGATCAGCGACATCAACAGTCCGCCAAGCCTCCAGCTTCCTCATTTCGTCCCAGAGGAGAAGGCGGACAACCTGCCTCGCATTAACAAGAGCACCTTCGTGGAGCTGTTGGATGGAAAGTTCAATGACCGTTTCGACCACATTATGGTTGTGGACTGCCGTTTTGAGTACGAGTATGAGGGTGGTCACATAAATGGCGCCCTCAACTATAATGACAAGAACCAATTGGCCGGTGATCTGTTCAGCTCAGTCAAGCCTCGCACCGCCCTGGTTCTGCACTGTGAATACTCCGCGCACCGCGCGCCCATTATGGCGAAATTCATTCGCCACCATGACAGAGCTGTGAATGTCGACACTTACCCCAATCTTTCATATCCGGACATGTACATTCTGGACGGTGGTTACAGTTCCTTCTTCGCCGAGCATCGATCTCTTTGCTACCCACAAAACTACGTGGAGATGAATGCCAAGGAACACGAGTTCGCCTGTGAGCGCGGACTGGGCAAGGTCAAGCAGCGTTCTAAGTTGAACCGCGCTCAAACCTTCGCCTTTGGTCAGCACTCTCCTCAGATGGAGGATAGCCCGACCGGCCGCTGCAGACTCGGCAACCGTCTCCCTTCATCTCCCTTTGCCGAAAGCCCTGTAGCTCAACGGACGCCGGGCCGCCGAATGCTTTCGTATTGATCCTTTTCAGCATTTTCTTTGGAGTCTGATGGTATCAAATTCTGCGTCTTTTTCTGGAGCGAGGTGTTTGTTTGTGGCATTTTGATTTCTTCGGTGGCCTTTTTTTTTGCGTTTCTCCGCCATTTCAACTTTCTTCACCAGTGCCTGATAGCGCAATGGTCGACTCTGCGAGATGACCCTGGATTTCCTGCGCAGAGCGCGGTTTCAGCACTCCTTTTCCTTCCCACCTTTCTCCTACCGACCCGATATCCTGCTGTCGATATCGTCCTTTTCTTCCTCATCCCGGGCTCTCTTTTTTTTTCATTTTCCAGAGTCCCGCACGATTCAGCGATTCCCTTGATTCTCACTCGAAACGATATCCAGCTCCCACTTTTCCCTGCTCGCTTCAATTTTAGCAGCGCCACACAAGCTCTCCAACCTCGGGCCCTCAACTCTTTCACGACAGCTTAAAAGCAAAACCGAACACCTTTCCTATGTTTCCCTATGACTCGATTCCGAACTCCGACCTGCCCACAAAGACGTCCTGGCCATGGCGCCGTTTTCTTTTTGTCCATCCAGTGACGCTTCCTAAGCTGCCACCCCTGGCACTTCCATTCCCTTCAACTACCCAAATTCTCTTTCCCCATCTACTTCCGTTTAATCCGCCTTTGTTTTCTCAATGTACAGATGTTTGAGAACCCTCTTCCTGAGGAATGCACGCCATTCCCCATGCCCTGCATCTTCGACTGTTTTACCGACATCGCTGAGCGTTTTTGATTGCATCTGTCCCCACTGTTCATGTTGTCCTAGGCTGTGTGTCTCAAGGACCTGTTGGGTGATACGGGCGAGTGATATGAAGTGGCTGCCGCTGTACATAAAAGTGACTAATGCCTGGCAACAGAAGTTCCCGCTCTGTGGGATTTTAATAGGTGTGGCTGAAGGCCAGAGCCTGCAGATACCGATTCCTTTTGTGTGAGCAGAATGAAATGAAAACATTCTCAATTCAACGTGCAATCCACTTGTTTGTAGATGCCTAGAGCCCTTTCCCCTGCAAAAGTACCGACGTCCTGCAGAGGTGTCAGCCCCGGCGGCACTGCCCTTTCCTCCTGCGAAGAAAGTCCCACTACAACGACACAACTACCAGGATGGACTCGCAAAAGTCAAGAACTCCCACTTTGCACTGGGAATGAATCAATTCACATTCTCCCTAGTGGCAAGAATCAAAAGGCCCAAGACTGTACGATCGGCAAACGGTGGAGGTGATAAATGACGATTGGCCTTCTCCAAGAATGCGGAGCCTTGATTCGCGGAGTCCCGTGAAATTATGGAGTTCGCCTGTCAGGGCACTCTCCTTCTCCGTGTTTCAACTCGGTTCACGTTCTTTTCTCTCTTTGCTTCTGCGGTGCACTGCCCGACCATTCGTTCGAACTCACCTACTTGTGCCGGCACAGCCTGGTGAACCCCGAGGACCGACCCAGCGTCCTTTGCGAAGTGTCGCCTACCGGTCCCTGTCCAAATCCCTTGAGGACTCGTCATCTTTTGGACCCTTGTCCTTTCCATTCGTTGATTGCTTCACGTACCAGCCACGCAACATCCACTTTGCGATCAACTACAAGTCTTGCGCGCCCCGCTGCAACTATTTTCGGAATAGAGGCAGGGCCCACGTCTGGTCTTGGCTTTTCGCATGCGGTTTCCCCTCATTTTTCTCGATCGCGAACACGATTGATAAGGCCACTTGCTGGGCTTGAAGTTAAGGCTCCGGACGAGAGTCGATGATCGTGTGCCTTGTCGGCTCTAGCTCTCTTCTCCGGAATTTTTGAAATGGGTCCGACCAATATGCCCTTATGGGCTCGCGACGTCTGGGCACGCTCTACAGCGAGCGATCTCGAGTCAATCCCTTCTACGTTTTCTAGCTGGGATAAGTGTATGGCCAAATCCTATTGCAAGTAAGTGCAGTCCTTGGGAATTTCTGGAATGTACAGGACTAATTGAGTACTAGGTGGCCTGTCATCGTCGCTATCATCATTGCCTCTGTGATTGTAATCGCCATTCTCGGATGTATAATTAACTGCCTCTGCTGTGGTTACCAATGTTGTAAATGCTGCTGCAGTTGCTGCTGCCCCTCCGGCCGACGCAGATTCAAGGCGCCCAAGCAACCGAAACACTACGATGATCCAATCTATACACAACCCCCACCTGCTCCGAATCCAATTTATCAACCTCCACAAGCTCCGCCTGTCTATCGCGGCGCAAACACTACGGCTACTTTTGATAGCCCCTCCAAGTCCGCTGCAACCTCTACGATTCATGAAGATGCGCTGCCGGAGATGCCCACTTGGGCTGCTGCTGTCGACAAGCATGTCGAGGATCACTCTCATGAAGATTTGGAGATGGAGCCTTTGAACCCGCCGGATCGCAAGCAGGGCGCCGGCACGCCTATTAATCCTGGCGCTGCCTATGCGGATTATCCTCCTGATCGTGGAACTCCTCCTCTGGCTGGCTACAGAGGCTTCAATTCCACCGATCCTTACGCTCGCCGGTCCCCTGGTCCCGCGGCTGCGTTGGCCGCTACCCAGGACCCACACGGTCACCGTTCACCAGGTGCCTCTCTCGCTTACAACACACAAATTGATCCATATGGTCGCCGTTCTCCAGCTGTTGCATCCCCAGCAGCCGCTGCAGCCGTCGATCCTTATAACCGACGCTCACCCGGTCCAAACGGCGCAATGGACCCCTATACCCGCCGCTCTCCAGCCCAAGGCCCATACGGCCGCCGTTCTCCCGGTCCAAACGCTGTCATGGACCCTTACGGCCACTCTTCACCCGGGGCCCTAAACAACACATCCCCCAACGACCCATACAACCACCTCACATCCCCCATTGGTGCGCCAGTCTCAAGTCCTTACGAACACCAACCTTACGATCAGCCTTACGACGATTACAATAACGGCTACCACGTCGTATCCTCCCCCCCACCAGTAACGGCCTATCGGTCTCAAACAAATTATAGCTCCATTTACGGCTCGGAATCTCGTACCCAAGCCCCAGGCTTCACCCGCCAACCCTCATTCGGCTCAAGTCAATACCCCCCCAACTTATACTTCACAGCCCCACTACAGAGGTACTTCCCCCCTCTATCCCCAACTCCCCGCCTCCGCCCTTCCAGTCCCAGGCTCCTTCAGTGTATACAGCCTACGGATCTCATGCTCAAGATCAAAGTCATGAGTACGGCGTTGCAGTTTCGGACGCGAATCGCGATAGACCGCCCAGTCTGCTCATGAGCGGGCGCAAGCCGGTACCGAATACTTACCGCAATGTATAGGAGCGGATAGTCTTCGCATGATTTGCGTTTGCATTTGCACTTATTTGTTCTACATGTGTCTGGCTTGGGGCTGGGTTCATGATTTTTGATACCATGGTTTTCTTTTTCTCTTCTTTATGAAATGCTCTTCTGGGAGTCATGTCTTTATCTGACTTTTGTCTCTGTATATGAATCTCGTCCTTCCATGATCTTCACTGGACTTCTTGATGTCTTCTTTCTTTGTTTTTCTTAGTAGGGTATGTATCATGGAACGACTGATAGATCTGAAATCCCAGCTTCTCATTTTCGCCTTTCTTTTCTCCAATCTGAAAATGCATGGAATTTGAGTTGGAAAGTTCGATTGAGACTGGACCCAAGTGGGCTTTCTTGTCTCAACAAGAACCAGAATTACTACTATTCCTCCAAGGAGAAATCATATTTCTTAAACGCTTCCTTGAAGGCCTTCGCATCACCCTCCTCCTCTTCAAACGCCTGCGTTGCATCCTTCCAATTCATCCTTCTATCCAATTCCAGCAGCTTCGCCATGACCCTTCTTCCAAATTGCAGATCAAATCTAAAATCAGGCGTGAGTTCAAGTAAAAGCGTTTTCTCCACCGCCTCGGTCTTCTCTGTCTCCTCGGTCTTCTCTGCCTCCTCGTCTGGCTTCTCGCTTTCGCTTTTGACCTGAGGCCCGCTCCAGATCCACACACGGAAGAAATCACCCGGCTCGGTAGATCCATCCGTTGTGGCGGATGTATTTGTGAATCGGGGATACGAGAGATTCTCGGCTTCGACTTTAAAAGCTGCTTCGACTAGCCCCCAGCGAATCAGATCGGATGGCATGGGCAGGAACTGCCAGTGGATGTGGATTCCGCTTCCGCGACTGACTTCCCAAGTGACGGCGCCCAGTTTCCCGGCTGAGCGATCTGTTATCATTTGATGGAGGGAAGACCGATAGCGTTGCATTTCGTTGTATGTGCTTGTGCGGGTTTCCGCGTCTGGGATTGAAGCGATGGTAGGAGAGTGACTGAACGGGATTATGAGCATGTGGCCTGGAAAACCCAGGTCTGGGAAGTAATTGTTCGGCGGAAGAGGGCCTTTCGCAGTTGTAAGGTAGGCTTCGTTGCCAATTGAGGTGATCAGATGCGTTGCAAGATTTGGGTTCGCCAGGCAGAAGAAGCATTCGCCCGGTCCTGGGGGTGGGGCGCGTGGGCGCTTGCGTGGTCTGTCTTCATCTGGGGCGGCAAATCTGTGGAATGATTCGCGCTGGGGTGGAAGGCCTTTGCGCTTGGTTTGAGGCGCAGAGAGTGGTGAAGCGGTCACGCCAGCTGGGACTGTGATTGGGGGCGCTGCTTTGGGGTCGATTGAGAAGGCGTACATTGCTTTTGGCTTACCGCCGAAAGATGCCAGAGAGATGAAGCGGGTGATAGGTTTGGCGTCCGGGCTGTCTTCAGTTGGCATGTGGAAGAATGGCTCGCGCTCGTAGAAGAAGCCGTCTGAGACGGAGAAGTGGTAGCGAGGCCTGAGAGTGGTGGCGATATCGGACACGCATTGGACTTCGGCTGGCATGATGCTCTTGTCTTCGGGTAAGTCTACCTTGGAGCCGAAGCGGATACCCTTGGGCCATTGGTTGGTGATCAAGATATCTGCCCTATGGGTTCCGTAGAGTGCGCGAGCATCTGACTCGCTATATGTAGTCTGGAACTTGCCACTGGCATTTGACTCGGGCTTAGACAGGGCGTCTGTGCTGCTACCCAGGGTACCACCGAGTGCAGCAATGCGAATGCCCTCTGAAGTCTTCAGAGTGCCTCGCTTTCCAAGGAAGTACAAGTTAGGGCAGACCTCGTCGTCGGCCTCAATTTTCTCCACGATTCGGGTTGGCAGTGGCTTGTCGCCGATGGTGAAGTAGGTCGGCAAAGGAACATTGATGCTGCCGTTGAGCAAGCCAGAGATCTCATTCAGCTCCTTCTCTGTTGAGCTGTCGCCAAAGAGATTGCCAACAAGAATGGCAAATGCAAAATTCTGCTTAGCCTGCAAGTTGGCTAATTTGGTGAAAACCGCTTGCAGTTGGCAATTTACACTTCCAAGCACGATGCTGTAACTCTATCAGTATCATCGCGGGTCATGGTCGGAACGCACTCACATCTTGGAAGACATCTTGAAATGTTAAATGCCGAGCCTGCTTTATAACGGGTAGGAAATGACGGAAATTTGCGCTACCTAAATGACAGCCGACATCGGAGAATTCAAGAGTCAATCCGTGAATGTGGTTCAAAAGGGCGTCGAATGCGATGTAGAACGCGCCGCGAGGATCGCAGCGCATTTCTCAAAGGAGCTTGGGCCACCCCGTGACGACGCTAGCTCTATATAGTTAGCGTAGAAATACTAGCCTCCGCGGCCGGAACAAAGTTGCTCCTGCACCGGTCAACTTTTTTTGTATTCGATGCGGGCAGAGTAAAAAGTTCCCCATATACCTTTTTCTCGTCAGCTTTGCCTGTCGATTCTTTCAAGATGGTGGCACAAGGCTCGCGAGCCAAGCCGACCAGGCGCCTGAAAGGAGGCACCGAAACCACAAAGAATCACCGATTCGAGGGCTTTTCTTCGCGCATCGCAAGGCTCAAAATCGACCCGATCCACCGCGTGCGCCGCGCCAGCTTTGGTGAAGAAGATGGCGAGACCACTTCCTATTTCCGGTCTGCCCTCGACCACTGGGCCGAAATGAACCTTACGGACAACTTTTCACAGTTCGTTCGCCGAGTCGATAAGCTCTCCGAGAGTCTCGCCCAGATCGTGTACCACGAAGAGAAGATTATGGGCTTGTTGGTGGAGTTTATCGAAAAGAGGGACCAGCTGTCCATGGAGCCGCTGCTAAGTCTGCTAGCACAGTTTGCGCGAGACCTAGGTGTTCGGTTTGAGAAGCATTTCGCCGCATCTGTGACCCTCGTGGCGTCTGTTGCTGCCACACACCCTGACATCGAGGTCGTTGAGTGGAGCTTTACTTGTCTTGCATGGATCTTCAAATTCCTGTCTCGTCTGTTGGTGCCCGATCTACGCCAGTTGCTGGGTATCATGACTCCGTACCTCGGTAAAGAACGCCAGAAGCCATTCGTCGCTCGATTCGCCGCCGAGTCCATGTCATTCCTGATTCGCAAGGCTGGCCTTGTGTACTACAAAAACAAATTACCCCTCGAAAACGCCGTCACGTTCCTCTTCGATGACATTTCCAAAGCGGCCGAGGATGGAAACAACGTTGAGAACTACAAGGAAGGATTGATGGTCATGTTTTCGGAGTCTATCAAGGGGATCAACTATGGGCTTCATTCCAACGGAATCGATGTCCTCCGTTGCATATTGGACAAGCTTCCCCCGGCCAGCGAAGGACATAATGAGCCTGCAGAGATCGCACACGGAGTGGTGACCAACCTTATACATTCCACTACTCCCGAGACTTTCCCTCCTGTTCTCGATACCATTAAGATGTACGTCGACACTCGGTCTGATGGGTCCCAGAACCCTAATATCCCCGAATGTTCCCGTTTGATCTTTGCCTGCGTAGCAACTCGCAAGGGTCTGAGAATCAAGAACTGGAAGCCTGTCCATCAGGTCCTGGTTACTCTCTTGAAGCAAGTGTCAGCGAGCCCTGAAAAGTACGCGGAAACCATTCCCCAGCTTCTTACAGCTGTTGCTTACGCTCTCCAATTGTCGCCAATGGACGAAATGCTGCCGTTTATGCGAACTCTCATGGACCTGGTATCAACGGGACCTTTATCAAAGTACTTTTTGTTCTTCTGCACGACTTTCTCGGAGTGGGGAGCGGAGCGTTTCCACAGCCTGATGCTTCCTTACTTCCAGAAGTTCATCAACTCATCCTGGGAGGAGCGTGAATGGGAGACTTGCTTGACTTTGCTGCGACTTCACCAGACTGGTTGCATTCAGCCCGAACCTACGAGATCTGGCCATGTCTCTTGCCCAGATTCCTTGAGAACCCGCATCCATGACTCGTTGAAATACCCTTCGACTGACGGGGCTCTCCTTAATGCATTGATTAAGCTTCCAAACGCAGTCTCTCTGTCTGCGGACTCCAGCATGATGGCAAAGATTGTGAAAAAGCTGCACAAGAACATTTTGGCCGCACTGAAAGATGCTGCCTCCGAGAAGACCAAGGATGGATCAATGTTCTACCAGGGACAGGGCTTTAAGACATATGTCGAGCTGGCCAACCAGGCTAATGACCTAGACTCGAGCCTCTGGCAACCAATTCTGACAGCTTCCGCTAGACTCTCTCGCGTGCCTCTTTTCTTGGAGGGTGTTCTTGCATTCATCACATCGCTCCCGGAATCCACACCACTGGGGAACGCTGCTGTGGATGACTTTGCTCGCGACTTGGTTGTCAATCTCGCTAGTCCCTCTCATAGACTGAGGGTGGTATCTCTTCGCATTTTGCGAGAGTTCGTTGCTCGTGTTTCTAAGGATGATCCCTCTCCTATCGACTTGGCGATCGAGGTTGAAGAGAGTGAATTGACACTTCAAAGTGCGAGAATTCTTTCTATGCATATCCGCAAACTGGCCCTTCTCTACCCGCAGATCGTTTCCCAGAAGTGGATGGCTACTCTGATTCCCTACTTCTGCTTCGGTCTGTTCTCGAAGAAGCTGGCTGCACTGTGGGAGGACTCTGCTGCGGCCTTGAAGACTATTAGCGAGCATCCAGAGGGAGAGAAAATAGTCTCGGATTTGTCTATTCAGTGGCTGCAGGAGCGGGACTCTGGTGCCATGGATGCGGCAGATGATGATTCAAAGGAGAATTTCGTCTCTAGTGATTTCCAGTGCTTTAACGCCCTGAAGGTAGAGAGCGTTTCTATTACCAACTTCCAGAACACTGAGGATCCATCTGCTGTCTTGTCACAGCAATTTGATAAGGATCACAGCACTTCAGACCTAGTTCCTGCCACTCCCCGGACCCATGCCTTGCTCGTGTTAAACGCCATTCCTCAAATTGCCGAGAAAAGGTCGCGTCAAATCATCCCCTTGTTTTTGTCTTGGGCACTTCGTGATGACCAGGACGACGCTCCCGATGCCAAGGCCGATGCTGCTGATCCCGATAATATGCCCATCCGATGGGGCTTCCGTGACCGTTTGGCCATGCTTGGCTTGTTCGGTCAGTTCCTGAACCCAAAGGTCCTTTTCAGGGAACCCGAAGTTCACGATGCAGTGCTTGGGCTTTTGTGTCACGGTAACTCGGATATCCAGAAAGCTGCTCTCAAGGCTCTCTTCACCTGGAAGAACCCGCACATTGTGCCATACAAGGAGAACCTTCTCAACATTCTGGATGAGTCAAGATTCAAGGATGAGCTTGCGGTGTTTGTCCACGTTGGTAGTGAAGACAGCTTGATCGAGCAAGAACATCGCCCTGTTCTGCTTCCTGTGCTTCTTCGATTGCTGTATGGCCGTATGATCTCGAAGGCTGGCGCAAGCGCCAGCAGTGCCGGACAGGCCGGTAGACGGAAGACCATTCTGCGGACCCTCTCCCACTTGTCCGAGGCCGACTTTGGACTCTTCATGCATCTTTCGTTCGGCCCTCTTGCGGATGTCAACATTGTTAAGGATGACAAGACGAACTTGGATGCGTTCTCGGAGGAGCTCCTCAGCCCCAGAAGACAAGTTGGTCTGCTCAAGATGATTGACACTGTCTTTGACACTCTTCAGGCCCGCATGATCCCCTACTCCGAGCAAACGATGAATGTTATAATTTACTGTCTGGTGCGGGCGTGTCGGGCCATCTACGATGAGAGCAGCTCGATCTATGTGGACCGCGAGGATGAGAAGACTCTTGCAATTTACCAGAATGTCCGTCAGGCATGTATTCGATGTCTAAACCTGGTCTTCTCCGTTGCCTCTGACCGCGACTGGACACCTTATGTCCGGGTCATCTTCGATGAAATGATCAACGATAGACTGGCGCAATTCCCCATTGAGACCGCCCAAGGTGTCTCCGGTCTACTCCGACTCTTCCACACATGGGCCTCTGCCCCGAGATCCACATTCTACCTGGTGCAGCACAACAAGGATGTTCTGAACAAGGTTATTGACTGTCTTAGTGTTGAGTCAGCACGCGATGAAGTCAAGGTCTTTGTCCTGGAAGAGGTCCTCGTGCCTCTGGTTTTGCTGGCCAGTGGAAAGAAGCTTGCAGAAGATGAGGAAATGCCCGACATACCGGCTGAGCAGATTCGATCTGAAGTCCTGTCTCCCTACCTGGAGCATGCCCTCTCCCACATGGCTCGCCTCCTGAAGAGAGGCCCCTCAAAGCCCGTCCTGTTCGCAGGAGTTAATGCTCTATCTCAGATAGCACCTTGTGTCGAGTCTTCTCTTGAGACATCTACCTTGATCAGCATTTCCACCTACCTTCTCCGACAGCCCCCGGATCGTGTCAATCCCAGAACCAAGTCTGGTCTTCTGAAGATCCTCGAGCACTTCCTGCCCCTGTACAGCCCCAAGGAAGATATTGAGCTTTCTCAGCAGGTGTTTGAGGCTGTGTCGGCCATGTTCGATTACTTCAAGGATGACGCGAACAGAGAGGTCTTGGCACGAGTTTTCACTGCTCTCGCCACCCATGACGAGGATCTCAAGGAAGTCGCGGAACTTTGCGCGGATCTCAACTCTCGCTCCATGAAGCGTCTCGAGCCTGACTTCGAGCGCCGTCTGAAGGCGTTCACGAAGATCAACGAGGAACTGTCTACGACCCTCAGTGCCAAGCAATGGAGACCTCTCCTCTACAATATGCTGTTCCATGTCAAGGACGAAGAAGAGCTTGCTACTCGCTCCAGCGCTTCCTTCGGCTTGAAACGATTCATTGAAAGAGCGGCCGTTGAAGCGGGCAAAGAGGACTTCGAAGCTCTTGTCAACGACGTCTTGCTGCCTTCGCTGAAGTATGGTATCAGAAACAAGTCCGAGTTAATCCGTTCTGAGATCGTGACTATCCTTGGTTACTTTGTGAAGCTGAACCCGGAGAGAGAGTCTGTGAAGGATATGAATGTGCTCCTTGTCGGCGATGATGAAGAAGCCTCTTTCTTCACCAATATCCTCCACATTCAACAGCACCGTCGTCTGCGTGCTCTACGCCGCCTTGCCGCTGAGGCTGGTAAAGGAAACCTCACTCCCACAAACCTGGGCTCAGTCTTCATGCCTCTTGTTGAGCACTTCTCGTTTGACGAGGCCGAGGATGAGAGCGGTCACAACTTAATCGCCGAGGCTGTTGCTACCATTGGTTCCCTTGCCGAATGGTTGGATTGGGCTCAGTTCCGCGCGAACTTCCGCAGATACCGCAGTTACATGAAAAGCAAACCTGAGATGGAGAAGAATATTCTCAGGCTTCTTGGTCGCATGTCTGATGCTTTGTCTAGCGCAATGGATCAAAAGAATGGACCAAAGGACCAAGTCAATGGCGATGCTGGCGCGGAAGCGGACGCAGACGAAATGGATGTCTCTGAGCCGCCCGAATCGCCCGAGCAAATTAAGTGTATGCTCGCCCGGAGTCTCCCCTCCATCGCGAAGGTGTCCACAGAGTTGACTACCAACTTCATCCCATTCTTGACCGACTTCATCCATCACAAGCAAGAGACTGAGATGAGTTTGCGACTTCCGGCTGCCATCACTACGATTAAGCTGTTGAAGATTCTCCCCGAGGATGACATGGCTATTCGTTTGCCTCCAGTCTTACTTGATGTCTGCAAGGTCTTAAAAAGTAAGGCACAAGACTCTAGAGACACGGCGCGAAAGACGCTTAATGAGATTGCTCTTCTCTTGGGTCCTGTCTACTTTGGCTACATCCTGAAGGAGCTACGGAATACCCTTTTGCGTGGTTACCAGCTTCACGTCTTGTCTTTCACAGTTCACTCTATGCTGGTGTATACAACCGATCACTTCAAGCAAGGTGACTTGGACTACTGCTTGCCAGATCTGGTTGCTGTCGTTATGGATGATATCTTCGGTACTGTTGGCCAGGAGAAAGACGCTGCCGACTATGTCAGCAAGATGAAGGAAGTGAAGAGTAGCAAGAGTTACGACTCAATGGAGTTGCTCTCCAAGAACGCAACTATTGGTCACCTGTCGGGTCTCGTTCGCCCTCTCCAGTCGCTTCTGCGCGAGAAGCTCAACTCCAACATCGTCAAGAAGATCGACGAGCTGATGCGTAGAATCGGCATTGGCCTTTTGCGAAACCCTAGTGCCGAGAGCCGTGAATTGCTGATCTTCTGTTACGAAGTCATTAAGGAGTCCTACCAGGACAGCGCAGCCTCTGACAAGCCAGATGTGAAGAAGTCTTACTCCGAGGAGCGGTTCTTGGTTAGACTGCAAGGCGCCAAGCGAGGCGAGAAACGCGGTACTACCTCTTCCCACGCCTACAAGCTGACTCGCTTCGCACTTGACATCCTTCGCGCTATCCTCAACAAATTCGGATCGCTTTTGACCCCGGCGAACTTGGCTGGCTTCCTGCCCACCATTGGTGATGCCATGGTGCAGGCTCATGAGGAAGTCAAGATCTCTGCTTTCCGTCTCCTTTCCACAATTATCAAGCTGAACTTGCCTGAGCTCGATGAGAACTCTCACGTCTATCTCACGGAGGCTGTGAAGATGATCAAGGAATCTCCGAGCACTAACACTGAAGCGGCACAAGCTTCACTGAAGCTGATCTCCGCTGTGATCCGCGAGCGCAAGAGTACCAAGCTCCGCGATGGCCACCTTGCGTACCTGCTCCACCGTCTGACTGCTGATATCGAGGAGCCAGACCGACAAGGGATCACTTTCAACTTCATCCGCGCGGTGATGTCCCGGAAGTTCGTTGTCCCAGAGATGTACGAGCTCGTTGACAGCATTGCGACCATGATGGTTACAAACCAGACGCGGTCTGCCCGTGATCTTGCTCGCGGTACTTACATCCACTTCCTGATCGAGTACCCCCAGGCCAAGAACCGTTGGTCGAAACAGCTTGGTTTCCTCGCGAAGAACCTGGATTACAAGCACCAGGAAGGAAGACAGTCCGTATTGGAGGCGATTCACATGCTTCTTTCTAAGACCGGGCCGGAATTGGCCCAGGACATCATCAGCACATTCTTTTTGCCTGTTGTCCTAGCCATGGCTAACGACGACTCGCCTGAATGTCGCGAGATGGCCGGTGCGCTTCTCGGACAGTTCTACGCTCGCGCAGACAGGGAGCAAATGAAGACCATTTTGACACCTCTGCACTCGTGGCTAGAGCAGACTGACAACATGGCTCTCGGTAGCATTGGTCTCCAGGCTATGCGAATTTACTTTGAGACTGAAGAGACACAGAAGGAAAAGGAGGCTCGCTTCGTCGTTGGCATTCTACCTGGATTGATGCAGCCCATTCTCGACGACCACGAGAATGGAAACTGGGAAACTCTTTACTTCGCCTTGCAGTTATTCTCAAAACTTGGCAAGACAGTCCCCACGCTTGCATTGAGCCCCGACTGTGCATCCATTTGGACTGCCGTCCAAGAGGCCTTGTTCTTCCCCCATACTTGGGTCAAGACCTGTGCTTCTAACCTCATTGGTATGTGGTTGGCTGATGTGGCCAAGACTCACGCCGTCGCTGGGTACAGCAAGATGCCCTTAGCCAGTAGCTCGGGCCTGGTCCTGGATAAGGAGGCTATGATCAAGCTTCTCCGCGCTAGTACCCGTTCTCTACGTACTCCTGGTATATCCGAGGAGCTGGCGATGCAAAGCGTCCGCAACCTGGTCTTCCTTGGCCGTTGCTGTGCTCAGAACGGCCTTGAGTTCCACAAGGCTGGCGTGGAAGGTGTTGAGTCTGATGCCGAAGATGACGAAGAAGATGAAGGCAGCGAGGTTGATGGTGAAGAGACCACGAAGACCACCATCGTCCCCAACAAGTCTGCCATCCACTACATTTTCCGCCAAATTTCCTCTCTTCTGCGCCGTGAGATCATCTCAACCCGCCCCGGGGTCCTCATCCCAAAGACAGCCTCCATCGCACTCCTGGCTGCGCTCATTCATCACCTCAGCGCAGAGCAAATCCGACCTTCTCTATCAAGCATCTTACTCCCGCTGCAACATCTAACCGACTCATCCATCCCGGCGCCTCGTTCCCCAGACGAGACGTTCCAGAATACCTATAAATCACTTGTCTCGAACTGCCACGAGGTCCTGGACTCTCTGCAGAAGAAGCTTGGTACCACTGAGTACATTGCGCAGATGAGCAAGGTGCAAGAAGCCATCAAGGAGCGGCGGGAAGGACGCCGTGTCAAGCGTCGCATTGAGGCTGTTGCTGATCCTGAGCGACACGAGCGTGACAAGAAGAGGAGGAACGATCGGAAAAGAGTCAAGCGTCATGAAAAGGGTCTTGAGCACCGTGGCAAGAGACGTGGTTGGTAAAATATTTCTGCTGCATATTGGATGGCCGGTTTGGTGGCATATAAAAGCTGGCGTCTGGTTACTTTTGGTTTCGTATATACCTAGAACAAATCGATTTCTTTGTACATCTGATCATGTTTCACCTCATAATTTGAGTACATCTAAAAGAAATCATAGAGTTCGAAATAAACTCTCTCCTTTAATGACCATATGCGGCGATCTTCGTCATCTGGTTTCACATGGACTGAAATTTGAGGAATCAACTCTTCATATCCCACGACCTCCTTCAAATTAGATGACCCCGATTTGTAAAAAGCCATCAATGTATCCATCTGCTCATCATGTTCAGTGTTCACCTGTCTCTCGTAGCCCCGAACGCATAGATACTCCAGGCTAACTGGAAGACATTCCGTCAGGTTCGCCATTTGACATTTGTCATCCGACTCTCCGCTGACCCCTTTGGCAAAGTACAACAAAAACTTGATCCCTAGACCCAGCCGTTTCAGGGCTCTAAATTCCTTCAGCGAGCCACCATTGCTCCAGATCGCTTTGAGAAATTCCCGCTGTTTCCTCCTCGATATCAAGTCCAGTAGGAGTCTCGTATTGTTGAATGTGACTCGTATTCTCTTCGTCAAGAAAATCCATTCCGCTGTCACAGTCAAGATCGAGAATCTCCAGGGTTTCCTTGTGCCCACATAGCACTTTGAGAAGTGTCTCTGGATTGACGATAGGATATTCCCCATCACCGGACGATCTTCCTCCAATGGAGTATTGAAATTCCCTAAAGGACTTGCATGACCATATCAACCTCGCAAGGTAGACGGAACTGACAGCAGAATGATGAAGAGACATTCTCCTGATGTTCGAGCATTTTTCAACAAATTCTGACTTTCCGGTTCCACGATTATCTTAGACCAGATCGGCGCTGACCGATTCAATGGACGAAAGGCTGTCAAGTAGACCGCAGCAGCCGTAAAAATCCATCTCTTGATAACATGTTTCATCCCACCCATTGCTGTTGTTGATGTTAATCAAATAAACGTCGCGAAGGTTTTGAAGATAGGGTTTGCTCTCTGGTTCAGAGTTGGCCCAGCGCAGAAACTCGGCGAGTGGAAATTCCTTAGTTGGATGACCAAAGCGTCCACAAACAGGTTTTGTTATGGCCATCAACACAAGGCTTGGAGATACCGCGGTGAGAATTGCAGTGAGCGCCTGGGTGAAAAATGTAATCTGAGGCTTTTGGTTTCTGATGATATTAGATCGTTGCTTTGAAATTGGGGTGGGGGTTTCTCACTCCTCCTCCTCCTCCTCCTCAAATCATATGCTCATGTCGTAAGGTCGTCGTTGCATCAGCATATCGACCACTTGCTGCTCGTCCGGGCCGGTGAATTCGGCTTCTCTGACTGCTTTGTGCACAAGATTCATGTCTTCGTCGTTCAAGCCACGCTGGGACCTTGTTACTTCGTAGTCCGCATACAGGGATGTTGTTGTGCAGCATTCAATGTGGCGCACCTAATGGCCCAGAAGAGGGAGCTTCAAGATATTCATGAGCAACCCGAATGGCACATCAATACCATACTCGTCTGGGAAGACGCTAATGCGGTGAAACTTTTGGCGTGTTGCCATGTCGCTCATGAAATGGAGGGCGCGACATTGGACCGAGAGTGCGGCCACATCTTTGTCCGAAGGAAGGTACGAGATGATCCGCTGTTGAATCTCAAGAGGTAGTTCATGGAATGACATTGTGAAGTTTTGACTGCTTTGATGAAGAGAAAGGTTCATTTGAGCCCGGCTTTTTCTTTTCTAAGGAGAATATCCAAGACCGTGTAAAGGGAGTTTACGCGCCTGGGCTTCTGACGCCAGTTCAGCGTCCGACAAACCGAAGTCCTAGTCAATGACTTTATGTCGAAATGACAAACGACCGTTCAGGCACTAAACCGGCATGGCACCCAAATCAACCCTTGAGCAGTGGTTGGCTAGCGTGGCGATTTGGAATGTCTGCGCCAATACAGGAAGACAAATTACTGCAGTGAAGATTCAGTGGGTTATTAAAGAGAATCGAGTGATGGAAAAGGGCTCGAGTCGGTGTATAGCTTTTATTGGAATCCTTGACCCAAATAGGTCCGAAATCTATTGTACAAGATGCAATATTGTGACAAGGTCATGGCGGTTAGATATCCTTCTCTATTCGCCGCCCCAATGTATCATTTACTCCACGTCGATGCCTGGAACCTGCCATGTCGAGAGTGGAGAGTAGCCGCAGTATAAACTTTTGAAATGGGCTTCTGAGCCCAAGACTCGCACTGCAAGCTCAAGAGGTCTGTTCGCCGGCAATATTCTTGTCAGAAGAGCCCAAGAGCTCTTGGCCATCCAAGGCAAAGCTCTTGACTGTGCCATCCTCCCAGAACTCGAGGTTACCATCGGTGCGACCATGTGTCAAAACCTGCCCCTTCTCCTTCAGGAGATCCTCTAATGTAGTTCTCTTATCGAAAAAAACGCCAAGGTGATCACTCATGACATGACGGTTCTGGCAGGAGGGGCATTGAATGAGAACCGTGCCGCGATGATATCCCTGCTTCGACATGCGATGCGACGAGCGCTCACCGCACGGCTTGCAGGTGAAGGTGATGCGATAGGCCTCTTCGTTCTTGCGACGCTCCTCGTTCCTAGCGGCACGCTCTTCATCGGTTTCTGTCCGCGTGGGTGAGTCTCTCGTGAGAGGGCGCGCTGTGGAGTTGTGGCGGATGATGCTTGATGGGAAGATGTGTGCAGATCGTGTCACAGACGGTCTCGATGCAGCATCGTGGAAGTGAACAAGCTGTGAGGAGAGACGAGATGGCTGTGTTCGCTTTGAAGTAAGGGATGTATATGAAAGAAAGGAGCGCGCTGGGCGAAGGCTTTGAGTGAAGGGACGCATTCTTCAGCCGTTTGCTGGTTGGCACGTTGCTTTGTAAACTCTCGAGACTGAACTTTGGTCGGAGCGTTTCTTCAATTTCAGACCGCAGGTAGGCTCTCTGTTCCTCAAGACAAGTGATCGAGCGAAGTGAAGAACGAAATATGACGCGCGAGCTCGAACTGAAGCCTCGAAAGCGGACCCGGCTTGGAAAAAGGTTTGCCCGAGGTACTGCCCGCCTCCGCGGAGCGTTCGACAAGTACTGCACTTCGCGAAACTTCGGTACTCTCGCATACGCCGCTTCTTTTCGTTTTTCGCTTCCGGGTTAATCTTGAACCCATATCTCCGTGCCCGAAATGGCTGCTATGCGGGCGCGGCAAAAGATTCGGGCCCCTCGTCGGGTAAGTTACCTTTGTGGGGCTTCCAAGCTCTGTACTGACGAGGATTATAGGGCCTGAATGCAGCCCAGAATGATAACTACGACTCTCTTTGGGGCATTCTCTCCTCTTCGTTGTCTGAAATCCATACGAAGAATGCCTCGACCCTCTCTTTCGAAGAATTGTATCGCAACGCATATAGGATAGTGTTGATGACGCGGGGGCCGGAACTCTACGAAAATGTGAAGCGACAGGAGGAAAACTGGTTACGAGGCACTGTTCAAAAGCGTATCACGGATTCGATTTCATCGACCCTTGTTCGTGCTCAAGCCGCAACAGAGATTCAGGACCAGTCGGAGGAAAGGCGAGCTGCGGGGGAGAAGTTCCTGTCTGCTTTCAAGGAAGCCTGGGAAGACCACCAGCTTTGCATGAGCATGATAACTGACGTTCTCATGTATATGGTAAGCTTCTATCATTCTGGTGATACGAACGACATTCTAACGGCATGTTCTAATGTACCCTGCAGGACCGCATTGTTTCTCAGGACAAATCCAAGCCCTCGATTTACGTTGTCGCAATGGCCCTGTTTCGCGACTATGTTCTTCGAGCCCCCATCCGGGCCGATTCCCCGACAAGCGTCGCCGATATTCTCGAATCAACGATTCTCTTCATGATCTCTTTAGAGCGAGCGGGTCACATGATTGAAAGGCCTCTAATCAGACATTGCATCTCCATGCTGGAGGGTCTCTATGAGTCAGATGCGGAGGAAGGCGAGAAGCTCTATATTTCCACATTTGAACCGGCTTTCCTCAAAACGAGTAAAGAGTTCTACCAGGCAGAGGGACGGCGATTGCTGGAAATTGGAGATGCAACGACCTTCTGCCGGATTTCCTCCCAACGCATCGGTGAGGAGCAGGAGCGTTGTTTGTCTACACTTGCTATGATGACCGAGCCGAAAATCCTTGAAGTTCTTGATAACGAGCTGATCCGGAAGAATATTGACGAGGTCGTCAAACTGGAAGGAACGGGTGTGAAGCATATGCTGGACCATAACCTGCTCGAGGGCTTGCGGAACGTGTACCAACTTAACGCCCGAGTTGACCCGAAGAAGGAATCTCTCGCCCGGGCTGTCAACAAGCAGATTGTAGAGCTCGGAAAACAAATCAACGCCTCGTCTGTCGTGATCCCGCAGCCAGCCACAGCCACAACCACAGCCACCAAGGAAGCAAAGGAGTCTGGCATGGAGAAAAAGGAAAAGGGCAAGGAGAAGCCTGTCAATCAGCAGACTGTATTGGCGATTCAATGGGTTGATGACATTCTGGCCCTGAAACGCCAGTTTGATATTGTGTGGGAACAATCCTTTTTGTCTGATCAAGGGCTTCAGAGCTCGATCATGGGAAGTTTCTCTGACTTTATCAACTTGAATCCCAGAAGCTCCGAGTATCTTTCATTGTTCTTCGACGAGAATTTGAAAAAGGGCATCAAGGGCAAGACTGAAAGCGAAGTTGACGCCTTACTGGACAACGGCATCACATTGCTCCGGTATATCAAAGATAAAGATCTCTTCGAAACCTATTACAAGAAGCATCTGTCACGCCGTCTGCTGATGAAACGATCCGCCAGCACGGATGCAGAGCGCCAGATGATTTCCAAAATGAAGATGGAGGTCGGAAACCAATTCACGGCCCGCATCGAGGCCATGTTCAAGGATATGACTGTCTCTGAAGACCTGACTGCTGGGTACAAAAACCATATTGCTCGCAGCGCCGATCCAGACCGGAAACCCGTGGACTTGGAGATTAATGTTCTTACCAGTACCATGTGGCCGATGGATATCATGGCAAACACCAAAGAAGGTGTTGTGCAGCTGCCGTGTATCTTCCCGCGGGAAATTGAAGGCCTAAAGCAAAGCTTCGAGAAATTTTACCTTGATAAGCACAGCGGGCGAAAGTTGTCCTGGCAAGCCGGTATGGGGACTGCAGACATCCGGATGACTTTCAAGCGAAGCAATGGCAAAGTTCAAAGGCATGAGCTGAATGTTTCCACATACATGATGGTCATTCTTCTCCTATTTAACGACCTTCCAGATGACGAATCCCTCTCCTTTGAGGAAATTGAAGAGCGAACGCGCATTCCCAAGCATGATCTTATTCGAAATCTGCAGTCATTGTCTCTTATTTCGAAGACGCGGATCTTAAGAAAGGCCCCAATGAGCAAAGAGGTCAAACCGACGGACCGCTTCTCATTCAATCACGAGTTCCAAAGTTCTTTTGTCAAAGTTCGCATCGGTGTTGTTGCCGGCGCAAAGGTCGAAGACCAAGAGCAGCGAAAAGACACCGAAAAGAAACAGGCCGAGGAGCGTGGTGGTAGCATCGAGGCTGCCATCGTTCGAATCATGAAGTGCGTTGTTTGCCTCTCCAAATTAAGATATTTACTGACCAAGTCTCTCAGACAACGAAAGAAGCTCACACACTCGCAATTAATGACCGAAACCCTTACCCAGCTTTCCACCCGGTTCGTTCCCGACGTGGCCATGGTTAAGAAGCGCATCGAAAGTCTGATCGATCGCGAATATATGGAACGTTTGTCTGAGGAGCCACCCACCTATGGCTATGTTGCTTAAGACAGCTCTCGGAGAATCCCGCGTCCGTGTTGACCGTCACCTTCTCCCTCTTTTCTTCAGTTCTGGTTGTCCTTTTTCTTTAGGGTTGCGCTGCGGCGCGAAGTAGGGCATTGCAACGCCTCGGGCATTACTTTCTGTGAATTAGCGACTGGCGTTTACCAACGGGGTGTTTGATCGCAGGGCATAGAAATGGCTTTGGCTAAGGTCTTATTACTCCATGCAAAACACAATCAAGGCAATTTTCCAAGCTCAACACAGAATTTCCATAAATCATAAGGTACATCATTTCAATGCAACCGTAAATTGTAAATGACAATATGTGTGTGTCAATGTAGATGATGTAAATGCATACCCAAACGCCTCCAATGCCAGATCACCCAATCCAGAGCCCAACACGACCAAATCAAGCCCTGCCCTACGCTACAGCATGGATCATAATAACTCAACTTCCCCCCTCTCCCAAGCCCCCCTGACCCCTTCCCACCGAACAACCCAAACATCTCCCATCCGCATCGTAACCCCAACCTCCTCCGCATCATCTTCAGCTCCAACAATAACAGGAACCTCAACACCAAGACACCTTGCAAAAACAACCTCCTTCATCTCCGGTCCCTGCACCATACTAGTCCCACCCGCATTGTCATCCAACCTCCTCAACGTCCTCGGAAACGCACCCATAAATGAGCCCCCATAATGTCCAGCCAATAGCATCTGATGCGCATGCACAAACGAAGCCTCCGGCTCGGATAATGGCGAAACGTCATCAACAGCCGAAATGTCCGGAACCGAGTCTTCAGGCGTCACATTTGGATTTTGAGATTGCGATTGCGATTGCGACTGTGATTGCGAGAGAGGGTTTTTGGACCGTGAGGCGAGTTGCACTAAGTAGTACATGCTGTGTTTCGTCAGTTTCGATAGCCGTTGTCGGAGGAGAGACCGGATGATGTATTGTGTGCGCGCAAGGTCCGTTTGAAGGATTGATAGGCGTAGATTGAGATTTGGATTGTGCGTTGCTGTAGGTGTCGCTTCGCTTGATGATGCCGCTAGGTCTTCGATTGTTTCAATCTATATAATCCGGACGTGTCAATTGGGTTGTGTTTTTTTTTTTTGCGGAATTATGTGGTCGAGGGCTTTCTCACCTGTAGCCGGACGCGATCCATTACGCGCTCCATTAGTGGCGCGGGCCATGGGAGGACTTCGGAGACGGCGCGCTCCGCGACCCAGAATCGGGTTAGTTGTTGGTGGTCGAGGGCTGTGGATTCGGGACTCGCGCCGGCGCCACGGTCGACGGAGGCGAGGATGTCGTCAATATCCATTGCTGTTGAGAGTGGGACTTGGGGGTCTTGGACACGGTGCAGATCGGGGTTTGGCGTGAGATGGAGATCGTGGGCGGTGCGGGTCCGGTGGCCTGGGGCATCAAGGATCTTTGATCTTGGTCTTGATCTGCGAGCCTGGACGATCATAAGAATTAGGATATAGTGGGGTTTGAGCCCGGCGTTTGAGGCTATTGATGCTGACTTTCTATCGGTCCGGAGGGCGGCTTTAATTCTGGAACCCTTAGTCTGCTCTCTACGGTCTAGACCTCGATCTATAAACCAATCTACTTCTTATGCCAGGTGCGGACCCTAAGGTATGGACGTTGAACAAGCATATGCGGTATATGTCATTAGAGAGAAGAATTTAAGTAGTGTACGAGCATGAAGACCTTATCGCTGCGCTTCTGGCCAGAAAGATGCATCATTCACAAACGAATGCAACGCAAAGGCCGTATTATTAATATCGAACAGCACATCTCATGCAATTCTTTCGTAAAGGGGAATCCCAAGCCATGAAAAAAAAAAAAACGCCGAATTTTAGAACAGATGGTCCATTGCACCGAGAGTGAAGAAAATCGGGCTCGCTCTTGAGTCCCGTTCTCGTTTTCGTTTTCGTGTTCGTTCGCCGCTCATTTGCACTCACGATTTCCGGCTCATGATTCACGCCTTGGCTGGAGGTGGTCCCATGGGCGGTTCGTACTCGCGGCCCCCGCCAGCGTACGTGTGGGGAGGTGGCTGCATCTCGATGCCGTTCTGCTGAGGGTTGGTTCCCTGGGCGCCAAAGTAGCCGTAATTCTGAGGGTTCGCGGAGTATTGTGGGGGTGGCTGCGCTGGGTAATTGGGATCGTTGCCGTGGTAAGCCTGTTGGTAGATGGGTTGGTTGGGCGGGGGAGGGCCTGGGGGTGGTGCCATCCAGGCTGTTCCTGCTATCGGGGGCCGTCCGCGAGCACGGCGGCGGCGGGCGTTGAAGCAACTGTATTCTCTACGTTAGCCAGAAGCTAGCAACCGACCGAGAAGCTGGAGAAGACTCACGCGAAGAAGAAGAAGACAAGAAAGGCGCAGCCGACGATGACGGCGAAGGCTACCCAGCGACCCCAGTTGTCCCAGGATGAGTAGTAGCAGTTATCATCGTACGCACTGCTAGAATTGGTTAATGGAGTTAGTGAATGATCTTTCAACCGTGACTGTGACCAAGAAAGACTTACCAATAGTAACGCGGGAGGACAGCCATGTTTTGATGTTTGAACGTTGAAGATCAGAAAAGAGTCAAGGGAAAGAAATAGCAGTTGAAGGTGGCTGAGACGAGGTCCATCATATGGGGCTGGGGTCTTGGCACTAGGCTGCAGGTTTGCGATGATTCATCACAGGTTTTCCCGGTATCAGTTACGTGTTGTCGGATGCTCGGAGGCCCGTCAAGCGCACTAGATGGGCTTGTGCTTTTACTCCCTGGCCTCTTTCGACCTGTCTCACAAATCCGGTTCTGGCATTTCCGTGGTTGCGTAAGTATATTCGCCTTCCAACGCGGCGCAGTCCGGGGATACTCAATCGGCGGCCAATCAAGCCGAGGTGGAGAGGGAGGCGCAGGGCTGACCCGGACTTTGCGGACATCATCGACAGGAGAAGATCGATTGAATTATTGCCTCGGTGAGCTAGGAGCTATTCACCCACCTCTGCAAGCTTTATTCAGTGACCGGCATGGGTTCGGGGCGATTAGAGGCTTCTACACCCGTCTAGCTACAGTGTATCCTGGAGCCAGGGTCCTTTGCATGATCAAACTATGGTGTTCACATGGCCACGGACTAGCCGTATTTTGGCCCACTGGAAGGATGATTCTCTCGTGGGTTTGGTCCCCACCCGGAACCGGCAACTTGGTATCTGTTTTTTTCCGTCCGGGGAATCTCTCCGATGTGAGGATCGTAATCACAATGTACAATGTACGATAGAAATGATCCGATAGACGACAAACTCAACCCTCATGCTCAGCTGCCCACTGACCTCCAAACCCCTTGGAGATTGTGGTCGTTGGCGGGGGCTTTTAGCCACTTACTACATTCGTGTCCTTCGTCTGCACGGCCAACGCATCACTTGGTCCGTGTACGTTTTCACTTATTTATGCTGGCCGACCCCCATCGTCCGAATTCTAGATTAGGATTTCATTCTTCTGCCTTCAATTGCCCCGTATCCACCTGCGTCTTCCTAATCCCCAGAGTCGTGAAATAACAAACACGTGCATCATTACATAGGAGACCGTCAGATCGCTCTTGGCTTGGCCGTCCTAATTTGCATGCTCCCAAAAATGAAACCCTAACTAACACATGATATCGTTGACGTCGTTACATCCAAGGCTGCGAGCCAACACGCTAGAGTCTACAGGACATAAACAGAAACAGGAGGGGAACGCTCTCAACAAAAAAAGCAAAGATAAAAATGCACGGCACCACCGATTGACCGATCAAACGCCAGCACCGTTGCCGTTACCGACTGGCGCGGGCAATCAGCCAGTGCAGGACCGCGTCAAGGTTGGTCTCTTCTTTGGCGCTGATCCCGTAACAGCTGACTTCACGGTGCGTGATCGACTTGAGGTCCATCGCCTCGATCAGCTCATCCACGGACAGCTTGACCGGAAGATCAGACTTGTTACCGAGGACGAGGAGCGGGATACCATCCAATGTGGGCTTGGTCATCAGCTCATGCAGTTCCTCAGTGGCCGCCGGCAAGGCCGTTCGGTCGGCGGCATCCACGATATATCTGGCCGAATCAGCATGATCTGATCATGGGAACTGTTTGCAGATGTTCTTACACAATAGCGTTGACGCCCCGACAGTATCGTTCCCACATCGGGCGGAATCGGGGCTGACCCCCCAAATCCCAGCTGAAACATGTCAACAGGTCTGATACTTGTTCAAGTAGACTGTGACTGACCATTTTAGGGTGACATGGCCCTTTTGAACACGTTTGGTGTTGAACCCGATGGTCGGGATGGAGCTGCTTGGTTAGCCGGGACACTACGCCATCGCCACCGCCGCCAACTTTTGACGACTTGATCACTTACTCAACCGTGAACTCACCACCCTAAAATGGCCGATCAGTATCGATGCAGGACACCCAGGCAGGAAAGGCTTACCGCTAGCACGCGCAGCAGGGAGGACTTGCCGGCATTTTGCAGGCCGATCATAGTGACATCCATCTCCGTCGCCCTGCAGGGGATAGGAATTAGCAGGCTTCATCGGCGGGGACGGGCCGGGGATATTCTCCCGCGACGCCTGGCCCACTTACCAGAACATCCTCAAGAGCCAGTCATAGATGGTGCGAAAGATCCCAGCCATGGCGGGGGATGGGCAAAACGTTCTCGGTCTTGGAGAGATGGAAAAATGAGGAAGTCGCGGATGTAATTAAAAAAAAAAAAAATTAACCACACGAAAGGAAGCAGGGCAGTGAAATCCTTGAAATTAGCAGCGAAGTGCCGGAGTGGGGTTGAGAGGGTCGAGGTCAAGAACTTGGGAGCACGCGGTGGACGATAACCACCGCGGCTATTCAAGGAGACGAACAGGGGAGACAAGCAAAAGAAAAGAAAATGGGAACTAGCACTTTCCGAGCCGCCCCCACGCAAGTCAAAGCCAGAGCTGGTCTCTGGAAAGTTGGAGATGGAAATTGTGAGGTCTACAAGCACACATGACCGCCGTTAAGAGGGGCGCTTAGGCTCCATTCGTGGCCTGACGTAGCGCAGTTAAGTCACTACAGAATGAACTCTCCGGTGGCGCTGGGGCGGTTTTCGCCCGGGCTTATACTAGGCAGCATTCGAGGTCCGAGCTGAAGAGACTAAAGGGAGGAAGCTAGTCGATACTACTGTAGTATAATACTATGGGAGATACAGCAGAGGAAAATCTCTCAAAGTCATAGTTCACGCAAGTGTGCATCAACAGTTAGCCTCAGGCACCACATGTATACCTATCAGCACGTGATGATAACCGGCTCCACCTCGAAAAATTTCCCCGGTCACCGTCTTCGCTCCCATTCAAGCTGCCATTGCTGGCTCAATTCTTTCCCTGCTCTCTATACCCCTCTGGGAGCCTAGGCAGAAGGGGCCATTCTCTCTGTCGCCCTTGTACCGACCACTCGGGCACCTCAACTTATCCCAGCTCTAATCGACAGGTTATCTCTCGACTCAGTCGAGACCTGTGAGCTTCACCATGGCACCCGCTCCCACCAACACGGATTGGTCGGTTCAATTCGACACTCAGCGACGTGAGAATCTTTTCAAGAACCCGCCCTCAGATAAAACCGCCTATCCGTCGCTGGCCGAGTCTATTAAGCCTCACGTTGATTCATTCAATGCCCTCTTCGACGACAGCAAGATTCTGGAGGCCGGTCTGAAGGATATCGGAATCAAGACCTTCCTCGATGGCGAAATCGAAACCCCCGAGCAGAAAGCGGCGCGAAAGGCAGAGGGTCTCCGTGCTCCGAAGCGCAACCGCTTGAACGTCCGTGTGAAGGAACTTTTCCTGGACAAGCCCACTCTGCCGCCCACCAACAAGTACAGCACCAAAAACCGCAACATTTATCCCTCCGAGTGCCGTGAACGACATGCGACTTACCGTGGCAAGCTCCGCGCCCGTCTCGAGTACCAGGTCAACAATGGCGACTGGATGGAGTCTGTGCGTGAGCTGGGTCAGGTTCCCATCATGCTGCGCACCAATCGATGCCACCTGGAGCACGCGACCCCAGAGCAGCTCGTCACTCGCAAGGAGGAGTCAGAAGAACTTGGTGGATACTACATTGTGAACGGTAACGAGAAGCTGATTCGAATGCTCATCGTCGGCAAGCGCAATTACCCTATGTCTATCGTTCGTAACTCGTTCGTCAAGCGTGGTCACACCTACACCAGCTTTGGTGTGCAAATACGATCAGTCCGTCCCGACCAAACGTCTCAGACTAATGTTCTGCACTATCTCACGGACGGTAATGTCACATTCCGTTTCTCGTGGCGCAAGAACGAGTATCTTGTCCCCGTGATGATGATTCTCAAGGCTTTGGTGGAGACCAACGATCGCGAAATCTTCGAGAGCCTTGTTGGCAGCGCTACCTCCAAGGGTATGAAGAACACTTTCGTTACAGACCGTGTTGAGCTGCTGCTCCGAACATACCAGGCCTACAACAAGCACAGCCGCTATGACTGCCGTGCTCACCTGGGTAAATCCTTCCGTCCTGTGCTCGGTGTTTCTGCCGACATGTCTGATGAGGAGGTCGGTACTGAGTTCCTGCGCAAGGTTGTTCTCCCTCACCTGGGTAACTATAATGTCACCGAGACCCAGGACTACGACAAGTTCAAGATGGTCATTTTCATGATCCGGAAGTTGTACGCCCTGGTTGCAGGTGACTGCGCTCCCGATAACCCTGATGCAGTCTCCAACCAGGAGGTTCTTCTTGGTGGTTTCCTGTACGGAATGATTCTGAAGGAGCGTATTGAAGAGTGGCTCCGCTCATTTGGCCCTATCGCTCGTGACTGGAGCATGCGGAATAACGGTGCCAAGTTCACCGACCCCTCTTTCGAGCGCGACTTCTTGTCCAAGATTGTCAAGCGCTCCAATGAGAACATTGGTAACGCGCTTGAGTACTTCTTGTCTACCGGTAACCTCGTCTCCCCCACTGGTCTCGATCTGCAACAGACTTCTGGTTACACCGTCATTGCGGAGAAGATCAACTTCTACCGTTTCATCAGTCACTTCCGCATGATTCACCGTGGTAGTTTCTTCGCCCAATTGAAGACTACTACTGTTCGTAAGCTGCTGCCAGAGAGTTGGGGCTTCCTTTGCCCTGTTCACACCCCTGATGGTTCTCCCTGTGGTCTGTTGAATCATTTGGCGCACAAGTGTCTGATTGCCACCGACAATCTTGACGTCTCTAGCTTGCCTAAAACTCTTGTTCAGCTTGGTGTCCGCGCCGAGTCCTCAGTTGCTCTTGATGACAGCGTCGTTGTCCAGCTGGATGGCCGTATCATTGGATTCTGCTCGCCTGCCCAGGCACACAAAATTCACGACACGCTCCGCTACTGGAAGGTCGAGGGAACCAACGGAGTTCCCCGCGGTTTGGAGATTGGTTATGTTCCGAATTCCAATGGTGGACAGTATCCTGGTATCTACATGTTCTCGCAATCCGCAAGAATGTATCGCCCCGTCAAGTACCTCGCTCTGGACAAGATGGACTATGTTGGTCCGTTCGAGCAGCCCTTCATGGAGATCGCCTGTGTGGAGTCTGACCTGATCGCCGGTGTATCCACTCACATCGAGTACACACCTACTAACATTCTCTCCATCGTGGCCAACATGACTCCTTTCTCCGACTACAACCAGTCTCCCCGAAACATGTACCAGTGCCAGATGAGCAAGCAGACCATGGGTACCCCGGAACGTCCATCGGCTACCGTACCGATAACAAGTTGTACCGCCTGCAGACTGGTCAGACTCCTATTGTCCGCCCTCCGCTCTACAATGCGTACGGCCTGGATAACTTCCCTAACGGCATGAACGCTGTTGTGGCCATCATCTCGTACACCGGTTACGACATGGACGACGCCATGATTATCAACAAATCCGCTCACGAGCGCGGCTTTGGTCACGGTACAATCTACAAGACCAAGGTTCACTCCCTTGCCGAGCGTGACTCCCGCCGCAGCAAGTCCAAGCGCGAAATTACCAAGCTGTTCGGTTTCGCCCCCGGCGACATGGTTCGTCAAGAGCTCCGTCAATTCATTGATGAGGACGGTCTACCGCACGTCGGTGTCCGCGTGAAGGAGGGTGACAAAATCGCTGCCTACCACGATGTCCGGTACGACGCCGCCTCCGACTCATATGTTAATGTCGATGGTGTCACACACTTCCTCAAATACAAGGATGCGGAAGCTGGCTACATCGAGAGCATCCGTCTCATGGGTGCCGAGTCCGGTAATGAGCCTATCCAGTCTCTTAGCGTCAAGTACCGAATTCCCCGTAAGCCGATCATCGGTGACAAGTTCTCCTCTCGTCACGGTCAGAAGGGTGTTTGCTCGCAGCTCTGGCCTGCCATTGACATGCCTTTCTCCGAGAGCGGCATGCAGCCTGACTTGATTATTAACCCTCACGCTTTCCCATCCCGTAAGTTCTCGCCTCTTTGAACCATTGAAATTTTTCCTTTTTTCCTAATTGCAACAGGTATGACAATCGCCCAAATGATTGAATCCATGGCCGGTAAAGCCGGGGCTCTCCACGGTCACCCGCAAGACTCAACCCCCTTCCAATTCTCCGAAGAAAATACCGCCACCGACTACTTCGGCCAACAGCTCCGCAAGGCAGGCTACAACTACTACGGCAACGAACCTCTATACTCTGGTATCACTGGAAAGGAATTCGCCGCCGACATCTACATGGGCCTGGTCTACTACCAGCGTCTGCGACACATGGTTAACGACAAGTTCCAAGTGCGTACAACGGGTCCCGTGAACGCGCTGACTGGACAGCCTGTTAAGGGTCGTGCGAAGGGTGGTGGTATCCGTGTTGGAGAGATGGAGCGTGATTCATTGATTGCGCACGGTGCTGCGTTCCTACTTCAGGATCGTTTGATGAATTGCTCTGATGCTCAACATGCGTGGATCTGTCGTGGGTGTGGTTCTTTCCTCTCGACCCAGGTTGCTGTTTCGGGCTCTGGGGCTTCACGTCGCGCCGCTGTCAACCCTGGTGCTGCTGCCGCCGCGGCTGCGGCCGCTGCCAAGGCTGCGCCGAACCAGCAGCACGGCTCTGGCGCTGGCGCTGGTGGTGCCCTTGGTGGTGTTACTGGTATTGTGCGCTGTCGTCGCTGTGCCAAGCCGGCGGGGATTAATGACTCGCGCGCTGAGGCGTGGGAGGATGGTGATGGGCTCCGCTATGTGGGCGGTGACGATGTAACTATCGTTGCCGTGCCGGGTGTTTTGAGATACCTGGATGTTGAGCTCGCTGCTATGGGCATTCGCATGAAGTTCTGGGTGGACAATTAGTACATACTTACTGTTGGGGTTACTGGTTTTTTGAATGGTCTATAAAATCTTTCGTGTACTTTTGGTTTCTTTTATGTCATAGATGCAGCGTCTTGGTTTTAGTCGATGTGCAATCAACATTTCAAATGTTACTTTTTAGATCTGTTTTTATGGGTATAGACACCAAGGGGGACGGTCGAAGCGCGGATGACCAACTGTCTGGATGCAAATCGTAGCAAATCATCAACAAGTGTCTAAGGTCGCTACCAGTTGACACCCCTCGTCTACCTGGAGCTCGTGAGGCCGTTGGCGGGCTCATTCTTCTGATAATGGCCATATAACTCATACAGGGTGTCTTGTACCGGAGCCCGAGCGGGCGCTAGAGCCTCTTTTTGGACCCGGAATAACAGTGTCAGTCCACCCACCAAATAAGCCTCTTCAGCGTCCCAAGGTACGTAGACCGAGGACTGGCAAGTAACCTATCGAGCAAATTCTTCCCGAGAGCTTTCCGCCTAATTAATCAAACCCGCCAGTCAATAAACGAGATGTAACATCAGTCGTCATCCGAGCCAAACGTAGCCTGTCGTTCCTGGATGGAAATCATGCTCTTGGACAGCGCTAGTTCAGATAGGGCAACAACAAGATAATATCACAGTGGAACTAGCTGGAAGTGGCATCCGTCAGAGGTGAGAGCAGACTTGCTATTCGCATCTCTACAATGCAAGATAAGCACCCCCGCATCTCGCCAGTGAAGAATCCCCGGTGCCAATTAGATTAGCCGGTAATCTGCTTTAGGGCACGAGGCCGCGTCGGACCTCCGCTCGGAATCCGTCGATATTTCCCTAGTGACTTTTTTAGAGCTGTTGTTAAGCCTTTTCGTCAGATAGCTTGGACTGCCGTAGACCAATACCGGGCTTTTGCAGAACGCCTCGATAATGTCAACTAACAACTAATGCCGATATCATCGTCAGTGCAGGAGCTAGGACGGTGTGACACTATGGCAGATAGTTATCACGCGCTAGAGTAGAATAATTGCGTCAATGAGACCATCGCAGAGCATGGATTATAGGAGTGAAGTATAAAAACCCCCTACTATGTCCGCTATAAGATCCGTACTCTGTCGCTCATCTTTCTCATCTTTTGCTGGTTGTCTGAAAGGCTTTCGCCATGGTTTATACCTCTAGCCTCGCGGCTATCTCTCTCCTGGCTTTGACGGTCAGCGCTGTTCCCCTCCAGGCAACCTCAGTCAGCCATGTCTCCAAACGCAGTCTTCAGAATCGCGGTGTTGATGTCAAATTCAACACTTATAAACCCACTGCTTTTACTGAGTCGCGAACACCCGCGAAGTCTGACAAGGTCCTGCCCTTGTCAAAGGTTACGACAAATCGTGCCAACCCCCGTAGCGCAGCTTACCTTAAGGGCTTGACCGGGAGAAAGCAGGGCAAGAAGACCACCTCGGGTAGTGGCGAGTTGATCTCACTATTTGAAGGCGAGGAATATGCCACTCCCATTGTCTTTGGCACCCAAACCTTTGACGTGATTGTCGATACTGGATCTAGTGACACTTGGGTCGTCAAGAAGGGCTTCGAGTGTATTGATCTGGACACCAGCAAAGAGACAACCGAGTCCGAATGTGACTTTGGCCCGACATATACTGTCGATAGCGGCTTCAAACAGATCTCTGGCGAGGAGTTCAGCATCACATATGGTGATGGAGAGTATCTGTACGGATACATGGGCACTGAGACTGTTACTCTCGCCGATATTACCGTCAGTGCCGAGGTCGCGGTGGTCACAGAGGCTGCTTGGGAAGGAGATGGAACTACCTCTGGTCTGACGGGGTTGGCTTACCCTGCCTTGTAAAGTCATCCAATCTCTCTCTGCCCAACATACCCGACTAACAAACCCACACAGGACAAGTGCCTATTCGACCAAAAGCAAAGCACAAGAAGAATACAATCCCATTTTCACCACGATGGTCAAGAACAGGCTTGTGGATTCTTACTTTAGTCTGGCCATCCTTCGTGACGTGTCTGGTGCGGCTGGCTATCTCACACTCGGTGGTCTGCCTCCTATCAACTTCACAGAGACCTGGACTACCACCGATATCCTGATCACCTCTATCTCGGGATACCCTGACACCTATGACTTCTACACCATCGAGATCGACGATGTTACCCTGAACGGCGCATCTGTTTCTGGCTCCGGGGGCAGCATCCAGTACATTGTAAGTCTAATGCTTGCTCTCTCTCTCTCTCTCTCTCGCCATGGCAAAAGCTATACTAACATGCCCAGGTCGACTCCGGCACAACCCTCAACTACTACCCCACCTCCGTCGCCAATGCAGTCAATGCTGCCTTCGACCCCCCTGCCACCTACGACGATGACCAGGGTGCCTACGTCGTCGATTGTGATGCTACTCCCCGCCCATGGCATTACCATTGGCGGCACTACTTTTACCATTAATCCTCTGGACTTGATTCTGTATACTGGTACCGATGATAGTGGCAATGCCGTCTGCATTTCAGGCATTGATGACGGTGGGGATGATTCTTCTGAGGATCTGTATATCCTAGGTGACACCTTCCAAAAGAACGTGGTAACTGTGTTCGATGTCGGCGCTGGAGAGCTGAAGTTTGCGCCGCATGAGGATTATACTTCCAACGACACTTACTAGATATCGGTCCTATATATTACTGGAATAATGAGTGGCCAATATGGAACCGTCTATGTTAGATCTACGAACTATATACTGGTGCTCATCTCATGCATATACATTTTGAATGTATTGAAATCAATTTCCTATACTATGCTTACTCAGTATGACCAGGCGCAGTGGCTGCTACTCACATTCACTCCCTAACAATCGTTTCGACGTTTTCTCAATCTAGTTATATGTATTTGATAAACGGCGCTTTGCGAGTCACTCACACATCCAGTGCTTGGAGCAATCAAGTGGATCCACCACTGGAAGCCCTTCCAAATCTATAAAGCCTGACATTAGTCGACGGATACTGGATGTGGGATGATAAGTGCGAAGAAGGCGAGAATTGGGAAATCTACGAAAGGTACCTATGGGATTATCTTGAACAAGCAAGCTTGGAACAACCCGCGGAATCACGAATTGCCGGAACTCTTCGATCGTGTAACTCAACTTGCCATCACTTCGAGACGAAATGACACTGGAAAGTGAGGGAATAACTTATATTAGATAAAATGATAGATATATAAAAGTGACGCTTGACCGAACTGAAAATAATAATCAAGCAGCTTTCCTCCATTCCTCGTGCCTGTTTGTGAATCCTCAACTGCTCGATGTCACGATTCGTGGATTCATGGTCGATGAGGCGGATGGTGAGGTCGCTGCACAGTATGAGCGACAGACGGAGCTTCAGAGTCTGCGTGTTGAGCGCAGCTTTATCAAATTCCGGGCTTTGGGGAAGATCTTACTTGCTCTGCGTGCTTTTGGAGGTATCTGAGTATTGGCCATGTGGAGTCTTTCTGGCATCGTGAGTTGCAAAATGCGGAGTCGAATGAAACAGATGTGTCGGACTTTATGCAAGCGTTGTTGTCACATCGCGCTTCGCTTGAAGAGATCAAAGTGGTGGTGAAGAGACGTGGCGTGGCGTTTTCGACGGTGAACGATCAGACCTTTCACGATCATACGGCGAGGTTCCCCGTGTAAAAGCGTTGGTTGGGATGCGATAGATTCACCTTGAGGACTTGGTTGATTACTTAGACCCCGTTCGTGAATATATAATATGCCTTGCACGATATTTCAATGTTCATAGGACTTCGATTGAATTCGACCTTCGAATGTTCATCACTTACGAATTGAACTACAAAGCAGGTTCATAAATTATAACTCAAGATTTCCTAGCATCAATCAATCATACACAGCCCCGCCCTTACAACTCAGAGGTAACATTTGAGAACTCGCCACGATCGAGCTTCGTCTTCCAGAAGATCGGGTTCATATCATCAAATCCATGGTGCACCCATCCTTCCTCCTTGACATGGTAACAGTTGATGAAACCACCAGAGTAAGCATCACGATGCATAGCCGCCAGAATCGCGCGGCGGCCCAGATCCAACGCCTCCTGCTCAGTCAGATCGTACTTGTAGTTTGCATCCAGCACTCCGTACGCAAAGGTCTGACCGGATCCGACACAGAACAGGTTTCCGGGAAGTCGTGTCCCGTCAGAGTCGATGTAGTACAGCGCAGGGCCTTCTTGGGGAGTAACGCCTGCGAGCATGGTTCCCATACTCAAGCCGTAGCCCTTGTAGGCGTAAGTGAGGTTGGCGAGGATCTTGGAGGCGGCTGCGACGGTGATACGGCGCTTGTGTCGGATTTCTGGATGCTTGTTAGTATTCTGTGTACTCCATTTTCCCAAACGGAAAGACTTACCGTGCAGAGTGCACTGCTGGCTCAAATACCGCAACCAATATTGGCAGTCCTAGTCCGTATTAGCTACTGCTCCCTTTGCATCCCGTTCCCTCTGGTGAACTCACAGCTGCACCACCGGCCATAGTACCCAGAAGACCGGGCGTAGGGTCATTAGAGGGCTTGTCCTCGCCACGGCTCAACCGCGACACGGGGATAACCTTCTTCACTGTTTGACTGGCGATCCAGTTACCGGCTGTGGCTCGAGAGTCAGTGCATACGATCTACTCCCGAATCATCCATTAGCATATCATATCCAGACTGTATTCGACGAGGAAAGCGTACGATGCCGCCCTGGAAGCGGAAGGCCAGGGTTGTTGTGCCGTGAGCGATCTTGATGGGGCAGCTGGGGTTGGCGTGGTCATCGGTCATAGCACGGAGGAAAGCGGCGCGCTAGATGGGATAAAAAAAGATGTTAGCATTGTCCCTTATTTCAATGAAGCGGTCGTGTTTCTAGAGCTTGATTGCCGCAGAGCTGTGATGACGGGCTTGGATGGACGGTCGGCCACGGAGCACATCCCTGGTCCCCCGCCCATCTCATCCAGATCGTTCGAATTGATTGATAAAATCGTAAAGAACTTACGTTATCGACGGGAGGAAGGGCGAATTTGAGAGAGAGCGGAGGCATGCCCTCAATGAGCTCCTGCTGCTCTGCTTCACTGTAGAAGTCATTCTGATGCTGCGGACGCGAGTACTGAGCGACGAGTTTGTCCATGATGTGCGGGTATAATGAGGAACTGAATGAAGGGAAAGTGGAGGGAATGGATAGAGGCCGGAGACAAGTAGCTGAGAGATGAGCTCCGCTGGAGCTTGGGTTCCGCGTCACTTGGACGCCTATGGTCACGTGAGTGTCCGAGGAGTACATCTGCGATTTCATTGCGTTTTCTTAGGTACACTTCCAATATTCCATATTTCCACAGTATTACCCTGCTTGCACTGAGAACGCCTCTCCTGGTAATGTGCCATCGGAAAAAAACAAGGGAAAAACCAAACAATAAAGAATTATACAGGAATATCAACACGGCTACAGTATATTAACTGGCGAGAGGGACTGTTTGCGCCTCCGCCATAGTGGCCTCAGGTTCGTCCAGCTGCTTCTTACTTAGGGTCGATGCCTCCTCGTTAACGACAGACTCGGTCTCAACTCTTTCGTTGATGACGGGCTCGTGCTCGGCAAGGCCATTGCCATGGACGGGGGCCTCCTCTTGGTCCGCGTAGGAGGTGATGGGCTCGACGCTGGGACGCCAGTTGCGGAGATCATTCTCGGCGTCTTCAAGAACCGCGCGGGCGTCGAGTTCGTGCTCGTAAGCCTTGCGGGCATCGCCCGGCACCACAGGGGTGTCGTCAATGTAGTTGAGCAGGCGGCGGGCATGGTTAGCGAGAATAATCTGCTTCTCGGCGCGCTCAACAACCGCAGCCAGGTGGATGTCAAAGGCCTCCTTGAGCTTCGTGCGGGTCTATAAAAGAGAATTAGCAAAATCTCATGTCTCCACATTTCGATTCAGACACTCACGGTGTTGGACAGCTGAGCCTCGGCAACGAGATTCTGCGCCTCGGCGCGGACCAACTCGTGCTCTAAAGTAACCAGACGCGGGCTCTGAGGATCCTTGTATTTGAGCTTGGCAATCTCATCGGCCACCTTCTGGCGCTGGTCACGGCTAGGCTGGACCGAGCTTTCCATGTTACGGATGTGCTTCAGCGTGCCCCGGTAGTCCTCGAGGTTCTGCGCGAAGACGTCCTCTTGCTCGCCCATCTCGGCCATCATCACACCCAACTTGTCGGAGATGTCGGAGACGGCATCATCTTCGGTGGATTCACCCCAGTCGGACAGCTGGGAAGCGATCGAGTTGCGCTCACGGCCGGCGGCCTCATATGCACCGATGGCGCTGTTCTCGCTCTTGATCAGTCGGCTCAGTTTGCGGCTCAGCTCGGGGCCGGTCATTCCGCGGAAGGTGTTGACACTGAAGCGGTGACGCGGCTCTTTGCGCGAGCGAATGGAGAGTGTGCGATTCCTGTGGACGTTGTCAGTGAATGACGATATCTCTGACTTTGGGCGGCGTACATGATGTAGTTCTGGGGAAATTCAATAGAAGGTAGTATAGTATGGTATAACCCGGTCGCCTGGGTGAATAAGGAAGTTCGGAGCTAGGAACTAGAAGCTAGAAGCTGCGAAATAGGGAAGTACGGTATAAGAGGACAGCGCCTGCCCATAGATGACGATGCACACAACCCTAAACTCGTCGTTGCTCCGAGGAATCGCAGTCCCGTTCGCGGCGTGACGTCATGACGGGAGGGGCGGAAGCTCATGGTTGGCGCTGTTCCGATTGCAGTTGAGTGCATGACTTGCTCGAGCGCAGTGTCCGAGTGGATGATGTGACCGGTGCATTGAGCTTGAAGTCGCGTCGACCTTGGACCGGATCGTCATTTCTCCACTGCCGCCCGTATCAGATGTGGAGTCTAGATCACCGCTCGTTCGATTCTTGTTTTTCGTTCCCGATCGAGTCCAGGAGGGGGTGTTCGCAGTAGTTCGATTTGTGCGACTTCGCTCCAAGTCATTAATCTCTTCCCAAAAGGGAATATCGTAGTCCCAGGGATTTCCTAAATAGGAAATTTAAGACTCCTTACCCCCTCCCCGGCTTTCCCCCTTCCCCACCATACCTTACGATACCCCGAGGTAACAAACTTTCGGTCTACTTCCAATAATCAGATAGCCAAAGTCCATATATCGGGGGCTGAGTTATCCAACCACAGGATCTCGAATTCTCGAATTTATTGTACAGCACAAGAAATTGGACGGAAAAGCAAGACCGTCAGGCCCAAACCCTTCGGAATCACACAAACACCCAGAGCAAACTGCATGACCCGCAGTGTGCTTAAACGCAGAATGAACCAGATAGCGCCTTCGTTAGAAACATTCCCATTCTAGGACATCTCGTCCGCGTCTGGGTTGTGCGAGTGCTCGTTGTCCGAGGCGTGGAAGGCATCGCCGAATGCCGAGTTCTCCAGGTCGGGCAGATCGAGCCCGTCGTTCTGCTCGGTATAAGCGGCTAGTGCATCACCAGCACTGTCGATGTTGTCAAAGTCGAAGTTGGAGCCTTCGAGGCTCACGTCTCCAGCTCCACCCTTGCTCTCATTATTGATCATCACCCAGTCGCCATTTTCGTTGGCGCCGCCGCCGGCAAGTTGGTCACCCAGGTCCATCTCCACATCGCCAGAAATCTCGTTGCTGGGCATGCCTTGACCATGTGCAACAACACCAGAGGCATCAACACCCGGGCTGCCGAATTGGTTCAACAGGTGAGAGTCCGCTTGGTCCATGGCCATATCGTTGGTAAAAGACTCAGGCTCGTCCTTGTGTTCTGGCTCGATCTTCTCCAGAAGTCCACCCTTTTCAATGCATGAAACCTTGGGTGCAGGCATGATCTGTTTCTTCCAAGCCGCCTCCACGTCCCGGACCACATCCTCAACCTTGTATTTCGCCTTTTCTTCCACGTACTGCTGCGGGGTCTCGCTGTCTTCCGTGGGCATTATAATGCGGCCTTCCAATCTCCAAACCTCGCTGCCAGTTGCAGCTGGATCAGCGGCAGCATCCCGAAGACGCAGTTCTGATTCCTTGAAGAGTGAGCTGCGGTTGAAGCGCTCCATTCGACGGGCATGCTGCATCTTCAACTTCTCAATTTCGGCGGTCATATCGGCGACCTTCTTGGCTACCCGTTCAGCAAACTCCTCAGCCTTGGCCGGCTCCATCTTCGTAGCCTCGGGGGCATCGCCTGCCTCCTGACCCTCGGTGGCCACAGAGTCTCCGGAAGGAGCATCGAAGAAACCTGCTGTCAATGACTCCAGCTCACCCTTCCGGCCGAGACCTAAGGAGACTGGTGTGATTTGTGAGATGGCATACGGCGAGGCAAAAATCTCCTCCATCCACTCATGATGCTGCACGTAACGCATCTTGCTGACTTCGCGCGGTGTCAACAAATCAATTTGGTCACCAGTCGAAACATCCTCATCCTCCAGGGCAAACTCTGCAGCAGCAGTCGCCATTGCTGTTGAAGAAGCGCGATGTGGGCGTGCTATCTTGGCTTGAGCAGCACCGGGAGGTACCGCAGCAGCGTGACCTTGCGGGGGGTAGAAGCCAGGCCGTCCCGCGGCGGCTGCATTTTGATAAGCTGCTTGGGGCGCGGCGAAGCCCTGGGCACCCATCTGAGGCGGGAAGTTGATTGTTGGCCAGTTAGCCCGGTCGTGAAGCAGGAATTCCTTGCGCGCAAGCTGACCCTGGCTTTGCAAGAAGCGGCGCTGGGAGATCGAGGCTTGCACTTGCGGGGAGACGGGGATGCGGGCCGCCGGGACGTGATCATTCGGAGGGGCCTTTGAATAGTGAACAATCCAAAGCGAAGGATCGGCTGGGAGAGCGTTGGGGACTTTGGAGGAGACAATGCGATAACGCTTGCGGCAGTGAGTAGCGAGTGTTTCCTTTCCAGGGAGGTAGCCGCTGCGATGAAGATGCATTTCAATAGTCTATATATTAAGAGCATGTTAGCCTTTGACAAGATTCATGGAACGTTCTCTGGGCACTGGGGGTGACAAACATATCCTCTAGATTCAAATGTGAATGCCTGCTCAACATCGGCCCAGATGAGACCATCGCTGGCAAAGTTCTGACCCAATTGCGCCTGCGGCTGCCATGTGAGCATCACAGTACCATCCGCCGGGCCATCCAAGAAGGTCCAGTGCATCGGTTGTTGACGGCAGACTCGGGGCGCGCTGATCAGATACTCCACGGCGGTCTCAGAGGGCATCATATGCATGTTAGGGTAGGCATTTCGCGAGACTAGGTGCATGTGCGGGAGCTAAATTTATTGTGACAAGGTCAGCTTTCAGATCCCAAGCGCATCGCCCCCAAACGGGCGCGCACTCATAATGAATGGCATTGGGGGTGGTCCTACCAGCTGCCCCGGGATACGGCTTGCCGGGTCATCCATATTGACCACGCCCTATTGATGGGATCAAATCGAGGCAATTGAGTCGCGTGGAGCCTTTCAAGTGTTTGTTCAGGTCAATGTAGATGTATCCGATGGGTAGACGGCGGGCGCGAATCTGGTTAGTGAGGGCGATGGAGCTCCTGGCAACGCGACGCGGGAGATTTTCGATATGGCGGACAGTAAATGCCAACCACGCAATACACCTGAAGGGCAAGGCACCAACATCCCGACCAGGCGATCACGTTCAGTTTGTAGATGAGGCCAATGGTGGTAATACATACGAACATGAGAAACATGACTAGAAAAAATTTAATTTAGACCCCCAACACGATGTTGGTTATGGCTTTTTAAAGATCTCGGGGATTGAAGATCTTGGAGACTGGTTCAATCCGCTAAATGGACCGACAGCCACACCCGACCTTTGAACCCACCCGCAAAAACTAGTGAGTTTTGATGTGATTCTTCAATTTGAATTCGTGGAGTGTCTTCTCTTCCCATTGATACTTCCCTAGTGAATCGTGTGGTGAATGTCTAATTGGCGTTGTGGTATAAATTATCAAGACAGATTGCTATGCATATCGACTCCACAAATCATGGAAGGTACTGCAACCTGAGATACTTCTAGTTGACTGTGTAGAGGCAGGGGAAAGGGAGATATTGACTCACCTGGCAGGACAGACGAAAAATCGCATTTATCTCCCATGCTAGGCATCGTGCACGGTCCTAGTCACATCGCAAATGCTCAGCAATGGTTGAAATCACCATATCTCGGGCTAGTGCATGTATATCCCGCGAGGACACTTTTCTTCTAGCATTTTGGAAGTCGGAAACACTGTACTTTGGCTCGTTCAAGTTTCATACACCTCCTCGATGGTCACGAGTCGTAGTCAAATGGTCCACCCCAGGGCCACTTTACGCGGGGTAGGCGATCGACAGAGTCTCCGGTGCGAATTCGCCGATAGACAAGGCCAAATGCAACCCAAAACAGCGAAGATCAGAGGGTTGAACTCGCGTGGAAACGTACAAGACTCTGAATGCGGGCAAGCTTCAGGGTGGCTCCACTCAAGCTTTTTCGCACCTCCTCGACATCCATTCCATTGGTCTTCCCCGCTGAGAGGCGATGCCGGCTTTGGGCTTCGTGTGGGGGTTATCCCTGCTCCTCCCAATCATGCATGGGATACATCCCAAACTCAGCCGGCATACTTAGCCGGGCATTCAATTAGGTGCCGGTCCTTATTCTGGCTATAAAGAGTGGGCTTCCCCGGCTGAACCCCGAGTCGCTTACTCCTTAACCTCCCCCTATACATCGGGCTATACAGCAGCCATGGGCTTCTTTGGCAAGAGTGAGCCGTCTGACGACGAGATCTCACGGGCACCACCTAGCCCAGATGTCGAGAAAAAGGTACTCTCCCACGTCGAGGGCCCGAGCCAGCCCTCGATCATCACAGCAGCCGCAATCGACCCGGAATTGGAGCGCCGCGTTCTAAAAAAAGCTCGATCTACGCCTCCCAACACTGATGGGGTTTTTCTGTGCGTATTTCTCCCCCAGAACTCCTAATTTGAACCGATCAAGACTCTAACAGAAATTTGCGGCAGATTTACTGGCCTTCCTCGATCGAAGTAACATCGGGTTCGTCCTCCCTGACTAAATCGCCGGAAATGAAACTAACCGAAATTCAGCAATGCCAAAATTGCCGGCATGGTGGAAGACCTGTCCCTCAACGACAAGAGTTATGCGTGGCTTTTGACAATCTTCTACATCTCCTATACGTTCTTCGAATTCCAAGCTCTGATGTGGAAGATTGTCAAACCGCACCAATGGGCTGCTTTTGTCGTATTCTCCTGGTATGAGCCTTCCACGTGGGAAAGGACGATCATCCGGAAGTAGAGTCACTGACAAAGATTGTAGGGGTTTGGTATCAACCTGCCAAGCAGCCACTAAGAATTGGCAGGGTATGATGGCACTCCGATTTTTGATGGGAGCTTTCGAGGCGGGCTTTGGTCCCGGTGTGCCCTATCTACTGTCGTTTTTCTACCGTCGTCACGAGCTGGGTCTCCGATGCGGTCTTTTCTTATCGGCAGCTCCGCTAGCGAATACCTTTGCTGGTGCACTGGCTTATGGTATTACTTCAGGTCATGCTTCCATTGCCAATTGGCGGCTTTTGTTCCTCGTGGAGGGTCTGCCAGTTATCGCAGCTTCGGTATTGGCGTGGTTCTTCGTGCCGGATTCACCCACGACGGCAAAATTTCTTAACGAGGAGGAGAAAGAAGTAGCCCGTGCACGTGGTATTCAGCAGGCTGGAGATGCTGAGCGCGAGAACAAAATCCAGTGGAAAGAGTTGGCGGCAACGCTGCTTGATGCCAAAGCCTGGTTCACTGCTGTGAGTATGCTGCAAAGACTTGCTTTGATTAGTTGCTAACTGTTGTCCAGTTGATGTACTTTAGCTGCAATGTGAGCTTCTCGTCTTTGCCTGTCTTCTTGCCCACCATCCTCAAGGAGATGGGCTTCACGGCCATCAACGCCCAGGGCCTCACAGCGCCACCCTTCTTCGCCTCGTTCCTAGCGACGATCGCGACAACCTGGGTGGCGGATCGAATTCAGCAGCGCGGGCTGATGATTGCTGGACTGTCAGCGATCGGCGGTGTGGGTTATATTCTGTGTGCGACCTGCACTTCGGTTGGCCTTCGTTATTTCGGAGTATTCCTCGCCGCCTGTGGAGTCTTTCCGTCGATCGCCAATATTCTTCCATGGGTTCTGAGTGAGTCATCTCTGTGGTAATCGTGCATACGACCTGCTAACCCTTTCAGACAATCAGGGCTCTGATACCCGCCGTGGTGGGGGCATCATTCTACTTAACATCATTGGTCAATGCGGTCCTTTCCTGGGCACAAATGTGTTCCCTGACAAAGAAGCCCCGCGTTTCATTAAGGGTATGTCGATATGTGCGGCCTTTATGTTCTTCACGACGATACTTGCCTTGTGTTTGCGCTTCTTGTTGGTGTGGGAGAATCGCAATCTTGACCAGAAGTATGGGCCGAAAATTGAGGCGGAGACCACCAAGGGTGATATTCCGGTAGCGGAGGATAACTACGGTTCCAGTTTCCGATATGTGCTGTGAAAAAGATTACTATTTGCAGACAAGGCCGCTGCCCTTGAGTCTCCACACTCCTCAGCTCTCTGCACTGACGACTCGCTATGATGTCAGAATCCTGATGTGCGGAGAATGAGGTGAGCATCTTTTGTGGAAAACATATGAATCGTTACGAAGAATCAATATACCCAACAATGTATACCATCTTGAACACATATAATCTGTCGAAAAGAAAAGGCCAAGCTTCCATTACGAGACTGTTCGGAGGACTGGGCCCCGGCCGTGGATCCGGAGCCTTGAAGCTTCCCCGACCCCCAAATATAACCTCTTAGTGGATCTGATTTTCAGTAATTGCAGGGGTTATAAACACGCCTGCTTACAGTCCAAGCTCCATTGAAGCTAATCAAGTCCGTATTACCACGTATTGCTACTCTGGACCGTCTCATTACACAGAACCGGTCATTCACCCCCACCCTGCAATCCAATTGGTAAAGGGAACCCAAGAAAGCCCAATACAAATGTAAAACGTCATTATGTGCTCTTGGTCAACATTCCCGTCTCCGGTCACCGGGCAGAGTCGGAGTGTGCGATGTCCTGGTGAGATGGCGGGGTCCAATGCATATAAGATTGACCTGCCCCTCACTTCTCATCTTCTTTTCTTCTTTCTTCACCATCGTCAACTCTACGATTTGACAAATTCGATCAATCAGCTACTACAGTAACTATCTTGTCCTAGCACGTGCTCCTCAGAGCTAATTCATACCCTGCAGATACTTTCGGTTCAAGTACAGTCCGCCCATCCGCGGGAAGCCATGATGGAAATTCTTTGGCTGGACAAATTATCCCTTAGGGATCAAGGTATCTCAGGTAACCTCTGGGCGTGGACCGGTGTTCGTTCTCACATCGCAGGCACTTCTTCCTGACGTGTCTTGTGGCTGTGGGTTCGTTCTGAGATTATACGGTCATAACTTGATATCTGGATAATACCAGCGAAAGGATCATGCCTTCCCCTACTCCCTTTTGGCAAAGCAAACTGACCCCATATTTAAGTCACCTCGACTTGATCCCTAACCCACAATGTCTCCTCCCGCTGCTATCTTCGAGCCTGCCACTGCCGCCCCTACCGGTATCAAGGGTAAGGTGAATGTCCCTGAAACTGCTTCAACCACCTTGACCGGCCAGGGCCAGAGCAAGCTCCTCGATCAGTTCGGTGGCAAGTGGGATGAGTTCAAGTTCGCCCCTATCCGCGAGAGCCAGGTCTCTCGTGCCATGACTCGACGCTACTTCCAAGATCTGGACAACTACGCCGAGAGCGATGTTGTTATCGTCGGCGCTGGTTCCTGCGGTCTGAGCACTGCCTACGTCCTAGCCAAGGCCCGTCCAGACCTGAAGATTGCCATTCTGGAGGCTTCCGTCTCCCCGGGTTCGTCTATATCATACGTTCATCATTTAGCAACTAGACTAACATCCACACAGGAGGTGGTGCCTGGCTCGGAGGCCAACTCTTCTCCGCTATGGTCCTGCGCCGTCCCGCGGATGCCTTCCTGGCTGAACTGGGTGTTCCCTTCGAAGAGGAGCCTTCCAACCCCAACTTTGTCGTGGTGAAGCACGCCGCCCTCTTCACCTCTACCCTCCTTTCAAAGGTTCTCTCATTCCCCAACGTGAAGCTCTTCAACGCAACCTGTGTCGAAGACCTCATCACCCGCCCTGACGGTGATACCGTCCGCCTGGCTGGTGTCGTCGTGAACTGGACCCTAGTCACCCTTCACCACGATGACCACTCCTGCATGGACCCCAACACCATCAATGCACCTATCATTGTCTCGACCACTGGTCACGACGGTCCTTTCGGCGCCTTCTGTGCTAAGCGTCTCGTGTCTATGAACACCATCGAGAAACTCGGTGGCATGCGTGGTCTTGATATGAATGCCGCCGAGGACGCTATCGTTAAGAACACCCGTGAGGTTGCAAAGGGTCTTATCATTGGTGGCATGGAGCTGTCGGAGATCGATGGTTTCAACCGCATGGGACCTACTTTTGGTGCCATGGTTATGTCGGGTGTCAAGGCCGCCGAGGAGACTCTGGCTGTCTTTGACCAGCGAAAGCAGGAGTGTGCTGAGTAAATTCGGACTACACTGTTGCTTGGACCTGATTGAGTATGTATGGGTCTATGGTTCGAGGGTTTGATAGCTGCGTTCTCTTTCGATAATGTACTCCACGCTCGTTTCGCACGCAGTGCGACAGATATGAATATTTCCTTACTGTAAATTTGTACTTGATCGTACAACCTTACAATGTGCATAATTGTATTCAGCATTTAATATTGCGAACGTTAGTCTCGTAGTGTTCTGCACGTTCATCTGTGTGATAAAGATTATGTATTAGTTTTGTCAAACCTCATAGACAGCATATACAACTATTCGATACACTTTTACTCCGCCTCGTCCTTAGAGCCAGCACTAGAACCAGCAGCACCACGCTCCACAGCAAGGACCAGACCCCTAGCATTTCGTACCTCCCACTCAAATTCCTTCAACGCACGCAATTCACTCGAGACAAACAGTCCACCGATGAGACCATCCAGAACTCCAGCCACGAGGTTCAGCGTACTGACCAAGATCAGGATGAATCCGATGTAAGTCCGGCTACCGACCCACCACACGCCGACCATGCATCCAATGGAGATGACCACCGAAATGAGGAAGTGCGCGAGACGCCAGCGGCGTTGGGACCGTTCTCGAAGGACATATTTGTGGATCATATCGATGATGAGGTCATATGTTTCTGGGGAGAGGGCGGCATTGGGAGAAATTTGGGTTGAATTTGGTTTGTGGCATGGAGAGCTTGGTGATGCAGGGACAGATTCTTCAATAGGGGTAGTGACTGGAGCAGATGTCCGGGTAATGAGGGCTTCAACGGCGAAGTGGTCGCTTAGAGAGCAGCGAAGCGTTGGATGGCGTTGGGTCATACTGACCTGGACGGTCTTGACTGACCAACGCGGGGAGGGAATTCAGGTGCATAACCGCCATCTCCGACGAAGATGTAGTCGAGACGTTTGGCACGGGGGTCTGCGCCGTCTTTGTCGATTGTGATTTCTTCGCCCTTGTCGAGACGCTTCTGAAGAGGTTTGGACCAGCGCCAGGTATTATAGGCACCATCACAAGTGGCACCATTCTCAATTAGATTGAATTCGGCGGTTGGAATTGGACGATTCCTGGCTTTCTCCACGGCGTCGATAGCGGCGCCAACGGATGAGTCTGGGTGCAGCTCGCGCCAAGCGTCGCGAACAGGGCTTTGAGCTGAGATGAGTCGGTGGGCAAACGAGGATGGCAGCATGTTGAAGTCGCCCAATCCAATGACCAGATGGCCACGCTCGGCGGCGCCGCGCATCAGCTTGGAGATCTCCCAAGCCTGAGCAGTGCGGTGGCATAGGTATGAATCGTTTGGCTCACGCTCATACGGAGCGTGCAAGTGTGTGCAGAACACCTCAGCCACGTCGGCGACGCCGGGGCCAAATCGCACTCTTGCACAGGCGACGCCTTTACCCACGAACCAATCTCCACGGAAAAAAGCTGTTGGACGGCCGTTCAACGGATAACAGTACATGCTGCTCTCCTCGATGGGCCATTTGGACAAGATAGCCAGGCCGGCACCGAAGATACCTCCAAAGTAAAACTTTCCATATGGCAAAATATGTTGTGTTTGGCCACGAATGCTCTCGTAGTCTTGTTGTGTCCAGCACTCCTGAAGGCCCACTATCTCCGGGGGCGGATTAGCAAGTGCTAGCTGCCTCCCAATCTCGGAGAGACGCTCATGGCGATATTTGGCGAGGTATTTCAGTCCCCAGCAGTTGAGAGTCAAGATCCGAATGTCATTCGGAGCTTCACTGGGAATGGAAGCCATTGGGCCGAAAAGGCAAGTGCAAGTTGACAGACGTCGATTACATTTACATCACCGCTGCTGAAGGTGGAATCCTCACCGCCTACGGACGCGCCGACTGTTTCGCGCAAAAAAACGGCGCGTTTGCAATTGTCCTTCGCCCAAATTCCTCATGGACAATGCGCACCCCAAATCCCGCAGGCGCGATCCTCGCTCTCAGTCGCCTGTCGAATCATCGGCCGATGAACTAGCCGCGGGCTCTGAACACGACGAGGCCGAGCGCCGGAGAGCAAGCTGGAACGCGCAGAAGAATTTCACCCCGCAACGCCCAAATACGAAAGAACGTCGATACAGAGAGACCGAGAGCCCTGATGAACTCGCCATTAATGCCGACGAATACTGGCGCAGTTCCCGCAACCGTCGCAGCCCTTCACCTATCAATCGCGGGGGGGAGCTAAGTAGCCGAGAGGGACGGTCTCAGGATGAGTCGGCTAGCCCAGGCGGTGATCGGACGAGCAACGAGGGTGCGGATCATGCTGCGAACCACGATGGCAGCATGTCAGACCGCGACAGTGACTCATTACCTTCTGTGGCGGGCCCGCCTCCGAAGCCTGAACACTTGAACTACAGAGAGAAGTTTGTCCTTCGCGGGCACTTGCGCGGCGTGTCCGCGGTGCAATTCTCGCCGGACTGCTCTATGATTGCCAGTGCCGGTAGGTTGACTAGCTTGGTGTATCAGACTATCGCTAATTGATCTTTGATGCAAGGTGCCGATGCCGCTGTCAAGGTCTGGGATACAGCGACTGGTCGACTGATTTATACATTCGAGGGCCATCTGGCTGGTATTTCCACAATTGCTTGGAGTCCCGATGGCCAATGGATAGCCTCTGGATCTGATGATAAGACGATTCGCTTCTGGAACGTGACTACGGTAAGGGCTGCTCATCTACATCTCACGGGACGAGCTACTGATATGTCATTACAGGGTCGAGCTCATACCAAGAATTTTATCGGCCACCACAATTACGTCTACCAAATGGCATTCACGCCCAAGGGTAACATTCTGGTCAGCGGGTCCTACGACGAAGCCGTCTTCATGTGGGATGTCCGTCGCGCCCGCGTTATGCGCTCCCTCCCCGCCCACTCCGACCCCGTCGCCGGCATCGATGTCGTCCATGACGGTACCCTGATCGTGTCATGTGGACTGGACGGTCTCGTTCGTGTTTGGGACACACACAGTGGTCAGTGTCTGCGGACACTGGTTTACGAAGACAGCCCACCCGCCACCTGTGTCAAGTTCTCGCCTAATGGTAAGTACATTTTGGCGTGGACACTTGATGGTTGCGTGCGGATGTGGAACTACGTGGAGGGTCGCGTTGTCAAGACTTTCCAAGGTCATGTCAATGTCAAATACAGTCTATCTGGATGCTTTGGGTTTTACGGCCAACCCGGTGTGGAATACTCGCCTCCTCTGTCCTTCGCTGTCAGTGGAAGTGAAGACGGGGCCATTCTTTGCTGGGACCTTGTAAGCAAGAATGTTCTCCAGCGTATCGAGGGTCATACCGATGTCGTCCTTGGCGTGCACTCTGGCAAATTGAATGGTCAGCGCCTGCTTGTTAGCTGCGGCTTGGATAAGACGGTTCGGGTGTGGGAGGAGGTTCTCGAGAATCAGGGGCAGGATGCTTCACCTGCTGAATTTGCATCTTTCACCGAACCCATGCAAAATGGTGTCTCGGAGAACGATGGAGATGGAGATGATGCAATGGCCGATGCTCCTCCCGTTCCGTCTGCTGCAACCACGCCTGCGGGGGATGTTATGATGACATGATTCTTCTTTCTGTGTTTCTCTTGCATTGGCGGCTGGTCTTGCTTTCTTTTTTTTTTCTAAGGATGGAAATACCCGGTGTCTGGAGGCGTTTGAAGGACTCAAAAGATATCAGCATGAAGCATTGAACTGGTACTTTCTCTGAAAGTTTACGCAATTGCTATTTGCATGGCGTGGTATAGTGTCTTTCCGTGTTTCTTGTTTGTACTTAGTTTTGCACAACACGGCGGTCTACGTCTGCATCAGTAACGCGAATTTACACGACGGTGATTCGAGAAATGTCTCCGGCTTACATGTACATCTCGCCTTTTTTTCCCTGCTGGTCGCTCACATAGCTGTGTCTGTGTTCGTTCTGCATCCTTTTGGTGTTTATGATCCTGGCAATTGCCACGCCAAGCAGTTAGAGTTTGTTCCTGAGCAGTTGTGCTTGTGTGGGTCCACCAAGTCCCACCTTGCACAGAGCTCAAGTTCCTGAAAATCCATCTCATTAATGAGCCTCTAGCTCAGGAAATAGTTGAACACGACAACTGAAAAAGCTGACGCCAGACTTGGGAGACCGCCTTCCACATTAGGCTTAGTGTCTAAGTCTGATGGTATCCACATAAATACCTTGGTATATACCGTGCTTCTAGTCTTACCTTCTTCCACGGCCTATTACCATATTACCCCTAATAGGCCTTAAGTGTATCTCCCTTATATCTCCCGCATTCCCTAGATATCTAAGTTTCTTCTATTACCTTTTTTTCTTATATATTTACGTAGCGCCTTCTATTTTACAATATATATTCTTACTATATTACTTACCTATAATAGTAGATATCTAAAGGATATCTAGGGAATACAGGAGATATAAGGGAGATATACTAAGCTTTACTAAAGATATTCTTAGGTCTCTATCTAGGCTATATCTAGATTTAAAGGGGTAGAAATATTAGATATTTCCTAGATATCTAGGGGATATTTAAATCGAACAGTTATATCGTCGAGAGTTTTAGGCTATAATTACAATAAACGCGCAGTCTAAAGCTCACATACGAGGGGTGGGTAAGGGCTTTGTCACTATACCGCGCTAGACCTTCTTCGTCACCTAAGCTCGACGGTTGGATTCAAAAGGGGCTTAGCGCCGACGCGTCAAGTGTAGAGATCCACCGACGCGTCAAGTGTAGAGACCCACCGATTCAATTAGTGATACCAGCTATACACTCCCCTCCGAAGCCGCTTCCAAGACTCGAACCAGCCTCTCGCGTACCCACCACCAAGCTAGTAAAAGGATCCTAGATCCCCAACGACCCTCTGGATGCATCTAGAAGGCCAGCCATCTTGGCGCAGAGAATTTGTCGGCTTGGCGGGCGTTGACCCATTGTTTACACTGGCGAGTGGGGGCGCGTTAGTGCGGGCTTGAAGATGGAAATGAAGTGGCGTTGAGGCGATGGGGCGATGGGTCAATGGGTCAATGAGCCGATGTGGCGATGTACTCGTTGCGCCTTAGACGAGACGACAGATTAGGTAAAGGAATTGCCATGGTGCTATGTCTTTTTTGGTTTATTGTTTTGGTTTTGCAAGCTTTTGTTGATATGCGGCGGGACTGTAAAAGTGCTTATCGAACAATTCATTCTGGAAACAAAGAGGTCCGGAAGTCAATGCCGGAGTACTTGTACTTGGGCACCAGAATGACAAATCAGTTTCAAAATATGAACACAAGAATAGAAAATAAACAGATGAGTCCCGCCACCTAGCGCCGTGAACCAGAAACAACAGTTCTAGGTCAGACAATCTTGTAAATTTTGAGAATCACATCAAATTGTATTTGGTCATGAATGTGCAAATATTCTACTTGCCATATCCACGATTTCCACTTAGTTGGAAGCGGAAATGTAAGCCTCGCCAGCGGCGTTCAGAGTGTCGTCGGAAAGCAGGTAGCCGTTGGCACAGTAGAAGTAGGAGTAGCGAGTGACCATGGGCTGAGAGTCCAACCAGGGTTGAACAGCGTCGAGGAAGGCGGCGGTGGCGGAAGGGTCAGAGATGCCGTTCACGTCAGCGTTCAGGGAGAACTCGGTGATCCAGACCTCAGTCAAGCTGTACTCTTGAGCGGTGGTGATGGCCTGGGTGATGAAGGACTGGAACTCGTCGGCAGTGTCACCGTACCAGTGGACTGCAAGACCGGTGAGGCCGCAAGAGCTGCAGTCGCCCATAAACTCGGTGAACCAGGACAGACCAGCACCGCTGGCGGAGGAGGAGGTGACGGCGGGAGAGATCAGCTTGGCCTGGCCAGAGTACGGGGTGATGTACTGGTTGTAGTAAGAGGCCGCGGCGGCAGGGGACATACCGGCCTGCGAAGCCGTGTCGGGCTCGTTGAAGCCAAGGATGTAGTCGCTGCCGCTGGCCAAGGCAGTCTCAATGGCAGCAAACCAGCCAGTGAAGTACTGAGCGCCCCAGAGCATGGGGACATACTCGACATTGTAAGGCAGTGAGCCGAACGAATAATAGCCCCAGTCGTAGGCCCAGGAAATGGTGCCAGCGCTGGAGAGAATCGAGACAGTGCTGATGTCGTTGTAAGCGGCACCACGCTTGCTAGAGCTAGTACTGCTGTCGCGCTTCACATGGTTCAAGGGAGCCGCGAGGGCAGAAGTAGCCAAAAGGCCGGAAGCAAAAAGAGCAGTGAAGGAGACCATTTTGGCTTTTGGTTTTTCGGCTGCGACAGTTTCACACAGAGAAGGAGTGGAAAGTAGAGAAGCGTGTTCTCGGGAGATAATGAATGTAGTCAAAAAAAAAATGAAGGAAGTCTAGACCGTGCACGGCACAGGAACTAGAAAGATCAAGAGATCAAGGAATGGATAGAGAACCGACGCAGCAGGCCGAAGAACGAAAAGAAGAAGGCTAGAAATGTGAGGGGGAAGGAGGCTTTTATTCCCGGAGCATGAGTGTGCGCTGGGCCAGCGTATCCAGCTGGCTGGAGCCACTTTCTTCGTCGCTCTGACAGAGTGGACCAGACTGATCAACAGCCATTGGGTACCTAGAAAGGTGGTACTTCCACTTCTGATGGCTCATCCGTAGAATTACCGACGCGATCCGAGTAGAACCAAGGGGAGGCATCGTGTGGATCATGGGGTTGGCAGTCCCGAAGTCCAGGGTAATTGAGTCTCTCCTGTCTGACTAGGCGCTTTCGATGGATTCAGGCACTTAAAGCGACAAAGCGGGGCCTTAAAGAAGGAATTTCTTCTATCTATCAATGAGGTGGCCCGTTCGAGGTACTCCACAAAGCTCGGAGAAGGTATCCATCGGAATTCCACTGTAGTCTGGACCGTGTAAAACGGTGAGCTAACGAGTGTTCCGATTGAAAACGCTAAAGCCCCGCGGAGCCCTGTGCAGCCCGATGAAGCCTTGTAGGACGGTTCAAAAGACAGGCCAACCGGATCGGGAACACGGGGCCTGACCATCGTGCATCAGAAGCCGCTCATCGGAGAATGGCTGACACCAGGAGCTGATAATTGGACGACCCCTGACAGATACAGATAGCTGTGAATGTGCGCGCAAAGAGGAGACCGGAGGGTTAGGGTGGGCACCGGCTAGCGAACCGTGGGCGATGCTTGCGTGGAGGAAGATGTGAGTGGAGAAAGCTGTGAAAAACAAAGAGTTCCGTGGACGCACTCAGGGCAGCGGCCGACAGTGACCTATCACATTGCAGAGACCTACATCTGCTCATTTCCAGGAGACCACCGGGTAAACAGAACGTGACGCAAAAACAATGGCCATCTCACGGAGAGCAAAACGTCTCGAAATGGTTCATGGACAAGAACACCGTTTGCATGAACCGTTTTGGCACACACGATGATGACGGCATGGGCTAGTCAGAGGCGATCCGGGAGTTGATCCCGATCGCTAGTGTTTCACGCTAAACCTTGACTCCTTCCGGTCTGGCCCCTTGCCGCCCCTACAGTAGCAGGGCAGAGGATTCGTTGGGGATGAAACTTCGGCCTGAGGATCGTCTTGCGGTCGCAACTGTCTCCGTACGCGACACCAGCCTAAAGTGCGCGCTGACTAAGCCTTGCCGGAACTGACTAGCGCCGGCAGCTCGCGCCTCGCTGAGATCCGTCCTGCAGAGTGACGTGTACTAACACGGGCGTTCTAGCATTGATCTCCGGTTCCTCGATGGGACTATGATGATGAGGCATAGGATGTGAGTTCCTAAGTTTCCCACTGCACCTTGTGAATACCCGACCGTCGATGTCGGGGAACACGGCGCAGCTCTCGCCTGCTTCGCGGTACCCATGGGTAGGGGTCCAGCATTCGCATGACATTTCCGAAATGAAGCAAGCATACTGTCATATTGGCAAGATCCGGCAACCTTCGGGAGGTGGCGGAACTGGGGGGGATCGGAGCTTGAGGATTGGACAGGAGGTGAAGTGAGGTAGCCATAGCTCGGTCACTTCACGTTGAACCTTTGTACTACAGGGCCATCTTCTACAAACCTCTGCTTGATTTCTTCAATCTCTAATTGTACTCCCACCTGTTCCGATCACCCCTGTGAAATCCTCTTGAATAATAAATCCATCCTGAATAGGACCACGAGTCTTGCTCTAATTGAGACGCCTCGCCACTCATTAGCGGCCAGCCTCATTACGAATGGGGCCCACGCCAGCTCGTAAGCTTCGAGGTCCGAGACTATATGGGACGAAGAGTCACTACACCCTTGTAAAATGCTAGCTAAGTCCTGAACAGCGTTGTGATAGTACTAGCGATCGATAGTACTAGCGATCGGCACCTTGATTCTTGAAGCCTAGGTTAGGCTCCTGAGACGATGCGCCGAGATTCACCCTTTCCGAGGCTCAAAGTAGCGCCCTTTCAGCGGCGAAAGTCCCTCTAGCTGAATAGAACTCACCTAGCTGAACGGGGTTGGCCCACAGAGCTCATGGTGAGCGGGGAGAAGGCTTCTTTCCCAAGACTATTACCTTTGATGGGTATTACTCAAGCCTGTTTATACTTGTGGCGTGCTAAATTGATGGAAGTGGACTACTTGTTGGTCGATTCCCTAGTGACTTTGGCGTTGCTATTCATAGCCTTTGTGGCGCAAAATTCTCTTTCCTTCCCTTTACACTTTCAGGCTTACTCTTTACCCATATGTTCATCTCAGGGTCTCCGTCATTTTTCTTCATTGTTCGCAGAAATTGACAGGGCCATGCCAAACAATGGGAATCGGTATAATAGAGGGTACTAAAAACAGAACATCAAAAAGTAAAGCAGGACTTAAGAGGCAACGTGCCCTAAAATTACCTCGTTGATGGGTTTCACTACGGATCTGATGAGAGTCTGGCCGCATTGACCCTAATTTCTCCTTTCATGCTTCCCGTTTTTCAAATTGGGCCGTGCCAAAGTCGAGAAGGTCCAGCATGCACCCAATACTGTGATGCACCAAGCCATCAATGGACGAAGGCTTGATGTAATGGAAGTGACTGGTGGAAAGACAATGGCATGAGCTTACGTCACTAGAGTCATATTCTGCAGGTATGTTGTGCTGAGAGGGCTCTCTCTATGTGCAAAGACCAGCCTGTATCGTTCTTTGAGAGTTACATTTGCCGCCCGGGGGGTAAGCTCGTCACACAACCCTGATTCCATCACACCAAGAGTCTTCACACTGCTTGGTACATTGATAGTCGGAATTAGATTTACCTCCACACTCTTGGGCTTTGATTCCCCCCTAGCCCGAAACACGCTAGTCTAATCGTAGCTATTCCCAAATAATTCCTGTTGGGAGCTGGCCGGAGATTCCATCGGTCGTCTGGCTACTGCACCTCTCTCGCCTCCCCCTTTAGTTAACCATGTTCACTCTACTACTCTACTAATGCAGTGGACGAGCGAGAACATACGAAGCAGAAGTAGGAAATTGAGGACAATGATGGAATAAATTACTAGTTATAAATTTACGACTGGCAGATTGCACGCCTCATCTCTCCCAGGTTGCTGGACCATTGGCTGCTTTTGGCGTACGTTAAAAGATAAATCGATTCACGTCAAGCTTTTGAAAGGGTAATTGAAGTTCCGTATACCAGCACTTACTCAAAACCAAAAAGCGAGGAACAAGAATTGGCATAACTTCTTTGCAAGACATGCAGCCCCGGAAAAGGCAAAAAGAGCAATTGCTTCATAGTACATGTAAGAGAATCTAGGCAGAAAGTATCTCACCAACATTCTGTGTCCACTACCATTCCAAAAAATTTTAATGTTCCATCATATACATTCCCTTCAAAATGCCTTTCACTTTCATTTCGAGGACAAGATTATTCCCATCCAAAGAAATCCGAGATCTAACTTTCCCAATACCAGCATTGAGTGTGTATGAAAGCTGAACGATATCCCGCAAGACCCTAAAGAAACCTTTAATCTCTCGGAAGTTAAACTCATGGGACCTAGTATCAAGGTCTCCCTTGATCTGACTTCAATTTAGTCCCCTCGGCCAGTTTTACGATATCTCGATCACCGTAATAAAATGACCCTTGAATCCACTCCCCTCAGGTACAATAACTTCGATTGCCTTCAGGAAGGCGAAGTCCTTTCGAGGGAAATTTGCTTCTTGCTTGGGCGCATATTGGACAAGATATTCTCCCTTGTCTTCTTTCGGGATCTCGAGGAGTGACCCTGTGAGTATTTTTCAAACATAAGAGCGAAGAATGAAGGAAATGTAGTGTCTTGAAAACTTGAATAGAACGATCACTGTCTATTTGGGTACATATCAAGTCGGTATAGATATCAATGTATCGAAGCTTTGCGAAAGCTTTCATGAATTTTGCTGTTCATTTGATATGAAGGAGTAAACAGACATCGAGCTTCACGTCATACCTGATTTATCGAGCGTTCAAAGCCTGCGAATTTCATATCTCGTCATTCGAAAGTCACAAGATGATATACGAGCAGGTGACGCTGATAAAGTTCGCGTCATTGTTCATAGTGAAGTTTTGGTTCTCGTGCAGCCATTAGAGCTGGCGAAACATGTATGATTCTTGCTGTATGCAGGGTGGTGGCAAGGATTTTGCAGAGTGAAGGCCGTGGGCTGCACAGAAGAGACCAATTGGCGCCATGCTCAATACGCCATGATGTAATGTTCGAATAACTATTACCCTTAACAAGCTAGTCAAAAACTTCTTGGCTGAGCGAAAAGTTTTGATGGTTGATCTATGAATGATTTGACTCTGAAATATCGACGAAGTTATAAGCTATTACACCTAAAATCCTGAAGAACCTGAGTATAAGCGAAGTGCTGCCCCGTCAATTACCATTTCTAGACCTTGGTTAAACCCCCTGTTGTTGTACTGCCGTTTACGGATCCGTGAAAATGACCCCCACTTGTCGCTTCGCTATTGGGAGTTAAAGGATGATCTCCGCAGTGTCCCCGCAGTGTCCCCACAGGGAACTTACAGGGTGACCAAGAAATAAATGTAGGTCTCCACTATTATTCTGCTGGCAGTTTGTAAATAACCAATGTATTGAGTTTGTGTAAATACCACTCATTGCCAGCCAACGCTGTAGAATGAAGATACTGATTTCGTCATATATAGTGATTTCGTAAGGCGGTATATAATTATGAGAGTAAGGCGGTGAGAAAACCTACATTCATTCCTTGGTCACCCTGTACATAGGAGGCAACAGCGGCCCGAGCAACCTCTTAATCTCAACTTCGTGGGGTCTCTACAAGATGAGAATGAGGTCGGACAATAGTTGTGTTCTGTGGAAATCTATGATCCACGCACCTCGCCACCTGGGCGATATTTGCCCAGAGTAGCAAAATGTCTTTGCACCTGCTCTGACCAGGGCTAAATGTCCAGATGTAGCTCTACGCTTTATTTTGTTCGCCCCGGGATGATGAAACGAACTAATCAAAGTGATGAATCCCACGATTAACTGTCAACTGTCGAGGAAAGGTCATATCCATGTTTTTGAAAAGTTACAACACCACCATACATGTAATTTATTGATACAATATAGTGACGCAGCAATTGTTTTAACACCCCTCTAATTTTTTTTAGATTCTGCCGGTCAAAAATTCATTCTTCAACACCCTTTGACATCTTTCTTAATAAAACACTTGGCTTTTATGTATGAATCATACCTCCTACGAAAACCACCTACTGAAACAAGATATTTAAAAAGTAAGATATCATAAACTTGCTCTTCGGATTACAATAGGCGGTCTTAAAAGCGGTCCGTCCAAGAGTGTCCAAAAATTTGCTGCGTCACTGTATGTTTACAAACGCTGAAGTAGACTAAGTCGAAGAAGGTCTAGCGTGTTTTAGTATATAGTTTGAGAAAGAAGAGTAGGGAAGTTGAAACTGATTTCGAGCGCACCTGTACCTTCTGTCCCCCACTGCGATTTTTATTTGTTACCGTTGTCGATAGAGGGTTTGTACTCCGGAAAAGCTGACTTCCACCCTTCACCATTGCACCCGCCCGGTGATATGGAAATCACCTATATGCCCTTTGTTCTGGCTATTCGTAGGACTTCCCCCCGAAGGTCCACACGACGGCTACAATCATTTTTCGTTTTACGCATTTCAATGCTCCTCGTTAAATTTGGGTTCTAGGCTTTTTTCTTAGGTGAATTCATAAAGTTTGATATATTGCGACACACAAAATACTCCACGGCAATTTCGGAATAATAACAATCATGATAAATTTTTGCTGGAGTCCCTAATTGTTGACCAAGACTGGTTTCTCAACACGAAGCCTCCACCTTTATTTAAGTGGTGCAAACCACGCCACCCTTGCTCTGGTCCTGTTTCTATGGGTCACTTCCCCGACCAAGGTAGATATAAATCCGGAGAAACTTACCACAATCTGGTGGTTGGCACAGCATAGAGACTGAGTACGTTGGGTATAGGTATGAAGTATTCTTCTTGAACCTATCGTGCAGATGATAGATGATTTGAGTTAGTTTGAGGAAATTTCAACCTTTGAATAGAGAATTGCGAATCATTGAACCCCTTTCGACTTGCTTGATAATGGTGAATATAGTTTAAACGATGCATTTAGATCACCTAGATGAGATGGATGACATAAGTTGAGTAAGACGAGCCGTGGAGTTTGATTCTGGATGGCTTCGTGGAACAGATGGCGTAGTAGTTGCGTAGGCGTTCTAGACTTACATGACTTGGTTGGCCCTACTAACCTTGGAAGACCTCGACGCTCTGATCCATATATTTTTACAACATTTCTTGTTTCAAATTCGAACAACCAAAGTGGACGACTATTGAGTGAACACTAATAGGCCGTACAAATCTACACAATGGCGAGAAAAAACAAAACAAAAAACGAAAGATTCTTGAAGATCATCCGAGATGTGCCACTGTCTAAGTCGCTAATCGCTTTGAAAAGTGGAGCTTTGAAAGTGACTCAAAACTGAAACTTGACCATGCTGCAGATCAACAGACAGCTCGTCGCAATAGGCAACTAGTTGGTTGTCTAACTTCACCTAAGTCAGTATTCCTCCATCCCATTTGAAAAAGGTGTGACCAAAAACTCAAGGTAGTGTCCGTTTGCGGACTTTGGCGGTCTAGACAAAGAAAAGGTCAATGGTAGACCGTCAAGTCGATCCCACGATGATGTTCGTGAATGGACGGGTTGAACAGACGGAGCTTGGCATTGAAAGAACCAGAAAGACCCCGTGATCTGGTCTTGTTCTGGTAAGAGCCGAGAAAAAGCTACTCACATCAGAAGAATTGATGGTACAAGGCTGGCCGAGAATCGAGAAAGGTCGCGTTCCCCAGGCAACAAGTGCTATAAACTTTGAACTCAGGTTCATCGAAGTTGGATGAGTAAAGATGTACACGAAGATTTGCCCTTCTGTTGAACATTAATCTGGACTTGGAAAACTGTACCCTAGGAACCATTCCTCATTTTCTTCAGTTGCCGTAGGGTATCACTGAAGGATCGTGCATTGTAAAAAAAAACGTTTAACGCTAGGGAGAGAAGAGGGGGCAACATGGTATCCAGTGTATAGCAGTCGGGAAGAAAATACATCACAGTAGATCCCACCCGCGTCATGTAAATACAGCTTCTATTCCGGAAACCGGTGGGTCGATAGGCCGCATCTGGATTAGCGTGTTTCGAATTTGGTTTCGGGAATTCAAGTCGAAGAGTCTAACTTAGTAATCCCTAACTTACATCTGATTTTGAATACTACCGTAATATAAGGATTCATATCACTGACCTTGTCAACTAGCATGTGACTCCCTTCGTAGAGGCTAGCGGTAAATGTTATGTAGCTCAGTGGTGTAAGCTAAATTACCTAAATTTCTTTGGCCTGGGGTACTCTTGGCTATAGTCTACTTATTTGATTAGATACCAAAGAAGTAACGAGACTAGAGGAGACCTTCTTGAGACTTCTATAAGACATACCCTTCTGCCCGTCTGTGATTTTGAAGATTCCGGACCGCTTACTATCGGTTTGTGCTTTCTGATTAGCCCAATAGTTACCATACCGCGGTAGGATTCTGCTAATTTACCCATCTTAAAAATAGATGATTCCATTTCGCGAACTATATACAATTATCATATTTTAGTCACCGACTTCTATTTCCGCCTGAGCTCAATGGGCAACCTTGAAACGGACTAAAGACCACTATTCATTCGTGCATGTATAATCTCAGTTGATGAGTTACAGTGTATCACAGTATTCATGTGGTGCGTTTCCGAACGCGGTCTTCTAACTTTCCTCAATTGATGACCACTTCTTGTTCTCGTCCGATTTCATTCCGAGTGAGTAGTGCATGGTGAGTCATCGTTCAAGTGAACTTGACCAAGCCCGTGGCAGTCATGGAAGGCCACCTTCTCCAGACCTCAAGAAAAAAACAAACAAGAACAAGCATGCTTAGTTTGAACTTGACTACTCATCACGGAACTTGCACAGTCGGATTAATCCCTATCCTCCTTTGTGATTTATTAACCCCTTCCGTATTCCGACACATCCCCGCCTTTTTTCGACACTTCCGTCTTCCAACTCTGCTAGCAATTATCCAGTCTCTGGTTGAGAGGATTCTCGTATCGGGCGACCAAGATGAAACAAAGGTGCTCACGCATAGCTATTTGCCCCAAAGCAATATCATGTGGAATGTTAATGTCTTGATTTGAATTATAGACTAGGGCGCAGCTGGCTACCGTATATCGGCAAGGGAATAGTTCTGCTTACGGTGGCAAGTGTTGAATCCAGACTGGATGGACCTTACAGCCAATATCCTCGATATTGGCAAGTGTAAGGTTTTGGCTGGTGTTCACCAATCCAAGGTTGACTACGATGGGATTTGAACTTGGTATACATGCTATCTTCATTCCAGGCTTGTTCAATTGACAATGTTGCTTGAACAGCTCGTGGCGACTTTCCGAAGTTTCCTTTCAGAAATGACATGCCGGATAGTACAAGCTCTTCAACCTCTCAAGACAACAGTGTGTCAAGAACCCAACCCTGGAAAGAAGGTATATTCAAGTGCCCTACCCCACTCATATTTGAGAAGAGGTAAAACGTAATTGAAATGCATATGAATGTGAGGCAGAACGAAGGGGAGGGGGCAAAATCGAACGCTTCCAGCCTGTTGCTAGTCCCTATGGATCCTTATTAAGTGGCTGTTCGCTGCGCTTAGCTACTTAAGGTAGTTCAAAATTGGTAGTGATCAGTCTTCAATCCACTCATGAATCAAGTGTAGTATTCAAGGGGGAATTTCCGATGAGCTTTCGTGCACATTGTTCTTTTCAGGCTCATAATTGGGACATTTCTTTGCAACCAAGCGCAACTTGTAATATGATAGTTCCGAGAAGATGACTCTAAGAGGGTGTGTAGGATTGAGTCATATTTCTTGTGCTGTCGAGGATGTGCTGTACAACCTGATTTTCTCATTCGTCGGGTTCAGAGTGGACGCCCAAATCTGTGGATTCCCACTTAGGTCATATCTGCCGCTCGAACTAATACACAGGCCAGAGCATCAGCAGATATGATTTAAATTCATCTTTTCATGCAAGAAAATATGACAAGAAATTCGAAATAATTGTTCAAAATGCACCTTCAGGCGTGCTATCCGAGCTTGCTCAATAGCTATACTTGGTATCATGTAGCGCTCCTGTCCACTCCCGGGCCTTGGCTCTGTGCGGTAATCATGCCGACGCTTAGGCCGATGTAACTTAAAGGATCTTGGCTCCATCTTCCTACCTATCAGCAAATTCGGTTACCGCGTATGCAACATGCAGGGTCCTGGATCGGCACTGCGGGCCGTCATGCACAACTGGAACGGGGTGCCATGTAAGAGCAATGGACCGGACAGGTTATCTCATCACATTCACGCTGACTGACATGTTCGTCGCTTGCTTAGTATTGGACAAATTTATCTTGGCAGCATATTGTCGATAAGAGCGGGCTGGCGAGTGGATCAATGCACATTGCGCCCTCGAAGTGACCATCGACAAATTTGGACTGTGTTCAGTGACATGAAACGTAACATGGATGTCAATTGTTATAAATAGTAGACAATCCCCCAGAATTAAGTGTACGTTCAACTCGAGCAAGCACACTCAATCTTTACACAAGATAATCCATCGACCTCTTACCAAGAAATTCAGAATGCAAATTTCGCACCTCTTCACTGCTCTGCTGGCAGTGGGCCTGGTCTCAGCCACACCCATCGAAGAAAATCTCAAATCGTGGAGTGAAGCTGCTCAGGCGGCAAGAAATGGGGCGACAACCGCAACGCAGCAATCGACCATGCAGGAAGATGGTGCAGTGGGAACGGAGGGAGCGAAGGTTATCTGCCGGCCAGACCAAGTACGGTTGCTATAACCTAACCTTTGGCAAGAACAAGGCCGAATTATGGATTCAGCGCAAGGCCACTACTGGAGGCAGTCTTACCTCGCCTCAGTGCAATGGGTACATGCAGGAGCAGATCAATAACTGCGAGAAAGGTGATTCTGGAGAAAGGAACGGGTGGTACTTCCGGTGAGTCTCTGCATCTACAATATAGATTCATAGTATGTTGGACTAACCACTTCAAAAGCCGATGTCAATGCGGGCCACTGCTCCTAGGTGAACTAGGGGCTGGGTCTGATCTGCTCCACTTTATCGCGAAGGAAGGTCCGAAACTCAGCATGGTAGAATTGGTCCTTAGTATGGCCAATCCCATTATATATGGCTGTATTAACTGAAGTCACTCATTAAAGCCTGATTATAAGAATCTACCCATTTCCATAGTAGGCTCCCAAAGTATACAAATATGAATATGTATTGTCCCGAGACTGGCTTCCCTTTCTTTTCGACCAATTGCAAGGCCATTAAGCTATACTGAAGATTATTGGAAGTAACACCCCGTCAAACACATTGCCGTTGATGGCAGTAAAGAAACCTGGCCGTTCACCACTGATTAAGTAGCTCTGCGCTCATTGCTCTGGATGAGAACCAATCCCACCATTGAGATCCATATTGAGCTCTGCGATTGAATAATTTATCCTACATCAGCTACTGGTCAATGTCATAAATACTTTGAAATCGAATCGTCTTGATCCGAGTATGTACCAACTAATCACACAGCTTCCATAATCACCCCCGAAAACAGAAGGCGGTAGGGACAACACCTATGATGTATGCCTTTCTCCGCAGCCCGCAGCTCCAAGCTCCTCAATTCGCATAATTTCAACGACGACTACAATTCACCATGTTTTCCCGCACAGCACCCAAACTCATGCGGTACGCCGCCCGTCCCTCGCTACGCACATCCGTCATTCGCCAATCCGCCCCGCTCCGCCCCATTCCCGTCATCATCTCGGCCCGCTCTTTCTTCTCTTCCCCGGCCTCCGCAAAGGGCATCCAGCCCGACTCATCAGACCCCAAGCCCCCGAACCCGCAGGCACCTGCTGCTGGCGCTGCGACGCATGTCGTGGAACCTACACCCTTGACTCCGGAGGAGTACTACGAGTACTCGGAGCATTACTTTAACTACCTCGTTCAGCAGCTGGAAAAGGCTCAAGAGGAGGGTTCGGACGTGGAAGCTGAGTACAGCGTACGTGATCCTCTTGCTTTACATGGCCTTGTCTTTGTCTAACATGTACAGGCTGGCGTCCTTAACATCACCGTTCCTGCCATCGGCACCTACGTGCTTAACAAACAACCTCCCAACAAGCAGATCTGGCTGAGCTCGCCTATCTCAGGTCCTAAGCGGTATGACTGGATCGTTGAAGGAGATTATATGCACGAGAAGCAGGATACGCGTGAATTTGCGAATGGGCAATGGGTCTATTTGCGGGATGGGTCGAATCTTACGGAATTGTTGAACACCGAGTTGACACTCAACTTGCCGAAGGATATCTATTCGGAAATTTTGGACTAGAGGTTGAGGTTTCAGCTTTCTGGTCTCATTGTTGAAGTCTACGAGATGAGATGAATGCGTGTGTTTGAATATATCGATCATAACGAGGCAATTTCTTCTTTCTTGGATCTTTAGATGATCGTAGAGACGAATCGTCAGAGGGATGTCTGGGAAGGTTGCTGTGGCCCGGAGACTTAAGCCCCTGCGACAATAAAATTTGACCGGTTATATTGATTAGGTTTGTTTGTACGCGGCTCCGGTATGAAGCTGTATTTCTAAAGTACAAAGCTAATGGAGGGTATCAACCATTGAGGCGAACCCATGCACCGGTCCTCTCTCTGCCTCGCCGAGCGTGTGAGTCGCAAGTAGCCTCACTGTAATATCTGTAAAACATCCTTGCACGTAGGCTCAGCCGAGGCGCATACTCCAAGACTGAGAAATGGCGAAGCCCCGTGAGTTGGGCTTGTTTGATGTTGCAGTCGACTGCACAATCCACGAGTGTTGTTGACACAATTTTGTGATCCAGGCGAGTATTTAGGAGCGCGTTTTGCTTGAGAGTAGGAGCAGCAAGGCAGCGCGAGGCAGCCGACGATTTGTATATGCGGGCTCCTCAAGCAAACGCCAGGGCCGTGGGTGGCTGTTGTCCGGCGATCTTTGATTTGTGGCTTCAGCGCGAGAGCGAAAAGAGAAACAATATAATGTTGCATTCGTTCACGCCTGCACAGCAACAGCCTCTGTGTTCTGCTCATCTGCCTTGGGAAGATCGGCCTACGGGAAAAAAAATGTTAGCAACTTCGAAGCCTCAGACCCTGACTCATAGGCTCGTACCAAGTCAAAGATAACCCGAATCATCAAGCTGCAAGAAGGACACACGGCGATCTCCTCGCCATCGCGCAAATCATCAATGCAAATCTCGAACCGATCGCCGCATGGACATGGGAAAGTATAAAGCTGCGTCGCCGGGTCGAAGGTCATATCTTCGATCTCGATCTCATCGTAAATGCTGAGGCCTTCGTCTGCCATTTTGTGTCTTGTTCCGAGTGGGCTTCGGGGCGGTTTTGCGTCGAAGGGGTGAATGAGAAAAGCTTGTAAAGCGACTTTGCATTCGGTGGCGGACAAATTTTGGCGGGGTGGTCATGTGATTGCGGAGTATAACAAAATTGCGTAGATTATTTTGCTAACCAATATATCCAGAATGACCTGCGGGATTCTCTTTCGTTATTCTGGTTCTGATATATTCAGGATGACCTTCGGATGAATATTTTCATAATTATTCTGCTATGTCCAGATAAACCTTGGAGGTATATCTCTCACTCGCCTAGGCGGGCAATTTCCATTCTCACGGACTCAACTTCCTTTGCTAGGAAGCCATACCGGCGGGCGATCTCGCCCATTATGGCTTCCGATCCGCTTCGAGCTGGAATCCTTCGGAGACTTCTACATCTCCGTACCGCGACAATTCCTCGATAGCTAATTCTCGTCGTTCCTCTAGGCGGTCCTTGGTTTCCCTAATATGTTGCTGGTAACGGCTGAGCGCAGCCAATGTCTCGGGAGTATATAGAGTTGCTGCAATCTCGAGCTTGCTTACTCTGCAGGGCTTGTGAGTGGTCATGCCGAGAATGGTCGTGAAATCGGCATAGAGAGATGTGTGACTTACTCTAACTTCCCTTCGACCCCTTGCGCAACAGTGGCCAAATGCTCCGCCTTTGCCTTCGTCGCTCGCGCGAAGACTCCGTATTTCACCCGCTCAAGAAGCACAACTACTCGCTCTAGCACCTGCGTTTGTACTGCCAGCAATTCAGCCGCGGTTGCAGCCAGTTGCCGGCGCGCAACTGGCAGATCTACAATTTGGACCTGTCGGAGATTTCGGACCCGATCTGCTAGCTGCGACGCGAGGGGCGGGACAGGCGCCATGGAGGTGCGGACCCGTCGGTCTCTGGCGCGTGCACGAGCATAATGGTTCGACGACGAGCGGCGATGGGCGGAGATATTTTGTGGCGTTTCATGCAAGGCTTCGGTGTCTGAGCTATTCTCAGCATTTGTTGTTGATAGGCTTCGGAGCTCGTGGATTGCGCCAGAGAGGATGTCTGAGAAGGGGTGGATCAGGGATGGGATGTGCGAGTAGAATGTTTCGATCTCCGGGGCCAGGAGAGAGACCGCATTGTCCTTGGTTGGTTCCTCGGTGTCTTGGGGACTTTTTGGGTCGATTGCGCTGCATGGTGTCTCGAGGTAAAGGGATATTATAGCCAAGTTATCGTGGCACTGAAGCCTGGGAGTCAGAAAAGTTCCTCGCGCAGCGTGAGTACTTGATTCATCGCAATCACTGGGCGTACCTCGTTCGGGAGACTGCTGTCTGATGCAAACGCCAGCTGCTTGAGCGTCCGCTCCTTGATCCGCCTCTTTGTACTCCGGATTTGACATTGTTTCAGGTCCTATTGAGATTGTTCGATTAGATTTCCGCACTTCGGCTTGATCGTTGTTGTGATACGAGTCGTTGATAACGCGTGTCACAACGTACCTCCGCGACAGCTTCCCGGATCGGGTCGACATTGTGCGCGCGCGTTGATCCATCGGGAGTCAATAATTTTGTAGTGAGATTCTCGTAGAGTCGCTTAAATTGGGGGTGATTATCGAGAATGGAGGGGTCGCAAGGGGGTATCATGATGTGGAGGAAGAGAAGGGAGTTTCGCCGCGGAGGTCGGCAACGGCCGAGGAGCTACGGAATAAATAGCTACAAGAGAGCTCCGATCTACGCGCACAGTATTAAGGACATTTCCGCGTTTATTTCGTAATCATACATGTGAAGCAATCGCTTCAGATCAATCCCCTTTTTCTACCCGTAAATTCAGGGAGTAAACCATGCCGTCGAGAAACGACAAAAAGTACTCGGGTTGAATAGACGGGTAAACAATTCAAGCAAATCATCCGTGAACACTGACGGCTTCCAGGTTTGACGCCCACGGGGATCAGGGCCTTAAAATGTCCGGTCCAGGATGTTCGAAAGGGAAAAAAAGAAAGAAAAAAATATGTACAGAATGCTTGAACGTCTGAAGGGAAAGAGGGTAGCACAAAAGAGAAGAAAAGGTGCTGACCCCGATCCAGACAGTAAATTAGATCAAGAACGGAGGGAAAGAATCAGTCCAGAAGAACAGGCGGTAGGGAAATTTCGACGCTTGGAACGCAAATCAAAGCCAGCGGTTTTGCGGGAACCTGGAAGAAACCAGAGTGGTATCTACTCCTCCTCACTCTCCTCCGAATCGTCGTCAGACTCGTCCTCGCTGGACTCGTTCGCTTCCACGGAGGGAACTGGGACAGGAGAGCCACCGCCCGCGAAACGAGATAGATTACTCTCCAGCATAGAAATCTGGGCTTCCTGCTCGTTCTTGCTCATTGGCTTGTTTTTCTTAGGCTTAGTGGGCACAACGTTGCTGGCAGGAGCGGAATCCTCGTCGTCCATCAGGTGGGGCACGTTCTTCTTGACAAACTTGAGAAGCATCAAAAGGACATCATTGGGCAGCTCATCGATGTCCAGTTCAATCTCAGCCTCTTGAGTACCCTGAAGTTTATACGTTAATGTTGAGTGAAGTAAGGTGGATGTCTGGAAATTCGATCTTACCTTCAGAGCAGGAACGTTGTTCTGGATGATCTTAAGAGCTTCCTGCATCTTCTTATCGGGGAGACTACTGATACCATTGGAGATGACCTGCTTCTCATGATATGTGACGAAGCGTGCCTTCTCCGGCTTGAAGCTGCTGATCTTGGGCCTCTTTTCCTTCTTGCTACCGAGCTTCTTGCCGTCCTTCTTGACAGACTTGGCCTTGGTGCCAGCCTTCTTGGACGAGGGAGGGGTCTTCTTCTTCTTGTTGGTGATCATCTCCACTTGACGAGACATCTCCGCGATTTGACGCTGCAGAAGAGTGAGTTTCTCAGTGTCTTCATCCTCCTCCTCGCTCTCCTCGTCACTATCTTCATCGGAGTCATCGGTCTGCTGGTCATGGTGCGGCTCGTGCTTTTCCAGATAGTCGGCCATTTGCCCCCACTTCTCATCGAAAACCTGTTCCAGTGACTGTCCAGCCGCATAAGTCGGGTCTCCCTCGATGTTGAACCGGTAGCAATTCTTGAACATGAGCCTAATATCAGACTCGAACTCCTTGGCGTTTTCATACTGGCCGGTCCTCAACTTAGACTGAATGGTAGACAAGTCCATAGGCTTCTTAATCACGCTATGATAAGTAGGAATGTTGAGAGCAACGGGATCCACGGGCTGGTAGAAGGCCCACGCGATCAGCTGATACTTGGGCTTGTGAAGCTCTTCGAGAACCTCCTGACAGAACCGCAGCTCCCATTGATACTTCTTCTTCTTGGGCTTGGTGGAATAGGGGAGATCTCGCTTGGGTGGATGGATCGAACGCTTGGGGCGGCCGTCGGGGTTCGTGGAGTCACGACGAATGACAGGCAGACCTTCTGGACCCAGGGCAAAGGTGGTGCTCTGGGGAGAAGTAGCCTTGGCCGTAGGCTGGCTACCAAGGGACGTGCGAGGCTCCCGACGAGCGGCCGAGGTTTTCTCCGTCGTCTTCTTTGGTTTCTTCTCTTCCACCTCATCAGGCTTGGGGATGTTCAGCATCTGCTTCTTGAACGTGGCCTCCAGCTTCTGACCCTCTTGGGCAACCAAATGGTCGGGGCCATTGAAGGTCAGAGAGTTCTGAACCATCAGAGCAAAATCATCAGCAACCGCCTGTGGAGACGAGTATTCATTATTCTTCAGCTTTCTCTCCATGGTGCCCAGGTCCATAGGCCGGGTGATGATACTGGTGTAATTGGGGATGTTCAGTCTGATAGGGTCCACTGGTTCGCGGTAAAAGCGTGAGTCATGCATGCGCTTCAGGCTCGACAAACTCTTGGAGATGAACTTGTGCTGCATCTTGGTGAGTCCGTTTTGGCCACCTGGGGGCATCGAGCCGCGGGTCTCGGCAGTAGGAGTTGGCAAAGTTGGGGGCTTGAGATCCACCGGTGCAGGCACGGGTGTCGTATTGGCCCCCTCGACCTTGGTACGTTTGGCCGCCGGCTCCTCCTCCATAGGGTCGACCTCGCGTTCGCGAGAGACCTTAGAGGGTGAGAGAGGAGCACTGGGGACGTCCGTCATTTCGTGGTCAGTTTGCAGAGAGGGCAGACTTGAGTTGGTAAATTCGGTGGAGTGGTGAGGAAGATCAGCGCTCACAGGTGCAGAATACTGGGAGTTATCGATAGTCATCTTTTCCGTGATGCCGGCAGTGCCGTCAAGCGAGTCTGAAGATGCGCCTGTGGCAGGGGCGGGTTGAGAGCTTGATGTCGTATTGACCGCAGACTCAGTCGTAGCAGCCGGAGTATTCGAGTTGGAAACCTGCGGTTGCGCTGAGGTCGCTGGTTCATCGGAAGCCTTGGTTCCTTCTTTCACTTTTTCGTTGGAGGTCGCTCCAACAGTCGCTGGTATCGCACTCTGAGTTGGGGCAGGCGGTGCCGAAGAGTCTTCGGTGGAGACGGGTGCAGGCGACTTGGGGGGGGATGCAGCAGTGGCGGTACCGTTTGTGATGGATGACTCATTAGGGGTGTGGCCATTCATCGCGCTTCCGTTGCGTTCGGTCGCACCGGCAGGGACATCCGACTTTGTCTCTGCAGATACAGCTTGACCGCTTCAAAGACAGGTCAGTTTCAAGGTCAGGCAAGTGAAAAGCGCATTCGGTGACAACGCGGTAGCTTACCTGGTTGGCGCGGCATCAGGCAGAGACATTCTCGTCGGGGAAGGGGGAAGCTGAGGCTTCTCCTCCTTCATCGCAAGAGCAGCCTCAGGAGGCGGGGTCGCCATGGATGATGTCGTGCCAGAGACCAACGTACAAGCTTTCTAGAGCACGAAACAGGGTGAGAGCGAAACTATCGACGATTGCCTTTGGCGCAAATTCAACTGGATACACAAAGCTGCCCTCCGCGCGCTATCACAGGCAGGTATTGCGATCGCGGAGACCAGACGCGACGTAAGGAAAGGCGATAAGGGCGGGGGGAAGGATAAACGGGAGATAGGGAGAGTGGAGAATGCGATCGGAGGCGAAAGAATTTATACCGCCAAGAAAGTGGTAGCTTCAGTCACGTGGGCGGTGGGATGGGATCAGGCACTCAGGCAACCGTTCCGGAATAGGTAAGTCACGGGATCGGGAAAGGAAAGGGTGAAATAAAAAATGGTTCAGGAATTGATGCCTGAGGTGGGAATGGGATGGATAAATAGAGAGAAATTATGATAAATAAATCATAAATGGCAGGGGCGGGTTAATAAGAGTAAAATGGGTAAGCGCGACACGCGACGCGTTGTTATGGGGTTAGGGGGGTAACCAAGGATACGGATCGAAAGGGCAGGAAGGGGGGGGCGGTGAAATAAACGGAAGCACCAGGGACGGAAGCAGAGAAATTCCTCGGAGGGGATGCCAGAATCCTTAAGTACAAACGGGCGCCTCGCGCAGCACCGCCGCGAGTTCCACTAACTGAATTAAGCCGGATTCTCCCTACTCCACTGCCTTTTCATTGGCGGAAGGGGTTCATCCCTAGCCCTGATTGGCCTCCAGGGGTGTACTGTACCGTATCGCTGTCCGCGAAAATTTTCAATCACCCTTTTACAGAGTGCAGGGGTGTGAATGAGATCATCGCACGTCCTGTAATCTGATAGAGATCTAGATCGGAATTTTTTTCGTCCTGATAGTTCTAACTATTTTTCTACTCAGGGTGGATGAACGCCAAGATCAACGAAACCCCTGAACCTTAGGGGTTCGCCGAATGCGGCTAGCGTGTGATGCGTCGAGTCCCGACGTCATTCACGTGACGCGTTGCTATTCCGGTATGAGCAAGGTGTTCTTTTCATCTGTGTGACGGGACGGGTCAACAGATACTGTGAGACCTATAAGATGTCCTACCTACATCGCAAGGAGTGCGTTATGGCAAAATCAATGGAGACTTGCTAGGAGTAGACTCTGCAGATAGCCCTGGCCAATTAACAGGCTTTCAGCTGGCCCTTGCCGATCAGGCATCGTCTTACATGGACTGGGCCAGAACTTACGGTCCTCTCTGTAGTATGTCTGAAGTGCAAGATAAGGTGATTGATACATCGTCAAATCATTCTACCTACTTTGTATTGGACATGTACACAGCCAAGATCAACCAAGAAAGAATTCACTCTTGATCCTGATTCCTCGAGGAAATGCACTATATATCCTTGGCGCTAGGGAGCAACTAAGGGAAAGAAAATAGAAGAAGCTGGGGAAATCCCTTATCCACATACTTTGATTGGTCATCATTTGTTGAGCCTCGAAGTTTCATCCATTCATGGTTGAGTCATACCTCAGTGCATGCCATAGCAGTCGGGTTACACTCAGTATGCTGGATGCTTGTGTTGATCAACCCACTAGATGTTCCCTTGCAATGTTATATTGCCAAATCAGGCTGGTGCGGAGGCCGGTAAAAAGTATGACATTTTGGTTCTTAAAAGTGCGATGGAAAGTGCACCTGAAAAAGCAACTCAAGCTGTCGAGGACCTCTAGGCAAGCTTCACGAGCAAATTGGAAATATTTATGACAAGGTTGTGCTTAGGCCCGCTGATATTGATGTACAGATTCGTGGTCCTTGACCTTGCTTTGGCACTCCAGGAGTCCATGGTAGAACTTCGCACCATTCTATACCGTTGTTGGAAATATATCACGGCCACCATGAGCTGTTTTGAGCAAGTCGTGGGTCCTGAACCTGCAATATAACTACCAAGAGCGAGACCGAGGTACTCTGAGCCATCGTTTTTTCACAGCTCTTTTCAACCCAAATCGTGAGACACAGCTGTGTGTGAGCCTATCTATCCAGGCTGTATACTTCGGAAATCGAGCTGATTAGATAAGGCTCGACCTCACCACGCTAAACCGCGTCAGGATTAGCGCCAATGCCGACTACAGAACTTTTTTTCCTTTCCGCAACTGCAAGACCACCAGAATCCCAAAGCCCCATCTATTCCCCTCGGGCTGTGAGAAAAGTGTGACCGGTGATTTATCCTGTTCCCTTGGGTTTCGGTACCGCTACTCTCCACATACCCTCAACCTCACACTGAAGTATTTTCGAAACAAGGGAAAAAAAGCTTCGGCAAGAGAAAAAAATGGGCAAGAAGACATCTCGTCAATCCACCAAGGTCGGCTCGGCCGCATCGCCGGCCGACGGTCTTTCACAAACCGGCAGCAAATCTTCCATCCTGCGAGCCGCTTTCTCTCCGTCAGAGTACCAATTGGCCCTGTTCGCGTCCGTCATCCAAGGCCTGGATGCGCAGCATCTCCGCATCCACGATACCAACACCGGCAAACTACAGTGCGAGCATGCTCTGGCACCGAAAGAGACCATCACCTCGCTCGATTGGGGTTACTACAACGCCCAGGGAAAGAAGAGCGACCCGTCCAAGAAGAAGCGCAAGCGCGGGTCTGATGTCAACGGGCTGGATCAGGGAGATATCGTTGTCGCGTTTGGTACCAGCACCTCAGATATCCGTCTGTACTCTCCTTCGGAGGATAAGGTCGTTGGCACCCTGACCGGTGTTCACGACAAGGGTATCAAAGATTTCAAGTTTACCGCTGGGCGGCCTGGCCAGGAGGCCTGGAGTATTGGAGGTGACAACAAGCTCGTGCAGTGGGATCTTCTCACAGGCCAGAGCTTAAGGTGCGCAGTTATCTTGTGCTATGAAATGGACCGCCTCTAACATGTTTTGTATAGGACGATCCACCTGCCCGCATCCTCGGTCTTCACTGCCATCTCTCGTCCCGTCCCCTCCACCACGCCCGTCATCTGCGCATCTCAGACGCCTTTCTTAATAGATATTGAATCCACCGAGGAGCCGCTCAAGTTCCCCGCCATGCGCAATCAGATTCACACCGTCATCACGTCCTCTTCGGAATCTGCTGGCGCCGGTACTTTCCTCGCTTCCGATGGCGAGCGTTTCATCAACGTTTTCGACGCGTCCAACCAAAAGCTCGTGCGCAACCTGGTTGCTGATCAGGACGTCTCCTCTGTCTCCCTATTCGATGCAGGCAACTCCGCGCCTGAGAAGCAGATTCTTGCCGCTGTGACCGAAAACGGAACCATCGAGCTCTTCACAAAACCCTTCGCCCAGCCCCAGGCTGCGCAGTCCACTAGCGCCAAAGCCGCCCGCAAGCAAATGACCCAGAAGGCCAACGCCTCCCTCAAGATCATCCGCTCCGAATCTTCAGATGCATGCGTGCCCGTTGTGTCAGCAACTTTCCAAGGCCCTGAGATCATTGTTGCCTATGCCGAGGGTGGTGTTATTCCCGTGTTTGAACGCGTGAAGCTTCTTGATGAGACTACGGATGAGCTTGCCTTCACCGGTGTCAAGGCTGTTGTGAAGAGCAAGTCCAGCTCCGCTGTTGCATTCGCGACGACAAATGGCTCGAAGAATGTTAGTGAAAGCCAGGTGAATGAGACCCACGCCGTTGTTGAGCAGGGTAATTTCGCCGATGATGACGTGGAGATGAACGACGATGCCGCTTCTGTCTCCGGCAATGAGGACTCCGACGACGAGGCTCCTAAGCCCGCCACCGAAAAGAAGAGCAAGCCCACCAAGCAGACCGCTGACGAGGACGTCGAGATGCAAAATGCCGAAGACGAAGACGAAGATGAAGAGGAAGAGGACGGTGCCGAGCCCTCATTCGGCGAGCTGCTCCGTGCCAACGCCGGCCAGGAAGTCGACGTCGAGGCCGAGATGGACGACGACGTGAATCTCGGTGCCCTTGTCCCTGGAAAGCCCACCGCAACCGTGCAACAGATCCCCACCGGCGTGTCACTGGCCACCGTGCTCACGCAGTCCCTCAAGACGAATGACAACGACATGCTCGAGTCTTGCTTCCACACCAGCGACATCTCTATCATCCGCACCACCATCCAGCGCCTTGAGTCTTCCCTGGCAGCCACCCTGCTCCAGAAGCTCGCTGAGCGCCTTTCATCCCGTCCCGGTCGCTACGGCCACCTTCTCGTCTGGGTCCAGTGGACCTGTGTCGCTCACGGTGGTGCGCTTGCCGGACAGCCTGAACTCCTCAAGCGTATGGCCACCTTGTACAAGGTCATGGATCAGCGCTCTTCGAGCCTTCCGTCCCTGCTCCTCCTCAAGGGAAAGCTGGACATGTTGGACGCACAGCTCGGCCTACGCTCATCCATGCGCGGCGACGGCGAAGACATGGACAGTGAAGATGAGGACAATGTGATCTATGTCGAGGGCCAGGAAGACGACTCAGATAGCGAGACCGAGACCAAGCCCCGCAAGTCGATACGCGAGCAGGCCTTTGACGAAGACGAGTCCATGATGAACGGCATCGACGAGTCCGAAGACGAAGAAGACGGCAGCGAAGATGAAGACGAGGACGAGGAAGGCATTCTGGACATCGAAGCTGAAGAGTCCGCTGGCTCCTCCGACGCCGAAGAGTCTCTTGAAGAAAACGAAGACGATGAAGACGATGAGGGAGCCAGCGAGGGTTCGCTGGTTGACTTCATCGCTGATACCGAGGACGAGTCCGACGATGCTATTGAGCAGCCGCCGCCGGCAAAGAAGAGCAAGACGGGGAAGAAGAAGGGTGGTCGGAAATAGATAATTCTTTCTCTGTAACACATTTTATGGTGGATTTTGTTTTTCCAAAAATTTATATACTGGGCTTGCATCTGCATTTATGTCTCTAAGTGCTCGCTGCTGGATCTCGTGTTCCATAGCCTCTGATCCAATCGAATCTATTTACTGTTTTATCTTTTTCATCATGATGAGTTGTCTGAGCCTTCCAAATGCTAGGAGTGTATCAGCCTCTAAGCAATTCACTCTTCTCCCTTACAAGGGCCCCCATGCAACACGGTATGTCCAGGAAGATCCCCGCGGCCTAACGGAATCTCCAACGCGATAGTCTGTTCCTTCGATGGATACGTGGTGCAATGACCCAAAGCACTGACATCAGCCGTATCCAGCGCCAAAATAGCCCCATTCTTCCCGCCCGCGACCCACGCCTCGGCAGTCGAGTTGGGCAGCGTGATGTGCGCCAACCCAGAAAGGAAGATCACCCATCTGATAATGCGTTAGTGGAGAAAGCTACATACCATAGAAAGTCTTATTTCGAAGATGTCTTGGGGCTAGAATGTAAGAATGAAGGGGTGGGATGTACTGCAGTGCTGGCGCATTGTGTCGTCCACCGTTAAAACCGGCGGGTAGAATGGTATAGGTAGAATCACCTCCTAGCTCGCCAAGATCGAGGGATTTCGAACCGGCAGTTCCGGCTTCTGAAGAGGTCTTGAATCCCGAGGAGAGGGCCCAGCATTCCAATGTTGAGATGTTGTTTTGCGCGCCTAGGACGGTCACATTGAGGGTGTTTCCTAGAGCCAGGGTTGAGAATAGAAGAAAGGGGAAAGGAGTGAGACGCATTGTGAAGATTTCAACGGAATTGATGCGGAGGCAAGATCGAGGTCAGGATCAGATCAAACTTAGCCTTGCAAAGCACTTGAGCTGCAGAGGGGTGGGGGCGATTAACATTGTATTTGCTCTAGAGGATAAGACCTGTTTTCGAGTAATGTACATACTGGATAACCATAAGCCAGAAGGACAGTAGGACAGTAAGGTAATACGACAGTAAAATATCAAGGGGTTTAGCAAGTAAAAATACGGGAACAAGTACAAGAGAGCATTGAATCAGAGGGCAGGTGGCTCCTCAGCGAATGACTTCACTGCTTGACTTCTCAATTCCTTCCATTCCTCTCAGGATATCGCTGCCTCCTAGCAGTCCACTGGGGGAGCCGGTGCTCCTGCGACGGCCTGTCCATACTTCGTGAAATTTGACAGTCTGATCGCTTGATGCGACAATGATGCATCCTTCTTCTACTGTGCGTGGGCACCACATTCCGCCTTCTTTCTCTTTGGGCCGGACAATTCGAACACTAGGCCGCGGACGACCTGTTTCATTTGCGCGTTCTGGTGATTGTGAACGAGTTCGTGGCACTGGAGTTGTTCGTGGCGATGCACAGAAAAGATCTAATTCATCCCGTGTGGGAATTGGGGGGCGAGGTGGTCGACCAGGGTAGCTGACTGCCCATAATGCTCGTCCGCAGTCGAAGTTGAGATCGTGATCTGGGCCATCCCAGCTGGACCCGCAAGGGCCCCAAGGAATGACGGCAACCTGAGCACAGCTGGGCCATGCGAAGACGGCTATGCGGAAGGGGGTGCTCTGGCTGGGCATAACCGAATGTAGCTGCAATCTCGCGCCGAGTCTGACTCCAGATCAGACTGGTCACTTGCGCAAACACATTGATAGTCGCGAGACAGACACCGGTGCGGGCGTGGAAGAAATGGATTGCGCGGTCATTAGAGCCTCCTCCTGTCGCCAGAAGTGAAGGTTGCCACGGAGCGAAGGCGATTGCTTTGACTGCAGCGGCATGTGAAAGCCTGTGCTTCTGACGATCATATGGTATCAGAACGGTTCGTCCACTTCCTGAAATCAGGGTACCTGTAAGACTGAGAAGAGGCACTGCCGCTGTGGGTCTCATGCGAGACGGATGAACCCATGATGGAAGCAAGTGACTGACAATGTGTCGCCTGTGAAAGAACTGCCGGTGAGTATTGGTAAGACCAAGCAGCGGAAACGCGCGGGCACTGCATGTCTCAGAGCCAGTCAGAATGACAGGCAGAGGGGTATAGTCGAGCAATGGCGGTGGTGGAAGGATATCAGCCAGGTCGAAAAGCAAACATGCGTTATCATTGCCGCCTGTAGCAAGAAAGCGCTCATCGGGAGACCAGGCTATGCCACAGACTTGCTGAGTATGGGCAGAGATCTTAGCGAGAAGAGTGATGGAACCATTCCAGCCCCGCTTGTTCTGGGTTTTGGGCCACTCGACGGAGTAATACCAGATGTTGCCCACGTCGTCGCCAACTGCAATCTCCTCCGCGTCGATTTCCAAGTTGGCGAATCTCTCTGAAAGTCTTTGGGTAGTTCTGGGCTTGAATGCCACACACGAGACACTGTTGGGATGACTGATTTCGAAGCGAACATCGGGTTCACAGAAGCCCCACAGAGACAACTGACCAGACTGTCGTCCAACAGCGAGAATGCTTCGTCCGCCATTATCTGACGAGAACGAGACAGATGTCACGAAGTTCGACGGGTGCACATCTTTGAATGGCGGATGGTCCACTGCAAAACTTTCGGACCACAGGTAAACATGCTGTGCAAGACCAACGGCCAGCACGCCAGATGTGAACGAGTAGGCCAGGGTGGTGCAATAGAAATCATCCCGAAGAAACGGGGCATCCAGGATCCGAAAGGGCTTTGGAGGGACAGCTTCTCGCTTGGGAAGAACTGCTGGCCCTGATTCAAGACGAATGTCAGTTGTGATGTCCTAGAGACTAAAATGAGGCCGTCTCACTTTATAAATAGGTATCAAATATCGTACATATATCGAGCTTGTTTAGACATAATTATGGGGCAATCAGGGAGGCTCCAAGGAGACACAGCGGAAGCTATTTCCTTTGAAAGTGAAAGTAAGAATGCTTACACTGCTCCCTTTCTACTCTTTTCCAGGCACTATCTTTCCACACAAAGGGCGAGAGTCGCTCATAAAATGGAGAAGAGGGACTGGGTGAGTTCTCCGCGCAGGGCAAACAGGTACCAAGGAGCCTGGTAGTTGGGTCAATGTTCAAAGCAAGGGCAAGTCTTGATTCATGCATGTTTCGGTCCTCAGCTCTATTACTTCTTGGCAAGAATTTTGCGACATAGGTTGGAGCCGTTGAGCCTCTGCCAGAAAGACTCGACGTCCCGTTCAAAATTGCCATGGAAGGGTCATCGAGGATCGCCGTGGTACCACCAACACCCCAGACGCCACCAGCACTGACTCGCCTCAGGAAGTCATGTTGATGGGTGCCTCGCGTGACAGCAGGGTCAACAATCAAGCGAGGTCGCTGGAGGGGCCTTTGGCGGAGTCGAGTAGGCGTCGGTCTCTGTCCTGGGAATGAGGGCTCTTGGGCTCGGGTGGGAAGAAATGGATCGTCTCCAGGCAGGCGCCGACGAAGAATTTTTTCTTCAGGAGACAGCTGGTGAGGGTCCTTGTTCACACGAAATGGTGTTGATGAGATCTCGGAAAATTGGCGCTTTGGAATGAATCGATCAGGAGATACTGAGGCGGAAAGATTCTTTCGAGTAGGCTCCCCAACCGGATAGCCTCTTGATAAACGACGCCCTCGCTCAGGAGATGGCACATCCGCCGTTCTGTTTTCTTTCAAGCGTGGTGTACTGGGTGAGTGGGGGAAGCTGGGTCTGATGGTAAGTGATATCCGAGAACTGGCTGGAGTCTCATGGAATGGTGTATTGACTGTTGCAAAATCGAATAGTCTAATGAATCCATTACTCTGTGAGGAATTGGATCGAGATAATGATCTGGATAATGCATGTTGATTGCCCGTGGAAGAGGCATCCTCGAAGGAGTGACATCGCGAAGCCCCCATTGTGGGGGTCAATCACGGATACGGGTCAGGGGTAACAAGCAGCGAAGGAGTGTACTATAAGATCTTGAACAGAGGCTGGCTTGCCGGGTTGTCTGGAGGTTCGCAATAGATCTCGAAGTAGATGCTTTGCCGTTGTAGAGGGAGCAACAGTGCTTACTAATACTGCAGCGGGCGGCAGGAACTCCTCACTCTGTGGTTACTTTCACGATTCATTCACTCAACAATGGCAAGCGTGAGTAATAGCACCGCGTCTTGACTCTCCATGACGGCTCAAAGACTGACCGTCTTGCTAGCATGGCGTCCGGCGCTTTAAGCCGGTGGAGAAGACCCCGGAGGAGCGGCAACAAGAGCTGCGGAAGATAGATGAATACAAATCTCTCGAGAGTTCCGTATCGGAGAAGGTGCAGGCTCAGGTCTGATCATGCTGAGATGGTATATATTAACTTCTAGACAGGTTGCTCAACAAGAATTCACAGCCGACACGTTGCAGAAGATCTCCGACTTGTTAGGCCGCAACCCGGAGTACTACACTGTCTGGAACTATCGACGACAAGCCCTTCGGCATCAGTTTTCCGAGGCAGAGACTTCAAGCGAAGAAGATCCGCACAGTGTCATCTCAGACCTGATCAAAAATGACCTGAATTTCTTAATTCCTTTGCTGCGCAGTTTCCCCAAGTGCTACTGGATCTGGAACTATCGTCTATGGCTTCTCGACGAGGCTCGCCGGCTTCTTCCACTCGCCGTAGCTCGCTCATTCTGGGAACAGGAACTGGGATTGGTGGGTAAGATGTTGACTCTGGACAGTCGCAATTTTCACGGTTGGGGCTACCGGCGCTTTTTGGTGGAGACCATCAGGCAATTGGGGACTCCAGACGAGGCGAAGAGCATGACCCAGAAGGAATTCGCCTATGCGAAAAAGATGGTTGGAGCTAATTTGTCCAACTTCTCTGCTTGGCACTATCGCACCAAATTAATTCTCCGGATCCTGGAGGAACAAGGTGCCACGGACGAGGAGCGGAAGAAGATGCTGGACGAAGGTGAATTGTGCTGAATGTCTAATGCGTGAAGCTATACTAAAACTTCGCAGAGCTGGAACTTATCCAACAAGCCCTCATTGATCCTTATGACCAGTCACTATGGTTCTATCACCAGAACTTGATGTGTGTGTTTGACCCATCCATGGCGGACCGGACTATGGCTCCGAATCTGAGCACGTCAGAACGACTCCAGTATCTACGGGACGAGATTGAAGCCATTCAGGAGATGCTTGATGGAGCCGAGGACTGTAAGTATATTTACCAGGCCCTCATTGAATGTACCCTGCTCGTATCCAAAGTAGGGGGCAGCCTGCAACTGGATGACCGGGATCAGATTCTGAGCTGGCTCTCAAAGCTGAAAAGGATAGATCCCCTGCGACGACACCGGTGGTTGGATTTTGAAAGAGGCTTGTAATTGACATCAAGTCCGTTGCCAGGTAGACAAAGTCCAGGTACTTGGTCATCTCACGGAGTACAATGCCCATATTTGAAACAATGGATTCATGAATTCGTGTCATAGTTTTCCCTTTAATGTCGTGGACACCCCCGAAACCCATAGATAGTGTACATATCTAGGATGTGGAATTCCACATTCTGCACCTGAATCCGCTATGCAGCTGAGATAGCGTGTATTTTCATGCACAAATGCACAAAAGAAAGCGACATTCCAAACGTTCCGATCGACAGGTCGCCCCCGTTGGCCCCACATAGCCAATCAGAGTCGCGTGTTCACTGGCCCTCGATTCAATTAGTGAATTGACATCCCCGTTCTTTCCTCCTCCCCTTTCCGTTCTGGTTCTTGGTCTTTTGGTCTATGAGCATTCGGTTCGTCTTATGGAGTCTTGCACTCGTTGATCTGCTGCCCTGCCCAATATGTCCTCGAACCGGAATAGCAGTGACTACGTAGGGGTGAGTCTCGTGTTGGTTTCATCGCGTGTGCCACATGCTGATCTTCCTGCCAGGAGTCTTTTGACGATGCCCCCCGAAGTGCCAGAGCAATTGCATGTCTCCATACCCAAGTCGACTTCCACCCGATCATTGACCAACAGCCCCCCTGTTGGCACGGCGTCAACTCCCGACTCTGCAGAGAAACCTCCTTTCCCTTCTGAATCGCAGGACGAGCAGAAGGACGAGGGGTTGGATTCTGGAGAACCAAAAGCAAAGAAGAAGAACAAAAAGAAGATTAAAAAGGCCGAGCAAAATGAAGGAGACGGACGAACAGAAACAGAAATGGACGGTCAAGGGGGAGCCGAGGATGAGCCGAGCGAGCTCGACGTGAACCTTGGGACCGAACCCGTCGAAGAGCTAAAGGATGAAGAGGAGCTGGAGCAACACACCGAGAAGCATATCGAGCAACCTGCAGAAGAAGACGAAGAAGGAGACGACACAATCATTGGAAGCTCCCGGCCGAACAAATCACCCCTACTTACGTCCCACCCGCCTCTCGACTGCATCCTCGCTCGATGAAGTCAACCTGACCAACAGCAAAGAAGACCAGCCGATGAAGGATATAGAAAAGTTGGAACCGCCTCCATTGCCTCCCAAGGACGAGTCGGCATCGATTCCCTCGGCCCCGAAAGGCTTGTCAGGAACCTTGCCATCCGTGCCCTGGGGAGCTCCCCCGCAAAATAAAAATCCTCCTCCTGCAGCACCACCACCCCCAACCCGAAAGCCTAGTGGCCCCTTTGCATGGTTCTCCCGCAGCTCGACAGGTCCCAAGGAATTGAAGTCCCCGCCTCCGCAACAGCCTGGATACAGCCGCCGAAACACCGGCACTTCCGTGTCCACCATTGGCAGCCACTTGGATTTGGCCCCCCCGATCCGAAGATGGAGATGCCGCCAGCTTCCATTCAAGGAGACCGAGACGTAACAGCTTGAAGGACCAATTTAAGCTGTTGCGTATGCGGGAGGAACACATTGGCGGCGAGAATGATCAGTCGAGTGTCCGATCTGGCCGGGCTAGCGTCAGCCAGGGCGGCTCCAGCCCCCCCCATCATTCATGAAGAAAGCGAGGATGGTATTCTCACTGTCCCAGCGCCCATCCCTGGAGCAACCTCCCCTGCAATCGCCACTGCGCCATCAACGATCAATCCTAACCTTGCCCCGGGCACCGTGTCCGGGTTCTCCAGATCAGCAACCGATGCCTCCACACCCGTGGATTGGGATATGTGGCAGCAACTCGTGAATGAGGGACCACAGGCGTTGGTGAACTCGGAGGTATTGAATGCTGCTATCAAGAGGGGTATTCCGCAGACAATTCGTGGAGTCATTTGGCAAATTCTCGCTGAAGGACAGACCGGTGAGTTGGAGGATATTTATCGGGATCTTGTCGCGCGTGGGACCGAGAAAGACCGTCGATCGCCAAACCCCCAAGGCGGCGCTACACCCGAGAAGGGGTCTGTCTCCTCGTCTCGTTCGTCCATTCATTCCGATCACTCGGGCTCTGGAACGCAGTCGACGAGTGTTGTTGTCAGCCCTTCCCAGGATATGGACCCCGAGAGACTGGCCAAGGAACAGACCGCCAGCGAAAATGCTCGCTTGAAGAAGGCCAAGGATGAGGCGGTCGCTTTGCAGAAGCTTGAGAAGACTATCCGTCGAGATTTAGGTGCCCGCACAAGCTATTCAAAGTACTTCATCTCTCAAGGCAGCCAGGAGAGTCTGTACGGACTGTGTAAGGCATACGCCTTGTACGACGAGGCCGTCGGTTATGCACAGGGTATGAACTTTATCGTTATGCCTTTGTTATTCAACGTAAGTGTTCTGCTGATAGACTCAACAGGAGTGATCCATTGACCCTATCTGTAGATGGACGAGGTTGAAGCCTTTGAGCTTCTCGTCAAGCTGATGAACAAATACGGCCTTCGGGAGCTGTTCATCCAGGATATGCCCGGTCTTCACCGAGCTCTCTACCAGTTCGAGCGTCTCCTGGAAGACCTCGAGCCCGCCCTGTACTGCCACCTGCGCCGCCGCGGTGTCCCTCCTCAATTATACGCTACTCAGTGGTTCTTGACCCTGTTCGCTTACCGCTTCCCCCTACAACTTGTTCTGCGCATTTATGATCTGATCTTTGAGGAAGGCTTGGAAAGCACAATTCTCAAGTTCGGCATCGCCATCATGAGACGAAATGTCGATGCTCTGCTAGAAATGAAGGACATGAGCTCGCTTACGACCTTCCTGAAAGAGCGTCTTTTTGATGCTTACATCGACAAGCAGCCTTCGGCGTCGTCAATTTTGGAGTCTGGCTTCTTTGGAAGTTCCGGCGCTGCTGATAAAGAGATTTATCGGGCCGATATCCTTGTGCAGGATGCTTGTGCCGTACCCCTCACCCAGGATATGATCAAGACATACACCTCTGAATGGGAGGAGAAGACCCGCACAGAAAAAGAGCAAGAGGCTGAGCTGGAGTACCTTCGACACACTGTCGCCACGCAATCTGCACGCGTGCGTCTGCTCGAGGAGCGCGCCGAAGCATCCGACAAAGAACACGTGCAATTGGCGTCGGAATTGGTCCACGTTAAAGTAGAGAATGAAGAACTGCGCGATCTGAACGATGCCCTCAAGCTGCAGGTCTCCGAGCTGAAAGTCATTGTGGACAAGCAGCCCGGCGAAGTGGAGGAGAAGCTTCGCACAGAGATGGACCGCATCATGAAGCGCAACATCGAGGTACAGAACGAGAACCGCGCAATTGAGGACCACATGGCCGAGATGGAGAAAGAACTCGTTGCCACCAAGATGAAATGGGCCGAGGTTTGCTTCCCCCCACACCCACCTCGCCTTGCAAAGACTAACATGATCAGATGTCTGAAAACCACGAAACCCTCCGCCAGAAGTGGAGTGACCTACGCCGCGCCCTCGACTAACCCATCCAGTCCAAACATGCTACCTTGTATATTTTCCGCATTGGAACGTGATCTGCGATCACCTCCCATGCCATCTACGCCTATGGGCCGGAGGTCTGCTTTTTTCTAGTTTCTCGTTCAGCCATTGACCTTGATTGACCTCGGCCACATCACGACTCTGTACGGTGTTTTGCGTCGTTCCCAGCCCAGCCCAGCATGCCCCCTCGGTGTTTCTCTCCTCCTTTACCGTGTAACCCTCTACCTGAGTTGTCTGTTTCTCCCAATGTTGTGGGTGATTTGGGGCCACTGCTATCATGCATACTCAATTAAAAGGATGCTCTCTGTACATCCCACATGAAATGACGTTTCAATTTCCCTTTGACTCGTAGCTACACGCAACATACAAGCATGAGATGCGCGAACAATCATACCGAAAGCGTATGTCCCAGCAAACTCCAATTCCACGATCCCAATGAACACTCACTGATAATATGAGGGTGACCCATTATATTCGTAGCTGGTAAGTATCAATCCCTAACCATCCTCTAAAGCACATTTTCATAATAAGTCGTCAAGACATCCTCTTTCATAGGCCCCGCAACAGCCTTCAACGCCTTGTGAGCCTCACACTCCGTATCATAATATTTCATATCCTCCATCGAAGCAAAAGTCGTCTTCACCGAGATATTATAGCCCTTGTTCCGGGGATCCTCGAACGATTGTCCGACAGCAGCAGCGACGATGTAAGGCTTGCCATCCTGTGCACGAGTCTTAAAGTCAGTATATCCGTGGCTTTTATGAAAACTCGATCAGAAAGGTGAGTAGTGCATGCCTTAGTCGCTGTCTTCGCAAGAACCTTGTATTGCTCCAGTAGACGGAGGCGATCTGCCTCATTGGGGACCTTGAAGAGGGTGATACGTTCGATAGGAGCCATTGTGGATGATGTGGACATGGTGCGTTTGAGGAGGGTAAGAGGTGTGCGGAACATTGGAGTTCTTATGTTATTCGATTGTTGGCTAGACGCGGGGTTGTTGAGGGTCGGAGTTCGGAAGCTCGGCGTGTAATTAGTGTTGGATTTACTACACAGTTAAGATTCTCTCGACGAGGAATCGGTATTGGTGCTGATGAATTGGTACTTCATGGGTATTTTCTTTTCTACTTTGATTTCTTGTGAGATAATTGAGTCTAGAGGGAGCGAGGAATATATTCTCCTGGGTTGAATCATGTCGCTATTGAGAGTGCGGAATGTGTTTGTTCGAAAGTGTGTGTTTAATTCCGCCCCGGGTATTGGGTTTGGCAGGGTGGGCGGAAAAAGCGCCTGGGGCTGCAGTAAGTCTTACCTCATTTGAACGGTAACTCTCGCGGTCCTGGTTTGGGTATATGAGTAGTTGATGAGGAGTTGTAGTCTGCATTTGTGAGATTGTACAGCTGCACAGAGACCTGTAATATGATCTATATAAGAAGACAGCTTGATGCGTGATGCATGTACCAACGTCTTCACGACTGCTGGATGCAAGTATGAACACATAGCGACCTTGATTCTCATAAAATCACAGATTGCCTCTCAGAGCCTGCTCCCTTTCAAATGCCTCAAAGAGACTCTTGAAGTTTCCCGCCCCGAATCCATCAAAATCACTTCGTTGAATAACCTCTACGAAAACTGTCGGCCGATCCCCGATGTGCTTCGCAAAGATCTGCAGTAGATACCCACGCTCATCAAAGTCAACGAGTACATTCAGCCTTTCCAGTACGTCCAGATCCGCAGCTAGTGTCCATGAGACTTTAGATAGTCGCTGCCTGAGATCTTCATAATATGCTGATGGGACTTGAAGGAATTGTACACCGCGTGCTTTGAGGTTCGTTACTGCGTTAACAATGTCGTGTGTGCGGAAGGCGATGTGTTGTACGCCTGCGCCATGGTAGTAGTCGACGAATCTGGGGCTGTTAGTTCCATTCCGGGGTGTGAAGGGAGGAGACACTTACTCTTCTATCTGTGATTTCTTCATGCCCGTTGCTGGTTCGTTCATGGGCATTTTGATTGTTTCGTTTGGAGAGGCGACTACTATCGAGCGCATGGCTGAGTATTCGCTGCACATTGCTTTGTCGTCGACTGTCCAGTAGCGGTGGAAGTCGAGGCAGTCTTCGTAGCTAGTATAATGTCAGGTTGGATTCTTCAAGGGCTATCGCTGCTGGCGACTTACTATTTAAGGATTCGGTCTAAGCCTCCCCATGACTGATTCCCAACGCAATGATCTATCTCGATGAATTCAATCGCAGGCAAGATCCGATTGATAGGGTCCCCATTAACATCGATGGTACGATATCCGGGTAAGAAGGGCGCATTTGATCTATAGTGTTCCCGGTTGACCAGCGAATGCACTGTATCGCCGTAGGTTCCAATCGTGGCCGTCGTGATGTGACCCATTTTATCCACTGAAATGGTCTCTGGCTCGGATATGGCGACTGCGCCACTCTCAATGGCTCGCTTCCATATGTTCTCGATCGTGCCTGTGACCTGGAACGCGACGTCTTTGACACCGTCACCGTGCCGAGTCAAGTGTTCGTGTATCGCGGCAAGCGTCGCTCGTTGTTCTTCTGTAGCATGTTGTAACACATTATTCTTTTCATCCCCCAGTGGCTCACAGACCGGTCCAGTTAGAACAAAGACCGCTGCGCCGTTGGCCACTACATAGCTAGCCAGGAACTGGGACCCCGTTTCAGGACCGCGGTATGCAATCGGCGCAAATCCCATGCGTGTGATATAGTATGACGCGGCTTGTTTGGGATTCCCAACGTACCAATGAACGTGATCGAAGCCGACGTATTCAAGGCTTAAGTCTGTTGGGAAAGTGGCTACCTTTGGGCTATTGGCGATGCTCATGGTGCCCACCTATGAATTAGCGAGGGCGTATACCGGCCACAACCGCATTGAACATGTCAAGTAGGAGAAATGTGCAAGATGGAGATAAGTTGAAATGAGGGGACGTATTGAGGTTGAGGATGTTTTAGGTTTCACATTCCTGCCGTCTGTAGCCGCATTCGATTAATCATTATTTGCGTTCAACAAATGAGATAATGCTGAAGTCATGTTCTTGATTTGGGTCAGGCCGGTGTTCCATTCCATCCATTCCATTCCAAGAATCGCTATCTCGTGGTGTGCTTTGCTTTCCGGGGTTGGAAAGCCGAGTCCATGGTTTATGTGTCCATCCATGAACGTAGATACCCGAGCTTGTTGCGCCGCGACTAGTGCCATACTTTGTATTCCATAGCTTGAACTGGAAACAGATCAAGAGAGCGACCCCTTAGTAATTTTAAAATGAAGGCGCGAGGACATGGCATTTTGATGGAACTTGTATCCAGGGTGCCGTAACCGGCTGAGCTTCAATGTAGCTTCAGCGCAGGGTCAGTCCTTGCCAGTGGGCTTGACGTGATAAGATGGCTTCGGTTAGCCCATTGTTCTGCCGATGAAATAGAGGGTATCCCAAGGACCTCAAATATCATTGACAGGCTCTGGTCGATTCTTGAAGAAGATCTTGTATCGCACGACCTCGACAATCTCCAACTCCTCCATCTCCGACCCAGCACGCTTCTGCAGCACTGCTATCGGTCGCGGCAGCTTCTTCACCTCGCCAGTCATGCGTTGATACCGACCGACATACAGATAGACTCGCTTCATCCACTTCGTGTCGTCTGGGTTGAGCAATGAATAGTCGGGGAACATGATCTTTCCGATGGGCGTTTCGACGGACGGGGCATTCAGATTGGGTGAACCATCTGGACTTGTGTCTGGTTCATGTTCTGGGAGGTTGATCGTGCCTTGAAGCTCAAGGAGCGCAAGGCCGGAGGGTGTTTGGAGGAGTTGCGGGAGAGGGTTAGTGAGAGGGAAGGACGATGTCTCTGTCGCTGATACAGCGGGCGCGGAAGAGCGCGTGTGTAATCGAATCGAAGGCATTGTTGCGGACTAGTGTGGGAGATTCTGCGAGTGAGGGAAAGTGCAGGTCTAACGCGACGCGGGTCGCGGGTGACCCCACACCGGTGTAAACTGCTGGTTTTGCCATCTTGGGCGGGAGTTCAGAACTACATGACTCAATGTAAAATGAAGGTGCATCACTGCTGATTGATAAACTCCATGCTCTTGTTTAAATCTTCTCATATCTATCACTGGGACGAATGGCTGCTGCTCGCCCATTTGCAGATGCAGGCGCTACATAGGTGACCGCCGCCTTACTGGTATCTTCTTGATATCCTTGTGATCCTGACCGCTTATACCTCGGGCGAGATCCTATGTGCATTGCTCTTGTAATGCAGAGCTTAAGCAACTGGGAGGAAAACATCAGCCTCGGCTTAGACCCAAGCGAGGAGTCGCGGAGATGTATAGTTAAGCAGAGGTCCTGTTGTCTGAGGACAAAGCAAACGGCCTATGCTTTGCAAAGTGTTCCACATACGCTAGATCACTGCCAAAGTCAGCCTCTTGTGTAATTGCTGGGACATAGTCACTTACCCCAACTCTTGCATACGAGCCCAATACGGTGGATCATCTCGAATTCATTTAGCCACATCGAGGCCAATCAGTTGGTTCTGTTCATCTCACGAAGTGCTCCTGTAGCAAGTATCCTCAAGATTCTGCAGACCCTTGATGGCCTCTTCAGCCACATTGTTGGCGGTGCCAGCTGGCCCCTGCAGCTTGCCATAGCGGAGATCACTCATGTCCCCAACAATGGTGCTGAGCTCTTCCAAAAGGCCTTCAGCTTCACGATCCACATCGGAGATCTCACGCTCGAGCGTGGCACACGCTGCCTCCATTTCAGCCAGAAGACTGGCTACAGAGTGGTAGTCTTCTGGGCCGGGATGAGTTTGACCAAACATGTGGAGATCGACATCCATTTCGCGCTGCTCATCTTTAGTGGCAGCTTCCACTTCCGTAGCAAGAGTGGCCTTGCGGAGCTCGGTTTTTTGTTGTTCGCCCTGCTTGAGCTCTCGGTCGATATTTTCATTGACCCGGTCCATGTCATGTTCACGCACTTGCTGTAACTCACGGTACAGAGTGCGGATGTGCGGATGATTGCGCAACCGCTTGGGGAAGAACTCTGTGAATTTCTGCAGGGACAGCACAGTTGGCAGCGGTGCGGGCGAGAGTAGAAAATTACTCAGAATTGATTCCTCTGAGGGTGCCATGATCATGAACTAGTCAGATAGGTTCAGGCGAAGATTCTGGTGAAGTATGCGTAGTCTCGATGCTGGGTCTCTTATCGCGAAATCGCGAAATCGCGTCACGCCTCCCGAATCTGGCAAAGCGCGGTCGCGAGAAGAGTCGCAATGAACCCAGGCCGTTAGTTACTGGATCAGGACTCTTCAGCGAACACCAGTCTGTAAGCACGAAATAAGTGGTGCACTATCGTGGTAGGTGTTGACGAAGTTGTTCCCGCACGGATCCAGGGGTCAGTGGCCGTTCCGCCTTTTGCATCAACCTCTTTCCATCGCCCTACGCGCAGCAACTGGAGCATTCAGAGCAACCAGAGCTACAAGACACTAGTCTCAGCCAACTACACGCCGAATTTGGCATCATATAAGGGTTCCAAGTTCGAAAAGGAGTGGAAATCTCCCCCAAGCCTGGGCAGAACGATTCAGAGCCATTGTCAAGGACATCTGGCATACTGGGCCTCGCCCCAGGCATCGCCTCTGCGGTCGAGAATCGACAATACAGCTCCTGCGTCTGAGTAAGACTGTTCGCGAGGAATTGAAACTGCAGCCCGGAGGCATCGACGACCCATTGCCTCGCCGATAAGATTCGCATTCAGGTCTTTTCCCAGATCTTAACTTGACTTATTCGATTCCCATTCCCATTCCCCTCCACTTTGTCTGTCTTCAATCTTTGTTTTTCATCATCATGCCACCATCAATGTACAGCAAGGACGAGAAGGTCCTCTGCTTTCACCAAGAGTTACTTTACGATGCCAAAATCCTCGAGGTGCGCTTGAAGGACCCCTCCGACAAAAAGAGCCCTCATGAATATCTGGTCCACTACAAGGGGTGGAAGAACACGTATGTACTCTTTTTCATTACCTTGAACCTGGACGCACTCTTTCGCCCCGCCAGCTTTCAGGCTCGATGTCTTGGTGCTGTTCTGCTTCTTTCCTACCTCACCATGATCCTTCTTCCCTCTCTCACGTTTTGCTTCACTTACATCTGCGAAACCTCTCAACACCACTAACATGGTGGATCGATTCCAAATGCGCTTGGTCGATAAGCCCAACCGGCGTCGTCTGTTGAGTCCCATCCCAACCTCACTGGCCTGTCCATGCCCCCTACATCACTGAAATACTCTCACTTCCATCTCGCTGGCGGCGAAATCCGCCAACCTTTTAGCGGCACGGGCTGACCACTTTCGAGTAGATGGGATGACTGGGTATTGGAGGATCGCCTTCGAAAGGCGTCCGATGAGAATCGTGAGCTGGCATCCAACCTGCGCCGCGATGTCGAGCAATCTGCCCGCAAGCAAGCAAAGCCCGCGTCCAAGAAGCGAGCCATGTCCGACCGCAGCTCGGTACGGGATAGCGAGGAGCGCGGCGCATCTGTGCCTGGCCGTGGTGGGAAGCGTGCGCGCGGAGAAAATGACATCGAGAAAGTAAGTTATCAGTTTTCATCTGCTTCTTTGCTTGTTGAGTTGATGCCTGCCCTACAAAAACACTATCATTTGCTTCTCTCACCCGTCTCATTCGTGCCATCCTTGCATCCTTTTAACTTTATACACCCTGTCTCTTCTACTCTTCCCCCCATCTTACTTCACTTCCTTGTCTTTCACCCAGCCCTTAGATTGCATCCTCGATATGGCTCGCATGAAGAAGCACGAGCCTTATCCTGAGGACTATGATGATCGCGAGGGATCTCAAAAAGTCGAAGAATCTGATTATCGCGAGGAATTATATGATCTCAAGGAATTTTGTGATTCTGAGGTATCCTATGACCTGGAGTTTCCCTATGATACCGAGGGGTCCTTCACCCCCCTGGAAATTGATAGTCTGAGGGGTCTCCCCCTCTTCTCTGATCTCGATGACTTCGATGAAGCTGGGAAATCCTATGATCTCGATGAAGTCTGTGACCTTGATGATCTCGAGGACGCTCATAATCACCGAGTTCGGAACGATCTCGAAGAATTCGATGATATCGAGGAAACCTATGATATTGGAGAGCCCTACGACTCCTCGTTTCTTTCATACCTATCTCATCCCCCTGGCGACTTTCCATTTGACTTCTACCCGGAGGACAACTTGGTCACCCACGAGGCGCTCGCAACTAATGACATGACAGGAGGAGAGCTTCAACATCCGTCCCAGCATCCGGATTGTGATGCCCGACAACCTAAAATCACTCATTGTGGACGATTGGGAGCGTGTCACCAAGAATGGCAGCGTCGTGGCTCTTCCGGCTCCCAAGCCCGTCCGCCAGATCTTACAGGACTGGCGCGACGAGGAGGAGCCTAAGCGTCGCGAAAATCGCATTGATGTTGACGTCCTCGACGAGGTCATCGCGGGCATGCTCGAATACTTCGATGTCATGCTCGACAAGGTCCTTCTATATCGCTACGAACGCGCTCAGTACCGTGTCTTGCGGAATAAGTTCCAGGATACGAAGAACTTCGGCCCTGTCGATGTCTACGGCGCCGAGCACCTCATCCGTCTCTTCAGTAGGTTGTCACTTGATGTCCTATTTTCTTCTTGACTGAATTTCAACTCCACAGGCCTTCTTCCCGAACTCCTCGCCCAAACCAACATGGACGTCTCGAATACTCAGCGCATGCGGGAAGAACTCTCCAAGCTCTCTCTTTGGCTTAGCCGGAACTCAGAGAAGTACTTCCGTACCGAGTATATTCCCGCCAAACAGTCCTACGACGAAGCCGACGACTCGTCTTCCTAAGGTAACCATTATGACTCAAAACTTGTCCTTTCGAATCAACCAAACTTGCCCACCTATCTCTTTACATTGATTTCGGGATTGTCTGGCGTTCTCAGCATATGTTGAGCTATTCCACAGAGTGTTTCTCCAACCACCGACCCTTGTTCTTTCTTATTTCTTTTTTGCTACACTGGATGTTTCCACACTGGTTTCTTCTATCACACGGCGCACATCTATCCGGCACTTATCATTACGTTTCTTGCCGGCCATGAGCATGAATATGAGCATTGGTTTCGCTAAGGAGGCACGTGGGATTCTGCGGGCTTGGGTTTCAACGGGTTATCAAAATCTCTAGATCTCAGCTCTTCTCCGTAATTGGAGCTAGGCTGACAGAAATACAAAATAACACCACAACTTGAATACTCAAAACATAGACTAATGATCTCAACCCTGCCGTTCCAAGTGACGCAGTAAAAGCAAGATTTTGAAGGGCAATTCATTCTCATTTTTATGTCAATGCTACGTCTAGATCTCAGACAAATACAACCAGCCCATCTCCATCCAGGGAGAGGATCAACCTACAAATCCAAATAAGCATTTAAGCAACAATTTGCCTCGCATCATCAACCGCACACCTGGCCGCCCTCTTCAACTCGCTCTTCCACTCCGTTTCTCTCCACTTCGACCAAGTCGTCAACCCTTCCGGCGGCTGAATGCTGAGCGTGTCATACCCTTGTTTGATGATGCGGTGCACCTCTCTCGGACTCAAATTCCTCTTCTTAATTGCCGGTAGTGCAACAGGCTTTGGCTCGCCATCCGGCTTCGGACTAGGCGCTACCGCCGTAGTTTCACCGTCAGACTGGAATAGAAGAGTGTAGAAATGCGTAGAGACGCTAAGAAGGGTTTCAACAGCTGCGGAGTGTGTGTCTTTTTCTTTTTCCCTTTCTTTGGGGAAGTAGACGTCGCGGAACTTGGAGATGACAGGTCCGGTTTCGACGAGCTTATAGAATAGGTCGTCGTAGGATGCTGGGTCCGGGAGGAAAGTATCGCCTGCCGAGACGGTGAATGCCATCAGGTCAGCAAGAGAGGTGGTTAGGGTGTTGATTTTGGGGTTGGATGTCAGGTCCGTGGCGTAGGTTGTTAGGAAGCGGGTTGTTGAGAGGAGGGTGCGCCAGAGTTCCGACCAGTGGTATGTGAGGCGGATTTTGTTCATTGAGAGGTATGTTAGGATGCGAAGGGTTATTGCGATGACGTGGCTGTAGATGTTCACGTCCAGGCGGCGGCGGAGATTGTGGGTGAGTGTGTCGATCATTATGTCGAGGATTACTGTTGCGGGGACCCGGTCGCCAGCGACGAGGGGAGGTAGGGCTGGCGTTGGCGGCAGAGACGGACTGTACGTTTTCCGCTATCGCTGCAGATGTGTTTGCAAAGGGTCGGGTCTTCGACTAGGATGCGGAGAGTGAACAGGCTTAATTCAGCGTAGTGAGCGCTTCTAATGGTGCGGTAGGCGTGCTGCTGGAGGTAGGAGGTCAAGGAGAGGAAGCTTGAAAAGGGTGATTCCTCGGTTTTGTTCTCGGGCATCATGTGGACCATGTGGTAGCCAAAGAGCTTATTCGAATTTGTGAAGTCATAGGTTGCCATCAGAATGGCGGCTTCTTGCGCGGGTCTAAGCATTATTAGCGGTGTATTTATTTCATCATGGGAACTCATGTCGTACAGAGCAGCAAACATGGCCTTTGCTTCTTCAACCGTAGGAGGAGTTGCTTTGTCTCGTGCACCGGGGGTAAGTGCCCGCAGGCCAAAGAAGACGAGTGTACTTGTCAAGTTCCAGCCTTCAGGTACATCATCCTGCACGGCGATATAGCCATTGCGCAGACCGCCACAAGTGAGACCTACGCCATGCACAACTTTTTGAATGCTCGATTCGTTGACGAAATCGTCGAGTCGCAACTGGTAGGGGTTTTGGAATTCAAACTTGTTGTAATTTGCCAAGAGCCCTAGCAGAAGAAAAGGGTCGAAAACTTGCATGGGTGTATCAGAGTCATTGACATACTATGATAATTAGTTCCAGCTCTTCGAAGAAGGTTTAGTAGTACATGCCTTCATCAGCGATGGGAAGAGATCGCGATGGGTAAAATACGAGACGAGGCTAGTCTTGTACGCCCCGCTGGTCATGGCGATGGCCACTCTGATTGCCTTGCGGCGCACCTCAACTAGAACATTATTAGCTTGTTCATCAAGATTGGAGACTACAAACTCGGATACTCACGATTACTGCCATTGCGAATGATCCCGTCCAGGACCGAGACAAAGTCAGAGATGACATGGTCGACTTCATCCAGCCCAGCTAGAACGGTGATGACATCTGAGCTAGGGTTTGTGTACTTCTTACTTAACACACTGGTCAAGAATATCGACAAGGTCTCAAGCGGGGGTCAGTAAAGGCAATTCTGCTAGCCGAATTGAGCACTCACATCCAATGCATAGGACGCAGCCGGCGCGACACCAGAAGCTGCCTCACGAGTAGCGCGGGAGAAAAGACGCTGCGTTTGTGTCTAATTCGGATTGGATTAGAACAATGTAGGTTGAAACATATCAGCAAACAACTCACCTGCAGACTCAACGTCTCGTCAGCACTCAGACCGTCCAGCAGTGCATGCAGCTGGCTGCGATTCGGAGACAGCAAGAAGAACTCCCTCCAGAAGCCCTCGGACAGCTCTGTATCATCGTTCTAGTCGTGTCAGTGGTGTATCGCACATGGTGGGGTGTAACATACTTTGAAGAGAGTCTCGTAAAGCTGCACAATCTTGGGCTGAAAGGTCTCGGGTCTCGTTTGCTGGGTGAGGGGCGATGCCTCCATGGTTCACAGCACTTTTGAGAGGAGTGATTTACACCTTTGCACACAGATGTTTCTTTGACGAGTTCACTATTCACGTCCGGAGCCGGAGTTGCTTGGCAGTGACACCAGCCACTTGCGGATCCAGCCACATGGCCTTTTTTAAGGTACGGATTGAATGAGATTGGGTTGACTAATGGGACCCGTATCGAAGGTCACATCTATGAACTATGGCGCTGTGTGTGTGTGTGTGTGTGTGATTCAAGGTGGACCTAATATTTAAGATGATGGTTTTACTGCATACTCGATTTTTCTCTATTCAGTGGCTCTGCGCACCTCGCGGCTTCCGGAAATCGCTAGGTTCCTCGTCATGTGATTTGCATCAGTTTGCGTGAATCGGAGGATGACCATGAAGGGAGATGGGTCTCTCATGTTACATTGCCCATAATGGTCTTATTGCAGGAACAAATGTATTAGTACAGTCATTATCAGACAAATCCTCACCAATACATGAGTCTAGTCCAGTATAGAAAAAGGACAACAAGGGTCAAAGTGGCGCCACCGCGAGGAGATCAAATACATCAAATACATGCACTCTGATTGGCTGTGCTCACGTCATGCAACCAGGGTGACTAAGCTACCCCAGGAGTGTCGGAAAGAACAAACACGACTTTCTTTCCACACCATTCAAACATCTTTCCTACTCTCTCATTTCGACTGAACTTTACATGTGTCGTTAGCCATATACACAGAGATCCTCGCCTCACCGATTGCTCCCCATCATGAGTCTCTGCAGCACCATGCATCGTTCAGTGACATCATCCGCCACCCTCCTCCGCCAGGCTTTGCCCTCGGCAGGCCCCCGCGGCGCTCTACGCTGCTTCTCATCTTACGGAAACACATATCAGTCCTCGAAGCGGGACATGCAGACTGCGACCGCCTACCGACCTCATACACTTCCTTCCTCTTTCCCGGTGCCTCGCAGCTCCGCCGGACAAGACACTTCGATCTCCGCCGAATTCTCTCTCCCGTCCGACATTTCCAAGCCCTCGTCACAATCTCAGTCATCCCAGGTCAGCGTACGTGAAGGGGAAGCTCAGAAGTCCAAATCTGTGTCGCCCACAACATCCAAGACTTCCCAGACTTCTCAGACTTCCCCGAAACCTCGTCGGCCATTGCGGGCAAGAAAGGCTGCCATGAAAGTGACCCCGCTGGCTATTCAGCAATTACGCAAGCTCATGGATAACCCCGAACCGAAGTACATTCGAGTAGGTGTTAAGAACCGTGGCTGTTCAGGCCTGGCATACCACCTCGAGTATGTAGAGAAGCCGGGCAAATTCGACGAAGTAGTGGAACAAGACGGAGTGAAGGTTTTGATCGACAGCAAGGCCTTATTCAGCATCATCGGCAGTGAAATGGACTGGCACCAGGATAAGCTGAGCCAGCGCTTCGTCTTCAATAACCCCAACATCAGTAAGTCTCTTCGGCGATCACCTACAATTACGTTCCATTTTCAGTGGGCTGACTTATGACTACAGAGGAATCATGCGGGTGCGGAGAGTCCTTCATGGTCTAAGCGCTCTTTCTCGATATCTTGATTTTTCCGTTTCTCGGCGTCTTGTCATACGGTGCATTGGATGGCGTTTTTTTTTTAAATCATTGTCAACGGGTGATTTGGGATCCGGGGCCGTTTTACCGGCCTAGTACATACGCTCTATATCCATCGATACTTTGTCTCCACCGGTCTCTCTCCGCGGCTATTTTGCCGCTCCTTCGTTTCCCAAGGGAAGTTCTAGACTGCTGGCTTAGGCTGTCCCTGTTCACATTGGCCTTTGTATGCTCAACTCGGCCTTCCTCCTGTTTTCACATTTTCTAATGTCTCTTGGAACAGACAAATTCTGTGATACTACTTATATAGACCAGGCCATTCGACTATAAATGAAATGACATATACCTCAATGCATACCCTATGTGATTGCGTAGGACCTATATCTCATCATGTTATTGTTTAATGCATTGATCATGCCATAAGTGAGTGCAGTGACTGTTCCCGCATCGCTGATGTCACATGATGGGAGCCTCCGCATCCACCTCGGACATAGCTCCGACACTTTCAATAACTTGAGGAGATCCCATGAACGAGCACTTAATCCAGAGAGCACCTAGAATGGCGTCACAAGCCCTGCTCTCCCCCTACGGCACCGTCGCTAGCGACCCTGTCACCGACGCTCTCCTAATAATAGTTCGCTTCTCCGCCTCCATCCCGGACCTCCCTCTTTGACGTCCCAACTCCCGACACAACAACAGGCGCCGGCCTCAAACAACTAATCCGCGCCAAACTCCCCTCGAATCTATCCTCCCACCGCCTCCGTCTCATCTATGCCGGCCGTGGTCTAGAAGACTCAACCGCCCTGACAACATCTCTGAAGCTCCCCTCATCACCAACCCGATCACCCCACCCAGACTCAGAGCATGAGGACTCTCAAACTGAAAATGGAAAAGGAAAGCAGGCCGTCCGCGACAGTAGACCCCGGATCTATATCCACTGCTCCATAGGCGACATCGCACTCTCCGAAGCAGATCTCCGTGCCGAATCCGACATGTCTTCTACTCTACTCCAGAAACAGAATGAGACTTCCCTCCCATCTGTGCCAACCCGTACCTCTCCTCCACCACCAACCACAATTCCCGCACCTCGGGGCTTCGACCGTCTTCTCAGTGCAGGCTTCACCGCATCCGAAGTCACAGCCCTGCGCTCGCAATTCCTTGCCGTCCAATCCGTGTCCAGAACACCGGATACCATGCCTACGGGTGAGGAACTGCGTGATTTGGAGGATCGGTGGATGGATGAGGGGTCGACGGCTGCTTTGGCGCAGGCTGGTGGGGACGGTGGGGGTGGGGATGATGACGGGGGGTTTGGGGGTGGTTCGAGGAGTGCGATGGATGATATGCTGTGGGGGGCCGTTATGGGATTTTTTTGGCCGATTGGGTGTGCTATGTGGTTGAGAAGGGAGGAGGGGGTTTGGAGTTGGAGGAAGGGTGTTGCTGTTTTTGTGGGAGTGGTTGTTAATGCTGCTTTTGGGGCTATGAGGATTATGAATTGAGGAGAATAATGGTTGGGATGGAATAGTGTGGTGTAGCGTTCTATATTTGCATGAGATACCCTAATTAGCGTTTATTTCTACCATTGCCAGGGCTTGGCAGTACACCACTGATGTATATAGAGATGAGATGGTTACTTGGATTTTGATAGTATAACCGTTGGTTCTTCGGTCATTGCACGTAGGAGGGGATCGTCCAAATGATCTAGTATTTGATTACAGTGAGACTTTACAGACGAGGCTTTCGCTCTCGTCAACTCACAAAAATGCTAGAATACAACATCTCAAATAGGAGCTGAATCCCTTCAATTAACGCCAAAAAACCAAACGCTAATGGAACTTGCCGTAGATAACGGCGAAAATCAAAAGAACAAGCACTGTGATGATAGCGATAGTAATTATCCGATTTGTAGCCATCCTAACCAATGTCAGTCAGCTCATTGAGACTGTCGGGGAAAGGTGGAAGGGATCATTACCTACGGGCCATGCCCCTCAAAGTCTTAATGCTAGTATCCACATATCCCTCACTCTGCTGTAGGTTGTCCCGTGTGTGCTGGATCGTCTGGCGCTGGCCGTACAGATCTGCCAGCACATTACGGCCCACGTCTTCGGTCTCCAGCGCCTGTCGCTGACTTGACTGGAGTCGTGCGGAGCTGCGCTCAAGACGTTCAGTCCCGGAAAGCAACTGTTGGCGCTGCTCCAGATGCTCATCGACTGGGTCGTCGGTGTACCGGTCACCGAATAGCGCTTTGCGGTCGTCCGAGAGGGATTTCAGCTTGCGTTTGATCTCGTCTACGTCTGTTGAGTAGTTGCGGAATCGCATATTGATCTTGGAGCGTGCTGATGATGGGATATTCTGCTTCTCCAGACGCATTTGGTCCAGCTGTTGCGGATTGTTAGTTGGTGGTTTACAGGCTGCGAGGGTCGGGTAATCGCATGAATCCATAGGTTGCGAGCGACTCACGAGTTCTGTGGCTTCGTCGAGAACTTGCTCGGCTGATCGGATTGCGGCCTTGCGCTGCTCGCCGCTGGCTTCGGCGATCTGGTCGAGCTTCTGGTTCAAGTCGGCTTGGACCAACTTCAGCTCATTCTCGTAGCTGGAGAACAACTCCGAACCGGCATCTGTATCGAGAGGGTTCGACATCTTGAGAGGCGTGTAAGGTATGTGGTTTCAGAAAGAACGTGTTCGTTGTCTGTTGCGCGAGGACCGAGTGGCAGTTGGGACCGGAGGCTCCACCGTTATCTGGGGACGGGTGAAGCTGTTCGGAGCCGCCGTGCGGAGCTTCTGTGCAAAGAAGATTACTTAGTCCGGTTCCTCGTGGAGGAGTAGAGAATGAGTCCCGAGGGCGTTAAATTATCGTTATGAAATCTAGATATTTGAAATTGTGAGGCGATTCCTCGGAGGCTGGGTTGAGTTTCCCACACGTGATTTGAAGCCGGCGTTACAACGGATACCCGGTGATAAGTAAGATAACCGAGGAAGTCGAGGGTCTTCTTTGAGATATTTCAGAATAGCCCAGAACCCAAAGCAGTGCTGATTTTGAATGTATGCTGCAAGTCCTGCAACAATCGATAGACACAGAGCTTGACATTCGATCCCTTGCTCTTAGTCTACATCAAACAGCCTTGGAACGACGCCGTAATAACATCCAATCCTGTAACATTAAATCAAGCCTAGACAAGCACATTTCGCCTTTTTCGAATAAACAAATGAATACCCCCATGGAATACATATCATGGAACTCCTCAATCACTGTTCTCCACTCATAGCATTATCCAGCTCTAAAGAAGGAATTTGCTGCTGTCTTGAGCGACTATCAATGCACTGCGCTTCGCATCAAGGAAAAGATCCTCGCATTCGGCAACATCTGCAGCCTCGATGCCACCAGGACGTCCGTTAATGCGAGCCAGAATGCTCGCCGGAGTCAGCAGTTGCAACGCATACCGCAGGCTCACCTTACTGCCATGCTCGGCAACCTTGTCAAGAGCGGGCTCAGTGATGTTCAAGCCTTCAGTCTTTGCGCGGAGACGAATGATGGTCTTGATCTCTTCAGGGCTGTAAGGGGTGGTCGGAACAATGAGAAGACGGGCGAGCAGGTCGGGGGGAATACCGTGGGCAGCGCTGATGTCGTCGGTGCCACGGATAACAGTATTGCCTCGGTTGGAGGCGAGGATGACGATGGGGGAGATAGAAGACTCAAGAGCACGGTTCAGATATGTGAAGCACTCAATGTCGAGCATGTGGACCTCGTCAATGAAGAGCACGCCGGGAACCAGCTCGGCGACACCCTGGTCAATGTACCGGTTTACAACCTTGTTGATCTCTTGACGCAGCTTGTCGGTGATTTCGGTTTTCTTAGGCTTCATGAGCTGGCCCATCATGCTCATAACGTCCTGGCCACCCTGCGGCCGAGCATTGGCCATATCCAAGTCGTGGAGAGTCACGTCCTGGACGATCTCCTTCTTCTTGTGAACCTCGCCCTTAGGAACCGGAACATACTCCTCCGCCTCGAGATCGAATTCGGTTGCATAGGCGTCTGACCGTCCAACACGCTTGCAAGCGCCAGTGTTGGCCTCAATGTAGATGACGTCTCCCACGGTGACCCGCTCCTTTTGGATGGCCTCGTAGATGCTGGGGTCCAGGCGGAGCTTCTTGGTACCCTTGGCCGACTTCAATCCGATAATCAAATGGCTAATCGTGCGTCCGTATCCGCCAGAGGATTCTCGGTCTCCTCCGGGGTAAGCTCTGTGACTTCACCCTCGTACACCTCCTTGGTCTCACGAACTCGCAAACCTAATTTCGTGTTAGCTATCGCCTTATACAAGTATCATCTTGTTGCGTACCAATTGCGCGTCGGAAGTTCTCCATCAAAGCCTCCGTCTTCTTGACCTCTGCAGAGTAGATCTCACTGCCAACAATCGGGCAGAAGGGAACCTTGGTTCCCAATTCCTGCGAAACTGCGAGAGCGAGCGCGGTCTTTCCGGTACCGGGGCCACCAGCGAGCAAGACAGCTCGGCCAGCCATCTTCTTCGACTTGATGAGGTCGACTACAACACCGCATGCCTGTGATCGATAGCAGCCAGTTAGTTGGGGTTCTGCAAGGATGTATCTCTCCCCGTCGATCTAGAGCTGACACGTACCTCGCGGGCACTAGTTTGCCCGACAAATCCATCACCGGATGCCTCTGAGGTACCGTCGGAGCGCAGTCCCAAGCCCTTGATGTGCGTGTGCGCCGCAGTCCTATTCTCTCGCGAGTTGGACTTAACCTCGTTGATCTGGACCATGGTAGAGGGAATGAACAGGTGAATGAAGAAAAAAAGAAGCTGGACGAGCTCAAAGAAATGGGTCCTGTCGCAGATGCGCCTAGAAATTCGCGAGCAACCTTACGTTGGAAGGGGACGAGGCGCTGACTAACCAATTTTCGCGCTCCCAAATTCTTCGCTCATCGACACGAACTCACATTGAACTTGCCATTGGTCTCTGTCAACATGGCCACTCCATTTTCTCTCACTGCGGCTTTCCGCGGCCTAGCATTATCCGCACCCAAGCGATCCTTCTCGACATCACTGGCATGCCAGTCCGACAAGAAACTCCCCGAGCACATCCCGGCCTATCCCCATGGCCCCCGACAGTGGTACAAGCAGGCCGATACTGGTCTCTACGGCGGTGCCATGATTCGTTTTGGTAACAAGATTTCCGATGGACGCAACAAGGGCAAGACAAGGCGAAGCTGGAAGCCCAACGTCCGCCGACAGAAAGTGTGGAGCGAGGCGCTCGGCGAGCACCTTCGCATTAAAGTTACGCGCGAGGCGATGCGTTCGATCTATAAGGAGGGTGGCCTCGACAACTACCTCATGAGCGACAAGAATGGTCGCATCAAGGATCTCGGCATGTTCGGATGGGAGCTTCGGTACAAGGTCATGCAGACCCCGGCCATCCAAGAAAAGTTGCAGGCCGAGCGGAAAAAGCTTGGACTGGCAGACCCTCTGCCGTTTGATGAGTGGATCAAGACTAAGGAGGCCGAGATCCAGGCGAAGGTCGAGGAGAGACTCAACATTCAAGCCATCACGAAGCCCCGCCCGAAGGGCAAGGCCGACATCCAGAACCAACGACGTGCCCAGCTCGACCAGCTCGACCAGCTCGACCTTTAAAACGGGCGACATCTCTTTCTTGTCTGGAAAACATACGGTCTCAATTCCTCATTGACGAGACAAAACGGACTGGCGCTACTTCCATTGTATCATTACCGCGACGAACTGCTTGACGCTATTCCACCACTACTGTTCACCTCTTTCGAACCATACCTGCGCCTCATGTGTTGACCAACATGATGGCAGCCGTTTCGTGCGATTGTATTGGGCTTGCATATTAGAAATTCTGTGTACTTATACTCCACATCCATGTTTTGAATTTCAATTGCCTTCTTGTAAACCAGCTAAGACCACGGTCTTGTAATTCATGATCATGTATGTATCTCGTGTGTCTTTGACTGCCATGTGCAAGCGTGATAGTCCACAATAGGTCGATTCTGTCCTCTGCTCTACCCAATTCGTTTTCTCATCTGAGACCTTGACTCTTGCAGGTAAGAAGCTGTGATGGCCACAAAACGGCCACGATATATCTGGTATCGATCCAATGCTCTCAACCAGGCTCAAATCCGATTTTGGTATAAAAGAAATAGTTCAAAGCACTACCATTAGTTATCACCCCTTGTTTGATCGCCAAGAATCCTTATCTGCATCGCTCAAAACGGTGTTATTGTTGGTATGCGACCCGCACCCCCGGATTCGTCGACCGGCCACAGCTCGGAAATGAAACTCGCTCCCGACACCCTGCATCTCATTTCACCGACCTTGCAATTGCGCTCAATTTAAATGCTGCACTCAAGCCGTTAATTCTACTGCATTCATATCCGGCACTTCAGCGCCGGGGTCCCTCATTATGCAGTTCGCCGTGCCTCCGCGGAAGAGCGTTCCAGGCGCTCGCTCCTCAAGAATACCGCCCTACCGGCGAAAACAGCTCAAGACGATCGCGATTATCGCCTTTGCAATTCTTTCCATCCTCTATTTGTTCTCGCACTTCTTGTCCTCGAGCTCGACATCCGTGGCGCCGTCCGCTACGGCTGGTGTGGTCATCGTGACCTTGTTGGATTATGAACGATTCAGCGAGAGCTATATTAACAAGCTTGTCGCGAACAGGGAAGACTACGCGACACGCCATGGTAAGCTCGCTTACTCACTCATCTTGCTGGGTTCATAGTTCAATCAGGAAGAGAGTGGGACTGACGTGTGCTGCGCTAGGGTATACCAATTTTTTTGCAAGCGTCTCGGACTACAATGAAGCTTTTGGTGACTCTCCTCGAAGCTGGGCTTTGGTTCCAGCCATGCGCCACGCCATGGCGCTTAACCCGACTTCGAAATACTTCTTCCATCTGAACGCGCATGCCCTTATCATGAACCCTGCGCTATCGCTCAAATCACACCTTCTAGAGCGCAACAAGCTCGAGTCTGTCATGTTGAAGGATGCCCCTGTTGTGCCGCCGGATAGCATTATCAGGACATTCTCGCATCTGAAGGAGAAGGACGTCGATCTGATCGTGACGCAGGACAGTGAGGATCTGAACCCCGGGAGCTTCATTCTGAGGAATGGCGACTTTGCGCGCTATTTCTTGGACTTGTGGTTTGATCCGCTGTTTCGCAGTTACAACTTTGCTAAGGCGGAGACTCATGGGCTGGTATGTTTCTTCGGGGGGTGGTTGTGGGCTTCGGAATCTGGCTGACTGTTTTAATTCTCTTCAAGGATCATATCATGCAATGGCACCCGACTGTTCTCTCCCGGACTGCCGTGGTCCCTCAACGCTATATGAACGCGTTCAGTGATTCGACAGCTGCCTCAGCTGATGGTGCATACAAAGATGGCGACTTCATCATTCGCTTTCCTGCGTGTGAACAATCCACGACTCGCGACTGCCCAGAGCTCGAAGCTTACTACAAGATATGGCAGAAGAAATATAAGAGCGAGCGGGACACCTGAGGTTGATTGACGTGCTCATGGCTCTTTCTGTACGATAATATGATTTGGAGTTTGGGTTATACTGGTCTCATATAGCGCGAGGCTATCCTTTTCTTCCTCTTTCACTTGGCGTGCATAGGTTCACGGGAATATGGCCATTATTCTGATTTCCATATTCGACTTTCGGAGACACAATTCGTAAAGTGTGGTCTTAATATCTATACACATCCTGCGTAAAAAAAACTTGAGTCTTGAGTCTGGGACTCGTGTAATAGATAGACTTGGCTTGTCTGTCCATTAATTTCCTATTTCAATATTTCCCAGCATTTCGTCCACGGAGAAGGGGACGTTTTTCTCACATAGAGACTGGTAAATTCCACACCTAGCAGAGGAAGGGGAGAATGACAGTCTTCTTCTTCTTGTACTTGTCACCGAATTCCTTGCGGTAACGCTTCTCCTTCTTCCAACCCCAGCTCCACATCTGCAGCCCACTCACAACAGTGAAAAGAAGAACACTCCAGCTCAACTGACTGACAAGGTAAACACCAATCCAGGCCAAGATCTCGAAGCAGTAGTTAGGGCAAGTCACCCAGCTGAACCCGAATCCAGAGGGGATACCACGCTCAGTAGTACCGGGCCGACGCAAGTCACGCAAAATAATGTGCGCGTTCAAGTTAGCCACCTCGCTGAAAATGAACAACGCGAGACCGGCATAAACGAGGGCAGTGTTGGGTGTTCGAGTGGCCGCGCCCGCGTCGGGGCGGAAGACCCAGTAGGCGATGTTGAATCCAGAGAGCGCCCAGTAGTGTGCACTGTTCTTGAAGATGTTGCGGGCGGGCATGGTAGCGTTGCTGAAGCGGTGCACGAAGATGGTCTCGTATTCGCGCTTCAGGAAGTGCAGGGTCAGGAGAGCACAGACTAGGATCTGGGTGTTGGAAGGTGCGGGAATGGTCTCAAAGTTGAAGTACAGAAGAGAACGGAGGGGGTAAAGGAAGAGGGCTGGAATCAGGAGGGGGCCCAGGTATTCGATGATGAAGACGGTGCGCCATGCGATCTGGGGGCCTGGTTGGAAATTTGATGTTAGCTTTGCTCGGTGACGCGGGAGGTCTTTCAAGTCCATATCTGGCGGGCATTTCGACATACCCAGGTCCTTGACGTGAATCACGCTTGACTCCCGGAGACCGGTGTCGTCGATGGTGGTGCCCTTGTCATTGGGAACCACGCTGCGGTCGCTTCCCTTGGTAATGCGCAGACGGTGAACGGAGGCACCGGAGGCCTTGGCAATGGAATTATGCAGCTCCTCTCCATTGGTGTCGAGGTTGACTGTAATGGTCTTAGGGAGCTTCTTGATGGGTTTACCTTGTTTGTTGTTAGCTTTGTGCAAATACAGTGATTTTCTCCGAGAGCTCAGGTTCGAGCGAGGAGCTGAAGATTCATACCCCGCGGCTCGACGGCGAGCGTGATCTGGGACGCCATGATCAATATGGCAAACTCAATCGGTTTGAAACGACAGAGTGAGTAGGTCGAGGTTTCCCAGTGGTATCGAGAAATGTTGAGAACCTCGGTTGACCCCACGTGATATTGACACCTGAGGTTGGGATTATACTCGCCAGGCGTAAACAATGCACAGGCTCAGCAACAGGCACACATCACGTCGCGGTGGTTTAAAGCTGAGCCATGGAGAGAAAATCAAGCTATGTATACGAATGTATGTGGACATTGGCCTAGTCAGGCTCAGAAAGATTGGGAGAAGCAAATTCACTGGCTCATTTTCCTCTTGGTGCAGTATGGACGGCTCCAGGATTTACCACATCACGAGACTATTATAGTGAATTCGATAAGGCTGCAAACCAACATTGAATATTTGTGCGTAACTGTGCTGACAGAGAATTGCAAACCGAATCGGACTAACTTGAAACCACCACGAGATAGCCTTAGCAGCATGAATTGCAACGCAACGCGAGGAAGTCTCGGCAGCAGGAAAACGGGCTGAGCTGAAAGAAGCCCGCTCGAGAGGCGGAGTCCAGCGGATCCATAAACGGGCGCGAGAAAGGGACACGCAGATCTGCTAATGTTCGTTGCCTGGCTAAGGCCACGAGGCCGGCGCGGACTAATTGCTCAGCCGCAGTTAGTCTGCCCGAGCGTCGCCAATGAACGCCTCGTCCAGCAGGGACTAACCGGGGTTCCCGGGCCTGTCTTTGGCCAGATCGCTGGTGGGATGCTAGCGCACCCGAGCTCGTGCTTTCGAATTTGTTTGCTGTGCATATCGAGATGCTCGTTAAACAAACAGAGGATCCGCATTGGCCAATGCATTCCCCACCGAGTTAATGCGAGCTGTCAGAGTGCCAATGACGCTGGGGCAATTTGATGGTGAGACTCAGCTGGCGGCCTAGCGAGGGACGCCTCGAGTTCATTCCTCTGAGTGTTGATAATCTCTTTGTCAGTTTGTCTTTTCTCTCGAGGTTGACTCGGACTCGGGCATGGCGAAGCAAAGAGGCGGGGAATGGGGAAAGGCAAGTAGTTCACATGGGGATTCCGTCTGGGACGCACGAATGAGAACTGCTCCAACATTCGCATGCAAGTGGGGCGTCGCATGTCCTTTCCCAGATGTGCATCGTGGACCCGGCTTAGGGTTGTGGCACTAGATGTCTTCGAGAGGAAACTATGCACACGCTACTCGTGTGCCTGGGTTGAGGGGCTATTTCAGCCGTAAGCTGGCCCCCCCATCACTTGCTTTATATCTCCCTATCCTCCGCGACCTGAGGATCTAGTTTTGCTTGATCCCTGTGACGTGATCTGTCTGACCCTTGTTAGGTTTTGCCGTTTCGCAGAGGTGGAAGTATCCTCGCCACTCCAGTCTCCTGTCTCCCTGCCTTAGACCCTTTGGCAAAGTGTAGTAGCTTCATCAAATTGGTCTACAGGTGTGTGCATCTCTTTGGCAATCCTGTTCCATGTTTTGCGCCCGGCTCGCGCTTACTTCTCGAGTACCTGCCAGAACTAACATCCTCGGTCCGCATCCAGAAAATCGTCAATATGGGAATCTCTACACTGTACAAACGCCTCTCCAACCCAGACATGTTTGACCGTCGCAGGAAAGCTGCCAATGGCAGCAAAGTCCCCTTGTCCAAGTTGAGCAGATCGTTGAGGCGTCCTTGAGGCCCTTGCCAACTGAGACTGGCGATGGAACCTACATCAAGGAAGAAAAATCTACTGGCATTATCAAAGACATCCCTCACCTCCCCATCAAGGATCTCGAGGGCTTGGCGGTGACGGCGAAAAGCGCAATCACCGGTGATGATGTCAATGACAGGGAGTATATCATGGAACAAGTGATCGAGGTATGTCTACAGTGGTAAGCGAACACCTGCACTCTCTCACGGTTCAATAGGTTGCGGCAGACTTGCCTTCAACTTCACACATTGGAAAAGAACTTACGAACACTTTCCTCAAAACTCTATGGACTGATCTGCAACACCCTCCTATTACGTGAGTTAGACATCTTTGATTCCGAGCTGATAAACCGGAGGATATACTAATTGAACATTGCAGCTCCCTTGGGCGTGATGCCTTGTACCGGAAGGCGGATGGATCAGGAAATGTCCGTGCTGCTTTTCCTGATGATAAGATTTCTGCTAACGTCTGCACAAGAATCTTCTCTGGCCTCAGATTGGCGCCGCTGGGACTCCCTATGCCCGATCGGTCCAACCAAAGAAAATGCGGTCTGCTTCACTTCCAGATCCGGAGCAGCTTTTCGATAGTTTGCTAGCGCGGAAAGAGTTCAAGGAGCACCCCGCCAAGATTTCTAGCATTCTCTTCTATCTGGCATCCATTATTATTCATGGTATGGCATGAGCACCAATTCTTGAAAGCTCCAAGGCTCGCGCTGACGAAGGCCAGATCTCTTCCAAACCAATCCTCGTGATGCAAGTTCGTCTTTGACATCCTCATATTTGGACCTGCAGCCTCTCTACGGCAACAACCAGGACGAGCAGAATGCGGTGCGAACATTTGAAGATGGAAAACTCAAGCCCGACTGCTTCTCTTCAAAGCGTATTCTTGGCTTCCCTCCCGGTGTCGGTGTCATGCTGATCATGTTCAACCGCTTCCACAATTTCGTCGTCACACAGCTGGCGGAGATCAATGAAGGCGGCCGATTTACCAAACCAGATAAGTCCAACACCACAGCCTATGCCACCTGGGACAATGATCTCTTCCAGACCGCCCGTCTGGTTACTTGTGGTCTCTACATCAACATCGTATTGAAGGACTACGTCCGGACCATTCTCAACTTAAATCGAACTGATAGCAAATGGAGTTTGGATCCTCGAGCTGAAATCAAGTCGGCCACCGAGGCCACTGGTAACCAGGCCTCGGCGGAGTTCAACCTGGTCTACCGATGGCACTCCTGCATCTCGCAGCGCGATCAGAAGTGGTCTGAGGATCTCTATAAAGAGGTGTTTGCAGGCAAAGATCCGCACACAGTGAACATGCAGCAGTTTGGCTGTGGCTTGGGACGGTGGGAGGCAAAACTTTCCGAGGACCCTCTCGAACGACCATTTGCGAACCTGAACCGCAACGCAGATGGAACCCTCCCTGACGATGACCTCGTCAAGATCTTTGAAGACAGCGTAGAAGACGTTGCTGGTGCCTTTGGAGCTTCCAATGTGCCGGAAATTCTCCGCAGCGTTGAGGTCCTTGGCATTAAGCAGGCACGTAACTGGAACCTGGCCACCTTGAACGAGTTCCGATCATTCTTCAGCTTGGACCCATACAAGACTTTCGAGGAAATCAACTCAGATCCATATATTGTTGACCAGCTCAAACACTTCTATGACCACCCCGACCAAGTGGAACTCTACCCAGGTATCATTGTGGAGGATGCGAAAAAGGCAATGGCCCCGGGCAGTGGCCTCTGCACCAACTTTACCATTTCGAGAGCAGTCCTCTCGGATGCGGTTGCTCTTGTCCGTGGTGACCGCTTCTACACTGTTGACTATACTCCCAACAATCTTACAAACTGGGCCTACAACGAGGTCGATTACGACAACTCGGTAGATCAAGGCCATGTCTTCTACAAGCTTGTTCTGCGCGCGTTCCCCAACCACTTCCGTGGAGACTCAATCTACGCGCACTTCCCCATGACAATTCCCGAAGAGAACAGAAAAATCTTTGCCAATCTCGGAATGGCTGGCATGTACAGCTTCGATAAGGCCACTTACAGCCCCGCCCCCAAGCTGATCAACTCCCATGCTGCCAACAAGGCTATTCTTGCGGACCAGGAAGCTTTCAAAGTGACTTGGGGAAAGAAGATCGAGTTCCTCGTACAACGTGATGGTCATCCCTATGGACGAAACTTCATGCTGTCTGGTGATCTCCCGGCAAATGCAGCATCTCGAAAGATGATGGGCAAGGCTCTTTATCGGGAGAAGTGGAGAGAAGAGGTCCAGGCGTTCTATGAAGATATTACCTTGCAACTTTTGAAGACGAAATCATACAAAGTCGCTGGTGTCAGCCAGATTGACATCGCTCGAGATGTCTCCAATCTGGCTCATGTTCATTTCTGTGCCAGCATCTTCTCTCTCCCGCTCAAGACAGAGTCCAACCCCAGAGGTATTTTCACTGAGGTTGAGCTCCACCAGATCATGACTTTGATCTTCACCTGCATATTCTATGATGTTGATGTCTCCAAGTCTTTCCAGCTTGAGCAAGCATCCCGTCAGGTCTCCCAGCAGCTTGGCGAGCTGGTCATGGCCAACGTTGAGGTTGTTGACAAAGCTGGAATCGTCGCCCAAATAGTCAGCCATCTTCACCGTCATGATGCCTTGAGTGACTATGGCGAGCATATGATCAAGCGTCTACTGGATAGTGGACTGCCTGCCAAGGAAGTTGTGTGGACACATATCCTTCCGTCGGCAAGCTCGATGGTCGCCAACCAAGCGCAGCTGTTTGTTCAGTGTCTTGACTTCTATCTTGAGAAAGAGAACGCGGCTCATCTGGCGGAGATCCAGCGTCTGTCGAAGGAGACTTCGCCAGAGTCTGACGAGCTGCTTCTACGATAGTGAGTTTTTCTTTTTTTCATAATCCCCAATCATCAGTCAATCAATTCTCACTGACTGTGCGTCTACAGCTTCATGGAGGGTGCCAGAATTCGCTCATCCGTTGCAGTGCCCCGTGAGGTCGCAAAGCCTACAGTCATCGATGACAACGGAGAGAAGTTGACTTTAAAGACTGGCCAGCAGATTCTCTGTAATCTGGTTAGTTTATAATTTGCTGCCTGACATACCCTTTTATTAACCATAATTCAGGTTGCCGCCAGCCACGACCCCGTGGCCTTCCCCGACCCCGAACAGGTCCGCCTGGACCGTGACCTAAGCGAGTACATATTCTTTGGACATGGCCCTCACCAGTGCCTCGGCCTTGATATTTTTAAGGTCGCACTACCGACCATGCTCCGAATAGTCGGTAAACTGGAGAACCTCCGCCGCACCCCTGGACCCCAAGGTCAACTCAAGAAGCTCAAGGTGATTGGCGGCATCACCATGTACATGGATGCTGAGCACAGTAGCTTATCGCCGTATCCCGCAACAATGAAGATTCAATGGGACGGAGATATTCCCAAGGTGACTCCCAAAGCGGAAGCCAACTGACAGGGCTGACAGAGAATGGTGAAAGAAAGTCGGCTCCACGAATTTTTATGTATTCCTGACTGTATATCTCGTTGTCCTGTATTCGCTATGGCGTTTGTTTGATTCCGCCGTGATGCAGTATGGTCTAATATTTCTCTAGCGCCGTTATTCACTGTGATCAAGTTTTTATAATCGAAGATTCATTCGTGTATCCCCGTGCCTAGACGAGGTAGTTTAAAACCTGTGACTAGAGACTGAGTCGTGACGAGACATTACTCGGAGATGCCGAGAAAGATACATAGCTGGAAATTGAGACATGTTTGCGTAGAGGTTTCTAAGCAATCAATTGTAATATCCTCGGAATTAGCAAACTTTGAGACAATGCCAGAAGGGCAAAGGATGAGTGGATGTCTGGAAGTACATCGAAACGTGCCCTGACCGCCCGGCAATCAGGCCCTGCTCCGTCATATTGCCGCGACAGCTCACTGGGGCAGTCTACGATTCTTCCCTGACCTCTTTTCCCTTTCTACCACTTTCTTCCCCCCACCACCTCCTTCATCCATCCAACTTCCCCCGGTATCGTCATTACCCAGGGCTCAACGACCTGCACCGTTTGCCCTGCCCGTGTGACACTCTCACCTTTACCGGGCGATCTTACCCATCTTCCCTCTTCGGTACTGAGCTATCTGCAATATTGAAGCTGCTTTCTCCCGTCACTGATATACTTCGGTTCTCCCGTTGGGAATTTTCCCGCTGATACCCCGACGTGCGATTTTCTCTCGTTGAGCCGACCCAATTTTCGTGAGGCAGGAGTGGAGGACTCAAAACGTCATAAGGCATCTTCGCGCCTACTTCGCGACCCGGTCGTTTCGACCTCCCCACTCCACCAAGGAGTCTGCTCTCCTGGAACTAATAAACCTCCTCATGGTTGGCTGTCCGCCTGATCGTCAACATGGGGAGAATTAAGAAGGTGGCCAGTCAGAAGCATGAGGCTACAATCGTACGTTTCTTCCCTCAATACCCGTTCCTCTTCTGCAATCGTGACTAAAAATTTTCTTCTTCACTACAGTCGCCTTTCCTGGCGGAGTTCATAGCGAATGCGACAAATCTTCCTGTACCAGAGCTTCCTTCACTTTTTTCTACCTTCCCGAAGCTATGGCCCTTCCCTCGAGGCGACCTCTACCACTGGATCAACGTCCTAGACCGCTTCGATGAGATCTTAGCCCTAGTCATCGAGAAATACTTTCTGAACACTGGCCCTCAGACTCAAAGGTTTGGCCGGGGCGTGTTGGAGGCTTCATACACCGCAGATTCGAGTGAGACACCCACAGAGGGCGTCGATGCAAAACTCAATGCTCTGGGATATGGACCTGAGGGAGACAGGGAACTTGTGGAAGCGATCCTGGACTTCTCCCGTTTGCTACTTGAGAAGTGTGGCAACCGCAGTTTGTACAGCAGCAGTGAGCGACTGGGCGATCTCTTGAACACTACCTCTCTATCATTGCTCCAGTCAACTTTGCGCTTATCTCTTTGCTTGGCCCAACGATACCACTCTCGCCAGCGGGGAACTCAATCGCAATCTCTCTTGGCTACCCATTACAATATCGATCTGGAAAAGCTGCAAAAAATTGCAGCGCCTTTCCTCGTCCAATCATTGCTAGCAAAACTCCTTTTGCTGCCTCTCCCGCCGTTTCTGAAAAGGTTAATGAGAAAGCAATTCAGACCAAGCTTAATGCAAATGAATTGGGCTCCCTCGTGCGCGACGAAGACGGCTGGGAAGAATGGGGCAACGTCCGCGTGCTTTACTATCCCTCTGGATCTTCCGACCAGACGCGAACAACGTCGGAATTTGGCCAGAGCGAGCCAGGCTCTCACACCCCGACTACACCCACCCCTCTCCGACGAAGTGCAACTCACCCCACCCCTCGACTGAGCCGTGGCTCCCATCTGGATGAACTGCCGACTGTGACGCCCAACACAGGTAGTAAGTCCGATGAAGTGTCACGCGGCGGTAGTGGCAAGATCTTGGATCTCCCGTATTCGAAGGTGTCTTCCTGCAAGACTGAGGACCTTTTGGCAACGAACCTGCCTCATCTGCCCCTTGAATCGAAATATGAATTCCTCCACAAGGTGCGCGTTGCTCAGGCGTTGGCCGGGTCGCGTTCTACTCGCGAACAGATCCTCGCAATTCGGATCCTCGCAGCGACAAATTTGGCTTATGTACAATCCGAGTCGGCTTTTCAACAGAAGGTCCTTCTCTCTGACATGGAAGTCCCCAAGCGTCTCCAGCTCGTTTACCAGCTGGCTGAGCTTGTCCATCTAGGCGCTAGTGGCGATCTCGATGTCTCACGGCACCTGCAGACATTGGCAATTCAGGCGCTTGATGGATTGGCAAAGCACAAGTCTCGTTCTAATGATGTGTGCGCGGCTCTCAGCGTCAATGTCAACCACGGCGTGTTGATGTTCCTGACCCGCAAGGTTGTCAACGAATTGGGCACTGACGACGGCGTGAACGATCTCCACCAAGACGAGTGGCGGGACGCTCTTCTTTCGCTCTTGCGGACCCTGCCTTCCTCCAGCACTCGCACCCCAGAGACGCTCGTTGCAGCGGGTCTTATCCCTATGCTCGTCGACATCCTTAAGCTGCGCACTGAAAAATCCCGCCGAGTCTATTCCCGAGTCATGGAGTTCCTCGACACCTTCGTTCACGCAGTTCGTGATGCTTTGGCTACATTGACCTCGGCCAAGGGTTTCGATGCCATTTCCGACTTGATTGATAACGAGACTAAGACTGCTTTTGAGCACGTCTCTCGCGGAACTGGCTTTCCTGCCAAATACAAAAACCCCTCCATCGATTATCAAATCCCCTACTTCCAGCAGCAGACACTGCGATGGATGTTCCGCTTCGTGAACCACATTATGCAGCATAATGGTGGAGGATTTGACCGTGTCTTGAGAAACCTAATTGATTCACCTCAGCTACTCACCTCCCTGCGCCTGGTGTTTGAAAATGCACGAGTATTTGGTTCACACGTTTGGAGCAACGCTGTCAACATTCTCAGCAGCTTCATTCACAATGAGCCTACAAGTTACGCTGTCATCGCTGAAGCTGGTCTCAGTCGTAGTCTTCTCACCGCCGTGATGGGCCATGAGCTACAGATACAGGAGAAGGCCCCGGCTGTGGAGTCTGAGGATGCTGACCCGGATGTCGACGTCACTCAAACATCTGATGATGCCGCGGTCGGTGCCCCGGAGGCAAAAAAGGAAGGTCGCGAATATACCCTGGTCCGGCCGCGGGGAACTCGTCTGGCACCGGGAATCATTGCTGCCACAGATGCCCTTGGCTGTGTTCCTTCTGCCTTTGGAGCAATTTGTTTGAACTCTTCGGGGCTGGATCTTTTCCAGTCCTCTGATGCACTCGAGAGCTTTTTTGAAATTTTCGAAAACCCTGAGCATATCAAATGCCTGAAGGATGACCCAAACTTGGTTCGGAACCTAGGTACAACTTTCGATGAGCTCGTTCGCCACCATCCTGCTCTGAAGACCTCTATCATGTCTGCAGTCATTGTCATGGCTGCCCGTGTGAGCCTTCTTGGCAAGGTCAAGGCTTGGGAGTCTGGAATGGGATCCAAGCTGTGGACCGAAGATGCTCAAGGACAAATTGGCCTCTCAGGTGACATCGCTTCTTTGTTCCGGGATATCGGTGCCCCCATCGATTCATCTATGCAAGATTCTGCATCCATCGGGGTTCCCCAACTCAAGAACCACACTCTTCCCAACGGTGGAAAAATTGTTCTTGGTGATCTGAGCCAGGTGCTCCCCTCGCAGGACGCCAGCTTTGAGCCCAAGGACAAGGATGAGCATGGTTTGACCGTGACGGACTACCTCTTCCCTGCGATCCGCTTCCTAGGTGCTTTCTTCGAGAACCAGCCAAACTGCACATCCTTCATCCAGGCTGGCGGTGCGGAGTTCGTTCTTGATTTCGCAACTCTCCAGAGTCTGTCATTTGATTTCCACAACACAGATGCCAACCAAGAGCTCACCGTCCTTGTACACATGATGGCTGAAACCAAGCCACACTTGGTCATTCCCTCATTGATACACCGTGCCCAGTCAGCTGTCAACAATCTCTCGGCCTTTTGGACTGCACCCAAAGAGTCGGGTTTCTTTACCGCTCTGACTAGGCCCGTCAACTCGAAAGAACCTGCGCCAGAGCCGACGCTGGCTGCTTCTAATGGAACTTTCTTCGTGAAACACATGAATGCGGTACTTGTCATGACAGATCTGCTTCGCGAGGTCTATGCAATGCCACTGTATCAGACACGGCCTGTGCAAGCAACGTCTCCTTTTGCCCAGGTGAACCTTGCAGACCTGTATGCTGATCTAGTGTCCTCCCTCGGCAGCCTTCATGCTGCATGTGTGTGGGAAGAGATCATCATGGAGAAGAGCATTCCCGAGAAGTGGGTGCAAGCCACGAAGGCACCCGCTAGCAAGCCCGGCTCTGATCGACCCAATGCTGTTACTGGAGCTGCCCATGGGCTATTGCCAGAGCCTGCGGCTGGGTCCCAGGCCGGTTCGGCTGCTCCCGAGGGTGACAAAACTCCAGCACCCGAAGAGCCTGAAAGCGAAGAAGACAAGGCGAAGACTGAACGGAGTGCCGCTTTCAAGAACGTCCAGACCCTTCGTTATCTTCTAAGCTCATTGCCTTCGTCTATTACTGGCTTCCTACACAACTTGGGCCTGGGTCTCGTCAGTAAGAGAAGATCGGACCCTCACCTGAAAATGCGCCAGAATGCCGGCATGGTGGCCGATGCCATCGCGGAGACTGTTCTTCGCGAGCTTCAATTCAGCGCTCCCAACTCGTGCGATAGCTCGAAGCACCGCTTCGCCTACCTAATTGTGATTTTGTCATCATTCTCGCATCTTCTATACGAGATCTCCAATGACCGTCCCCAGTCGAACTACTTGACTTTGGTCTTCTGGTCATTCAAGAAGGCCAACGGACTCAAGGTTCTAAAGGACATTTGCGATGTGTTCATGCGTGAGGTCCAGGCTCTCACACCAGCCGAGTCGGTTCCTGAGTCCGAGAAAGATGTTGCAGCTCGCCTAACTTCCGCATATGGTGGTATCAAGATCATCCTCGCTCTATTTGCTGAGCTTGCTTCAGGAAAGAACATCGTGGAGTCGAGCCAAACACAGGCCTTGACTAGCCACCATGAGCGGGACCGTGAGCGTCACGATTACTTCCAGCCCGGGCAGTTCATCGTGGATCTCCGCATGGAAATTCTTCCCATAGCCCAGGACATGTGGAACTCCAACTTTGCTACCCAGTCATCCAGCCCTATTGTCAAGTGCTTGGTCGATATCCTCCGATCCTCCCTGGATGGAGAGTATGAAACTGGAGCTCTTCGTGCCTCGGACACTCCTCCCGCTCTCAAGGAACCCCCTCGTGGTGCATTTGTGGTGAACAAGACGCACGCCGCGAGTCTGGTTGAGAAGGGCTGTGAAGATACAAATCTTACCCAGGAGGCTCTGTACCGCTGCAACAACAGTCTGAATGCTGCAGAGGAATATTGCAAGGCCCAGAACTACATTCGTGCACCTCCGAGACTCCCGCCTCGCCCCAACGATATCCAGACTGGATCTTCGGAAAATGCATCAGGTGGAGAGAGCCTGGATGATCCTGTCGCTGGGGATGTCACTCCGTTCAACAGTGGCTACTTGGAACGCTCCGGTCTTGCCATGCTTCTCGCTTCGACCCGACCGGTTGAGGATCTTGTGAACCAAGAGTCTGGCCCTGAAGGCAGCATGGGTCCGATGCGCGACAATTTGGCTAGAGCCATCGGAAACATACTAAATGATGATGAAGGATTGGTCACTCCTGGCCGTGGCGAGTCGTCAAATGCAGATCATCCTCCGGGCTATGGTGCCCAGGAACCATCTGAGTCTGCCAATCAGACTCAGGCAGAGCCTGCCGCGCAGGTAGCTCGCCGCCCGATGATTACCGTTGAGGACCTGGACAATGAAAGAGAAAAGGTCCGTTCTAACCTCATCGAGCGCTGTCTAGACGTCCTCAACGAGCACCATGATGTCTCTTTTGAGTTGGCAGATCTGATAGCGTCTGCTATCAAGAAGCACCCTGAGCCTGAGAGCTTCAGACGCGACATTGGAGAAACCCTTGTCCAGTCGCTTGTTTCTCTCCAGATGGAGAACTTCCAGACCGCCGGCAAGAAGGTTGCTGCTTATGCGCACATCCTTGCCCTGGTTCTTCAAGATCGAGACATGTACAGCGCGACTGTCGAAGAGCTTAAGGATTGCTTTTCCACATTCCTTGGCTTTATCAAGCTCCCTACACTTGAGAAGACCCCCGATGAATCTTTCCCCTGGATTGGACATGTATTGCTCATTCTGGAGAAGTTGCTTTCTGATGACTGCCAGCCACCTCAGATCAGCTGGACTCCCCCGGCCAGTCTTGATGACACTATCACGGGTGGCGATGAGCCTGCGCATCTTCAGGAGCCACTTGTCTCCCTTGACGAGAAGACTCAGCTCTTTGAGGCACTTGTTGAGATTCTTCCTCGCATCGGCAAGGATGATACGCTCGCACTTTCTGTTTGCCGTGTGCTGGTGGTCCTGACTCGCCAGCGCAGCATTGCTGCCCGTTTCGGTGAAAAGCGAAACTTGCAGCGTCTCTTTGTCATGGTCAAACAATTGGCTAGCGCTACCAATGAAAAGCTTCAAAGCGCTTTTATGTTGATCCTGCGTCACATCGTCGAAGACGAAGCTACGATTCGCCAGATCATGAGGAGCGAAATTACTTCTTTCTTCGACTCCAAGTCTTCCCGCCAGGTCGACACCACTGGCTATGTGCGTCAGTTGTATCATCTGGTTCTGAGAGCGCCTGAGATCTTCGTGGAAGTGACAAATGAGAAGGTGCGTCTGCTCCGATACGATACGCATCAGCGACCCCAGATACTCGGATTGAAGGCCGACAAGGATCGTGCCACCGCCCGTCTTCGTCAAGGCGCCGGTGACGTTAGTGATAGCAAGGATAACGGTGCCGGAGAGGCTACTTCGACCTCTGACGAGAAGGAGAAGGACAAGATCCAAAAGGGCGCTGAGCTCAAGCCACCTGTCGTGGAGAACCCTGACGGTGTCATCCACTATCTTCTTTCTGAGCTCCTTTCCTACAAGGATGTCGACGATAAAGAGGCTCTTACAGACCTCTCGGATCAGCCCGGTGGCGATCAATCCGAGGCCCAGACTGATGTTGAGATGTCCGTTGATGAGCCCACCCCCTCCGTGACCAGCAGCGCCGACGCCCAGCCCGCTCGCGGCACACCCACCAAGAAGGGCGAGAAGCCTCCATTCAAGGCCGAAGATAACCCCATCTACGTCTACCGCTGCTTCCTCCTCCAATGCTTGACCGAGCTGCTGTCATCCTATAACCGCACCAAGGTAGAGTTCATCAACTTCTCACGCAAGGCTGATCCCCTTGCGACAACTCCTTCAAAACCTCGCTCGGGTATTCTCAACTACCTCCTGAACGTCCTTGTTCCCCTCGGTACTATGGAGCACGATGAATCTCTGTCATTCAAGAAGCGCAGCATTACCTCCTCGTGGACTATGCAGGTGCTAGTCGCCCTTTGTACCAAGACTGGTGAATTCGGTGGCCTCGGCAGGCGGCGTGGTGAGCAGAAGCGCAACGAAGAAGACGAGTGGGAGCTTGCTTTCGTGCGTAGATTCGTGCTCGAGCATGCCCTTCGTTCCTACAAGGAGGCGAATGCGTCAAACGAGCCTCTTGACTCTAAGTATTCCAAACTCATGTCTCTAGCCGATCTGTTTGACAAGATGCTCAGTGGGTACTCTTACACACAGGATGCTGGCTTCCCCTCTTCGACAAGACAGCTTGCAAAGACAATGTTTGAAAAGCATTTCATTCCTGCTTTGACCGCCTCTGTTGCCGAAATCGATTTGAACTTCCCATCTTCTAAGCGAGTCATCAAGTACATCCTTCGCCCTCTCAACAAGCTCACACAAACTGCTGTCCTTCTCAGCGAAAGCAACGATATCACTACACTGGCCGAGACCGCCGAAGATGATGAAATTTCATCAGCGACTTCTGTTTCGGACATGGAGGACGAGCGAGAAGAGACTCCTGACCTTTTCCGCCATTCTACCCTCGGTATGCTGGAACCTCGTCATGACGATGATGAAGATAGTACCGAAGGGTCAGAGGAAGAGGAAGAGGACATGTATGAAGACGAGTATGATGAAGAGATGGAGTACGAGGATGACGTTCCCGAGGATGACGGCGAAGTCGTGAGTGATGAGGATGATGAAGGCGTCGGCCACATGGAAGGCCTCTCCGGTGATCCAGTTGAAATTATCGTTGACGAGGACGACGAAGATGATGAGGATGACGATGATGAAGACGACGACCCCTCCGACATGGACGAGGATGACATGTATGCCGATGAGATCACCGGTGATCGTGACAATGAAAGCCTTGAAGAAGGCGACGAGGACGAGTGGGAGAGCGAAGAAATGACTGAAGACGAGGAAGAAGCCGAGATGATGAACCAATTCGAAGATGAAATGGCCGATATCCGCCAACAAGCCCAGCGTCAATCCGATGGCCACGCCCGTATTGACGACTTGTTCCGGGCACTCAACCAAGCTGCTGGCGGTGCTGAAGATTTCGGTGCCGATCCCCTCGGAGGGGATCTTCATGATGAAATCCTCGACGAATTGAACGAGGAAGGAGGTCCGTCCTTGACTCCCACACCCATACCCATGCCTGCCACTACTCTGTTTGTTTTTCAAGGGATTCTAACTGCTCATTACCCAGAGGACGACGATGAGATAGATGAACTTGAAGAGGAAGTCGACGATTACGATGACTACGACATGGACCAGGGCTCCGACGGTGACATGGAAGGTTCGCTAAATTAACATGAAAGATTTATTGGCCGCGTTGCTAACAATATCTGTAACTTCACAGAGGATGATCTTCTCGAGCCTTGGGGATGGGAAGGTGACGAAGTTCCCGCTCCTCGACACCACCACCACCGCTTCCGTGGTGGCGCGCTCCCGGCTTGGGCTACAGTTACTGAAATCATGCCAGGCCGTGGTGGACTTGTTCCCATCCAACCCTACCATCGCGTGCACAGAACCCAGCTTCCCGGACCCCGCGGAAATGACGATGGAACCAACCCTCTCCTTGTTCGGAGTGATCGCGGTGCTGACCCTGCAGCTCCTCGTGGACCTGGCGCTGAAGCCTTTACTGACTGGACTCATGCTTTGGAGCCTCCCACTGGTGGCAACCGAATGCTTCCCATGGAAAGCCCCGTCAGCTTTATGAATGCCATCATGCATGCCATCAGTGGCAACGCTCAGCCCGGCTTTGGAGTGGTCACTCGACCCGATGGCATTCATGTCCACGTTGATCGGCATGCAGTCCTGCCTGCCAACCGCCTCACAAACGCGTTTGGTCTTGGCCGAGCTCAGGCTGGTCCCGCTCGCGGTCGTGATGACCCCCACAATGCTGTTAAGTTTTCTCTATCTACAACCCGCAACCGTTGGCAAGAGGAGGCCCGCCTCCTTTTCAGCAGCACCTATGTCGAGAAGACACAACGTGTTGTCAATTCTTTGCTGAAGGTTCTTGTCCCTCCTGCCATGGAGGAAGAGAAGTTGCGCCAGAAGCAGGCTCAAGAAGAGCGCAAGCGTCTCCAAGAAGAGGCGGCCGAAAAGGAACGCCAGGACCGTGTTGCCCGTGAGGAAGAAAGAGCGCGAGCGCAAACGTAAAGAAGAAGAAGAGAATGTCCGCCAACAGGCTCAGAGAGAGCAAGAAGAGGCAGAACGCCAAGCTGCCGGAATCGATGAGCCCATGGAAGACGTCCAAGACACAGAGACTGCGCCAGAAGAGGCTGCTGAGCCTGAGCCTGCCCAACCCGTCCAGCGTGTTCACACCACCATCCGGGGCCGCCAGCTCGATATCACTGGGCTGGAGATCGACCCTGAGTACCTGGAGGCTTTGCCGGAGGAGCTTCGCGAGGAGGTGATCATGCAACAGCTTGCAGAACAGCGGTCGCAGGCCGCTGCCGCTGGTGAAGAACCTACCGAGATCAACCAAGAGTTCCTCGAGGCCCTTCCTGCTGAGATCCGTGAAGAACTCCTCCAGCAGGAGGCTGCTGATAGACGCCGCCGGGAACGTGAAACCGCACGCCGACAGACTGCAACGACCACCGCCCCGCCCCGCGCAGAGGAAATGGATGCTGCCAGCTTCCTTGCTACCCTGGATCCCTCGCTGCGCCAGGCAGTCCTTGCCGATCAACCTGAAGATGTCCTCGCAAGCCTGGGTCCAGAGTACATCTCGGAAGCCCGAGCTCTTGGTGGTCGCCGTATCGCCCAGTTCGGAGACATGAGTGCTGTGGAGCATCGCACAAGGAACGACAATGCGGATGGCCAGGAGCCTAAGAAGCCTCAAAGGCGCCAAATCGTTCAGATGCTCGATAAAGCCGGTGTCGCAACATTACTTCGTCTAATGTTTATGCCTCTCCAGGGTAACACGCGGCACCAGCTCAATGATATTTTGCACAATGTATGTGAGAATCGTCAGAACCGGAGTGAAGTTATCAGTCTGCTTCTATCTGTCTTGCAGGATGGCAGCGTAGATTCTTCTGCTATTGAGCGCAGCTTTTCTCACCTATCTCTTCGTGCCAAGGCCCCTGGCGCTCCGAAGACTCCGCAATCTGCTAAGCGCAATGCCTCTCTCCAGACGTCTTGGAGCCTGAGCACCGAAGTAACGCCCATCATGGTGGTGCAGCAGTGTCTGAGCCTGCTGTCTTTCCTTTCCCAGTTCAACCCCCACATTGCTTGGTTCTTCCTAACGGAACACGATTCATCATCGTCCCTCAAGTTCAAAGCTTTCCGCAAGGGCAAGGGCAAGGAGAACCGCGCGAACAAGTTCGCTTTGAACGCTCTCCTCACGCTTCTGGACCGAAACTTGATTATGGAAAGCCCTACCTGCATGGAGCAGCTGTCCAGTCTGCTCAGCAGCATTACACAGCCATTGACTGTTCTTCTTCGTCGGGAGAAGGAGAAGCAAGAGGAAGAAAAGGGCAAGCAGCCCGAGGGCACCCAGCCTGAGCAAGCCACTGGACAACCTAATGAATCTACCGAACCCGCTGCTGACGTCTCGATGACCGACGCCCCTCTGCCCACTGTTGAGACGGCTGAGGACCAAGGTACTGAGCATATGGAACCTGCTGAGACGAAGAGACCAGAGGGTGACGATGCCAAGTCCAACGAGGAAGAGAAGCGCAAGCGAAGGACAATCGAGCCTCCTGTTGTTCCCGATCACAATTTCCGCATGGTTGTTCACATTCTTGCCGCTCGTGAATGCAATGGCAAGACCTTCCGTGACACGTTGTCCACCATCAACAACCTGTCTGCCATCCCGGGCGCTCGCGATGTGATTGGCAATGAGCTCGTCACTCAAGCACAGGCTCTGAGTGATACTATCCTGGGCGATCTGGAAGAGCTTCTCCCTCATATTCACCAGGCCAAGACCGGCAATGACATGCAAGGCTTGGCTCTGGCCAAGTTCTCTCCTGCCAGCTCAGACCAAGCCAAGCTGCTTCGTATCTTGACGGCACTTGACTACCTCTTCGATCCCACTCGCGTCGATAAGACTAAGGGCACCGAGCCCGTTTCCGCGCCCAAGGAGGACGTGCTCAAGAGGCTATATGAAAGCGCTACTTTTGGCCCCTTGTGGACCAAATTGAGCGACTGCTTGACTGTCATTCGCCAGAAGGAGAACATGCTTAACGTGGCTACTATTCTCCTGCCACTGGTTGAGGCTTTGATGGTTGTCTGCAAGAACACCACTCTCAAAGATCAGCCTATCTCACGAGGCAGCCGCGAGTTGTCTGTGAACAGCTCCGCGGCCGACGCGGGTCTCAGCATGGAAAATCTTTTCTTCAAGTTCACTGAGGAGCACCGTAAGATCCTGAACGAGCTTGTCCGTTCCAATCCTCGCTTGATGAGTGGTACATTCTCTTTGCTGGTCAAGAACCCCAAGGTTCTGGAGTTCGATAACAAGCGCAACTACTTCACCCGCCGCGTCCACTCCCGGGGTGCCGAGCCTCGTCACCCCCACGCACCTCTCCAGCTCTCCGTCCGCAGAGACCAAGTCTTCCTTGACTCTTTCAAGTCTCTCTACTTCAAGAGCGCTGACGAGCTGAAGTATGGCAAATTGAATGTTCGGTTCCACGGTGAAGAGGGCGTCGACGCCGGTGGTGTCACTCGTGAATGGTTCCAGGTTCTCGCCCGTGGCATGTTTAACCCCAACTACGCTCTCTTCATTCCTGTCGCTGCCGACCGGACAACATTCCACCCGAACCGTCTCAGTGGTGTCAACTCTGAGCACTTGATGTTCTTCAAGTTCATTGGACGGATCATTGGCAAGGCTTTGTACGAGGGACGGGTTCTGGACTGCCACTTCTCTCGTGCTGTCTACAAGTGCATTCTCGGGCGTTCTGTGTCAATCAAGGACATGGAAACGCTCGATCTTGAGTACTACAAGTCCCTCCTATGGATGCTGGAGAATGATATCACGGACATTATCACCGAGACCTTCGCCATTGAGACCGATGCCTTTGGCGAGATTCAAGTGATCGATCTCATTCCTGATGGTAGGAACATCCCAGTCACCCAGGAGAACAAGGAGGAGTACGTCCAGCGTGTCGTCGAGTACCGCCTCGTGGAGTCTGTCCGCGAACAACTTGACAATTTCCTGAAGGGCTTCCATGAGATTATTCCACCGGATCTTATTTCCATTTTCAACGAGCAGGAGCTTGAGCTTCTGATTTCCGGTTTGCCCGAGATCGACGTGGATGAATGGAAGAACCACACCGAGTATCACAACTATTCTGCGTCTTCATCGCAAATTCAGTGGTTCTGGCGTGCTGTTCGCTCGTTCGACAAGGAGGAACGGGCTAAGTTGCTGCAGTTTGTGACCGGAACCAGCAAAGTCCCTCTCAACGGCTTCAAGGAGCTCGAGGGCATGAACGGCGTGAGCAAGTTCAACATTCATCGCGATCCTGGCAACAAGGATCGTCTTCCTAGCTCGCACACATGCTTCAACCGTGAGTCTAGATCGATTGCCTGATATTCTTGCAAATACTAACTACTGTCTACAGAGCTTGATCTCCCTGAATATGAAAGCTATGAGGATCTCCGTCAGCGCCTGTATACTGCGATGACTGCTGGCAGCGATTATTTTGGTTTCGCATAGACCGTGTCACCATGGCCGATCGTTTCAATGCCCATGCATTCAATGGCGTTTCTCCGGAATAGGGAAGTGAGAAGGAAAATTCATGAGAGCCGTTCTGGTTGAAGTGCAGGTCAACTGGAAGTGTGCTTTTCTTGTACTTAGATTGCTTTTTTTATGGTAATATCCATATTTTCTTATAGTTCCCGTGTTTCCTTTGTAGTCCACACACTGCTCGCTATGAAATTGCTTCAACTATAGAACATGAATAAGTTACGTAGTTCGGCTGAATTCGGAAGGCAGGCGGTGAGTCACGGGACGTAAAAAAAGTGCGGGGCCAAATTGGCAGTTGCGGGATCCGACTTTTTCTAAAAAAGCTTCGGGATTCGACTTGCAGTCTGCTCTGGAGACCTCCCTTCACATCCAATATGTCGTCCAACTCTATCAAGCTGTTGACTGGCAACAGTCACCCGGAACTGGCTCAGCTCGTGGCTGATCGGTATGTCCTTCGATCATCGATCTCCGGTAGCCGCTTCCGTTCTTGAGCTAATGCAGAATCAGCCTCGGGATCGAGTTGACCAAGATCATGGTCCTCCAGTATTCCAACCAGGAGACTAGCGTGACTATTGGAGAGAGCGTGCGTGATGAAGATGGTATGCGGACTTTCTATCAGACCTGAGACGAATCCGTTACTGATGATCCCACCCCGCAGTCTTCATTCTTCAGTCAACGCGACCTAACGATATCAATGATGGTCTTATGGAGCTTTTGATCATGATCAATGCTTGCAAGACTGCTTCCGCTCGCCGCATCACTGCCGTCATCCCCAACTTCCCCTACGCTCGCCAGGACAAGAAGGACAAGAGTCGTGCTCCCATCACTGCCAAGCTCATGGCCAACATGCTCCAGACTGCTGGCTGCAACCACGTTATCACCATGGATCTCCACGCCTCCCAGATCCAGGGTTTCTTTAATGTCCCCGTCGACAACCTCTACGCCGAGCCCAGCATCTTGAAGTGGATCCGCGAGAATCTGGACGTCACCAACTGTATCATTGTCTCCCCCGACGCCGGCGGTGCCAAGCGGTAAGCCTAGCCCCCCTACCCCAGGCCATATACTAGTCTAAATGAAATCCAAGTGCCACCGCCATTGCCGATCGCCTCGACCTCCAATTCGCGCTCATCCACAAGGAACGTGCCCGTCCCAACGAAGTCTCTCGCATGGTCCTAGTCGGAAACGTGAAGGACAAGATCGCCATCATCGTCGACGACATGGCCGACACCTGCGGCACGCTCGTTAAAGCCGCCGACACCGTCATGCAGCACGGTGCCAAGGAAGTCAACGCCATCGTTGTCCACGGCATCCTTTCCGGCAAGGCCATCGAGAACCTGAACTCCAGCCGTCTCAACCGTCTTGTCGTTACCAACACAGTTCCCCATGCTGAGAAGAAGGAGGCTTGCGACCGTATCGAGACTATCGATGTTAGCCCCTACTCTTGCCGAGGCTTGTCGTCGTACTCACAACGGCGAGTCTGTTTCTTTCCTCTTCTCTCATGCTGTCGCGTAAGCTAGGCTTGAGAGTCTTATCAATACCAAATCTCAATACCAATAGCCCCATCGATCTGGGGTTCTCATGCGTGTATGTGTTATTTTCACGGGTTCGTTGCGTGCGGCGAATTTGAAAAAATACGATTTTTATGACCTTTTTTATTGTCCCGCTCGATGCTGCGAGTTTGGGCTTGTGTTTGATTTCCTAGTGGACTTCCTGGTCCGGCTAGATTTACTGGGGGATTTATTGCATCGTGCATTACTGGATCTGTTTGCTGTGTTGCTGGTTCTATTTTGTCTCTATAGATCGCCAACGCCTCGATGGCATTATTCTATCATTCATCATTCAATTATTCGTACGGTTTTTTTTTTGTCTTTGGATTGGAATGTTGTTAGTTTATGGGGCGCTGTGTACGGGAAAAGGCGTTTACATTTGATGGTTGTTGAGTGATATGTTTTCTTTCCTTTGAAAAGGGTGGGCACGCGATGAGATAGTTAGTCTTCAATGTAATTTCTCTGTCACTACTCAGGCCTACAGATTGTGATTCGAATAAATGGTTTGTGTCCGTAATCTCTGCTTCGGTTCCGGCTATAGCAACTTAAGCTTGTTCCACTTGAGCCGCGGCCGTGTAGAGTCGAACGGTGTCGGATCCGATCTTTTCCTAGCTGGGTTTATTGCTCAAATGACTTCTGAATGTCTTCTGCTGACTGTTTGTGGTTCTGGGGCTAAGTTGATGTACGTGCACGCAGAGTGTCTAACGTTAATTTCTGAGGGTTTAGCAATTGGTTTATATATCGCGGGACTTGTCAAATTGAGTGATCATTTGAAACGCACATCAATTATTCCAAGTGCCCAGATTAATGTGAGGAATTCATGGCTCGCCAAATTAGAAGAATACCTACCCAAAATGGTGTTGGAATTCTATATTCATTCTGACACTAAAAGGGTGATGTCAGTCACGGTGTTTCACGTGCTATTTCGAGACCGCTTAAGCGGATAAATACATTGGAACGATATTGTCTACTATATTAGTCTAATGAAGGAACGTCAAAACCCTGAAACAGAACCGTAGTGAGAATTTTATAATCGATTGAACAATGGCTCAGTAAATGTATAATTGTTCCAGATCTTCAATGAACGTATGCCACCTCGAACCTAATCGTTGGACACAAATCTAGTACTCACTGGCATGGAGACACAAGTCTCGTTTTGATATAAGCACTTCTTCGGCACAACCGCGGCCATGAAAGGGCCGGATTGCAATTTGACATCCGTGCTATAAACCTATGTAATCACAGCTGGAAGTCAGATCATGGAAAGTGGGTAAAGTTTATGATATTGGCTATCTAGTTTACAAGGATGTCCCAGATCTTCAATGGACGTGTGCCACCTCGAACCTAATCGTTGGACACAAATCTAGTACTCACTGGCAAAGGAGACACAAGTCTCGTTTTGATATAAGCACTTCTTCGGCACAACCGCGGCCATGAAAGGGCCGGATCGCAATTTGACATCCGTGCTAGGGGCAGAGAGGATTACAGCTACAGCTGTGCGAGTCAGAAGAAGGAAATTTGCATGCACTCCATTCAAAAAAGGGTTGTCAAAAGGTAGGTTCGGCCTAGATGCTTCAATCTGGGCCTGATTCAACGCGGCATTCGCGCTGCCTGTAAGTCAAAACCTGGTCCCCCGTTTTCTTTTTTCGCCCTTTTTTTGTGTTCACTCGCGGCCCTGGGTGATCTTTTTTGCTATTCCCGAAATCATCCCAGAATCGTGCGACATTACCGTCATCCCCCAAATAAATCGTTACACCACTAGGGTGATGATTTACTTGCGCATGGACGAGGCCCTCCGCTTGCGGAGCTCGTCACGCTTGGCCTTCTCCTCGTGGACACGGTTGGCAAGGAGCTTGGCGTAGTCATTGCTGGTTGGTAGTTAGTACGATGAAAAGTTAGGTGAATCAGGGAAAGGGGACATACGCAGCCTCGCGGGCAGCCTCAGCGCGGCGGCGCTTAATGGCAACGCGCTGGCGCTTGTGCTGCAGGCGCTGGGGAGTAACCAGACGCTGGATCTTGGGGGCCTTGGTGTACTCCTTCTTGCCCTCCTTGGTGACAGTGCGGCGGATGACGAACTTGCGGACGTCGTCCTTCTTGTCGAGACCGAAGAAGCGGCGGATCTTAGTGGCACGCTTGGGGCCGAGACGCTTGGGGACAACGGTGTCGGTCAGGCCGGGGAGCTCGCCCTCACCCTGCTTGACGATGGACAGAGCGAGAACGGACAAGTCGAGACCGGTGATGGCTGAGAGAGATGTCAGCGTTTGGTTCTGGTTCGATCTTGGCCCGCAGGCGCTAGAAACAGGGCGAACATACCACCACGGATGGACTTGCGCTTGCGCTCACCAGTGCGGCGGGGACGGTAGCAGCTGTGGCCGTCGGCGAGGAGCAGACGGGTACGGGTGGGAGGAGAACTGTAGATCGATGAGCATTCGAATTTTTTTCTTCGGTTGGTCCTGGACTGTGTGTCCAAGTGATCGATCAAAACATACCACCCTGCTTCATGGGGAAACCTGTAAATCAATATAGTCAGCCATTGTTTCTTATATGCACTGCATGATCCATATGTATTTGCCATGGATGGAACATTTCGAAAGGGGGAGGTAGTCGTACCCTGCTTGTCGTTACCACCGGTGATCTTGAAGATGTAGCCCTTGAACTCGTCGCCGAGGGACTCAGCGGAGACCTAATCGTAGAATACCAATCAGCCATTGCTCTCGTCGTTGGCGTTGTGGGTAGATGGGTGTAGAAATTCGTCGGAGGTGGTGTGTATATTTTGGGATCGGGGATGCTGACTTCGGCGCCCATGCGCTTCTCCATGAAGGGACGGAGCTTGCGCTCATCGTCGATCTCGATGATCTTCTGCGACCCATTGGCCGGGTAGGAAATGTTGAGCTTCATCTTGACGAGGTTGCGCGGTCAAGACGGTAGCGCGGAGTTGTCGACAGGTGAGGTTGAAGGGTACGGTCGTGTGGATTTTTCGAGTTCCAAAGGTTTGGTGTAGCGAGTGTGTGTGGGTGACTAAGTGGACGCTAACCCGATTGAGATCTGGTCGTGTCAGTCGCTAACCCTGTCATGTGACTGCTAATGTCACATGACCTCACTTATCTATTTCAAGATGTGGGTGCCCCAGGTGTCGATCTTGTTGGTCTTTAAGAATTATGCTTCCCATGGAGTCTTGTTTACTCAATCACTATATTCTTGCAGCTCAAGAGGCCCTGTTTTAGAAGTCGATGTACTCGACGAGTCTTACTGAGCTCTGCAGTTGACTATGCGATTTTCCATTTATGATACCATGTACCCAATTACTGCTTGGGAATTTGTATTTCGTGACCCCAAGACATCGACCTTGAAGGCTCGAATTTTCCTCCATAGGCAATGATAGTCATCCACCATGATGGCCACTTCCTCGTCTAAGTGAGCTTAAAGCATACATGTCTTGGCATCTGATTCGTACAGCTTGCCGCTTCAAGGGGGCGTGCTTTGAATCGACCCCCACAAAAGTGAAACCCGACATACGAGGTATCTCCCGCTTGCTCTAGTGGCGCTGGGGAGTCGTCATCTTCGTGACCCATTATGCTTGGCCTCCAGGGTGGAGACTGCCCGATGGCGCGTCATTTATGATGTCCAAATCTTTCAATTCCAGTCCCCCCTGAGCGATTAGATACATAATCTTTGACTAGTACTCCCCGATGTCATTCCACTCGTATACGGAACGAGGAGGACCGAGCCCGGAGTTTAGCAATTCAAGCGCCATGCGGTGTGACGCTCGGGCGCACGCGATCCTTTTCCACGTTGGGCCACGCGGCCAGCTTAACTCCATAGAGGGGTCTTGTATGCTATGAAGAAAAAATTGGAATAGCGAACCTAACTTATCCTGGATCTATTCTTGCTTTTAGGAATTTCCATAATTCCGCAGTCTCCCATTCACATTGAACATTTGGGACCCGCTGGGCATTATTCCGGTTCTCCCGAGATTTCGTCCAGGCTTTAGGGGCTCTCTCGACTTCTCCTTTTCTCTCCCCAGTACATCGCGTTTATCTCACCATTTAGTCTGGTAATATTGATTGCAAGCGCTCTACTGCACAGGGGCGAAACTGTCCAGCCCTCATCCCAGCGAATGCGCTGAGACTTTGAACAACCCCCGGGTCCACCCCGTCGCCTTTTTGATCGAAATCCCTGACGAATTTACATATACGGAGATACGGTCGGTGGTCGGCAAAATGATCCGCCTTTTTACTCGCTTCTACGCCTTGTGCGCTGTCGCCGCGTGCACAATTCTCTTCTCGGCTTGGGCTCTTACTTCCCGCGCATATGGCGACATTACACCGATCAAGTCCGGCAACTTTCAGACAGTCACGGAGTTTGATCAACGATTGGTGGTTTTTGGAGATTCCTGGAGTGACAATGAAACCGAGGAGCTGCAGGGAAAGGCGTGGACTGATTGGCTTTGTGGAATGGTAAGGATGTATAAACCTTGGGGATCTGAGACGACGGTGTCTCGGGAAATATGCGACCATCCGACTAACAAATTATAGATCAACTGCCATCAAGAGAACCTCGCCCAGACATCCAAGTCTCTGCTTGATGGAGAGTACACAGGCGCCGTGGTAGACAATTCAGAAACAGACTTGGTCGACCGACTGTCTAAGACACATCTGCCCGATTTCAAGACCCAGCTGAAGTCATGGCTAGCCGCCGAGTCTCGCACGTTGGAAGGACTGTCGGAAGAACAAGTCACCTTCCGTCAGGAGCACACTGTCTTCGTCATCTCGTTTGGCATCTGGGACATTTGGGACCTAGTGACTAAAGACAAGGACTACAATGATGCGGTCGGCTCTGTCGAGCGACGCATCAAAACGCTCTTGGAGCAGATGGATGAGCTTAGTGAGCGCTGGGGCTCGACTGATCTTAATGTCATCTTGACGCAGGCCGTCGACGTGACCTTCCTTCCAGGCTTCAAGGACCAGGGTGACCAGTACAAGAAAGCTGTCAACCTCATCGGCGAGTGGAACCGGGCTCTACATGATGCAGCCCGTAAGTGGGAGCGTGGACGTATTTACCTGTTCGACACGAATGCCTTCGTGCTCGATCGCATCCGGGACTGGCAGCTCTACGCGGCGGGCATCGAAGAGGAGAACGGACTGGGTCAAAACCACGAAGGGTGGGTGAACATGGTCGATCCGTGCGTCGAGAGCGGAAAGGGCGTCAAGGTCATGATGTCAAGTTCCTCGGGCACGATGTGCGAGAATCCCGAAAAATATCTGTTCTGGTGAGCAAACCCAACATTCCGAAATGCTTGATCGGCCAAGTCGACGATCTGCATTGCAAAATACCCCTTTGGTGCTGACCGGGATCTAGGAACGAGATGCAGCTGGGTCCAGCGGCGCAGCGGCTCATGGCGACGGAGATTTACCATGGCATCGATGGTGAATTGGTGAATCGCATCGTCGAAACCAAATCAGAACCGGAATCAGAATCAGAACCAGCCTCAGCATTGGGATCAGAATCGGGATCAGAGAGTCAAGTCGAGCGCCATAGCCGGAGCATTGCAGCTTAGACATTGTCATCATCACTTTAGTCCATGAACCACGAACCACGAACCGAGCAACATGACCGGGAACCATGACCGATGAACCCATGCATCCATGAGTCTCAAAAGTTCCGCAATGGGCAAGCGGGTCACAGTCGGTAGCCGATCAGCTCAAACGCCCCGATGCGGCGTGGATGGCCATGTTCCGTTGAGACGGCAGAGAAGGGGACACGGTAGTAACCAACGTCAGACCAGACCAGTCTCTCAGAACGCGACCGTGATTCTTAGTAACCTAGCAACCTGCTGGGCACTTAAAGAAGGTCGTATTGTTCGATCCTTATCGTCCTACTGCAGTTACAATCGTGAGAGAGATCGGCGATCGATGAGATCATCTCGGGATCCACTTGTATACAACACTACAATTGAAGGCTAAGTAGAATATTGAAACTCGACTGTGCCTCGATTGCCATGACTCCCTTTTACCTTCGACTGCGTTAGTGCGCGTAGTGTGCTCGAAGGGGGCTAGAGCGTGTTTGCGAGTTCTCTGAGAGTCAAGAGGGGCGGTGAAGCGGGCCAATTACGCTAGATTGAGCTGCGAGTCGCCGCATCCGGGGACAAAGAAAACAATGAGTTCGTTTGCTCGATGTGAGATACTCTTTTAGGCTCTCTCGTCACGTTGGGGGGTGACTTTTGCTTCCTTCACGTCCCTGGTTCTTGTAGAAAATTCTAACTGGGTCGTTCCTGATTTTGACTTGGACTCTGATACTAGGACACTAACAAAGGCGAATCCCGAATGGCCTAGATCTTTAATTCACTATTCCCTAGATCCTGTTTCCTACCTAAATCCCTAATTGCTTTTCCCCATTTCACGTATACACCATTTCAGATATGCCCAAGCCACATCGCAGGGATCTGTTCAGGACAAAGAACTCGCAAAACTAGCCCCCGAATGCTCCTTCCAGCTCGCTTTGTTTCGCATCGTTTCCTGTTCTTGTGGACCTATCAGGCCCGCTGGATCGTCCCTGTTGGTCTTTGTCTAGGATAGTGCTGTCGCCGACCTCCTGTGCGGTGCTCTACTTTGTATCCTGTCTTGTTCCTTTCTTTCATCGACCTTCATACTTTGCCTCTTACTTCGGCCTCCCCGCTTATTCTTCTTCTTTCACCATTTTCTTTTCTTTCTTTCTTTCTCTCTCATTCTCTGTCCCTGCTGTTCTGGCCCCCTCTCCATACTAGATAAATGTCTTACAACCGAGTGCTTCCCAACCCGGTTGCTTTGCACCATGTCTCTGCCCAAGTCTCGCTGCCCAGATCCAGCAATCTCATCGAGCACAAGATCATGAACGACTCGCCCATGTCCCACGGTGCTTTGCCGCTCCGTTCAGATCCCCTGGATGCCGCTTACAGATACCCCGAGGCTCGACATCCAAGCACTGTCCCCACGACTCAATATATGGCCACCTTGAACCGCACCAAATTCGAACTCAGCGCGCAGATGGGAAGACCTACAGGTCCTCTGCTCGCCACAAACGATCTCGCTCTCCAAGACCGCTCATCGTCTTCCTCGCGGGGTTCTAGTCCAAGATTGTCCAAGGAGATTAGTTGGTGTCTCTGCAAGCCGGATCCGAAAATTCCCCGGCCTCGTAATTGTGAGTCGACACCGTCTGCACCCTGGTCCTTAGAGCATGGCAAGTGATCTCTATTTTGAATCTTTGGGCTCGTTTTGTGACGTTCTTTACCCCTTCAGGACTATAGCTGCGACAGGGGTGCTAACTGATGGATAGCATTTATTTTGTACCGCCAGCATTACCAGGCGGCCGTGGTGCATCAGAACCCGGGTCTGTCAAATCCGGATATCTCGAAGATCATTGGAAGACAGTGGAAAGCTCTGTCGGATGAGGAAAGGGAAAAATGGAATGCTCTCGCAAGGGTAAGATCTACACCCGAGTTTGGAGTTTTCGCCACTGATCCAGCCCATAGGAAGAGAAAGACCGCCATCAACAGCAATATCCCGACTACCGATATCAACCTAAGCGGTCTGGTCGAGATGGTAGTGCCCGTGGCTCAGTCTCCGGCATCAGTCACAATCCTTCGGGGCAGTCAACATGTAACCGATGTGGTGGACGTATCATGAATGCCCCTTCTTCCCCAATGACACCATTCTCTTCCTCCGGCACACCAATCAGCCGATCTAGTCTCTCAGCAAGCTCACATCCGATCGGGATCACCCCAAGAACATCGGCCTGTCGGGCAGAAACGAAGCCGCTGCCTGAAACAGTGAGAACTGACCAGCTGGAGTCTCGAGCCCGCCGCTTCCCCGAGGAAGATCATGCTCCAGATGTCAAGCGTCGTCGGGTCTCCCACCAATCCCAATATGATTATCGGGAGAAGAGCCCTGAGATCACCTACCCAATGTCTCCATACACCCGACCAGAGCTGCATCACCCAAGTCCACTTCCCATGATCCACCCCCAGAGATTCGGCAGCATCCCCAGCTCTCCACACCCCGATCTCAGCCTGAAGCTCCCCCCCGCTGAAAACCACAACACCCATGACCCCTCTGACACCATTCTCTCAAGATGGGTCCGTCGAGGCGACGGTCATGACAATCCCCTTTCTCAACAAGATTAAAGTGCTCGCCAAAATCTCACCCCCTCTCCTTCCTTCTTTCCGCGACTCAACTTCCACTACCATTCACAGAGGTCCCGTCATTTCAATCGATGGCCAAGATGTCCATCTTGTCCAAATAGCAGTCGACTTTCTCGACCGCCTCCTACGGAAAGAATCAAAATACACGGTCCGCACATTTCCAGGCCCCGAAGCTCCCAATCCATCTGAAATAGGCGACGCCGTGATGAACGACTACATCGACAAAATCTCTGCCTGGCATCGCATCTCAGACGATGTCCACACATTCATTAAACCCGATTCTTCCCGCTCCACTCCAGACGCAGATGGCGCTTCATCTTCAAGCCTCTCACCGAAAACCATCTTTTCCCAGACTGCAACACTCCAGATGAATTCCCCGCCGAATTCCTCAGAAGACTCAGAAGGAAGCCCCCTTCAAAAGCCTCAGCCCGCGCCACAGGCTCAATCCCCTACCCCTGTCGCATTGGTCCCACGGTATCAACTCACGACCGCAGATGCCTTTGCATGCTCAATCCCCATCCAAGACTCATACACACCGCTCGACCATTGGCAGTGGATGGCTTCTCTATGGCGAGGCTGCATCGGGCCTGATATCACAGTCTACATTCGCGAATGCACGAAAGATGAACTCGATCGTGCAGGCGGAAATCCGGTTGAGGTTAGACTGCAAGATGCTAGGACTGTTATCTTGAGAAAGGTTACTGGCACGGCAAAGGACTTGGAGGAGAAGGCGTTAAAGAGAGTTGGGTTTGAGATAGAGGATTTCTTGACCGGTTAATCATCTGCACCGATTTCTTGCTCATCTGTTGCTCGTCTCTCCTGGTGGCGAGAACTCAAATTTTGTAATGGTGTGATAGATGGAGATTACAGCTGCATTCCATGGAAAAGTTTTTATGGAAATGAGGTGGCCGTACGGCTGCATTAGTTACTACATTGTTGTGTTAGCCGGTCGTTCCATATCAATCTGTAATGGGTAGATAGAAGTCATAGCCCTGATTGTGAATCTTTACACTTCATTCCTGACTCGATCTATGTCTAATGGGGTCAACCTTCCTGTTCCTTTGTACAATTCGGTCAGAATAGACAAATCCGACACGCCGGTGTGCGTAGAGGCGGATGTTCTCGATGGTCCGGCAACATCCCCACTTGGAATGGAAACTGAGTTTCCCTCGTAGCATTCTAGGGAGTTCGTGTTCGAATTTACAGTACGAGAGACAACCCCCTCCCAGCCGACTCGTCCATCTGGTTCTCTTGCTCAATGATTCTGTGATCACAGATCATTATTGCTCTCCCAAGAACGTTGGCGGGCCCTTGTCTCTCCCACTAGTGAGACAATATTTTCCACGATCTATCTAGATAAGGACCGCAACCACGATAAGATCATACGATTGCCCAGCAATGACGTCTCTCAGTTTCTATCTCACTTCGAATAGTCGCTCTTAATGAGAGATCGCGATCGCTATCTGGCTGATCAGTCGATCTCGGGCACGGGACGCGACCCGCAACACTGATTCTTCACGCTCACGCATATTCTCGATAATAGTGTCGCTTGGTGAGATTCGCGTCCTACGCCCCAGGGGTCTTGTGAAATCCACGATTAGTTTAGAAATCATTCTCGTCTCCGCACATTCAGTGGGCTGCCGGTTTTTCAGTTGTCCCTCAGAGCATTCCGTTATTGGGCCGCTTCCTGTAGTGTTTAAACCGGAGAACTTTATGGAAGTTGAATATGAATCCCCTGACTTTCAATCATTCCATTTTTCCAAAGGATTGTGCGCCTCCTTCGAAAGGGACTTGAGATGAATCATTCGACTGTTCTTCTGCGCCTTCTGAAGGGTCCATGAAGCGCAATGAAGGGTGGAAGTCGATTGCATCTATGCTCATCCTCAAAGTCCACCTTCTTATATTCAGTGCAGGATAGACTCGCTTGGATTGTGGAATGCAATTATTATTCTGGCAGACGCGCATATTTCAATGACGCTCAGAAGGGATGTGTCCTCGAAAGCCGACGCTGAAGATGGCGAGACATGAGTCATGCAAGAATTGTTGTCAGATTTTCGCATCTTCTCCTTGTCTGATTTTTAGACCCGCGATGCCTTGTTCACATCAACTTTATCGCGTGCCCCGGAGCAGACCAACGTCTTCCAAGTTCTACAGATCTCATAGGAATCTCTAATCAATTCATTCGAGTGAGTACCTACAAGTAATAAGCACAAGTCGACAAGTAGTAGACTTCGCGGATTTCTGGAGATTTGCAGAGATACACGTACGTTCTATGTCCTGGTGGACTTTTCTTTTCCAGACATACGCTCCAGACATACGCATGTGAATCGCCCCACGTGGTTAGCGCAACTTCGTTATCAGTGATAACAGATACTGCCACGGCTCACCGTCGAAAAAAAGATACTGACCCCTAGGCTTCCAAGGTTTGTTTGAAATTTTTTTTCATTCAAAGAATCGTTCATTTTTGCAATCCAGTTTTGACCATCGACCTTATGCAAGGTCCCGGAATTGACGCTGGCGCCCAGCCGTACTCCAGTATGGCTGGGAAGCTGGACCCCAGACTCCTCAAAGCCCTTGATGTGATGGGTTTCACGGCCATGACCCCGGTTCAACAGCGTGTTCTGACCGAACTTCCCAACTGGCGCAGTGACTGCCTCGTCCAGGCCAAGACTGGTACTGGTAAAACTCTCGCTTTCCTTCTCCCTGCTTTGCACTGTCTGCTCCAAGGCCAGGCCCCTCCCAGAGGCAAGGTCGCCATCTTGATCATCACCCCCACCCGAGAGCTCGCTCAACAGATCGCCAAGTCATGCGATCAGCTCACCTCCCAACTTACGACCCCACTGGAATGTCACATTGCTGTTGGAGGAACTGCTCGCGCCTCTGCTCACAACCGTTTCATGAAGGGCGCTCCTTCCATTTTGGTGGCTACCCCGGACGTCTCAAGGATTACTTGTCCGAGGAATACACTGCCGAGAAGCTGTCTAACATTCAGACCCTGGTCTTGGATGAGGCTGATACCATGCTGGAGTCCGGTTTCATTGCTGATGTCAAGCGCATTCTGCAACTTATCCCGGCCAAGAGCACTGGCTGGCAGGGAATGTGTTTCTCAGCCACTGTTCCCCCCAAGGTCAAAGATGTCGTCAATATTGTCTTGAAGTCTGGTTACAGCAGCATCTCGACTATCGATAAGAACGAAGCCCCCCACCCACGAGAGGGTACCCCAATACCATGTTCTCATCCCGTCCGTTGCACAGACCTTCACCACACTTGCAGCTCTTCTTAACCTGGAGAGCAAGACCTGCCGCAAAATTATTGTTTTTGGTGTTACAGCAAACATGGTTGCTCTCATGGCCAATGTCTTCGCCGAGGGCTTGACTCCCTTGAAGGTTTTCGAGATCCACTCCAGACTCAACCAAAGTCGTCGTACCAAGACCACCGAGTTATTCAAGGAGGCTTCCGCCGGAATTATGTTCGCCTCCGATGTTATCGGCCGCGGAATGGATTTCCCCAATGTCGACCTTGTCATTCAGGTTGGTTTGCCGTCCAACGGTGAACAGTACGTTCACCGTGTTGGTCGTACAGCCCGTGCTGGCAACGATGGCCGTGCTATCATCCTCCTCACCGAGGCCGAGTCTTTCTTCATGAAGGTCAACCGCCACCTTCCTATTAAGCCCCACCCTCAGACCGACGCCATCAATGCGGCCGCACCCTTGACAGCGGACGCCGTCACTCAGGCCATGTACTCCATTGACGAAGAGACTAAACAACGTGCCTACTCGTCCTTTATTGGATTCTTCGCCGGCTCCGGTCTCCTGAAGCCTCTCCGTCTCGACAAAGCTGGTCTTGTCCAGATGGCTAACACGATGGCTATTGAGGGTATGGCCTGTCCCGAGCCCCCGCCCATGGATAAGAAGGTTATTGGCAAGATGGGCTTGAAGGGTGTTCCTGGTTTCAACTACGGAAGCGGGAATGACTTCAACGGAGGCGGTGCTCGCCCGCACAGCCGTTCCAATGGGCAGCACTCTGGAAAGCCCCGTGATGCCCTGAGTCCCGGAGCTGGCCGTGACCATCACGGTGGAGTTGAGAAGAAGCGCGGTGGAGGTCGCGGTGGAGGCCGCGGTGGCCGTGGTGGTGGCCGTGGAGCCCGTCGCGGCGGAGGCGGAGGTGGAGGCGGAAGCACCTTCAAGCCTCGAGGAGCTTAGATTCTTAGAGTCCTTTTTTTTTCCAACATAGACAAGATACCAAGACCATCTAGATCTTTTATGAACACAAAATTTACGCGTGCAATTGACTAGTAACTGTAGAAGTAGGGGTGGGCTACTGCAGATCGAGCTTAGTCCGACGTGAACATAATGCATAAGCCGCAGAAGAACTGGAACCCAATCTGCAGAATCCCCGTCGTGCAGAGTGGGTCAGTCAACGTAAATGACTTCTCGAAATGTAGCCCACTGAAGGAGAGGCCAAGATACTGAACATATTAAAGCAGCAGCATGTATCGAGGACGGCAAAAAAGAACAAAGTTCGACTTGTTGAAGCCTGGAGGATCACGAGGAGTAACTTGACGATATATATATCAACCTGACACTGCCAATGGTCAAGCTACAGACATATCAGTATCCAAATGAGGTGTTTCTATATTCGTTAGCCTTTATGTTTCTAGCTTTGTCTAGCAGCACAGTAATCGCTATAGCCGTTGATGGGGTACCATACTTGCAACATTGTCAGTCGTAACGCCAAGAGTGCAAAGACCATACTCCGGATGGCGGACAGCATGTGGGGCGTGGAAAAGAGTTGGGTCAACAGGTTTGGAACTCATCCCACTTGACGACCATCACGATACCCGCCAGTACGCGTTCTCTTTGGCTGTTGAACCAGAGAACCGCCCGACACAATAGGATCCAAACCGATATATACCGAGACACAATTGGAAGCGTACCTGAAGCGAATCAAATACAAGAGCTCCAAGTCACAAGATATTTCGCTTGTACAAGACGTACGGCAGCGAATCCAGAGTGATGCATTGGGTACCTTGACAGATCTCCAGCGCCATCATCTGGCAGCTATTTCCTTGGGGGAACTCAGGACTGCATTATTCACAGCACCACACCATTTCGTTGCACCCGGATAGCCTGTATGAGAAGATGGTTGAGAGAGGGTTGGATGGATACTGCATGGAGAATATGAGGCTTTTCTTTATTGTGCTACGTTCGCTGTCGCTTATGGTTTATGCTACGGGCGGTCGTGTCAGCCATGCTGCGTCAAAGGGCATTGACAACGGATTGTTTCTTTCTTTGTATGACTCTTTTCACTTCGATCTACCGATGGTATATTCTACTAACAGCTCTCAAGCGGACACTTGATCTTGATTGTCATCATTGACGGGATTCAATACATGGTAAGTACCCCCTAATCTTCATTTGCATCTACAAAGGCTGATAGTCCGATAGGTTGACACAGGGTTTGGCATCAACGGAGCTACGGCACCTTTACCTCTCCAAGAGGGCGTGGCAGCTACATGCATCGAGCCCAGCCAGATGCGTCTAGTCAGGGAGGCTATCGACGAATTTACTGATAAGACCCCAGAAAATCTGGATCTACCAGCTCAGATACACCGCAGAGAGCAATTGGCTACCCATGATCTGCTTCAACGACGTGAAGTTTCTACCGCAGGACTTTGAGGTAAAGAACTTCGCCGTCAGCCAGACCCGGACTAGCTGGTTCACAAAGACCTTTGTGTGCATGAGAATGATCATGGATGAGAATACGCGAAAAATAATTGGCCAGTGCATCATGTCCGGCCGAGAGGTCAAGCGGCGGGTGCACGGAGAGACAGAGATTCTGCAAGTGCTCCATACTAAAGAGGACCGGATCAAGGCACTGGCCAAGTACTTTGACGTGCACCTTCGCAAGAACGAGATCGAAGGCATCCGTGGGCTAACCTCCGAGCTCATATAGACTCAGATAGAACATAAATAGAACAGAAACGGTTTCGATGGTATGATACAGCGGCGTTTCTAAATAAAGTTGCGCAAGGTATGTAAGGTAATCGCGAAACAGACGAGGACATAATAAGAAGACATTGCGATTTTGAGCCTAGAAGATCCGCTTCTCGACCTGCACACTGGGTCAGCACCATTTTATAGTCGCGAGATTCACAGCATTGTCTTATCCATACCTTCCACGGGTTGCTGACGTCGAAGCCCTTGGGAGCCACATGGTTGCTGGATTGCCCGCGCTCCGAGCCGGTAAGTCGCAAGTCACGCTCCATCACTGTGTGTGGTTAGTCCTGTTGAGTTCGTTGCGGGCATTGTTTCTGTCTTTTTCATCGTTACTTACTTTGCTGTGAAATAGTTAGCCGGTGTGTTCTGTGAGTTCCGACCGCAGCCGACTTCAAGACTTGACTTACCCGATCCCAGAGGTCCCGGTTCCAGCGGGCCTTCTTGCCGTCATTGGCAAAGCCTTTCACAAAGGAGATACCATATCCGGACAGGCCGAACATCTGTGGTGGGCGTCAGTTATAGCTCCAGAGGGGATTGACGAATGAGACGCACGCCCAAGATAATCCCGTAAGGGAGCAAGGCCTCAAAGGGAACACCCATGTTGTGCGGTCGCGAAAGTCGAAGGAGAACAGTAAGAGTGACTTGAAGTCTCAATGGACCCGAATCTGGCTCGTGTCGTAGATAAAGGGCGAATTGCGGAGAGCACGAAGGAGGGGAGGAAGAAGCGTCGCCGGCAACGAGGTCTGCGTGGCCCGAAAGGGATTAGCGTAGGTTGAGTCAGCCGCCTGCAACGACACTCGCAGGGCCAAGGGGCAGCGGATCGCAGTCGATTTCCGAAGAACTCTGGCCTCGGTGCTTGATCTGTTTGTCGACGCGTCTTGTATCTCTCTTTTTTCTACATACTATTTCGTCTACCGCCTGGCGTGAGTCGCCTTTTCCCCGCGACACGCGCTTACGAATCGTGACAGCCAACTGACGCCTCTGCCTTTGTTCAGCTTGTTTGCGCCCGACGAACCTATCTTCACAGCGAAACTTGAGCTCCATGATTTAAGTCCTCGGCCTGGTCCTCCTTACCTTCCAAACTACGTTCGGAACTCCAGATGCTCCCCCGGTTCGCCACCAACGCGTGCGGGGTGGCTCTGTAGCTTGTCTCTCGTGACCTCTTTACCACTGGATATTCCGATACACGTACTTGCGCGCTATACTTAATCCAGGAGCTAGTTCGAACTGGCGGCTGCGGTGGCTTTCACCATGGCGGCGACGGTGCCGCCGGCAAACGACGACCCGGGCAAGCTCAACTCGCCTGCGGACCAGATTGACAGCGACATCGATGCGGAGGGTGAAGAGGAAACGGATTTGTACCACATGGATCAGCAACTTCAGGATGCGGTACACCGTGCATATAGCGGAGAAGAAGCTGAGGACAACGGTGACAGTGCGGACAGTGAAGCAATGCGCGATGACGCCAATAGCGATCAGCTCAGCGGCGATAATGATGAGACCGAGCCAGTCGGTGCTGTGAAGGTCCCGGAGGACGAGGCGTCTTCTGAAGACGAGGATGCGGATGCGGATGCGGATGCGGATGCTGACTCTGCGTTCGAGGACGAAAACGATCGGGATGCATCCAATGCAGAATCAAGCGAAGGTGAATCCGAGGTTGAAGAAGACTGGGAAGCAGAAAGCAATGGAGGCGAGGATGCGGACGCAGATATTCGCAGCCGCGCAAATTGCATGTAAGTCATGCAGGCTTAGACTGCAGGCTGGCCTGAGCATTGTTCATGCTAATACCGAAAAGATTCTGCACCCAAGATGAAGAACACGATCCGAGCGAGGATTTTGAAGAATGGCTGACTTGTGTGGTTTGTGGCGATCACTGTACGTTTTTTTGCAGATTCCAGCGGATCTTTCAACCTTGTCCCAATTCCTGCGTCTTTTCGCTGACTCGGCATCTCGATAGCTCATCGACAATGCGCTCGTGAACAGGAAGCTTTCAATGACACTGACGGTATGGTGGAGATAAAGTTCATTTTCGGATGGGCCCACCCGCTAACTCCTGATCGTGTAGATCCGTGGAAATGTCCCACCTGCGTTCAAAACAAGCTAGAACCCGACCCTGTGGAAAGTCCGGCATCGCAGCAAAAATCCGGGGCGTCTCATCTTCCCAAGGAGCTCTTACCTGCACACGTGGGGAAACAAGGGTCGGGATTTCATTCCATTTTTGACACCACTATTGAGGATGTTAATAGCTCCCGGTCGCTTCGAAAGCGGAAAGCTTCTTCGGTCGAAGCAGAGGAACATGTACCTGTTCTTCGCAAACGAAGACGTCAGACAGATGCTTCTGGTGCGAATGATACTCCAGTTGATGTAATAGATGGGATGATCGGTGGTCACACCCCAGCACGGCCCATGCGCCCTCGGCGAAGCCGGGCCTTGGATCACGAGCCCATTCGGATAGTCTCCAGACATGTCGGCAAACTCGTGGTAGGCTTCCGCCTGGATCAGAGCAAAGTGAGCAGAATTCTCAGCATCCCGAGTCGATCGCAGCGCGACAGGAAAAAGAAGAAGAAAGCGCCAAAGCCTTCCCCTCTGCCACAAACACCTCAAGCCCACTTTGCGCCCATCCCTCCAGCACCCTACACTTCTTTCCAACCTTTCCATGACCGAGACATCGATGACTCGAAGTCCAAACCTTATGGTGGCATTTTATCCGAGGCTGATGCGGATACATCCAAAACACTCCCATCACAAGTCGATCGCGAAAAGTTCGAGCAAGCTCGCCAGAAAGCCGAAGAAGAATGGCAACAGAAGGTCCGAGACGCGGAACTCAATGGCGAGTCAACTACAAACGTATCGCAAAAAGTGTCAGGTCCGCCCTCAAAGATTAAGTACATCAACTTCGGTGGCTACGAGATCGAGACCTGGTATGCTGCTCCTTACCCAGAGGAGTACAGCCGCAACCGTGTGCTTTATATCTGCGAGTTCTGTCTCAAGTACATGAATTCAGATTATGTCGCCTACAGGCATAAGCTCAAATGCCCCGCGAAGCATCCCCCCGGTGACGAAATTTATCGTGATGGTTCAATTTCGATCTTTGAGGTTGATGGGCGAAAAAACCCTGTTTATTGTCAAAACTTGTGTCTCCTTGCTAAACTTTTCCTGGGCTCCAAGACGCTTTACTACGATGTTGAGCCATTCCTGTTCTATGTCATGAGCGAGTACGATGATTTGGGATGTCATTTCGTTGGTTACTTCAGCAAAGAAAAACGACCCAGTTCAGCCAACAACGTCTCCTGCATTCTCACTCTCCCCATTCATCAACGCAAAGGTTACGGTAACCTTCTCATCGACTTTTCATACCTCCTTACCCGTATCGAAGGCAAGAACGGCTCACCTGAAAAACCACTCTCCGACATGGGCTTGGTTTCATACCGCAACTACTGGCGACTGATTCTGTCGTATCAACTCCGTGATTTGAAGACACCGGTCAGCATAGCAGATCTATCTGACCGGACGGGGATGACAGCTGATGACATTGTCTCTGCATTGGAAGGGCTACGCGCCCTGGTGCGAGATCCTCTTACCAAAACCTATGCATTCCGTCTTGACAGGAATTATTTCGAAGAAGTGATAAGCAAGTGGGAGAACAAGGGGTATGTGACACTTAACCCTGATGCGCTGCTCTGGACCCCATACATCATGGGTCGGAACAATCAGTCGCACTTTGACCGTGCTCCTCTCCATGCTGTTGCACCTCGGGACGGCCTTGTCGAAGATGAAGAAGAAGAGGAAGAGGAAAGGCGAAATGGTATGAACGACAATGGTCCAGATGAAACAGCTGGACCTCCTTCGACCATGGCTCTCACCAATGGTGTTCACGCAGCCGAAAGCACCGAAAGATTGGAACCTCTAATCCCCAACCCGGCAGCTGGTATCCCTCCCTCTAGGTTTGAATTGTGGCCCCCTGTGCATGTTCCTGCTCCGAGCAAGAAAAAAATTGGCCGCCCTCTCAAAGCAAACGGCTCCCGGCCCTCCATGACACCCACGACCGTTCGGACAAGTGGCCGCAACACACCTCGCAGAGCCTCTGGGCTTTCTCATTTCACACCATCTGGTAGTGTGCGTCGCGGCCGCAGCGCCAAGCTTGGCGATTCGCCAACCAAAACCAATGGTATCGATGATGACGACGAGCAGGGCGATGTGGACGAAGAGGCTGTTCTCGACCCAAGCCCTGAGGACCTGGGCACCATGGCAAATGGCATATCCGATAGTGATAAACTCTCAAAGATCAACGGTGATGACGAGGTACAAGACACCGTGGAGACGAATGGTGTTGAGCCCAAAAAATCCTCATCCGAGGAAGTCCTCGAGGCCCCCCCAGACACCTTCAAAAAGGTCCAAATCTGGTTCACACTCTCCAGGAACAGCAGTATCCCATAGATCACGGGGGAAACAAACCGAGCACCACCCCAAGACCCCGCAATCCTCTACGCGCAAAGCTCTGGTGGAGAAGATCCAAGTGGTGATCCCCGCCGAGCCTGGGTCCGCCACGCGAGAAAAGAAAGCCAAAATGGTGGCGGCGGCAGCAGCAGCGGGGACGAACGAGATCGATCCTGACGCCGACGCCGAGGGCGAGGAAGATGCCGACTACGAGGTGGACGGCGACGTGGTAATGGAGACATAAACATGACCACTTGAAGTAACGAATGACGGGTTGTGAATATCTGCTCGCCACGCATGCGGAAAGGGCGTTTGATACTAAAACTTGCATGTATTTTTTCTTTCCTGCAATTTGTGACTACCCAACTGTCTCTCTTGAGATGAGCGACAACGCGGACGTATCGGGCGCCGTCGGGTGCTTGTTGGGGATAATGTCCAAGGACGCGGTGCGGAGGCTGGCGTTTCCGTGGTTTACTTTTTTTAATCCATCTATACGATCCTATCATAAAGAGCTGCTCCCATTGTGTCGTGTTCATGCAAAGGTCCTTTGAAAGTCAGACGCGACGCGTCTAGCCAAAATTTGAGGCGTTGCGACCTGTCATCTCCCACTGACACACCTTCGGATGTTATAGGAAGTCCGGAATAGAGATAGATCAAAACCTAAACCTAACCACCCTTGTCCGTGCAGGACGGGGGCGCAAGCGTGTGAGGGGCAAAACCGGGAGGTGGATGTGATGTGTTCCAAGGGCTGAAAAACTAGTAAAGTGGAACCGGGTGGTCGGGAAATGACAATGTTTGATATCATAAAAGATTGAATATCTATCTAAGGCCTAATTGAGAATAGATGGGATGGTTTCGCATAGCTTATGAGTAGAGAAGAGACCAAGTCGTTCGATCGGCGGGATCAGCGGGGCAGAACTGTCAGGGGCGCAACAACCATGGAATGCGGGCCCTGAACGGCCACGGCACTCGTATTTTATGCTTAAACTAGGAGTTCCGTGGTTCGTAGCGGTCACTAGCTATTCAGCCCAGTCTATTGATCTACCCGACCTTTAACGGGCAGTCCACGTAGCCTGGCCGGGCGCTAAGAGGTGCCACTTCATGCAGCAATGTGTTGTTCGTCTCCACGCCCGGCAGTTAGTCTCTTAGTTTCTGCTCTCTCCCACCCCCCCCCCCCCCCTCCTCCCTTCTCCCCCCCTAAAATTTCAGGGTCGTAAAATGAAGGTGGATTTAGAAATCTCTTCCCGGAGATTTTCCATCCTTCCATGTTCCCCCGTCTTGCGTTTCCGTCTGCCTTGTTTCCTGGTCAGCTCAGCATCTTGGGGATGTTACCTTCAACTCGGACGCTCTGGTCGTTAGGAGCAAATCGGAAAGGTGCAGATGATTATCGCAGAATCGCTCTACTTTGGGGCCCTCCCCTTTCAGCCTTGATGTCGTCTGATTCTTGAGGTCCCCGCTATCTTGTGTGTCATTGATCGATCCGAAGCTTTACGGCCTTACCCGTGAACACATTTCAGGCCATTGGCCGTTGCGGATTAGACCCGAGACGAAGCCAAAGACAAGAGCTGGCGATGGCCCTTGCATGCTCATCCGCAGCACTATCGGCTATTCGACAATGCACCCGGCTCGTTGTGGGTGGGCCCGCTTGTCATATTCCAGCTGCTGCAGCCACCACGCCAGTGCTGCAAAACCCCGGCGCCCCCCCTCCCTAGGTGCCCTCAAATTGCAATGCATCAACTTCGGAGGAATATCGACCCTTTCCTCTCAAATTTTGATCAAGTGAGATGCGGGAAAATGCAGCCCTGTGCCGTGATTTCAGCCTTCGGGCATTGGGAAAAAGGCCAGGAAGCAAACAAATGAACCATGCAACAGTCTGCGGCTGAAGCGCCAGTGTGGCGCCAAAGTAGAGCTGCAAGTGAAGAACGCACCGATCTGCAAACTGCACCCACAACAGGACTGGCTTCTGAGCCGGTCGCACAGTTTCCGGCCCAAGCCCCATTTCCCAAGGACTTCGAGTGCCCTAAGGCTGTCGCGACCTCCATTTGAGGTCTCCAGTGGCCTTGGCCCCCCACGCTCTCTGAGAGGATCATTGTATCTGCACGACACACCGATGTGACGCATCGCACTGGCTCGACGTGCCAGGGTTCGTGCCCTCTTACGTTCGTTTCCCCTTGCTCAACCTCAACCCGAACCCACCATGATCATGACCCAGAATGTCTTGACTGGGCTGGACTAACACCATTCGGTCCCCTCGCCCCTGTATTCGCGTGTTATCTCTGATCCTGATCTTCATCCCTGATCTGATCTGATCTGATATCGATCAGATCTCTCGGGCAGGGCTGCTGTTATCGCATGGTGGTGCTGGTCTCCGACTTGCGGGAAAAGTACACGGGTTCGATCTCGGCTGCCGGAACCGGCGCGACCAAGGGCACTGTCACACAGAGTGCGGCGAGGATTGTCAAGCAGGGTGCAAAGCGCACAGAAAGGCCGAAGGTATGAAATACGATGAATTCCCAGTTGAAAGACCCTATGCAAAGGGATGGTCTACTGTATCGTTAGGCACGCTCAGAGACTCCCTCCCCCCCCTGGATGACATAAGAGGGAGTCAGAGCGTCCCTAAGGTTCCAGTTCACAAACCCTGACCCAAAAGAGAAAAAGGAAAAAAACATAAATAAAACTTTTGTGTTGAGGCTAACGCTAATCACCTAAACTAGATAGATCTTAGTGGGGGGACAAGGGGCGTGGCCCCCCTAAGACATTCAAGGTCCCAGATGCGGCTGTGATCTCGCATATCCGGGAAACCTCAAGCCAGCTGGAAAGGGCTCTAGTGCCAACTCAAAAGACCCAAAAGGCCCAAAAGATCCCAAGGATCAAAGAGCCGAAAAAGAAGCGCCGAATGTGCGCATCATCGCGCCTGTCAGTCCAAGTTAGCAAACCGTGGTCGAGCACAGCTAAACCCCCATCCACTTCCCCCCCTAACCACGTACGGCTCGGGTCCTAACGGTCTCAAGCCCGGGTCCTTTCTCCCCCCTTCCCCTGCTCCACCTTTCAGCTATATAGCGCCTGAAAATTTTGGCTGGAGTCCATCGTGTACCGCAATTGGCTAGCTTCTTCATTTTCGCCATCTGTGCGATCACCGCGATCACCGACTCAGGACGGTTTTGCAAAGCGGGACGCTGATTTGTTCGCGGGGAAAAATTCAAGGCCCAATCCCAGCTCGGTGAACTCACGGGCTCACTGGCTCCAAGCACTGAAGCAGTGCATCTCTGAACAACTCCAAGTGGACTCGGGATTCGAGACTCCCCAAATTACTACACCCATCTACTACGGTGACCCTGGTGGAAAACGTCACCATCCGTTTTCGTGCACCAAATTACCAAATTCGCTTCCATGGTTGCGCGCCTACCGTGAATCCCGCACCTTCCACTCTTCTCTTCCCCACTACAGCTCTTTCTTTTCTTTGGTATCGGCTTTGACCCATTCTTTCTTTCTACACTTATCTGCTGGTTTCTGGGATTACGGGATTCCTGGTTTCCGTGTCTTAATTTTCGTGGATTACTGGATCAAACCACCAGTCTCTCTCTGGTGGTTCCTGCTTGCTATACCGTTGGGTTCCACTCATCCGTCTTGATGAGCGTAGCCACGTTCTCCGACGCCTCTCTCTCGCGCGAAGCCCAGAGGTTCGTCTGAATCAGCTGCTTTTCCGAAGTCGCAACTCTTACTCGGTGGTCCAGGGACTCCCACTGACTATGTTAACCAACACCAGTTCTGACTTTGACCTGACCATTCGCCAGCAGCCCGACCGGGCGCGCGTGGCCGGGGGCAAAGAGAAAGGTACGTGCTTCGGCATTCTTCCTATCGCTTCTCTCTCGTTCCCTCCAACTTGTCCGCGCTTCGTTCCGCCGATCTGAAGCCCGGTGGCGGGGGGGATTGGGTGGAGGTGAAGCCGGCGTGAATCGTCCGTCAGATGGGTAGAGTACAGCTACTAACGATCACCGCCTACAGAGCGCAAACCCATCGATCCGCCCCCGATCGTCCAGCTAAGGGTGCGCGAGGAGGGTTCCTATCTTGCACAGTAAGTGTTTCAGCACCCGGAGAGGTCACGAGGGCTGTTCGTGGCCTTTTGGTTACTAACCCGGCCCCCAGACACTACCTACAAAGCCCCTACTATTTTATGTGCTGCAGCTTGTACGATGCCTCAGAAGATCGTCCAGTGCCTGTAGCTCCGTCGACGGCCTTGGCAGGGACCCTGGTGTCGTCTCTTCACCGGCTGAAGGACGTGGACAACAGCGGTAAGTGGGCTCAAGCTGCAGAGCTAGCTTTGCACGCATACTAACAGCAAGCAGATGGCGGGTTTTTTGTCTTCGGGGATCTATCCGTTAAAATCGAAGGCGAGTTCCGGCTGAAGTTCACCTTGTTCGAGATGCGAAAGTGAGTGTGCCCCTGTGCGGTCGCAGCTTCGGTGAGCAGACGCTGACTCGGATTCAGGGAAGTGGTCACCTACTTGAAGACCATTGTGTCGGAGCGTTTTAGAGGTTAGAGACTCCTGAAGACTGAAAATGAACTTGAACATGCAACTGACAATCATCCAGTGTCACCTCCCAAGAACTTCCCGGGCATGATGGAGTCTACTTTCCTCTCCCGGTCGTTCGCGGATCAAGGAGTCAAGTTACGTATTCGCAAGGAGCCTCGGACCATGATGTAGGTGACGGTAACGTGCTGGACTAGGATCGTACTGACTGTACCCTAGGAAACGCTCGGCTCCTCGACCAGATGAGTTTCCACAAGCGATGCCTCCAAGGTCACCAGACCGTCAATCAGTTCAGATCCCCCCTGCAACGGGCTTTACGGGTTATCCGGCCCAGGCTAGAGACTATACGTATTATGGAGCTCCTCCAGTCAAGCGGCACCGTACCTCGATTGACTACGGCCGCCAGAGTATCTACGACGCAGAGGGAAGGATGGCTCGTCCGATGGACTCCTACGGTCAACCGGCAACCATGTACTCTCAGGCAGGCGCATACCAAACCCCGATGCAGTACTCGACTGGACAAGTGGTGCCAGATTACGGGGTTCGTTCCATCCATCCCGAGAGATTTCATATGCGCCAGATCAAAGCTCTTTGACTAACTTGCGTCCTTGGCAGATGTCCTACGGTCTACCGCCTTCAGCACCCATGTCTCAAATGTCTGACCCATCGGGTCAAATTCGCCCCAGCCAGCAAGCGACGGTGGGACAGCTCATGGCGATGAATCAGCCTGGCACACCTGTACGGCACCCCTCCGCCAACCAGTGAGTGTTGGAGTGAGAAGTCCCCTGCTAAAGATTTCTTTTCTTTTGGCTCCTGATAGACCCCGGATTCGACAAGCGCGATGATGGCTCAGGGGTATCCTCGGTCCGGATACCAGACGAGTTCTACCACGCTTCCTCCCCTCCGGAGCGGCAATGGGACCGCGCGAGGCTATTATGACCAGCCGGACCAGCCCTCTTCCTCGGCCACCCCCATCCTCCCTTCTCAAATGGCTCCCGATGGCGATCGATATGGCTCTGCCGGCCCAGCGGCCTTTGATCCCCCCCGGGTCGACGCACGGAACTTCGCCTTGATGGATCTCTTTTACCTTTCATACGCTCGTTCTCGCCGGGTTGCTGTGACCTCGAAGGTCCTCTCTGGCTGTTACACTTTACACTGGTTTATTCTTTATTTTCTTTATTGTCTGTCTGGATAGACTGGGGTGGGTTTTAGATATCACTTTTGGTTTTACATTGGGTGGCTTGGGATTGGATTCTTTACTGTTACAGGCGCTGGTAGAAGGAAAGGAGGGAGGGAGGTTCTTGTCTTTTTTCTCAAAAAGTGTGATCGTTCTCAATCCTTCGTGTATATAGGGCCTTTTACAGTCACTCTGTGTGTTTTAATGTTTGCAATCGATGGCTTATGCTCCTGCCATGCTCCTTCCTTGTTTTCACTTGTTTGCTTCTCTTCCCACACCCACATCCACTCTCTCATATATCTATCTACATCATGGATCCATCCGAGAAGCCCTGTAGTAACCTGGACATATGGTGTGACTGGACAGGCGAGCCGAATGACCCTGTCGAGGTCGTCGTCTCCGTCGAGGTACGTGATGCTACCCAGCGCTGATATCCAACTAATAGGACCGGTTGCTCCCAGGTCTGGTGTACCCCCAACATCAACTTAGCTGTTCTGAATATCCGCTCATTTCACAATCTGCACATTGTGGAATACGGTATCAGCCTGAGAAAACCTAGTTCCGAAAAAGTCGAGTCCATATTGGGAGGTCTACGCACACGAGACTCACCCGTTGAGATTCACGAAGTGGGAGAATCCTCAACACTGACCAGAGAAGGCGACACCGAGGATGATGAAGATTCACCTTACGAATGCACACCATTCAGCTACTCAGAAGAGGACTGCACTGTTGTTCAAACAGGCCAGGGTGGAGTCTCGGTCCAATCCGACCCTTTTTACTCTAGCGCTGCAATCAGCCTCTTATTCGAAGACGACGAAACGCCCATGCCCAGTCCGAACCCGCGAAAGAGAAATGCAAGGGCAGCTTCACTTCCTGACTCAGTCACTGATTCGGAACGATCATACGGTGGTTCGAGCTTGAAACACAAGGCTCTAGCAGGCAACCGGTCTGATGCATCGACATTTAAACACTCAAAAAAACAGAGCCTCATTCCAAGACCTGTGGGTTCTCCCGGTCAGACTGTCTGGGAGAGCAATCTGAATATCAAGGTCCCGCCGCTGGACTATAGGTCTACTCTGGCTGAGGGGTATCGGCAGCTGGAGGCCAGTTTTCCGTCGCCTGCGAACAAAGAGAATGATTCCGGACCTAAGAGAACGTTGCCTGGGATGGAACGGTCGAATGCGCCGTCTCCTGAGACACTAATGAGTACTACCGGGGTGAAGAGCGTGGATGACAAGGAAAGTCAGCTTATGCGCGAGTGTGGAAATCTTTCTGCGGATGCGAGGCACAGAAGTCCTTGTGACATGTCCATGCCTTCAACTAGTCAAGCGAGTTCTCTTTCGTCGAAAACAGTGGGCTTGCGTATAGACGCACCTTCGGACACTGCCAATTCCCCCGGAGAACCTCATCCACTTCACATCTCCGACTCTCCCGGAGATCTTCCACCACTGTTCACGACCGATGTATCTGGGGACATACCTCCACTAATTGAACCTGATTTCTATGGGGATGAGAATTACCTGTTCGACATCCCCACACACCCCGAATCTTCAGCATCCTGTCAAACACCTATTACCGGACCAGAATTGGTCCTGACTAATGGAGTCTTCCGTATCCGAAGCACGGCTGGCCTCTGTCCCGCAGCCTACGAAGTGTCAATTACGTTCCTATTGCCTCTTCAAAGTGGAAGACCAAGAGGCTGGTGGGAACTCATCGTCCCAGGATTGCCAAGGTTGGCACGGAATGAACACGGCTATGTCTACTTCCGCACACCTCCAGGCCAGGGAATGGAGTTCCGGACTACTTATTTCAAGCGATACAATCTTGTGGAGAGCTGTTTGATGGCCCAATTTTCGATCCCTTCAAAACTCGTCATCTCCCTTCGACCCTGCGAGTCTCGATTTTACGGCTTTCTTAAGGACTTCAAAGTCACACAAGCTATCCGTGCCGAAGTCGTGAATTGCGAAGGAAATGACACGGTCCTCGATGTTGTCGAATACCGCGCCATATGCTCGATTGACCTACTCCAGCGCGACTTCTGGGCCAAGAAATGCGGATTCTACATTTGGATCTGCGGCGGACCCGAGGGTAAATGGGTCACTGTTCTGCCCGATGATGGACGGCGATTTGAAACAATCAAGTTGGACTCCAAGACACCCGACGTCATCGGAGTTTCTGAACTTCAGGTCATTTGCAACCCCTCTCATCTGGGTATGTTCGTCCTGGCGTGGGCAGTCAAAGTCCCGCATGGAAGAAATAAAATTTGGATGCCACTCATCAGAGCAATTCGCGATAAGGCGGATATCGAGGCGGCGCTGCAAGCCGAATTTGAGGCCGCCGAGTCTCCGAGGACGCCTGATATGGTACGCACTGGTCCCATTGATGATGAGCTCCAAGATCCACGGCGCACGGGCACTTTCTGGAAGATGTTCCGATCGATCTGCTATGGTCTGGTCATCTTGTTCCTACTTACTCGTCTTGCCGCGCGTCTTCATGAGATGAAGATTGTCACCCAGGCTACACAGACAAGTATTGACGCTGAATTTGAGCCCGACAATTCTCATGCGGCACCACTGCAGGAGCCAGTGCCAGAATTCCTGGCGTTGCTGGAGGCCAACGTCCCTACTCTCATGCCTCTGCGAGATCGCATCGACTACCTTCTGGGTTGGAAAGGACCTCTTTCAAAGGCCAAAGTCTAGGAGCTCCTTTCTTTTCTTCATTGTATTCCTAGCAAATATGATCAGCACGACAAGAGTCTATGACAACGCTCAGCCAACCATCCTAACTCAACCTTCCAATCTATGAACAATAAGCCCCTAAAACCTCCCCAACAGCCCATCTCAAAACATCCTCCATCCCAGCTTCAACCCCCGGCACAACCCTCACCCCAACATCCCTCCTAACATCCAGCCCATCCCCAACCTTCTCCACCAAGCTTCCCTCACCATCCTTCGCCACAATCAACCAAGCATGATCCTCCACATATCTAGGCCAAACGATATCATCCACATATCCAGGTGGATCCACCCAGAAATTCTGCGGCGGCCGATCATCCTCCCCCTCCAGATCAACCTCGCCCCCCTTTCCCCGGTGCCCTGTCCCTCCTCCGGCTCCGGCGCCGCTCCAATAGTCACATACCCGCTTCTGCCCTCCCTCCTCCTCTTCACATTCGCATAACTGGCAGGCAGAAACAACGGCAAATCAATAGCCCCATGAACCTTCCTCAGAACATGTCCTTCATCATTAGGAGGCGCGTAGAGTAAAAAACCCTCCATGAATGCAATCGTGTCCACATGCGACCCAGAAGAGAGTCTCTTCCCGACTAGATCCCGTAGTTCAGAAACTAGAGCCTCTGAAACGCCTGACTCGCCTTGCTCATTCTGGTCTTCTTTGCTTTGGAGTCGAGGTGGAAGGTGGCCGGTTTTCCGAACGTAGGAAAGAGCTTGTGAGAGGAATGTTGTGTCTATTGCTGAGACGGTGTCCCAGTCTTGGATGCGAGTTCCGGCGGGGGTTGTTGTGTATGGAATTCTGGGTGTGTGAGTGGATTATTATTCTTCTTCTTACAATGGTACAAGGGCAGAGAACGGGGAATACGTACTGGTCGTCTGGGTAGTAGAAGTCATCTTCATGGATTATGAATGTGTTCAGGGCTTTACCCGAGTCGAGAGGTACCCCGCAGAAGACGCGTTGGAGGAGGCGGGCGAGGGTGGTTTTGCCGCTGGACGAGGGCCCGGATATGCCGACTATCAGGGCTTTCGGAGGGTCGAGGGTGGGATTGAGATCTGTCATTATTCCTCTTTCTGCAGATTGAAGGACGGGGTCGTGGTTTGTGCTCTTGTGTGAGAAATGGAGATAAAGAGGAGATGAGGAGGGGGTGAGATTTATCGTTATCTTATCTCTTCTCCATCGCGATCTTGATCTATACAGGGTTCGAGATTACGTTCATGGAGTGAGGAAATGAAGAGCAAGAGCTCAGCACGGAATATCATCAATACGTGTCTATTGGGTATTTTACAGTGATCCACCAGCGCCGTGCTTGAAAATTACAACCCGGGATTGAACAATGATACCCGCCTCTCTGGAGACTTCTTTGGGGTCCCCTTGGGTAAAGGCCCATCGATATCCTCGAAAACTTGGACAGATGATGCAAAACCAATGCGCGGTCTCTTAGGCGTAGGGCTTACCGGAGGAAATGCATCGGAGTCAGCATCGGACTCTTCCATCTGCTGAGTCCGCTTCAATAGATCTCGCTTGCCCTCAACTTCCTCATCGGGAATTGGAAGGGAATGTTTATCAAAGAATCCAGTGGCATACTGCAAAAGCGCCATCTCGGAATCTCCTTCAACAGGCATGGCCAGGAAAGGCTCTCGCTGAATGATGTCGCTCATAGCGTGGTCATCAAGTAGACTCTTCTCCGCATTCTGCATCTCAGCCTCTGACATTTCCTTTCGTCGGCGGAGCATGCGGTCTTCCAATGTGTCTCGGAGAACGAGTGTTTCGACGTAGACTGGCCTGGTCTGGCCAAGTCGATGGGCACGTTTAATAGCTTGGCTTTCGACGGTTGGTTGCCAGATGGGGTTAACGATGAATACTCGAGAGGCTTGTACAAGGTGGAGACCGTGGGAGGCTTGTCGTAGATCCATAAGGAGGACGCGAACTTCACTTGTTTCACGGAACAGATTTAAATACTGTTCGCGAAGATCAGTTTTCAGTGTACTTGCGTAGATACGAAACTCGATGCCGAGGAGTTCGAGACCTTCGGCTATCCAGAAGGCGGTGTTGGGGTTGTCGTAAAAGATGATGATCTTTTCTTGCGTTTGAAGCTCCCATACTCGGTCCAGCAGGTACGTGAGCTTCGCGGAGGCAGTGGCGATGAAGTGGGTCTTCATGAGGGGTGAATCCTTGGAAAGACTCCTCAGGATCTTGCGAGAGTAAGTCTTCTTTGGGGACTTGTTGCTCTTAGGCTTCGCGCCATGGCTCATTTGCCCAGGGACGGCAGATGTATTGGTCGACTCTGGTGCACCCTTCGTGGCAGTAGCCCCTTTATCACGCTTCTGGAGTTCAAATCTGACCCTGAGACCTCTTGAAGACAATCCGTCAGAAGGATCGTGTGCCCGAAGATGTTCCGTAACGAATTGCTGGGCATGACGAGCTTGGGTGATGCCCATAAGTAGCGGCTCCCGGTCTGGGTTCGCGCGATCAAGTGCCCAGTGGGCTTTGTGGTCTGCTGGGAAGTCTCTGATAAAAACACCAAGCTCATGTAGCTGTTTGAATTCGCACCAGCTACTGCATTCCAATGCCAGACGGGCGATATCCATTCCGCGGCTCAACTGCTCAATATCCGGGGGTTTCATCTTCTCTCGGTTGACTTCCATGTACTTGAGCGCATGGTTGATGGTTTCCTGAGGGTCCGTTTCTGATCCTGCCCACCAGAAGCCAGCCTGGCGCAAATTGGTGATAGTCTGATTGAGGTGCCTCCTATTACTAGGGTCGAAAATGTAATCTGGGCCTTGACGCTCCGATGTGATGGAATTCACAGCAAGACCGAATAGGAACAAATTGATCGACAGCCGGTCGTGGAAAGTCGGTTCCAAATGGACTGTTTTATTGTAGAGCTTTGGAAGAGTGATCTCACGGTTGACAGTGTCATCCTGATGTCTCACCACGAGACCTTGCAGTGTGGCACGAATGGCTGGAGATTTTCGTCGGGTACCATCTTTGCCCTTCGGTTTGACGTATTTCGTCCAATCGGTAGGACAATTCGACCAAGGCTTCAGATCTAGAAATTCAATCACCATGCGCCGCAGTCTATCCAGATCTTTCAACTCCCTCTCGCTCGCACTTCCAGTCTTCTTGCGGCCTTGCAGTACAGCCGCAGCGATCTCTTCAGGAGATTCTGTGTCGCTGGTGTAAGCCTCGTGAGATGCAAGACTAACTTCCAGTCCGATGAGATTCTCAGATGGTGTTCCAGAGATGACCCAACGACGCTCAAAATGCAGCTGACCGAGCATGTGAATCATGTTAGTCTTCGAGCCATGGCCTGCGACATTGTGCCCTTCATCGACAATGACACGAAGCCAGTGGAGCTCTGTCAGGGGTGAGTCAACCTGGACAAATGTGTTGCGCCGATTATTGACAGGCTCGCCCACTTCTCGTTCAAAGCGAGTCTTTGAGAAGAGCACAATGTCAAACTCCAGAAGTTCGTCTGCTGATGGTGTTTTATCAGCTCCTTGTCGCAATACTCGGATTTTGAGACCTTCAGTGTGGACACTGATCTCGCGAACCCAATGATCAACCAAGTTGTTGGGGGCGATGACCAGTGTTCCAGAGCAGAGGCGAATGCGCTTTGGCGGAGGACGTGTAAAAGTCGTGGTCAGCCGGACTTGGTGTCTTATCGCAGGCGGCGCAATCTCGTAAAATCCACGATTAGTTTCACAGGCCTTGACACAGCGGCTATAAAGTTGGCCATCTTGTTCTGTCTCAATGAAATGGGCTTTCCAGGGCAGGGATTTTCGTCCGGCTGCAGCGGCTGCCATCTCCATGAGAGATCCTGTCTGTTCACGGACAGGTATTTCCGGTAAGTACTCAATGGGTATTTTTGGAAAATGCCCTCGGGTGGCCCAGATGACGGCAAGACAAATCAATGTTTTCCCGCAGCCCATAGTTTCTGCAAGGATACCTAGTTCACACGTTAAAAGTGACTTTCCATGGAGACCAGAACAAGATCTTACCTCCCACAGCCTCATCATACATCTCCTTCTGAAGGGTAATCCATCCATCTTCCTTGTCGTAAAAATATTCAAGACCCGTTGGACTGGAACACGCCTGCAGACGCGGATCAAGCATTCGCGCCGGCTGCACCTCCCGTTGCACCATCATGGCAGCTGAGCGACGCTGGTACGGATAGAGAGGACTCTTCAGGCCATACTCTGAGAAATCTTCATCAGACAACAAATATGACATGGCTTTGCGCGAGGGGCCGTCTTTGACAGTGTCCACTTGTGGGTTTGGATCTTGTAAAGTGTTGAATATGTACCACAACGATTCATCATCCTCGCCACTGGATAGTGCGTCTGAGTTATTTGAATCTCTCTTCCCGTGCCAAGCCTCAGGTGAAGGGTCGATCTTGGACATCACTACTTTGAAAGCGTTTCTCAAGTTTTTGATGGAGCGCTGTGTGTTGTTTTGATGGGCAAGTCTTGGGTCGACATAAATTCTAGCATTGGAACTTCCATGGAGAGCCTGGTAGCGGATCCAATGATGTGCTTCCAGCAGCTGAACGTCTTGTAATTGAGAATCTGTCTGCCGGAGTGTTCCTATAGCAAGTAGTGGTCCGAAGTCCTCGTGTTGTCTCTTGGGCTGTACTGTGTTTGAAATGGGTAATGCATCAGGCGTATGATTCAAAAATGCCGAAGAGTCTGGCGTGGTATCCATCGAATCTAATGATTTCACGTTTGTAGAACCGTTGCATTGCGATGTACTCATGTGAGCATCAGAGCCATGAAAGGACGTATTTGGACTTCCGACAAGCGCATTTGTGTCATCATGGTTGAAACCCCCAGAAATTCCATCGATGAGAGGTGATTTGGCTTTCGGAGTTGGCACATTTGAGGGCAGCAAAGATTCCGATTTAGCAACCTGGTCAGTATCTGGGGGAGCCGTCGTGGCCTCAGAAGGGGTCGAAATAGGTACCACCTCTGTCTTAGGGGAATCTGTCCATGACTGAAGCTCCCATGCAGCCTCCAAGGTGCTCGCCCCAGGCTTGAACGTGACATCCATGATGACAGGATCGCGCATGCAGGAAGAAGGAATAGTACGGAGATAAGCGGCGGTGATTAACGCCGTGGTCCACCAATGCTGACATAAGCCATTTTTGGCCAGCAGGACCTTAGTAATCAGGTCGAACTCTTGGCGGTGTCCAATTGGATTAGTCGTCTAGCATTTGATTTACTCCGGCGTTAATCTTGAGACGATTTTAATTAAATCACAAAGCATAGACGAGGCATACCTGTCCAGGTCAGGGCGGACATGGAAGCTGCAGCCCGAAATCGCAATATGTACGATAAGAGGTCATAGCCGCATGGCCTCATTTTCCACCGGTATACATCAATTTACCCAAGGCGGAACAAAGGATGAGCCATTATGCTCTTTGTGTAGCACCTGCGACGATAGAGCACAGCGAGTGACTCTTATTTAATTCTTCTATCATTTTTTCCAAGGAACCTATAAGCTATGACTGGCGTTTGTTAGGAAGTTCGTGCTCAAAACAAGATGATCCCATAAACGTAGGAATAAAACATCCTCAGGCCATAGCGATCAATCTTGCTGGACAACAAAATGGAAACCATATTCAATAGCTTCTCTTGTGTCTCATCCAGCTCAAAGCCACGGGCTTGAAAATAACAGCCGCGAAACTTGGTACAATGGCCATGCCCTGTGAGGCGAAAGTCACTGCGAGGTTTTTGACAGCATCCACAACCTCTACTACAGCAACCACCACGACTCGCACAGTCTTCGCATAATCGAGGAGTAGGATACCGTTGTGGCTTCTCCTGTGTCGAAATAAATGCTTATTTGAAGCGACGAGAAAGACAATGATCATTGTGAATATAAATGCGGCTTTCTACGGTCTAGTAAACCTGTCTCAGAGTCTTGAGCTCCTTAAACCCTCAACCATTCATCACGAGATTGCTGGATCTTCTTTTTCTGCTTATGCGGATAGTCGACCTTTTATATAGGTTGTGTAGCTCGACAGCATTTGCTTAGAAGGAAAGTTTCCCTTTGGACAATTTCGCGACAGCGGGTATCAAGTTCAGTAGTTCCCTGGGTCCACCGGCTCACAGCTAGTTTGGATCTATCAATAATGATGCTTTGTCGCTTACGCGGCTGCTGTGCTGCTTTCCCTCAGCCTGGTGATTGATTTGATGATTGTGATGCCTTTTGCTCTAACTTATTCTCGAACCGACCAAGGATCCTTCGAAACGGCGAATGTGGTTTCTCTTTAGACGGCGCATAATCAATGGAGCAAGTGAGCTCGGTTGAAAGAGGACCAAAAGTATCAAATTTAATAGACACAAGTTGTAGCAGGGGTTTGTAGAGAGCCGCCGGAGGATTCTGGGGATCAATTCTACTTGATTAAACTACGAAGGTGCGTCACATCAGTATTGATCCTTGACCTTTAATCAGAAAGTAAGTCAATTCATGGCGTCTAAGCCAATTAGAATTGCCATGTCACTGATGACCTCCGCAACCGGGCGCTTCGCCAAGCGCAATGTGACAACAAATGAATCGCATTCTAAACTTGACCGGCCAGACTCAATCATGACTCCTCTCAGGTGTTTCAATGTCTGGAAGGGGCCACGTTTTAAAGATAGAGAGGGCAATGATATGGTGCAAAACGAAGATCCGTACGTAGACTCAGGGCTGAAGATGCAGACTTGTCGGGATCTGATCGATGTTCTCTGCATATTACGTTGTCCTTTGTGGTTTCAGCTCTGTCTCACAGCATGTTGATCGCCATTTCCGCCATCAAGACACAATATTTGCAATACTGTCAGGCGTAATGCAAGAAGCGCAAACACAACATTTCACCCCGATGACGTGCTAAGACACAACTCTTAGAACGCGTTGATTTCCAAGCAGCGCTATCAGACACATCTCATTTTTGAAGATCTTCAAAGATAGTCTTTTGTTCTTCCCACCATCTTATTCTCACTTGAATATCAGAAATAGATCAGTTTAGACGGTAAATATCACACTGAATCCGCCCGATCCGACGCGACCAGTTGAGTCAAGGACCATGACGCATAGTGAAACACAACCTTTGTTAGAGTCAAACAGCTACCAAACACAACCCGAAAATAATGTTCAGGCAGACTTCCCCGCTGAATATCCAGACAGTCTCCCGGGATCAAATCATGGAAAAAGTCTCAGCTGGGCCAGCGCGTACATCTTAGTGGTTTCTCGAGTCATTGGAAGCGGCATTTTCGCCACGCCGGGATCCATCGTCAAGTCTGCTGGTAGTATTGGGCTGACTTTGCTGGTATGGCTTGTTGGCACGGTTCTAGCGGCATGTGGTATGGCGGTTTCACTGGAGTACGGGTGTATGCTGCCTCAATCGGGAGGTGATACGGTACATTCTATCCGACCAGCTAAAAAGTATAAATGAGCTAAGTGTCTCACAAGGTCTACTTGGAGTATACTTATCCGCGACCGCGATTTCTTGCGTCGACGTTGATCTTTGTGCAAGCGGTGGTCCTCGGGTTCACAGCAAGCAACAGCATTATCTTTCCAAAATATGTTTTATTTGCATTTTATGTCGAGCCGACAGATCTGCAACAGACGGTCTTCGCTGTTGGACTTTTGACTGCCGTTACGATCATTCATGGTGGGTTCTTGAAGACTGGAATAGCGATTCAGAATGCCCTTGGTTGGGTCAAGCTCTTTTTGATCGGCGCAATGTCGTTGACCGGTGTCTGGGTCCTCCTTCTTCACTTCTTTGGAGGCGCTATTAGTGTGTCTCCAGGGAAAGAAACAGCACTGTTTATCTCCTGGGACTATCTATGGGAAGGTTCAAATTGGAGCTGGAGTCTTTTATCGACATCGCTCTTCAAGGTGATATACTCCTATGCCGGACTAAACAACGTCAACAACGTTTTGAATGAAGTGAAAGATCCAGTTCGGACGTTGAAACTGTTTGTCCGACTGCTTTACTGACAGCTGGTGGCCTTTACTTGCTGGCCAACGTATCCTACCTACTGGTCGTTCCACTGGAAGAGATTAAGAACAGTGGAGAGCTGGTGGCTGCTTTGTTGTTCCAACGACTCTTTGGTGAGCGCATCGGCAGAACAATCTTCCCACTTGCCATCGCCATTTCCGCCGCAGGAAATGTAATGGTGGTGACTTTTGCCTTGGCACGCGTCAACCAAGAGATAGCACGCCAAGGGTTTCTACCCTGGCAAAAACTGCTTTCGTCCTCACGACCATTTGGCAGTCCCCTTGGCGGCTTGATTGTCCACTATATTCCTTCTCTGCTGGTGATCACATTACCTCCACAAGGAGATGTCTACAACTTCATCCTAGACGTTGAAGGATACCCTGGTACAATATTTGGCTTAGCCGTGACCATTGGTCTGTTGATACTGCGATACAAAGAGCCATATCGTGTCCGCCCATATAAAGCGTGGCTTCCAGCTGTGTTTTTGCGCATTGTGGTATGCCTCGCCTTGCTTGCGGCTCCCTTTATCCCACCGCCCAATTGGCAAGGTGACGTGGACTTCTTCTATGCAACGTATGCTATAGTTGGGATTAGTTTGTGCGTACCATCAAAATGAGTTGCAAGATACTAATGGATGAAAAACAGGATTCTCTTGGCAATCTTCTATTGGTATGTGTGGACTGTGCTTCTGCCTCGGTGGGGAGGGTACAAGTTGGTGGAGACAGTTGACACGCTTGATGACGGCACAAGTATTACCAAGTTTGATCGATCATATGAAGTCTCATAGAAACCTGTGTAATTTTCCCATTGTCCTCTCGTCCAACGCCAACTCCCGGACTCGGCACCAACCCTAGACTGCGTCAAGTGCCGAGCGACAGGGAGAATGTGAGGTAGGACGGAGGCAGGATGGAGTTGGTCAAGCCGGCAGAAAAAAAATCTCTTATCTCGGGTGAAGCTTTAAAGTAATTATCTAATGAATACAATTCGTGGAAATACATCAAGGCCACGCAGTAACCTGTGGAAGCCGGCAGAGTCTTCTGGCTTGGATGGAGATGCAGGTTTATATCAACATTGACAAGCTGCAAGACGCCGAGCTAGGGCTATTACATTAAGACCTGCAAGGTCTCATTTCTGGCCTGGGCCTTTTCAGGACTCGCCCCGGCCGGGCTGTCACGGGAAATCGTAAATTGACCGTACAACACAGCAACATTCTTGTCCTAACAATGTCGCAGATAGATCTCATAGCCACACATCGGCAAGCATCGGCTGGTCTCTACGAGATGATTTTGAGAAGGAGTGTAGTGGGATTACTTATAGAACACAAGATAAGGCATCTGTCGAGGCCAGAACTTGGTCACCACGTGGGCTAGTTTTGAAAATAGATATAAAGTCGGAGTTTTGTTGTATACACATGACGACGAAAAGAAGAAACAGTCTAGAAATGGATTCAATGATTATTTATGAGAGAAGTAACAAGGAGAGGACTTCAACATCTTTCGAAGAGATGTCTAGAAAGAAATACAGAAGGAGAAACCTGCAAAATCAAGTGAGTAGGCCTACTTAGACCATCATGTTTAGCCCAGAAACATTAAATAGGCCTCAAATGCGACAGAAGAATAGATGTCGGGTCTTTCTGGGTCTACCGGCGGGTGAGAGGCTTATTCATCATCTAGAGCAATACGTGCTTTGCATTGATAATACCTTCTACAGGAGACTTTCGAGCCGGTCTGTGCCGCGGAATTAGGCTTGGATACTTCTTCATCTTATTACTTCCTGAATTTAGCTTGATTACGGAAACTCATTCGAAATAAATTCTACCAATGGCACCCTTAGAGATCGTGGGCCCTATGATCGTCATGGAGAAGTGAGTGATACCAACGCTAAAGGCTTCCCGAGGGTCGACAGGCTTGAAAGTGGTTCATTGCATTATATTAAAGCATCAAATCATCAAATGACCATTGCTTGAGATGAATTCCAGTCTTGAGTATCGGCCATTGCTTCCATGTTGTTTTTGCTCACAATCGAAGGCTATTACCTGAAGTTTCATGTCATAATAATCATAATAGATTTTTGAACCACGTAGTAGGTCAGATAAATTGCAATATGCAAATAGTGAAAGTAAAATGCCAGAAAAGGGTATACCGCTAAGATATTACCGAACACCAAATCACCCCTTCATATACGACGAGGTGTGGATACAAGAAAGATAGAATGGAAATACACCTTCTCCTCCTCCTCGACGCCCATTATCTAATCTCGTTTATCCTGAGTAATCCAGAGTAACAGCAAGACGCACAGGCCCCGAAGACAGGTTACCACCAATACCACCGATATCAGCTTCGGAAGCGGTATAGGCATTGCTAACAGTGCCCGCAGCAGTGGTGATGGACGAACACGTGGTTGATGTGATCTTACTGCAGATTTTCATACCCTGGACAGACATATTGGCCTCCTGGGCAGTAATGGCAGAGACATCGAAGCCAGACCAGCCATCGTTTGCAGTCGAGCCGAAATCAAACTCGGCCCAAGTGGAAGCGTAGCTGCCGTAGGTGTTGGTGGGGATGGAGTCTTTGTGGGCGGTCCAACCTCCCTGGGAGTCGACATCAAAAGCATAGTAGACAGTTTCGCCGGCGGCGATGGTGAAGTTGTGGCAGGCATTTCCGTACCAGCCGTCCATGGCTCCGTCAGGGCCGATCTTGTTCCAGATGACGACGAGCCAGTCTTCGCTGTTGGAACCGGTGAACTCGACGACGTACTTATACTCGCTGGCTACGGAGCTGTCGACTCTCTGGATATTGGAGCCGTAGGGGCTGCCAACATTGCCGGTGTAGGTGTCGCCGGAGCCGGAGGAGTTGGTGACGGTACCGAAGCCGGCGGTGGAAAACTCACCGCTGGCGGGAGTTGCGGTCCAGGCAGCATTAGCGGAGTCCGTAGTGGAAGTCTCAGCAGAAGTGGTCGTGGTCGGTGTGATAGTAGAGGTCGACGATTCAACGATGTAAGTAGTAGACTCAACGGCGGTTGATATGCTCGACACAAGAGTGGAAGAAGATGACTCGATAGTGATAGTGGTTGTGGGCACAACGATGGAGCTCAAAGTAGAGGAGGTCCATGCAATAGACGAGGATGAAGACCAGACAGGAGTAGAGCTGGTCAAGACTTCAACAGCCGCCACGGGCGTCGGGGTCGCCAGGACACTGAAGCTTTCGGTGCAAGGGCAGTCAATGATAGTGGACATGGCGGTAACGGTGACAGTGTTATCAACCTCAGCCTCAGCCTGGCGACGGGCATGGCCCTCGTGGCGGCCCTGATAGTGACCATGACGACCGGCGAGAGTACCGCTGGTCAGCGCTGCCAGCAGCAAAACAGACTCGGTGAAGCGCATCTCGCACGAGAAATTATTTTTCGGTGAAAGTCGGGAAGCACCGTTAGGCTCGTAGAGCCTGATAGAAAGGTCTGGGAAATGAGTGACTATGTAAATGAATGGCAGGAGTGATACTTCCGAGAAAGATGCAAGAAAAGTGTAAAGGACAAGAAGGGGGGACTAGCCTACGATTTTAATTAATGACACTAAGGCTTCAATATTATGGTGTTATAAGTATTCGGACAGGCTCCAAACTGGGCGTCAAAGTGGGAGCGCATCGGAGTCAGGGCTAACGCTTTGGTTGACGTGTGCTCTGGAGCTAGCGGATATTGGCTACAACAAGAATGGCTGATTATTGGTGATGTGCCTGACCTTAGGCCCACCCGTTTATCGAATCTTGCCGGCAACCTAAATCTGAGATCGCACTATTACGCGGTCGTTGAAAGTGGGCGCGTAATCTCCCCCCGGGCCACTCCCCTAGCTGCCGAACACTCGAACACTTTGTATAAAAGATTCATTCTGAACTTGCCAGTGAGTGGAGTCGGGCTATGCCTGTTCCTGTTATTTTACCCATAGTCCACCTCAAGCCAAGGTCTTTGTCACCGTGGAAAGGAGGACATGCAATAGAAAAGAAATTGGATTTGGGGATTTTTAAATGCTCGAAAATGTATTGATTGGTCGATTTTGGCCCCGCAGGGCGAGACGCGGAGTGGATTGAAGTGGAATACCCAGAGTCGTCCATTGTCTGAATCATGGTCACAACTGCAATATTGGCTCGAAAAATATCAGCCAGACGTGGGCGTCTACCTTTCTCTTCTATAGCTATCTCGTGGATGGTGTTGCACATGTACGACATTGCATCTCGGCCACTTACACTGAAGGCGATGGCGTATCTGTCTTTCTGAAGCCTCCACTCTCTTTTCGAGGAACGCTTAGGTCTTGACGAGCCGGATGACAGTCCTTGCAAAAAGGCTTTTCAGCCTTTTCAGCCCTGACAAGCTTTTTTGCTCGAACTGTGGGGTCGTTTCACCGGGCCGTCTTCGGTCCAGGCTGTGTGTTGACACAGTTTGGGGGGGGGGGGGATTTCCGACAACATGCCCCTGAATTGCCACCGAAGCCCAAATCCACAAGACCTGGGGTCTACACCTGAAGAGTTGATCTAGATTGTTGAACTTGACGATGAAAAACAGCCCAGTCTGCGTACGATAGCAACATGCAAGTCTAACACGATGCAAAGCCATGTTGATGTCAGCCGTAGCAAGTGTAAAGTGGCCGGGCCGCCGATGATCGGCACGAAGGCGCTTGTTGAGTTTCTAGTGCTATTGCGACGAAGCTTTCCGGCATTCAGATATTCATTACCATCGCCAGGTCGTTATAGCTCATGCTTCGTCGGACTACGCGTGTCCCCCCGGCGATCATGCAGCGGCACCTGTACGTATTTTGGGATCGCAAGCGTAAGTTCTGAGACTGAAACCGCCTGCTCCAAAAGTAGTCCCTACAGAGTACGCCAGACTAGACAAATCGGGGACAGCGTCCGTGATACTCTCAGCTGTCACATTCAAGTCTCCGTCATTGCGCACCTATTTCTGATCCGGCGCCTTGGCTGCCGCGACGAAGACGGCCACCGTGCCAGGCTTACGCAGTGGAAGGGCAGTGCTGAACTATGGGGCTTGGCATAATTAAAGGGCTATTTTGACCACTGGAGCCGACTTTCGAGAGAAATGTTGCCCTTGACTCAATCATTCCCGGTTTCAGGCCTATTGAACTGCCGAGATCGTTGCGGGTACCACGTAGTGTGGAGATGTTCTACACCATATGCCCTAGATCCGCACCATGATCAGTTGGCAATTTCTTGCACCCTGGAGTACAATGATGTTTGCTGTGTGTACAAAATCTTAACTTCGTGGGCTCAATGGGTACTCTAGCAACAATTCCAAGCTACTCCCGAGGGCTTTGACTTGAGTACAGTCACCAGTTCATGTTTCTTTCTCATTATTTTTACATTATTGTACGCTTAAATCGCAGTTGTGTCTATCTCCAAGCTAGCTCAACCGATTCTTGCTCATGCCATCAAGCTTGAAAAGGTTGTCAGCTGGACTACCCAGGTAACCTGGATTCCTCTTGCCACCAAAAAACGCTATGTGAAATTAGATGAAGAAGTGGTGCTCGCTTGCTGGACTAACCGGGTAAATTCTTGCTGATCTCCTTTGGAAGTCGGCTTAGGGACCTGTTATCTTTCGTAGGTTGACAGTTAACTGATCGTGAGGTCACATTTCGTTTCCATGCTACTACTCTCTATCGAGTTCTAAGATTTTACGGACTCTAGAGATGTCAAAGCTTTGTGAAAAAACTTGACCGACAAGGCTAATAAGGTTTGATTATGAACAGAAGCTCAGCGATTTGGGTCGGCAGGCATTTCTCAGTCTGTACCCCTCTATGAGTGATTTAGAGGAAACTTGTAAACCTTGCCTATTGACCCTCGTCTACTTGTCCTTGTGGCAAAGCCAACCTGTGACTTTCAGTACATAATTAGCCCCAACAAGGCAAGAATCGAAGCCACATGATACTGTGATGCGGGCCATTCTAGCTCATTTATATGGTATCCAGTGAGTCCAACCCACGTTGCACAATACCCCTGACCTCGCATGCATACATTAATCCAGAGCGGCATTACCCCTCTTTTTGTCCTATCTTGAGGCTCCGCAAGACGCTAATGTCAATTGATGTCGACAGTCCTTGAAGTTATTATGGTTCATTACCTCCAGGTACTATTGCACATCACTGCCTAGACGATCGATCATTGACTGCGCTGGTTGAATTGTGTCCCCGCGCCAAGATGATGCTATCATCGCCTGCCAGTATGGCGATTCATGACGGTCGCTTTACAGCTTCTGAAGAGACTCAGAAGTGAACAGACTACGAGTATTGAGCCTGAATTGGCAACTGCTCGAGGGAGCTTCGCGAGCATAATAGTATTAGTGTTCTTCTCTGCGTCCTCTTCAATTCAGATCATAGAGAGAACTCCCCGCAGCCTTCTGATTCGCTACCCCATCCGCCTCAAGCGACTCAAGCATATATCAATGAATTGAGCCAGAGGCTCAGGATGCGAAAAGGCTACTGCTGACGTGGTGGCCTCGGCAAACGCAGACGGGCTACCTGGGATCTTTCGCGAGAACGACGACAACGCCTTGTCGAGGCATGTTTGCAGTAGATTAGGCGAAGAACGCTTGTTCTTGCCCGGGTCTGATTTGCATATCATGACTCGCATCCCTACATTATCCATATTGCCGACCGTTCGACTATCCGCATGCTCCAGAACACGTCTTAAAGGACCCCTGTGTCTTGCATAGATACACGACTCAGCTCATTTGCCTCATTTCTGCGGGCCATCATCAGATAGGTCTGCCTGTAATCAGATACCAGTATTTAGCTCAATTTGGACGTACTACCGTGGGTCGAGACGCGCTTTAACCTCGGGAAGATCTTGACCAGAGGCATTCATAAAGCAACACAATGCCCCAGGTAAATTGATACCTTCATCAGCCATTATCCTTCCTAGTAAAATTTGCCTTCCATTTTATGATGTCTTCAGAAGCAAAATCTCTGCTTGTGCCGCTCAATGGCAATTCTTCGCAATGTGGTACTCTCAAAAATGTCATGAAAGATATTGCCTTGATTGGTTCCAACCCCGAGCTGCAGAATATAGCGACCATTCTAAATGAAATCGATCACCAGAAACGGCAAAATGAGTCAAAGAGGAAGATCTGGCAAAACTCCAAATTGATCTTCAGGTCTACAGAGAGAAAACAGAAGCCGCGATCCAGGTAAACTTGGATCATTGTGAAAAGCTCAAGGGGATGCAGAAAAACGTCGAAACGGAGAGAGACAACCTCCAGTATCTTCTAGCTGAAAAGATCAAAGATCTCGAGGAGCGCACCGAAGAGATCGAGAGTCTTCGAGCTAAGGTGACGCAGCTTCAGTCAAATTGTTCGCAAGAAGAAGAAAAAGTCGCCAAATCCTGTGCTGAAATTACCGATCTCCAGAAGAAAATGAAAGAGAGGGATACCAGGCTTGAGAAGATGCATAGTGCAGGGTCGAATCTCAAAACCGCGCTGTCAGACCAGCGAAAGAACAACGAAGATCTGAAGAAACAGATAACCTTACTTCAGAAAGAAGAACAAAAGTCTCTAAGCAAGCTTCAAAAGCTGGAGAGCTTCACGGTCGGCCATACGGAAGTGAACGAAGTTGAGATGTAAGTTCCAGCAATGTGCACTCCCACATCAAAGTTACTGACTGAGCTCAACTCATTAGAAGAGACGAGTTCAACAAATTCTGGGATTATGCCATCGAACAACTTCATGCGATCCTGAACCAAGATCTTGAAGACAAAGCTCTCAAGGTGGGCGCTCCTCTACCTCCGATGACTCTGCGTGTGAGAACATTTTACCTGACATAAACCGAAGGACAAACTATTTTGGAACAAATTCCGAGAAGACAGCGCGCTAATAGTCCATCATCGGGTCACTCTGCCTTCTGCCTTCTTCCAACTCTCCTGCTGCCAAAGCAATGCGCCTTGTCGTTATCCTTGGCATTTTAGCTAGGGAAATTGACCAAAACATCTTCCAGCCGACTTATCTCGCCGAAGATTCGAATCTGAGGACAATCCTCTGTACCCTCGCTGAAAAGGATCACGAGAAAGAGTCATTCTGTCGATCTTTACTCCTTTCCATCGACGAACAGGCGCAGCAGGAGAATCTCCAACTCAGAATCCAGGCTATAGTCCGCAACGTATCATACTATCTAAATGGCGGACTCTCAGAAACCCAGGACAGCGAGATACGCGAACACATAGAAAGCATTGTCCAGAGAGCTGAGAAAGTCTGGCGTCCTATCCAGTCTTCTCAGAAAAGATACGAGCCGGACTTTGAGCCCTACAAATGGGAAGATGATGAATCGCGTCTGTTTCGCTTTCCGAGTGACGATAAAACTTATGAAGATAGAAGATGGAAGATGTGTTGATGGATAGACTCTAGAGATGAAGCTATAGATCTAGATATTATGGAGGCTGAGGCAAGGATGCGGTGAAGTGGGGCAGTATCCCAATTCAATGCGAACAAAACTAATCAGGAGGAACCCGTGCAAATCGTCAGAGGCAATGTTCTCTTGACTGTTTTCCCTCGAATCTGTTTGGTGCAGGGACATGAGCGCGATCCATTGACATATGTCACGCAGCTTGCTAAGTCGCAGGAGTTGTGCCTTGCGGCGGAGCAAGAGATATCAAGAGAGGCTTCTAGCCCTGTGGCTGGTCGGATGTCAACTAACGGGAGACGAAATTCTGTCGCTCAGGGCACATCTCGCTCAAACGGTGGCTATTTTTAGAAAGATCGTGAGTCTGAGTGTGAAGCGCCGGAGGAGGCGAAGACCGTGAAAGGGTTTTACACCAGGTTTTGGTTCATAGGCTCAAGATTGGGCTCTGACTGGGATGACATAAATACACGCTGTTGGTACCATCTGACATTTAAGGAATCTTTCTATTGCTGGATTTAAATTGTTCCTGCTTGAGCACTTCAGAATGCAATATCTATTGAAGAAACCACTGATCAATCCTACTTTAATCTCGAACCTAACAATTATCGATGAGAAAACAGACAGGTTCAAAGAATAAAGATATCCAAGCAAGCATACACTAATATGTCAAATCTTTTTGATTTGCAAAGGACCGCTCCATACCTAGTCCATCATAATTTCATTCGTTATGTACATTCCCAAATTTCCCGGATCCATACCATATCGTAATCAACGCTCAAAAAGAAAATTCAAATTAATTCCATGTCCATATCCGTGATGTTGATGCGTAACAAGATCATTTACGTTCGGCACTGGAAACACGCTCACGAGTATCGAGTTTCGTCACCATCGCTATCACTCAAACTATCACGACGACGACGTCCGCCCTCGCCACGACCACGACGATACCCCTGCGTCAGACCGGGGATCGGGTGGTGGTAGGCTTTATGACCCGGGTCTTCGGTGTCGACGTTCGAGTACTGGTACTCGGAGCGAGTACCAGACGAAGAGAAGTCGAGAGGCTCGGTGTAGTTTCCTGGAGCGGAGCGGCGGTCCTTCTTACGCGGGCTACTGGTTCGAGAGGAGGGTGCAGAGGGGGGAGCGCGCTCGGTCGGTGGCGCAGCGCTCCTGCGGCGCGAACGCTCGCGTTCACGCTCGGCGCGTTCCCGACGACGGTTCTGGCGGTGTTGGGTTGGGTCGGTAAGACGAGATTCCTCGGTTGTTTGGCTGATGATGTCTTCGCTGCCGGCAGTGAAGGAGAATCCGGATGGATCGCGGCGCTTTGAGCGGCGATGCTCGCGGGGTTGCTCATGGGCGTAGTCACGGACTTCGCTCATTTCGCTTTGCTGGTAGTTTGACGGCACGGCTGAAGAATCGTAATCGCTGCCGTGGTACGTTCCGTCTGCCTGGCGGTTCATGCCTCCGATGCGGGCGGGCTTCTCCTCGCGGTAGGCGCGTACGTCGGCATCAGCTTCGCCTTCGTAGCGCTCGTCCTTGTGGCGACGGAGGAATTTCTCTTTGAAGTTGCGTTTCTTCTTAGGTTTCTCCTCCGTGATGGCTGTGCCGGCCTCAGTGTAGCCGTCGTAATCTGTATATGTGTATCCATCATCGCTGTAGCCCTTTCCAACGACACTGCCACCGCCGAGCTTGGTACTCTTGGTCGCGTTACTCAGTGTTCGCCCGTCCGGTCCCTTTCTGCGCAGCACGGTTGATTTGTAATCGTCCCAATCACCTTTGCGCCAGACAAAACCACCATTCTTGGCCCAGAAAAAGAACCAAATGCCAGCAACGACGAATGCAGCACCTATGAGCGCGAACAAAGCCAGGAGGCCCTGGTTCTTGATGTGGGTGGGATCGATTGTGCCTTGGCCATAGGCAACTTTGCCAGAGGTCGGTGTAGAGGTTGTTCGAGCCACGAGATAATTCAGGGTACCAGATGGCGACTTGTTGTTGAGAGCATCATGGGTGGAGTCTTGCGCGTCAGCGCCATTGACCGACATCACAGGGATGTCCCCAACGCCCTGTACGGGAGCCATGATAGATGAGTTGAGCGGTCAAGAGCACAAAGCTCAAGACGAACCCCTAAAAATGTCAGAATGGATGTCACAGTCCTCGGTGACGTTTAGTACTTACCTTGAACTAAAGATCAGCACTAGATCAAGATAAGGAACAGTTCGATCCGCGGAATGTAGACGAGGAATGTTGTAAGAAGAAAACTCCAGTTTAACTGGCGTGATATTGGGCTCGAGGATACTGGATAGAGGGAGTGTCGAAAGCCAGAAATAATGTGGCGATGACCTTGATCAATTCGGAAATGAGGAGGTTGGAGGAGGCTGGGATCGTGTTTACTCTTTCGTTGGCCCGACGACTGTGGGGCCTCAGGTCGATCGCACCTGCTCACGTGATATCCAATTGTTTCACGTCATGCGAATTCACCACCCAATCTTTGCGGCGGCGTTTATTTTTAGAGTGTCAGGGTGAGGGGACTTCTTTTGTTTAATTGACTTCTAGTGGGCGCCCACTATGTGGAGATTGGGCGCTACTTGAAACCTATATGGCTGTATCACGTTACCATACGAGGAAGTAGATCGGTGAAGAATACAGTGTATCGTAAATAATCAGTACTTGCAGACATTTGAGTAAATGGATGACCAAGTGTTGAGACAAGACAAAGTAAAAACAATGGGTATAATCTCTCTCCTCCAAGTCGGAGTCGCACGACGCAGAACCAGTAACAGGAGAAAGACAAGTGGCCCAATAGGACAATTGAAGTTAAACGTAGACACATGGATGCATGATCAAGACCAAAAAACGGCTATACACAAACGCTGGCATGAGGGTGAATCAAGAAAGGCAAAGGCACATCGAACTTGTCATCGCAGGTCATCAGAATCGTACAATCATATCACCGTAACAGGAGCCTGCAAGTGGGCATAAGGTATGTCTTGAACTATCTGGAAAGATAGATGTCAGAACTCCCATTTCCCCAGTCGCTCTCCCAAACGCAATAGCAATTGCAAATGTAAAACCAGGGAATCCTCCCAGTCCGATTGAAGAGGGATGGCTGAAGCCTATTCCCGGACGTTTGGCTCGAACACCGTCTTTTTATTTTTGTTCCAATCGCAGATTCCCGCCCTGCTGAACCCAATTGAAGAAAGAATTCCGAACTTTTTCTGGCAAAGACCTAGCGCTCGCGCCAATGATGAGGGTAACAAAGATAAAAGAAGAAGACCACCACCCAACGAAAATGAAAAATTGAAACAGTCAACGGATGAAGAAGGCGCAACACCCACGCCACGCTTACACTGCCTGGTACCGGCGGTTCCGACCGTATGTAGACTGGCTAGTCCGACGGCTAGAACGCTCTGACCGCGGTTCATCGCGCTCGCGTGGGCGTCGCACACTTTCGAGATCCCGTGGATCACTGCCTCCCGTATAACCGGAGTAAGTAGATCCACCAGTGAGGTATTGATGAGGCTTGCGGCCCCCAGCAATGTTCAAGTGAACGCCGCCGGAGTCGCCAGTCCGAATGTTGATAGACTTGCCAGCAATACCTTGTTCGGTGAATCCAATCGTCATTCCATTGACCTCGAGGTTGATATTCTTGCTTTCACCGTCACCCTTCGACCCACTGTGGCGGCTGCCGCTGGATCGGCTCTTCTGACTGCCGTGTTCACTTCCTGTGCCATTGCCCAACTTAGGAATGAGGGCATCAGTCGATAAGGGCATCGCAGTAGCCGGACGACCAGTCTTTTGTGCTTGATACTCCTCAACTTCTCGCTCAACTTCTCGCTCGCGATCTCCGAGGTCAATGCTTCCGGCGTCCTCGTAGTAATACTGCTGTGGTCGTGGGCGGTTGGACCTGGAGTTTGCCACGGCAATCTGAGCACCCCGAGCATGGTCATGGTAGGAGGTCGATCGCTTGCTGTCACGGAGGCTGTGGCTGCGCTCAGGCAGCCTGGCTTCTCTAGACAGGCGACGACTGACAACATCTGGCAGTGCGGCTGCCATGTCCCCCATGTCCAGGGTTCGAGATGTTCGGCGTTGTGACTCCCTCGGAATGGCCTGCGTCGTCTGAGCTTTTTGCGGCGGCGGTCGCTTCTGGTGAATCTGCGGTGCAGCCTTGACTTTCGGGGCCCGAGGTGGTGGGGGAGGCATTTTGTAGTAATCCTCGTCCCGTGCCTGAGTGACCACAGGCGGCTTGCTCATACGACGTTCCCGAGAATCGCGAGGCTCTCGTGGTTGGGGCTCTCGAGAAGGATATTGATCCAGAAATTCCCCATCGTCCCAATCAAACATATCATCCGGGGCCTGGGGTGGGTACCCATATACTGACGAACGGCGGGGCCGAGAAGGCTCCCGAGTGCGAGACGGTGATCGTTCCCGTACATATTCCGTGGGAACGGCATACTCAGACCCAGCATAGTACGAGCCTCCGTATGGCGAAGAGGAATATTGTGGGAGATATGCTGAATGTGATGGGGGAGGACCATGCTCGTAATACATGGGCTGCGGCGGCGGCGGTTGGTACATGTGGGGCGGACCCATTTGGGCCATCACGGGCCGGTCCTGGTGGTACAAGGCACGGTGTGAGTTTGAGCGACTGGACCGAGTAGGACGACTCGTGTGGTATTCCTCGTGGGCGATAATGGGTGGGTAGCGAGCGCTCTGAGGGGACGACGGTGGGTAGTCGGGCATGGGTGGACGGGCAAAGTAGGGAGGGAAGTCCATTGCGCGGGTCTCGACGGGGGTGGAGGAGTGGTAGTAGGGGCTGGCCTCGTAGTTGTAGTGGTAGTCTTCGTTATAACGAACAGAGTCTCGTCTGCGAGATTTGGATGGCGACCTCTGCACATGAGTTTGATGGTAGACGGCGGCCGGGTAGGCACCCGTGTGCATCTTCTCGTCGCGCGTTGGTCGAGCACGTTCCTTGTCTCGGCGTTCTTTACGGCTGGAGGGTCGTCGTGCAAGGTCGACTTGGTCATGCTTGGGCATGTCCAGCTTATGAAGGACTGGGGGGGCTCCTCCCGCCCGACGGGCCAGATTGGGTGCTGTTGGCGGTGGCTGCGGTGCGACTAGAATACCCTGAGTCACTGGCCCCGTCGATCAGCGGCTCCGCTAGGGATCTTGGATCCAACCTCGAATGTATTTTGGCAGCTGAATTGGCTACCTGCCGACTATGCGGGACGGCGTCATGGGAGACTTCGTCAAAGTCCTCGACACAGGCCGGTTGAGGGGCTTTGGATTTGCCCGCCATGGCTGCACAAAAAGCGAGGGCACTAAGGGCAGTACCTGAGAAGAGAAAACAGGTTGGTCCCGTTTGGTCATGAACGGTGTGGGCTTACCCACACCTGCAGGAAGGGATATGCTTGGTTGGGACTTACAGCAAGCCACCCAAGAGGGCGATGAAATGACTCAGAGCGAGAATTTTCTTTCCGTATCCAGCGTATCCAGCGTATCCTGTTTGTTTCGTGGTGGTATCGGGCCTCCGTTCGTCACCCCTGGTACCTGGTTGGTACCCTCCTCGTCTCCAGTATCGGGACTTTTGCCCCCGTATCACTGTTTCGCCCAACCCGGGGACGCAAAAAAAGAACCTGCCGATCGCAGAGGGGCGATGGCAGGTAAGAGGTTAGAGAAATCGAGGCTTCGTCAGCGAGCAGAGCGTGCGAGGTGGTAGTATCCAGATCGCGCAGTCTCCATCTGAAATGGGAATTTAGGCGGGCAAGAATAGAAACGGTCGGGCGGCGCAGGAAGCGTCGGGAGATCGTGGGCGGACTAAGAAGCGAAAACTCTGGCAGAGCGTGAGTGGTGGGAAAGACTGCAGGTTGCAGGTTGGGTGTTGATGATGAATCTGAAGTTGTGCCTGACGGTACCCAGTGGGGTTGTGGAGTAGATAGGGCAGACGGGCAGCCGATGGGCAGACAAGCAGCGAGGGGTTGAAAGGGAGAGAAGAGACCAGAGAATAGAAAATCACCAGTCAACGAAATGATAAGGGCAGCAACGGCAGATCAAATACCAAGATCGTAGAGAATGTTTCACGAGAATCGGGTACCCAAAAGCAACAGAGGAAAAGAAGAAAAAATAGGGAAGAGAAGTGGGGGGGGAAATCAGTGTTCCTAAGTAAACATCCCATACACTACCACGGTCAACACACTGAACAATTATTTGTGCTACGCGTTTAAGCTCGGAGACCCGCTTGGGGATCCCTGGTTCACTCGGATCTTCTAGGATCTTGACTTTCGATTTTCTTGACTCTCAAAGTACATACTGTCCCCTCTCTCTTCGAGTCTATTTTCGATTTTCGTTTTCCTCTGCAAGGTGATGCTATTTTCTGTACTGTGCCTGTTTTTTCTCTTTTTTTTTCTTTTTTTTTCTTCTGTTTTTCTTTTTTCCGCCTAGCGCCCAATCCTAGTTGCGGCCCGATGAATACTCCTCCACCATATGTCCTCTCCCAGACCCTCCAGGAAGAGAAAAAGAATTGCAATCAGCTTTTTGCCCACAGCCATGGGATGACTCTTTTCGTAGTATTGATAGCGGATTGGGCTCGGGAGACAGGACAATGGCTATGTACATAGTACACGGGAAAAAAAAAGTCGGTGGGGATGACATGCATTTCCAACACATCCTCGAATCGCCACTGGTGTTGCGAGTGGACCGAGAAACGACGCTAGAATTGAGACTTATTGCATGGAGACGACGGGACCCCATGTGGCAGGGCTTCTATGGCCCCTTCGAAGCGGCTGCTTCTCTTCTTCGCAGATTCTGCCCGTGACTCATGCGCGCCATGTATTCTGTACTTCCCTTTTACTTCCTCGAAACCCAGACCTGCCCAGATCGCTATGACATGCAGCACAGACGGTCTATCATTGCCGCCTCCGTCGATACCTTCACCTCCTTGCGTCCGCGGGGGTTCCATTCGTTTCCCTCATTTCCCTCGTTTCCATGGGCCCAGCATCCCCCGCACGTGGGAACATCTTGATAAGGACGCAATTTGGCGTCGGAGACGGGGGCAAATTCGTGAGGTCAATGCTTTGCTGCCCGGGTGAGGATGAAAACTCAACCCGGGTTCACGACTACTGTGACGAGACTAGCTCGGTGCCCATCTAGGCCAGGATATCCATGCGGCTCCGCCTCACGATCTGAAGATCGGGCCTAAGGATCCCGTGTGGACCGGACAATATTGGAATTACTATAGCCGCAGCTTATTCATACGCAGTTCACACGCATGTCACTTTTCTTCGTGCGCGATTACAAAAACTCCACCGCTGCCCTGGGATGGAAGATTGGATGGTTGGAACTTGGAAATTGGGGAGTTTCCCCCCCTCCTTCGGAAAGTAACAGTTGTTCTAGGGGGGCGAGCCCCCCTTGCTTCCACTGCAGGCATCAGTGACTCCGACGGCTTCACCGCTAGTTCTTGATAATGGGAGTGCCCATCTCATGAGGAGAAGAGGGGCCGAGCTGCTGCTCCCACGCGTCCATTCCAGGATTTTTATGTGTTAAAAAAAGACTGTCACTGACCATCACTTGCAGGGAGCAAGCAAAGTGAGCAGATTGATCCTATCGGTAATGATCATGAGGCCATTGCTCGAAGACCATTCGCAGAGAGCCCGGTGGCACATTAGTCGTGCCAGCGCGCTGTTCCCAGGGCGGCTACGCGCAACGCTGATTAGTGATTCGTGGTATTACAGCATGACTTCGGTTGACAGATGGGTGGGCGGATGCTGGGAGGCCATTGAATTGCTCATGGGATATGCCCAGGTTTGGACCTTGGGGGAAAAGAAAAAGTAGTTGACACAATTGTAAGCAATTATACACCAGCTGACTGAGAATCACGCTTTCATCACCTACGTCCCCAATGTCTCCATATCTCCATACTATACATCACTATCTTATCTCAATTCTTGCGCAAGAGAAGCGCAATCCACCCGAGGAGTCTGTACACTGCTATGATGCCGATAAGAATGCCTACCCATTTCCCAGTCCGACCTATCGCATAGCCATAGGTCTCTCAGTACGGCCGTCCCGCGGATCTGGCACTGATCTGCCAAGTCCGAGGTATACATGCATTGACACCCAGCACCACATGAATAGATCCGTTGCGAAAACTCATTCACCATCATCCCTTGGAAGACATAGGCCTGGTAGCTGTTAGAGAATTGTCCCATCGAAAGACGTGAAAGGTTCGACTGTCACTCACCTGGTAATCAATATAGTGAAACACATATTTCCAAAACGGATTCAAAATCGTCGGAGTCACCAAAAAGCCACCCACACTCATCCACAGCCCATTTGCAAATGCCACGAGCGCTAGCGAGATCACGAAGTTTGGGAAAATCGCCGTGACGAGGACAACCAGGGACTCCGCTGCCACTAGGTCGAGGAATATCCACATGACCCAGGTGAAGAAGGCGTCACCGGCGGGGCGGAAGTTTGAAAGCCAGTACGAGACGATCGAGAACAAGATTGAGATTAGGACTGCAGGATCGGTCAGCTTTGCGAGGCTGGGGGTGGTGTGTGTTACATACAGAGGAACGGGAGACCGATGAGGAAGTTCGATATCATAAAGGGGGTAGGACCGTAGAGGCCGTTGGCTCGTTCTTTGGCAAAGTTTGCGCGATCTTCTAGGAAGGCTGGAACGTAGGCCACTGCCATAAAAGACATGAAGGCTGAACCGAAGAACTGATTTACACATTAGCCGCTGTGGAAGGTGGCAGTGGGAGGGAGCTTCACAATTGCGTTGACGAATGGCTGAATATACTCCTGCGATGGGTGAAGGCGCAGCCATACTGTGCCCATCATGATTGCAAGCCCTGCAGCGTGTAAGAAGATGATGAGTAGAATGGGGGTATCTTCAAAGGCCACATACCTAGATACATCACGATGCGGATGCCGTAGGCAACGACATCCCGGTAGCTCTTGATAAATGAGCGCTGAAGGAGGGCGCTTATGATCTTCACTTGACCAGGCCGAGCCATGTCTTCCATGACCACCTTATTGACATCCTTCTCTGCCACTTGTGCCCTTTCAGAGACATGTCGAGTGAGCGCATTGGCTTCAGTAGATGTCGACCACGCACGTTGAATTGCCTCAACACGTTCCTGGGATGAGTCTTTGCCACTGTTGAAATCGGAGCTGACAATATCGAGGAGAAACTCTGCCGGATTAGTGTTGCTGGGAATTGGATGGCCGATCTTGTGGAAGTAGGGTTTCACATCCTGGGTCGGACCAAAGTAGCAGGTTCGTCCGCCTGACAGAAGGAGTAATTTGTCAAACAGTTGGAAGGTGGTCGTCGAGGGCTGATGGATACTAGCAATGATGATCACCTAATTATGATTAGTTCTTTCGGCTTTGCCCTTGAAAAGTTGGGAGTATACTCACATTATTCAATCTCGCCAGCTCCTTAGCATACGAGATCACTTCAAAGCTAGCCGTCGAGTCCAGACCACTAGTCGGCTCATCCAGAAACAGTATCTTGGGACAAGTGATGAGCTGACTCGCGACACTGACCCTTCTCTTCTGGCCACCACTGATCCCTTTCCGAATCGGCGTCCCAACAATGGTATTCGCCTGGTTCTGAATCCCAAAAGCCTCGAGCAGAGTCCGAATTCTCTCTATACGCTGGCGCTTCGTCACGGAACTAATAATCAATCCCCATGAGCACGCCGCCAACAAAGCACCAAAATCACCGGGGGACTTACCTCGGCAACGAAAGATCCGCCGCGAACTTCAGAGTCTCCCGTACAGTCAAGGACCCAATAAGTGCATCCTCCTGCTCAACATACGATGTCATGCGCCCGAACGAAGCCGCGTCGACCTTGGCTCCGTTCACGAAGCTATCACCCATTACTGTGGCGGCACCGGAGGACCGACGCGCCAGCACATTGAGCAGGGTTGTTTTCCCACATCCCGATGGCCCCATCAGCGCCACGAGCTCCCCTGTCATCACGTTACATAAGTATCATTCCAAAACTCCAGTCAATCGCCATCTCGCACGTACCCTGCTGCACCTCGCCACCAATATCACAAATCAGATCCCGTGCTTTCCGAGTTTGGCGGTCCTTGACGGTCACTGTAAGCCCGTGCCAAGAGAAATTCTTGACAGAATGGTTCATTAGGAATCGGCCATCGTTCCGTTCCAGGTCAGTGCTGGCACTGGCCATAGTTTCCATGGCAAATGAGTTCGAGCTTGGCTCAGCCATGTCAGTCGAGAACGCAGTGCTTGCACTCCTGTCGAAGTTTTAGGGACTTTCGCTGCATTCTAACGTCCCAGGTCGAGCCTTGTTATATAGGGTTCAATCTTATCGGCGAAGTCTGCAGGCAGTGTTTGGTGCCCGGATCCCCTTGTGGAGCCTAGGGGAACTAGACGATTACGTTCTTATTCTATTTCTTAGGGGTCCTGAGGTCCCGATCTATGGAGGCATCTGTTCTGGGCGTAGTTTGAGGCTCCCCGACGGGTCGGGCTTAGTCAGATCCACCGGGGAGTGGGTCCCAGATTGGTCCCCGAGTCGGAATTCCAAAGGGTGGTATGACTAGACCCCGGCTTACTGAGGATTGAGGATCTAGATTTATCATGGTTGTCTCTCTGGAACGCGTGGTTTGGCTTGTGACATTCAGCAATTATGTGCTGGTCGGGGTTTTAGGCTTCGGGCACCTATAGTTGGTGGATCCTGGAGACCCCGAGCGCCACATTTGGCTCCTACATTGTTGGTCACGGGGTCTATGGTCATCTTGACTAAATCGACGAGCCTTAAGCCTATCCTTCTACACAGTGGATAGAGGCTGGATGGATCTCATTTTCATCACTTTCTTTCACGACGCTCTTTCACGAGATCTTTCCGAAGAACGCAACATAAATCCCATACTTCACTTCTACTGTTGACCGACAAGTACGCTCATCCCTTAGCCAACTTGAACTTTCAGCTATCACAGGCTCCGATGGTACTTGGCGTTTTTTAGTTAGATCAGACACATTCTACTGCGTACAAAAAGCGAAGAAGGAATGCAGTGGCCATGACATCAGTGAGCACTAATCTCGATCGGGGGGTGTGGTATGGGGCCAGAGTAGAACACAGGTTGGATTTCCGAGGTACGCAATTCGAGATGTGTCATATGGACAAAAATGATTAGAACTAATGTAGGGAAACGATAGAGATCCAGCAGCTGAGAGTGTAGAGATTCGCTGTACATGGTTCATTAGTTCTGTAGATCAACGACCAGCAGAAGAAGTAAATACACCCTGGTCGATCATGGCCCTACTTTTGAGGATTATTCTCTAGGGGGGAAAAGCAGAGAAATAGAATCAAGTATAGAGCCCGCTAGCCATCTCCTGACTCTTTCAACTATGTAGTTGTCTTTTCTTTATTTTAGGTCAGTTGTTCCGATAGACCACACGAGAGGACTATCGCCGTACCCGTCAAGACGCAGTTCTTACCAGACATTCTCACTACTATACCTGCGGTCACTACTACTACAGCGCTCCTAATCAAGGATCACCTGTACAATGTGATAAACTGTGCGACAAAAGAAGTAGTTGCAGTGATGCGAGATCGGTATTTCAAGCTGCTGCATTTCTATATGACCGCTGCTTGGTCAACCTATCTGGGCCATTCAAACGAGACAAGCCTTTCAGCTTATCTTCCATCCGTTTATGAATATGCCCGTGCTGCCATGCACTAGGTCAGTGTGGTCTCTGACACTTGACTTGCTTAATCTACATACGGAGCTGCTGCGAGTGGTTTGAATAGGAGAATACCCGTCACGATGAATCCTACGGCAGCTCGACGATTCTGAGTCGTGTGAAATCAGTGCTTGTGTATCCAGATATTGTATATGAGAGTTTGCTGGAAGATTCAAAGAGAATAGGGCGGCGAAATTACTGTCGATCCACCCTGCACTATAGTAATGTAGCCTTAGCAATGGCGATCGGGGCCAATATATTCCGGGTGTGCACAGCAGGAGTGACTGACTTCAAATTTGCTGGAATTTACGTGATGGGTAGTCATCTAGACCATCATCCCATCAAGTAATCTGGGTTTCTATAAAATGAAAAATGGAAGGCTGAATAAAAGTTTTGATATTTTGTTGACCAGCTCATAGCGCCAAATGCAACTAAAAAAATGAGATATCGATGTTGTGTAAAGTAAAAGCTATTGAAAATTGGCAGCGAGAGAGATGATCCCGACCTTACATGCTGTAGACCGGATTAGCTGGTGACTCAAGAAAGGAGGGATAGGGAGACAAACCGCTGAACGGGGTTCAAGCCAAGGATGCGCATGCCGTTGTGGAGGACCTGGCGAGCAGAGAAGTAAAGGGCCATACGAGCCTTCTTGAGCTCAGGCTCACTTCCGACGACCTTGAGGACATCATAACTAGAGGACAGAGCGTGGGTCATCTTGAATAGGTAGGCCAGGATAGTAACGGGCTCCAATGTCTTCGCGGTGTTGAGGACAGTGTCGGGGTAGGAAGCCAGAAGACGGATCAGGTCAACGGCGTGCTTCTCAGACAGGAGGTCGAAGTTGGCGGTGTTCAACTCCTCCTCGGTCAAGCCTGACTTGCGGAACATGGAGCAAAGACGAGCGTGGGCGTACTGCAGGTAGGGGCCGGTGTCACCCTCGAAGGAAGTCATAGCCTCGAGGTTGAAGTCATAGCCGTTGATACTGAGATGGGTTAGTATAGTGATTTCGATGAATTGAGGGGTTCACAAAACATACCGCTTGCCAGTGTAATCCTGAACCATAACAGCAGTGATGCCCAGGGTATCAGCAGTAGCCTCAGGGTTCTCAACCTGCTCGTACTTGGTCTGGTTCTTCTTCATCACCTCGTGCATCTTGTCGCCGACATCGTTCAGGATATCGTCCAAGAACTTGACAGTACCCTTACGGGTACTCATGCCCTTGACCATACCAAAGTTAATGTGTTGACAACGGTCAGACAGGTCCTTACGGCCTGAAAGCTCGGTGACCTTGAAAAGCTGCGCCAAGTGAAGATCCTGCTGCGAAGCTACGACGTAGATCATCTTGTCGAAATTGTACTCTTCGTCACGCTCCAGGATGGCACCGATGTCACGGGTCAGGTACAGAGGCGTACCGTCCTTGCGGATAATGATGGCCTTGCCTAGCTTCTTGGCGCCGTGCTTGGTGAAGTCCGCAATAACAGCACCCTCAGAGTCCTCGGCAATTCCTGCATCTTGCATGGCTTTGTAGGCTTTGGCCATGCTCTCCTTCTTAACCTGGGACTCACCGGAGTAGACGTCGAAGTCAATGTTGAGACGAGCGTAAGCCTGCTTGTACTTGAGGATACTGAGATCACGGAACTTGCGCCAGAGGGCAAGAGCCTCAGGGTCGCCATCCTCCATGCTCTTGAAATAGCGGCGGGCTTTCTCGTCCTCGCTAGAGTCGACCAGCTTGGCGAGTTCAGCCTCCAGAGCAGTAACGTCTTCGCTCTTCTCCTTCTTCTGCTTGATCTGCTCCTTCAACTCCTTGATAGGCCCCTCCTGGTCGCTGACAATGTGGTTAACCTTGACGTAGACATCGAAAAGGTGGTTGATGGGGTCCTTGGCAAGGGCTTCTTCGTTGCCGAAAGCCTTGTAACCGTTGGCCAACAGACCGTACTGCTTGCCCCAGTCACCAAGGTAGTTCATGCGAATAACGTCCCATCCCATGACGGTGTATAGATTAGCGAGGAAACCACCGATAATGGTACTGCGCAGGTGACCCATGTGGAATGCCTTGGCAATATTGGGGCTAGAGAACTCGATAATAATTTTCTTTTGGCCCTTGGAGGGGTCTGAGGGATCCTTAAGACCCTGGTTGCCATTGGTACCAAAGGCAGCCTTCTCCTTCATGATTCGACCGAGAACGGTCTCAGTGAGGGCCTTGGGCTTGAAAAAGAACTGCAGGTGAGGTCCGAGGGGGGTGGGAGGATAGATGAGGTCGGATTCGGGGAATTTGGAGGCCAATTCCTCGCACAGCTCCTGCGGGTTCTTCTTGATACCGAGAGCGGGGACCTAATTCAAATAAAACGAAATTGTAAGTCTCATCGTATGATAGAAAGTTCCAGCCGAAAGGACTGTGTTGTCGCGCTCCGTTGACAGCATATCAAATACATACCGGAAGCGACAAGTCGCCCTGGTCTAGAGTCTTTGTCCATGCGAGGCGAGAGTAGATCTTTTGCGCATCAATGCCGGTGGCCTTGCTCAGCTCTGTCGCAATGTGTTCGCGGTAAATGTCCACGGGGTTCAGGGACGGGAAGCACCCGGGGAACTCGGACTTCTGTGTGGTCGACTGGAGGGTGAGGGCCTCGACCGAGGCGGGCAAAGTTTCGGCGGCCATTGTGATTAACGAACGAGAACGCGCCGGCAAAACGATAGAGGCGCGAAACGAAATGGAAGGGTACGATCGGACGGTTGTGAGGGGCGATCGAGAAAAAAAGTAGCCAGAGAAACGCCGGGCCCCGCTTAGCATGTAATGACCCATAGAGGGGAAGACTTTATGGTGGGCGACTTTTCTGCTATGACTCAGGTCTTCGGGCGGTAAGAGGTCACGTGTGCTATATAGACCTGATGCTTTTCTGAAGTAGTCAATCAGGTTCGCACATATTGGCTGATAATGTGCATATTCTGGATCGTATAGAAAACAGCCTCGACTTAATTTTTTTTTTGCAATTTCTTACATTTGATGACTCAAGAAAGTGTGGTTGGCGGTTGGAATGGACATCTTACCGTGGACATTGCCAGATACATACATGACTATTGGCCCACGCGCACACGCACGTATATGCTTAGGCAGTGCCTGCAGTTACTTCGGTCAAGAAAAAGATCCGAATAAATCATATGAGACAAATTCAATCCTGGTTGATCTCGGATCAACCTGGTTCTAAACACATAGAACAAGATACCACCATTCAATGCATGATTCTGCCCCGTGGCAGTCCCTGACGTCACTAGTCATGTTGTGCTAAATTCTTACGAAAGCAAGCTTTATGCACCTCAGGGGCCCCTTGATAGTTTATTTTTATTTTAGTTTTATTTCCTAGGACAAGCTCTTCCCACTGCTTCAACATGGGCAAGAATCGCCGTCAATCGGCTCTGACCAAATCCATTCAGTCTGGTCTACTTCGTGACCCGAGCGGGTTCAAGAAGACTGCATTTGGAAAGTTTATCGCATTTTTCACCTTTCGAAGAATAAAGTTGATTCGCCATGAACGAAATCTCTTCGCGAAATTGCGCCAGGAGGTATGGGAGCTAGACGAGGACAGTTATCAGGCCTCATTCCACACGACAGACGGTCAGCCGCCGCTGAAAATGATTGGCGACTTGGGGTACTCTGGATCGGTAAATGTCCTACTGTAATGCACTCAGGAGCTACTCTAATGCATCTCCAGACTTTCTTTGGCACATTTGATGGTCATCTAGTGATCAAAAGCCTCCCGCGTTACTTTGAATATACGTTCTTCGAGTCTGATCTTTTAGAACCATATTATGAACACATGCGAGAGCATCCAGATTCTATCTTGGTCTGGATTACCGATTATCTCTTATCTCCGTACGTGACCCTTGGCACCATTTGTGGCTGCACTCCAGCACACCATATAATCATGGAGAACATTCTTTGCGGTCAAGCCGATGATCCAGCCGGTAATCGCTGGGAGTCTTATGATCTGAAACCAATCAACTACTTCTATCCAGAGCGCGATATCATCCCTGAACCTCTGGTCAGTGAGGATACATTAAGCAAGCTTGCGGACACCTTCAACGACAAGCTTCATCTTTGGCAAAAAGACTACAATACATTCTGGGAAGCCATACAAGCAGATACTAAGCTCCTGGAGGAGGCCAATGCCATCGACTACTCACTTTTCTTGATCCGAATCCCATCATCTTCAAGCCCAGAATTTGTCGGAAGGAAAAGTCCATGGAGGGTGGGAGTTCCATCCGCTGATGGAAAATGGAAATATCGAGCTGTGATAATCGACTTTTTCTGGGCAAGGCATAAGCTACATGCGCAAGCAATGTCAGGCGTGGTGCAGACTTTCAATGTTGTGGGACGTCAAGGACCGATGTCAATTACAACAACGGCGGATGAGTATCGGCAAAATTTCTTGTCTATGGTCAAAGAGATGATTCAGGTTCATCACTAATATACCTCATATACTTATATGCAATGTTGTTGGCAACAAGCAAGCGCTTGGTAATTTATTCACTTCACACAGGCCTATTCTACCATGCCAGCTCTGGGAAAATCATATCGTCTTTCGTGTTTAACTTCATTGCCTCCAAAGACCTAGACATATGATACCATGTCCAATGATTGGCTCACAATATCCAGCAACACTCATGATCAAACCCATTGATAGCTCAGAACCGGAACAGTGAAGACAGGCGCCGTGCAAGTAGCATTGAAGTACGCATCATGGGTGCAAGTAAGCGGGAAATCCACGCTTCCAGAGTAAGTAATTGAGCTCCCATTAGCACAGGTCAGCGCATGGCCACTCCCAAGGGTGTAATCCATATGCCCTGTCGAAGTGTCAAGGTCCGAAGTTCCGTAAAAGGCGACAATGCGTCCGAGTCCTCGGTCGGCATATCCGCAATTGCTCGCTCCGTTACCAATATCGTGAACGCGATACCCGATATACTCATCGTGGCACTCCAGACCATCGGCGAAATCAATATCGAGTGTTTCCGGTGGGCCATAGCCCCATGGCTGATAGTTAGGCATGCCGGTATAGCAGACTGGCACAATGGACCCATTACAAGTCGCCGGATTGGGGTCGCACCAGCTGCGCCCGCAAAGACATCCTTTGGTATTAATGTCGGCTTCGTTATGGATGCAGTCCAGAGAGTGCGAACCATTGTACCATTGGAAGTTGGTGACGGTCCAGGTTGGGATTGGGCATCCAGCCGGGGGAGTGATGGAACGACGGTGCAGGGCACGCGAAGCAATGGGTGTTGACAAGGTTAAAAGGCCTGTCATGATGTTTGCAAGTCTGAACATGATTTTGCTGAGGAGGATGAAGATGACTCGGGTAATGAATAAGACGAGCAAAGTACGATCTGTTATATGGTCCTTTATAACTAAGGCAAACCTCTCAGGGAAAGTTCGCAGTTGCATCCGTGCTATGTGGTGGGCTTCCTGCAGGGAACCACGCTAAATGTCAGTAGCGAGCATACGCTCCAACACAAAGCCTATTAACGGGACACAGTCAAGGTACGATATAAGACATACAGTCACAATGCTTTGTCGTGATATATGGTTGGTTCAAACGATTAAGCCGAGTATCTTCGGGCTACGGGCCGCAGGTGTAAGACCAACCGATCCCAGATGGGCTGATCGTAGATCCGGTGCTAGAGCAAATCATGCAATTCGTCCCTAGGATTCCCTTCAATCGTAAACTCCACTTTCTCTGGTGTGATCCTGAGTGAGGAGATTGTTTGAAGAAGGTGATGATCCTGAAAGCACTTATGATGAAATTTCTTGATCTCACGAGAGTGGACAGGTGGAATGCGGGTAATCAAGACACGAGCGGAATATTTCGAGCTGGGCATGCAGCTAATGTCTCGGCGTGAGCCCCCTCAGTAAGCAACGCACAGGTTATCCAGTCCTGCTCTCGGTAATTGGTCATTCACTTCTGCAATTGCGCAAGGTAATGTAACAGGAGACCGAACCTCTGAAACCCGATCATTTCGGGGATTTCTGTCCATGTTGCAGCTCACAAGTTGAAATTCAGGTGGGCGACGAGGACGAGTTTACTCCAGAGACCAGCCTCTCGGAACCCAACTGTACCATCTATGCTTATCCGTCATCTGTAACCAACTGGCCTCTGCATAAAATACTGTTTAGACAACGATATTCTGGTGTTTGGACTAATCATTCTACTTGGTGGAGCATTCTCAAAATTGCCTGGGTAGTGAAGGTAGTGAGACAACTAGATCACTCCTCTGTACCGCTTTGACCGTCGTTCAGAGGTCACGGACTGAATCTCAGAATGAAGTACTATAGACCGTGCTCGATTTAAGTCTTGCCATTGTTTCCAGCTTCCTTATTCTTACCCGACCTTATGACAGAACATGCACAGCTGCATAGAATAAGACCCGCTGCAATCATCGCTGCAAGAATTGTAAAAGTTGTTGAAACGCAGTTTCCATATGCTTTAACACCACTGTTCCAGTGCCCTTGATGATTTATCAAATACAGCCGTCTACTGGCTGCCTCCGAGATTAGCAGATATGGCGATTCATTCATATCACTGATTGGAATTAGTTTCGAGATACAGCAGAACATAACGTCTTTGCCTTTCAATGTCGTTTTCGAAAGTTTTATAGAACCTTTCGTCTTGTAAATATGAGTTCAAACGACTATGGCTGTTTTGATGTTTGAATCCCTAATATTATTTCTGCCATATATTCTGCCGTCCCGAAACCTAGTAAAGGGGCAGAATTTAGGCGGTGAAAAGAGAAAGACTTATAAAACCCCACTATAGAACAAGGAGAAAAAAGACAGGTTTACTCTTCACCACCGAAATATACCATGATCAGATTATAATTCTGAGGTTTACATGTCTTCTGAGCCAAAGCACACTATTCATCAAGGCAGAGGCAACTTGGGTGATCTAGTTCTTCATGAACCTTTCCATCCAGGTGGAGCCAGCGGCCGCACAAAAAATCGCCTAGATCCACTGGCAATCGACATCAAAAAGTTTGACCAGACTGGGGCTCGATCCCAGGACCTTATCGGTGTTAACGATACGTGATAACCAACTACACCATCCGGCCACTTGATTGGTTGGTCAGTCAAAGTGTTGATCTGAATGTGCATTGCATCTGCTTTCTTGTTTTACTAGCCACAATCGCTGGGATCCAATCGGGGTAGATCTCAATCAGCACGTTCCTGGAATGGCAAATATTGGAACAATGACCTCAATTAGATAGTGAGAAGTGCATGAGCAAACGTCCGATTGGGTTTACAAGTCGAAGTGAAGTGATGGGACTTTCAATTTTCTCACAAGCTGTTTTCGTTGCTTCATGGCCCCAAATAGGGTTCAGATTCAAGATCTATTGTCTTGAATCACATGAAAATGGAACCGAAGGAGCTCTGAATATCCAGTGGCCTTGATGCCGAACTTGCTCATGACAATAGAACCCTAGGTGAATTGGCATGGAGCTGATTGACGGGCAGTTGAGGACCACAAGGATTCATGCTCATCATCTTTCAATCGATGCACCAGACCTCCTTGGGACCCCCATTGATGTTTGGCAAGTCAGGTGGGCGGGATCTGCGATCGGAGGTAATTGGGAGGAAATTGTGGATATTAAGACACCTTGCGGGTAAATGTCATTTTTCTCAACGGAAGCATCTGATGTCGTTCCATCACTAGGAACAATCAATGTTGGGTTGGAATAAGACATCACTCAATGACTGATGGAGCTGCCTTAAAGAGGGGCTGGCGGACCTGAGATGCTTCGGATGCGGGTATATCAGTCAGTAATGGGATGTCTGACCGGTGCGTCCATATCAGGCATTGAACTTGTTCGCGGTTTTTACAGGGGAATTTGAGTAACTTGTTCGGATTTGAGAGAGTTGAATGCTGGTAGGTCTACACTTCAAACATTCAAACACCCCTGAGTATGACGCCTGACCAAATACACTGTGGTCTGCTGTTTTAACACACGCGCGCGACTGATACTTTCGAATGCAGAACCGCAGAAAGGCCATTGGCCTGATGGTAATAGAACCTTTGATCCTTTGGAAAGATCCATTACAAGCGAGAGGCTGCTACCCGTGAGGAATTGACGGAACCTGAGACTCAGTGTTGCTGATACTTCTGAGGATTCTGATAGCTGTTTTTCATAATTCACCATGGTTGAATTCCGTATTTCATGCTCCTCAGCAATGCCTTGCCCAGCCTCACAAATTCTCCATGTGTCGATTTGAAACTCAGCTAAGACAGATTGACGCCAATCTCGAGTCATTTAAGATTAATTGAACATGCGTGGAAATTGAAGATAATGCTCGATCTGGCCCATTTAATTTCCCCTGTCTGATATGTGTATCTTTGTATATTCATGACTTACGATCCCAAGGAATCATAATGAATGGCCAGATAAAGCAGACCATCAAAAAGACTCAAATTTAGGACAAAGTGACAGGTAGAATGCAGGTACGACACGATCGGGCCTTTTTGAGCTAGTTATGCGGCTAGTGTCTTGGCGTGAACGCACTCAGGAAGCAACGACAATTTTGGTCCTACTTATCTGCATTGTACAGTATGGGTAGACTACAGAAGAGAATGTCGATGTAATAGCAGCGAGTATTCTTGATGGATACCGAGACGCAGATTGTCTGTATTGGCGAAGAGAGAGAGACTCGTATCGTGGGACTGAGGAGTGAACAGACAACCGTAAAGAGTAATGGTTGCTATTTGTTCAATGAGATTGAAGGAAGATGAAGCTTACAATGAATGGAAATGAATTGGCAGGACAGAGTCAGACCATGCCTCGATCCATGCTCTGAGACCACATGGGAGCATTCCTAACGATTTTCAAATTCCAAGAAGACTTGAATGCTGCCTTGATCGTTGATAGTTCGACCTGAGCAGACCCTTCAGCCCGACGGCCCCAAATCAGCCTCAAGCCCCTGCGGACCGAATCTCTCCAGACTTGCAGCTGAATCGATCGATTTCTAGGGATTTGGGCGCATTTTCCACAGCATTATTGTCGGATTGACTTTAATGAATCGGGACGAATATTCCAGGAAGAGAAGCCCAGTCGGTTGACGTCAAGTGAGCTACAAGGGTCCGCAGCGTCACCGCTTCATCAAGTGCCCTTGCAGCTCCAATGATATTGGAACGCCATGCATGAAGACATGATTTACTTTTGGAGCCTAAAGGCCGCGAACAAATGCATTGATCGCTTCGGATGTTTCATCTCACATTCACGTGCCAAGAAACACGGACGAATAGTTGAGGGCCAGGTGCACTGAGCTGGCACGACCGTCTCTGCACCCGGATCTATAGCCCCTAGGGGCTAGTGACTTGACATGCGTGGCCCCTGACTATTGTAGCCTTGCCCGCATAAGCATTTTCAGGACTAAACTCGTGAATTCGGTCCATCCGCATCTGACAATGATCACGGGCATGTCTTTTGCGGTGGGGCCCAATAGACGGATAGAACCCATAATAGAGATTGATTAGCGCCTTGCACCGTGCTTATATCGCCGCGAAAATTGCTAACTAACATTACTCGGCAAGTCGAGATAGCAACATCAGCCGGTGATCTACAGGAATTTAACATTTGACAACGACAATGACGGATTCTTACCAACAAAAACAAGGAAATTGGGTACCTAGTGATCATCCAGTGATCGGCGAACTAACATACAGTATGCTCTGAGAGTAGCGAACAGTACAATGTCTCTGGAGCCCCCCCTGCGCTCAATGTATGGATGGCCAGGACACTATTCATTTTTCGAACCAAGGTTCCTGTCTTCAATGAACCCTTCAAACTTTTCAAAGACGGATATATTTCGGGCAAATGCCCACTCCGCGGTGAACACCACCAAATAAACCAAGAGCTAGGATCCACACCCACATGGCCGGGCTCTACAGTACAATACCAAGGGCTGCAGATCGCAGTGTTCAATAAGGCAGGCACCCCCGAAAGCCCTAAACACCGACCGGATGAGGAAGCAGTTCGGCACCGAGAACTTGACTCAGTGGAAAGCCACAGTGGACACGCGGGCGATCCTTGCCTAAGCCAAGCCTAAAAAAGTGGAGGCCTGTTTGGCGAACGCGGTTTGCAAAGCAGCCAAGATCAGATAGTCTCGGAGTTTAAGCAAAGTTGACTGCTCGACACTAGCTGCATCAGGGTTTCCCAGCTGAGGTTTTTTGTGGTGGTTGGCTTTCACGAACCTATGGAAATCTCTCCGGGGAGCATTGCGTGCTGAAGTTTCCGATTGGACAGGTCTATTGCAGAGGCACACGCTAGAACTAAGTATTTCACTCTCATCTGCTAATCCCGATGCTGAAGAATACATCTCTCAGAAGCGCGCGTCGAGGCATTGACCCCCCCATAGATCCGTGGGACAGAGTTGGCCAGAGTGATGAGATGGTATAGGAGGGGCCCTGTCGATGGTAATGGTTTTTTTTTGGGGGGTTTCCCACCGGAACCAGTCAGTCTAGATAGGAACCTAGGGTACAGTACTGACGGCCCAAGGGTCGACATCTGTCAATGGATACAGTATTGCCCGGGTTGACGCCGTGGGCAAGGTCAAATTACTCCACTGACCCAACGGATGTCAACTCTGCCGGGAAAGTCGTGAAACTGAAAATCAATAGTCACTCCACTCGATCTGCAATCAACCAAGCCTTTTTTTTTGTTCCCGCTGCACGTCCCTTCGTCTCCACCAGTCTTCGCCATACAGTCATACGACGGTATTATTGGGGACAGCCACCTCCGCCTTTTCTAGTCTTGATCCCGATGTATAAAGGTCCCCGCGGCCGCGCCGTCGACTTTCCAACCTTTTCGAAAATGGGTGTTGATTCGAGTCCCTTACACTCTTTATGATGTCGCTCCAAGAACGGTTCCCCGCATATGGCGGGCGAGGTCCGTCGGACTTTCGTCTTGGGATCTCTTTGGGCGTCATTGCGACCACCTTCATGGTCCTCCGCATCTATGTGCGGCTACGCATCAACAAGTTCGGCACGACTGCCTTGTTATTGTCACTCCTTGCTTGGGTAGGTCTTTCATCTCGATATAAATGATATCTACTGACATTTTATAGTTCTTCACAATGCTTACACAGGTCTTTGGTCTGCTTTCTGTTCTCCATGGTCTGGGAAACCACATGGCTCTCATTATGAAAGTTGGCCAGTTGCACAACTTTCTCCTTTTCACCTGGATTACGGTCTTTTTCTTCAATCTCGCCATTCCGACCGGTAAAGTCGCAGTGGCAGCTTTTTTGATTGAAATGAACGGACAAGGCAGTACGTCGAAAACTTGCGGACGTTCCTTCCATCAAAGCATACTAATTAGTTCCCCAGACCCTAAGATTCGCAAAAGTCTCGTCGCCGTTGCCGTCCTGAATATCGTCCTCAATATCCCACAGATCCTCCTTGTTTGGTTCCAATGCCGCCCCGTGGATGCTCTCTGGGATCCCCTGCGTCAATCCGACTGTGATCACCGAAAGAGCGTTTATTATACATACTTCGTGGGCGCTGTTGCGGCTATCTCCGACTTTTATCTCGCTACCGTTCCGATTCAAATGCTTTTGCCTCTGCGCATTGATCGCAAGCTAAAATGGGGTCTAGGTTTCTTGATGGGCTGTGGTGTATTCGCCGGGGTGGCCGCTATCGTTCGCACCTGGGCTGCCAAGTTTATTCTCACTGAGGATTCTTCTTGTAGGATTCCCTCGCTTTGAATGCCCAAGGTCTCAATACTAATGACCTATAGACGGTGTCGGTACCCTCTTCCTCTGGGGAGAAGTCGAAGAATGGATCGTGCTCATCACAATGTCCATTCCACCCGTGTGGCCTCTCTTCCGCCCCTTCACATCCAAATTCATCAAATCAAACCATACTCGAAGCCAGCGACGCTACAACGACCAGTACGGCTACAAGTACAACTCTAAAGGACCCTACAGTACTACCGCCGTGGGCGATCAATCACCGGGCTTCCCACCTGCGAATTTCCCCCCTCCTCTCGTCACTACGACCATTTCCATATCCTCTGCAAAGGAAACGGCGACTATCGCTGCTTCGGAAGACGAAACCCGTCTATCGAATGAACACACGCCACGTAACCTGGTTCACGATAAGGCCGTGCAGCCCTGGGTAGAAATGGACGAAATCAGAGGAAGACGATCGCCATAATGGGCTCTAAAACGACTTTATGATCCTTTGATGTTTTCTGACATGTCTCGCTTTTCAATTTACGACTGATGCCCCAATACCAATTTTTTCTTAAACGTGTTGACTATAAAACTTGCGTCTCTTTTCTGGTCTTCTTCATTCACATTAACAATTCTTTTCCTTTCCGCTCTTCTTGCCTCTGAATCGGAAGATATGTGACCCCAATTCATGATCCTTAGTTCTGAGTCATCAAGATGCGCGACTTGCATTCAAGCATACTTCTTTCATTTCACTCTGATGCGGGCAGAATCTAGATGGTGCGAGACTGAGGCTGGACGCCAACTTTCAGGGATGTGACAGAGGTGTTCCGATTGACGCTATACTCACTAGGATAGAAATTCGATCACTGGCATGGGTGATCGCTGTCGGCTGTGGCGAATGTTCCGAGTCTATGCAGTGGCAGGGGTAGCCCTGTTCCGACGCCTTCCGATCGCCAAAACTTGTCACATTTTCGATGTTTACGGTCTTGAAAGATACTTGCAAGATACTTGCGACGGGCAGATCACTGTCGCCGAATATGGAAGGACGTTTTGTGTTGAGTCCTGAGGAAGGGAGAAATCCTAAGACTGACCCTCTTGAGGCTCGTGAAAGGATCTAGAATGACAGTACCGCCGTGTCTAGTAACTCGCTTATTGAACCAATGTTTCAATCTTTTCTCCGGTAGGGTCTGCAATAAAGTGGGGCATCATGAAGTCCGAATTGACGAAGCTGAACTGTGTGCAGTGGAAGGCCCTCTCAGAAACCGTAACAGTAGTCTTGCCTCGGGTCTCAACTCCACTACGCAGGTTGTCGATGGTGGATTTTGCTGCCAGAAATAAGTTCATGGTTACACCCGAGCATCAGTACGGAAAGCATTCTCCTGTGAGAAGATTTCAATTCATCACAGCTCGAAAACACGAGCCTGTCTTCTACTAATTCGATGGGTTTTCTGGAGAAATCATTGCAACAAGACAACCGTGTAACCCTTCACAGTATCGTAGAACACCATGACGAAGATCCTCGGAAACTTTTACCTCGATACCCAAGCTCGAGGAGGTATATGGTACATGCGATCCGGATGCCTGGAAGTCCAAATCACGATCAATTGCGTCGGAGTAGCAATAGAATGGTGCCCACTTATAGTACCATACTGTGCTCGAGCTCAACAATTGTTCATCTTATTCGCTAGCTCAGATCGTATCTTTTGATATTTCATTTGAGATATAGACGGACGAGAATCTCGAATACGAAGAATTGAAAGAGTTTCAAGTCCAGCTCCCAGGCTCATTAGATTTAAAATGTAGATATGAAAGATTGATACATATTAATGGCACAATGTCTATAGTCACTTGATACTGTTAAGTCGCCTACAACGCCAGCAACAAGCCAGCACCCAAGAGACCAGGCAAAAGATGGTTCGGATTGCTGGTGGGTAACGCTGCCAGTCCCTTAGAGGAGGTGCTAGAGGCGCCCCCACTGTTGGCTGTCCCGGTCGCAGTACTGGCCGTTCCAGTCCCAGTACCAGTGCCAGTGATGTAGACAGTGGTTCCACCCGATTCAGATCCCAGAGAGCCCAAGGCCGCGGCAGTCGCTTCGGCTCCATTGCCCGTCGCCGAAGTGACCGCGGAGGGCATCAGCGTCGCGCCTGGCACCGCAGCTGTTCCGGTACCGATCTCAAGAATTTCATCGTCACCCCCGTCATAATTGGTATTGGCAAGCGAGATCTCGTTATTGGCGAGATCGTAGACGACGTAGGCGCCACGCAAGAATGCGTCACCCATCAGATTCACTCCGGGCTCGCTGTAGGATAGTCCGAAGATACAGTCGCCTTCAGGGAACCCGGGCTCGGTGTAATGGTCAAACACCAGTTCACTGATGGGAATCGTGATCGTGGCGCCCGAGAAGCTGAATGTCACATTGTAATCGGCCGTGGACATGTCGCAGGGGATATAAGCGGCACCGGCGGTCGAGGAGTAACCTGCGCCGACATCCTTGTAGATGGGGTCCACGAGCTCTTTGGGCAGCACGATGAAAGAGCTTCCGTTATCCAAGCTGACGGACAAGGGAAGACCCGTTGCATAACTCTTGGTGCCCTTGGTGCTCTTGATCGAGATATCTGTCAAGGCGATAGCCAGAGAATAGTACCTGCCATATAACGGCAAAACAGGCACGGTTTGCAGCTCGCCCTGATATCTCGCTTTGTTGACACCTCCGAAGAGAATGTTTCCAGTCTCATCAAATTTATTCAACCACAGGCTATAGGCGGCCGACTTGATCGCACCACTGTTGACCAGCGCTTCCGGGAGGTTGGCGTATTCCTTGTCGAGATTGGCGGCGGCGTAAGTACTAATCGCATATCCGATTCCAAGAATACCATCTGTACACGAAATCCGAGATACTCACCATTAGCCATATGTCGCTTTGTCTTTCTTCTTTGCTTATTGAGCTCAAGCGATCACAGAATCACATACGGGGATTTGCACTTTCTTCGGCCAGCGAGAACTCCATATTCTTCACCGTGGCGTCACCAATCGTCAGCGTGTCGGTGGCGTAGGGACCTACAGCCAAATTACCCGCGGCATAGGTGGCATTCATTTCATAATCGAGCATTTTGAAGGTGGAGGAGTCTTTCAAATTAAACAAGCCGGTCGACGAGCAGGGATCATTATCCGCCGCACAGTAGGTGGAATTTGGGACGTTCACCCAGATATCACTGCTGCCGATATCCAGACTGAGGGAGAGGTTCTGAGCCGGCGTGCCGAGGGTGATGTTCACCATGTAGTAGAGATTATTCTATCTGGCAATTCAGCATAATGTTCATCATTCACGTCAGATTGCGACTCTTTCTCTATCTCTCTTCTATCTCTCACTCTCACTTTCTTTTCTTCTTCTTCGTCTTCTTCTTCTTTTGGACCACAAGCCGGGATGTTTGAGATGGACTCGGAAAGTTTGACTCATACCACATTGTATAGTGAAGTGCTAGCGACTGAAGAACTACGTTTCTGCAACGCTTGGGACCGTTGACGGGTGATCGGGAGTCCGAACACTGCGGGATCGTCCCGTTTGTGCAGCGTGATGGCATTGACGCATGGTAGCGCCGCCAAAATAGCGAGCGACACGATGGAATTCGACCGCATGACGGGTATAAATCGAACTGGGACGCGCTGCGAAAGGAAAGGATGCAGGACGCAAGTTCTCCGAAACTCCTCACCGATTAAATGAGGCGGGAACCGAGGAAAAAGGGTAGACTGGCAGCCTTTGTACCTTGTTTCACTGTGCCCACTTCTCGCTATTATCTTTTTACTAACGATTCCGCTCAGGCACCGTTCCGTAGCTTTCAGGTTGAATGGCTTTGGAGAACCACTAGGGACCAAGCACCGTTCTCCACTTTTGCCGATGCAACCCCCGGGCCGGACGAGGTGTGCTGAGAGCCACTTATCGTGCGCTCTAAGTGCTAGGGTTTGCGAACTGACTCGCCTTTTCCGCGCTAAGCTCGGGGGTTCAACGGAGGTTGGGCCCGAATGTGGCTTAGTGTGATCCATAGGGCCGGACGCTCCCGCTAAAAACAGATTCAGGAACAGATCGGAAATTAACCCAGCAAACACCTACCGAGAAACGATAAGCACCAATACCAAGATGACCGATTCCGCGGGAGCTCCGGTTAAATTGATGTTACAGCATTTATCGGCCTCAGCCTAAGGTAGCCGAATGTCTTTGTAGACCTCGTAGGCACTCGTCGTCAGGGCAATGCATCAATTCACAAGATGCTATGCTCGAAATGTTGGTGAGACAACCGGCATTGAATCGGCGAACTTCATGGAAATCAATGTACAATCCGAACTCGGATGGGTGCTTCACAAGAGTCATAAGGCTTGCTTGAGTCACAGAATACTCCAAGGTTAATAAAATAATCACAAGCCCAAATTGATCTTTTCGATGTAGAAGAAAGATTCGTGAGCTTCATTATTTTCTGCTGTTCGTATCCACAATTATCCGGGACTTGAAGGTATTGTCTAAAGTCGCAGACTTGATTTGTACACGCCGAGCATAAGGCATCTCTTTCATTATCCAGCATTTCACTTCTCACTGGTTAAAATGGCTACCATCGACGATCCCTTCAGGACTGAGCTACGCAATACCAAAGTGCTCGAGGGACCATTCACAGACCCTAACTTTGACGCATTCCCGAAACACCCCACGAGGCGGTCGCCGCGGGGGTCAGAGAGCCTCACGCCATGACCCTTTCCACGGTGGATGATCAAGGATGCCCGGACGCCCGCGTTCTCATTTGAAGAATGTCGATTCTCGAGGGTGGCATTTCGCAGTGAAAGCCGACAGTCCCAAAGGAAAACAATTGGCAGAGAATGGACATGCCGCATTGACCTTCGACTGGCCGCAGCTTGCCCGATAAAATTCGGGTCAAAGGGAGAGCCATTGCACTTCCAGACGCTGAATGCGCTCCTTGACTTCCAAGCTCGGCCTCTTGAGTCAAGGGTCGCCGCGGTCGCCTCGCATCAGAGTGACATTCTTCATGACCGCGAGATGCTAACACGAAAGCTTGCTGAAACCGAGTTGATCATGTCGAAGGATCCTCTGACGGGTGTGAAGAAGTGGCGGGTGTACGCTGTTGCGGCGCATGCGGTCGAATTCTGGCAAGGAGAGGCCAGTCGCCTTCACAAACGGCTGCAGTATGTGCACGATGATAAGGAGGGCAAATGGGAGAAGCAATTTCCTTTGGCCCTGAAGAAAGTGGCGCTCTTTAATCAGCCAGTTGTCTCTGTACATGCGACAGACGAGACCAATTGTTGAAGTCTAGGGAAACTCATTCACAAGAACACTTGGCTTAAACCTCTTGAAGGTGATGCTGGACTTGTACCAATGCCAAGAACATGCTATTTATCCAATTACCCATAGCAGTACACAGCATTGTCTGCATTGAATTGGCTCTTTTTCTCCTCGTCTATCTCTAATATTACGGAATAAGCTGGCTCTCCGGATCAGCCTGGGAGGATGCTTCGGTATGTAACATTTCCAAGGTCTCATTCTGTTTATATTTATGGACGAAAGATGATATGAGGATCATCGACCCCCACAGGACACCAGAAGAATGATGAAGTGGAAGTCAAAGATGGACAGGTCTAATCAGGATATATATCAAAAGAAAAAATTTTTAGACAATCGTTCACACATTCCAAATAGCCCGGGCTCTCGACGCCTGTGCCCAGGGTCCAAGTCTAATCCAGAAATTGGCACATGTACACCTCCACACATCTCCAAAAGCACATGGCTTGCTCGAGTCGCATAGCGCGCTCGAACTTAACATTTTATACTGCTTAGAAGCAGAAGACCTGGTCCTCCAGCTTGCTGACAGGGCGGGCCTTGGCAAAGCCAAGAGACTCAGTAGCCTTCTTCATAGCGCTGACCATGGGAGGGGGACCGCAGAGGAGGATTTTGACGTCAGATGCCGGGGCAGGGAGACGCTCCTGTCGTCAAGTTAGCCGGAATACATGCGGAGAAAACTCAATTGCTATGACGTTACCTTGATCATGTCGGGGGTGACAAAGCCAACGCCGCCAGTCCAGCCCTCGGGCGGGTTGTTCAGGACGTAGTACACACGGAAGTCGCTGTCTTCCTTGGCCAGCTTCTCCAGCTTCTCCTGGAGGAGAATGTCCTCGGGGTTGACGTTGGCGAAGATCAGGTCGACCTTGGTGGTATCATTGCCGCCGTTGCGAGGACGGTTACGGATGATGGCCTCGATAATCTGGAGCATGGGGGTGATTCCGGTGCCGCCGGCGATCATACCGATGTGGCGGCACATGTTCGGGGTGTAGACCATGGCGCCCTTGGGTCCGCGCACCTTCATGGTCTGGCCAACCTTGAGCTCGGTCAGGTACTTGGAGATGTTACCCTGGGGATAGGCCTTGACTAGGAGATCGAAGTAGCCAGCCTCATGGTCAGAAGAGATGGGGGTGTAGGAGCGAATGACCTCCTTCGGCTGGCCGGCGATGGTGGCAGCGAGGGAGATGTGCTGGCCGATGGGCAGACCCAAGATATCGGTGGGACGGGGTAGGGCAAAGCGGTAGATGCAGACATTGTGAGAGATCTCGTTCTTCTCCTTGAGGACGAATTCCTGGAACTCGGTGGGTTTCAGGACCTTGCGCGGCTCTGAAGATGGGGGTCAGGCGAATCATGCGATCAGGGGTATACAGAGAAGTTTGACATACTGCTGTTGCTGAAGAAAGCAAAGCCAGTGATGACGCTGGCGACGGCAATGGCATAAGCGAGGAATTCAGGCTTCACGGCGTACACGGTTGCGACCAGTAGGACCGAGGGCACGAGGGCCGGGACGAGGGTGGAGAGAGAACTGACAGGCATTAGCGATTGTGAAATGAATGTGCGCAGCTATACAGTTGCATATGTGTGTGTATAGCAGTGCAGCTTCACAGGGATAGCTGAGTTACCTCATGTTGGCTGAAGAGAGAAGAGAGCCCTGGAGAGGAAGAAATTCAGCCGGGGGGTTCGAAGTAAATCGACTTCCGCTCAACGGAATTTCGCACCCGTTTGGGTTTTCCCCACCTTGTTTACTCAACGGCATCTTTGTACTTGACTTTCCATGCTTGACTCGACTGCATTTGTTTCTTCTTTCTAGACCTAATATACACCCATTATACACAATGGGGACGGTAGAATCACAAACGCCCTTCAACCTCACTGCGCTGGATCGCCAGCTGCTTGCAATGACCGATGAAGAATTCGAGGCCCACGACTGGGAAAATTTGCGGGACATCATCGGTGAGAAGCATGTCTCCCCATCTCCAATCTTCCCCTCACACCCGCAGCCCGGAATGATCTAGCCGCTCTGAAGCGGAAACCCTCCGATCTACGCCGATACCTCGCCTGGTCCGCGGATACTAAGGCCCAGTATGGTTCCATTATGAATTACATCTGCCAGCGTCGTCTGCAGTGGTCCATAAGTGGACCCGTCCCTGAGAACCCGCGTCCATTTGCCGATCCCGAGGACTACAAAATTCTCCGCAATGACTGGCCTTACGGGCTGAGTTCCGGCATTGAGCATCTGGTGGTGTGGCTCCGGACTCCGATACCGGTTAAGTCGGAAGAGGGCCATTTGACGGAGGAGTCGCGCGCGCTTATTGAAGAATTTGTGACGGAGAAATTCGTCGCTCGCTTGGCCGAGGATGCGCGCTTTGCCACCCCCGAGTCTCATGTGCTTTGGTTCAAGAATCCCCGCAGTTTGCAGAGCGTGCAAGCCCTGGAGCATCTTCATGTGCTCGTGAAAGATGTTCCCGAGGAAATTCTCCTGGAGTGGACGGGTGAGAGCAGGTAGATGGGTATCTTAGACTAGAACTACATTAGAGATGCAGTGGCCGTGTCAACTTCTTTTTCTCAAAGTGGGAAGAAAGACTGAGGGAAAAAAAAAAAATAAGAACATAAACTGGTAGACTATGAAGGTAAATAATCAACAATCAGGTATCACGAACGCCAGTCCACCGCAGCCAGCGCAAATATACAAGGACTCGGTCTGATCAAGTCTTCTGCTCCTCCACAAACTTCAGCGCCTCCTCGCGTGAGACTACGTCGATCGTACTAGCCTTCTGCCGGAAACTGACACCGTAGCACTTCTCCGCCACGTGCAACATCTCCGGTCGGAAGGTGGTGCAAATAAACTGCCCATTAGTCGAGTCCGAGATGGATTGCAGCATCTGCGCCACCGCGGTACGGTACTGGGCGTCCAGATTGGCGTCGATCTCGTCGAAGAGGTAAAAAGGTGCCGGATCACAGGCTTGGATGGCGAAGACGAGGGCCAGAGCGCAAAGGCCTGTATGAGAGGTTAGTCTGTAGATCGTATGAAGGGGATTTGGGGGGAAAAAGGGATTACTCTTCTGTCCACCACTCAGCTGCTGGATGCGCTGCTGCTCGTCGTGCTTACTGTTGAAGCTGACGCTGATCCCGACGCCGACGTAGTTTTCCACACTCTGCCGAGCCTCCTCATCGTCCGAGTCAACGTCATCTTGTGGCCGTGCGGTACGGTCGGTCTTTCGTTGAATGATCAGCCGACCGCGACCGGCCGGTACGAGTTTCTCGAAAACGTTGGCGAATTCGCGAGAGACCTGTTTGAAGGTTCGCTCGATCGCCTCGTCCTTGCGCTGATCCAGAACAGAGATCAGATCGTCAATGGATTTCTGAGATGCGTCGAGCTCCTCGCGACGCGTGGTAAGGGTCTCACGCTGCTTGGTGAAGCTGTTGTACTGCTCAAACGCCTTCTTGTTGACGTGGGAGTACTTCTTCAGAGCCTCGTTGGTCTTATGCAACTTCTTCACGACTGTGTTGGAGTCCGTGTTTTTGTACTTGGTGAATGCCTCATCGGGAAGCACACCAAGGTCGCGGATGTTAGAAGCACATTCGGCAGCCTGCTTGGTTAGTGCAGCCTTCTTCTGCATGCTCTTCTCCATACGGCGTTGGTGTTTCTCAATAGATCGAGCCAGGTCCTCCATCTCCCGGCGAGTCTCCGCGTTGCGCTGTTGCAGGTCATTGACCCGAATGCTAGCTTTCTCGATGGATTCGTCAAGCTCACTGAGACGTCCATTGAGCTTCTCAAGCACCTTACTGAGACGCTTCTGCTCACGCTGAGTCTCCTTCAGATTGCCCTGAACCTCTTCTTCGGCCATGTCGAGATCCCGGTTCATGAGCTGATCGAGGCGAGGGTTCAAATTCTCGCGAAGTTCGACCTCAAGCACCGACTTGCGAGCCTCGAGTTCGCTACGCTTGGTCGAGACCTCCTGGTATTGTCCACGGACTTCCCTAACTGTGCCGCTGAGTGATTCCAGCGTGGCCTCCTCCTCGCTCGTGAGAGCCTTCTGGAATGGAGACAACATCTCAGCCTGGAAGGCATTGACCTGATCATTCAGGGCGGCGAGGTTAGATTCGACGTTGCGGAGAGCCCGTCGCTTGGCCTCCAAGGTGTCATTTTTGTTCTGCAAAATATCGCGCTTGCTTCTCAATTCTTGCCTTAGAGGCCCGCTGCTGTTCTGCATCTGCTGCCGTTGTTGTTCGAGCTTCTGCAACTCACCGAGAGCCCGCGTGATGACCTGATCAAGCTTCTCCAGCTCTTTACGAATCTCTGAGCCGCGGCTTTTCTTAGTCTCAAACTCGTCTCTCCACTTTGCAACATTCTTGACGGCATCGAGGCGCGAAGCACGGGAGTCGTGGAAACCACCAGTCAAGGCGCCGCGCTTGTCGGATCGATCACCTTCGGGGGTGATCGCATTGACGCCGTGGCTGCGGGCATACTGTGAGGCAACCTGCAAGTTGGGGCAAATGATGGTCTTTCCGAAGACGTGTTGGAATGCCTTCTCGTAGACCGGGTCATACTGCAGCTTCTCAATCATGGGGATGGTGTCACTAGCGCGGGGCATGTTGAACGGCTTGGATCGAAGACGATTCAATGGCATGAAAGTAACTCGGCCAGCCTTCTCTTTTTGCAATATCTCCAAGACAGTAGTGGCAGTTTCGTCTGTGTCGACAACGTAGTGGAACAGACTTTGTCCAGCGGTGACTTCCACGGCGGTCCGGTACCTTTCATTTACCTCAAAAAGCTCGGCCAAAGTACCGTACACACCCTCAAGGTTGTGTTGACGCTTGATCCTTCGCACGGCAGCGATGCCGCGGCTGGTGTTGTTGTCCATCATATGAGAGAGACTGCGTTCCGCACGTTCCAGCTCCGAGGAAGCACTGTTAAGCACTGAATCGAGCTTAGCCTCCTCTCTCCAGAGTTCCTTTCTCTGATCCATCAAACGATCTCTCTCATCCTTGGCGCTTTGTACCTGCTGGTCCATGTCCTGCATATTATCACCGCGACCTTCAATCTGCTGGCGCAACCGAACAGTCTCCGGCTCAAGCTGACCTATCTCGGTTGCAAGATCCTTGATGTCTTGCTGTGTCTGATTAACAACATTTTGGACATTACCAATGGATCGATTGCTTTCGCGGATTTCCATCTGCAGCCACTTGTCACGCTCGGACTTATTCTTGAATCGCGAATTGCGGCCTTGTTTAGCATACAAGCGTTGACGCGATGTCTCCGCCTCAGTGAGGCTGCTTTTGAGAGCGTCTTCTTCGTCTTTGTATTGATTGAACGTCGGCAAGATGCCACTAAGTTCTGATTCACGCTCATCAATAGCTTGCTTCACAGAGTCAAGATCACTATCGTGGCGGGACTTGAGCGCTTGAGCAGCAACCTGGTTATCGGAGAGGGATTTGACCTGGAGTTCGATCTGAGCCAAAGATTTGGAGGCTTCGCGGCGCTCATCCTCTATTTGAGACTTGTCAACTTTGAGAAAATCGATCTGTTGATGGCATTCCGCGATTTGCGCATCAATCTGGGCCATGGCTTTTTCGCCTTCGATGAACTGGTCACGGTTGTTGTCTGCGTCCTCGACGCCATTCTGTCGCGCTTCCTCCAGGCTATCGAGCACGTTGGAAATCTCTTGCTGTTCGCGAGAATAAATGGTGTACTCGAGGCACCGGCGTTCCTTGTCCTTGTCCTGATAGTTCCGAAGCTCGTCCTTTTCCTCCTCGAGCTCGGCCAAACGCTCATTGATGTAGTCTAATAGTTCATCAATCTTCGCACGCTTGCTGTTGGTCTCATGCATGATCTTGAGGGACTCCGCGCGGCGCGCTTCGTAGACTTGTGTACCGGCGACCTCTTTTAGTAGTGTCAAACGCTCAGAATCTTTCATATTGGTCAACGCTGTGACTCGACCCTGGGGGACAATGTAGTAAGGGTTCGATCGGGAGAAGCCAGCAGACTCAAGGAGGTTCATCACATCGTTCTTCGTGGCATTTTTGCGGTCGAGAGTGTATTCGTCTTTTTTGATACCGATGGTACGGCGGAGGACAAGTTCGGGCTTGCCCGTGGGGAATCGGTCGTCCGAGTTGTCGAAGATGATCTCAACATAGGCCGACATCACGGCAGAGCCTGATCCTTCCTGGGCGACGTTAGTCATGAGAATACATCCAGTTTTCAATATATCATACGTGAAGCAAGGCTTGGCGCTCTTCTCGACCCAAGTGGGTGTAGGCATCGCTGAGAACGAAACGAATGGCGGCGAAAAAGTTACTCTTACCCGAACCATTGCGCCCGACGATGACATTGTGTTTTGGAGAGAAAGGCTCAATGACTGTCTGGTCCTTGTAGCTGTATTTTAGACAGTCCAGTGTGTCAATTCCTCGGAGCTGAATCACAGATGGCGGAGTGCGGCGTACCTCTTAAAGCCCTGGATGATAATCTGCTTCACATACATCTTGAAAAGACACGCGCGACGCGAGGATCACGGAGAACAACGCATTCGGCGGCCAGCGCGAAGGATTCAAGAATTTGATTAGGGAAGCCCTGACTGTTGAATTCTCTCGGCAAAAAGCAGCTGTGAATGGGGTCGCGACAAGGAGGACTACGCGAAATCAGCGCGTCTCGTTCCTGGCGGGGGTCATGACTAATCACAACCGTAGCCAGGCGGGTCCACAGTAAAAAAAAGTGCCCGCGGTCCTCGTTTTTGATTTTTTTTACATCAGCGATAGCGACAAATATGAGTACGTCTGAAGCCCCTGTCCAGGCCTCAGGCCTGGCTGACGGTATCATCCCGTCCCATACTTACGTGCCAAATGAGGGATACGTCAACCATGAGGGCACAGACTCCGCTGCGGCGGGGCAAGAATCCACCGAACAGTACGATGAGGACGAGGAAGACGAATACTACGACGATATCTTCGAGGAGGAGCTCGACACTGAGGACTTCCAGTCTTCTGATCCCTCTGATCTTACCAAGGCGTACAATCGCCAGCGCAAATTGAACGACGCCGCCGCCGATACGAACGTCCCCAGATGGCAATACCCTAAGACCAACACCCAGAAGCCTACAGTCAACACATACGCTTCCGTCGACGATCAAGTCAAGTCTTTGACTCGTCATGCCGCGAAGATTAAGCTGGACGACCAGCAGTCTGGTTTCTCGGGCACCGGTGGAAACCGTGGAGGAGATCGTGCGGATCGTGCGACATCAGAGCAGGTGTTGGACCCTCGCACCCGTATGATCTTGCTTCAGATGATCAACCGGGGCGTCGTCTCCGAGATCCACGGCTGTCTGTCCACTGGAAAGGAAGCAAATGTTTACCACGCCATGTCTATTCCGGACGAGGACGACGCTAGCCCAATACACCGCGCCATTAAGGTCTACAAGACCAGCATCTTGGTTTTCAAGGATCGTGACAAGTACGTCACTGGCGAGTTCCGTTTCCGCCAGGGATACAATAAGAGCAACAACCGCGCAATGGTCAAGGTCTGGGCCGAAAAGGAAATGCGAAACCTGCGACGAATTTACGCCGCCGGTATTCCCTCTCCCGAGCCCATTCAGCTCCGTCTGCACGTTCTCGTCATGGGTTTCCTCGGCAGCTCGAAGGGCATTCCCGCTCCACGTCTGAAGGACGCCACGATCATCGCCGATGATCTCGAGGCCCGCTGGCGCGAGCTCTACTTCGAATTGATGGGTTACATGCGTGTACTTTACCAGGTCTGCCGCCTGGTTCACGCCGATCTGAGCGAGTATAACATCCTGTACCACAAGAAGCGTCTCTACGTCATTGATGTCAGTCAAAGTGTTGAGCACGATCATCCTCGCAGTTTGGAGTTCCTGCGTATGGATATCAAGAACGTTAGCGACTTCTTCCGCCGGCAAGGTGTTGATATCTTGTCTGAGCGCACTGTGTACCAATTCATTGTGTCTCCTCAAGGTCCCACTGACATCACCGCCGGAAACGAGGAGATGTTCGAAGCAATTGAGAAGCTCTACACTGCTCGCGAGGAGTCCGGAGCCACTGAGGAGACTGAGGAGCTTGACACCGCTGTCTTCCGTCAGCAATACATTCCTCAGACCCTGGAGCAGGTATACGATGTTGAGCGTGATGCTGAGAAGATCCGCGACGGTTCCGGAGCCGATCTGATCTACGGAGACTTGCTTGCAACTGGCAAGGCCAAATCCACAGCTATTGGTACCGAGGACGTCGATGACGAAACCGATGCCAGCGGTGGAGTGTCAGTCTCTGGCTCTGATGCCGGTGGCAGCGACGAAGAGGAAATTGATCCATTCGCTCCTAAGCCCCCTCGAGGCAAGCGTTTCCAAGACAAGGATTCTAAGCACGAGCACAAGGCCAAGGTCAAGGAAGAAAAGCGAGAGCAGCGCGCCAATAAGATGCCTAAGCATCTAAAGAGAAAGCTTATTTCATCTTCATCGAAGAAGAAGAAATAGACTGAGCGGTTGCTTTCGACATTCTTCGCATGGTTATGGGCTCTACGATATCTTCTCGAACGTTTCTGCCATGATTTGATGATAAAATGCATATAGGGATGGAGCATTGGATATATGATACCTGGGTTAGACCAAAAAAATTCAGTCATACACAATTACGCCATTACAGTAGGGAATTTTAGAAAGTAAGTAGCTTGAATTAAACCCCAAAGGATCCGAAATGTTACCCATCAGCGCTCTCTTTGGAAGTCATGCCAATCCACGACACGACAGAGTCGCAGACGGTGCTTACATCGCCCACAAGGTGGAGAGTATGCATCCGACAGATGGAAGGTCGTACCAATTAGCTTTCATCACTTGGGCGCTATATATAATAGATCACTCTGCGCCAATCGGTATGCAGCGTTTCAAAAAAAAGTTCGTAGCATGGAAACAACACTCATGGAACGTCCACGCCTGCGTTTAAGATTCACATCGAGCAGAACGCAGTCGATGTACAGCGATTAGGCGAAATGACCCCCGCGCGCTTTCAATCGCTCATAAGCCTGCTCAATCATATCTTTGGGTAATTCTGGAATAACTTCGCCCTTGGCGTTATCTTCCGCTGCACCCGCCTGGGGCTCAGTGCTTAGGCTAATTCCAGTCTGCTCAGGATCCTGCCCCTCAGCAAGTGCTGGAAGCTGACCTCCCGAAACACGAAGAAATTCGACCTGCATGGGCGCTCGGCCGATACCAGGCCAAATATCGGATGGGAGGAAGTCGCCTTGCTCGACACGGAAAGCTTCGCGGGCTGCAACATCCTCGTCCCAGAGCTGAGTCAATTTGCGTTTGGTGTCGTGGAGGACTTTCTCGACACGAGCACGAACATGGGCTCGCCGGGCCACTTCGAGGATGAGGCTGTCGTAGGCATTTAGGAAGCCTTCGTATAGGGAGTGAAGATCGGACAACTCGGTAAGACCGGAATTTATACGTTCGTTCTCTTCGTTCCAGACCTGCGTGAAGTTGTGTGCATGAGAGATGTACCGCGGCAGCCGTGTTGACGCGAGATTGGATAGATGGCGGTGGATGTCGAGTGTGGCATGCGAGACCGAGAGTAGGGCGTCGCGCTGCACATTAATTTGTTCATATATGGATTCCATTTCGCTAATGCGATCTTGGATTTCCATAACCACGTCTTCGGCTTCAAGGGCATCCTTCATCAACACGTTCACCATTTCCTGGTATTCCTGATCTGACATGGGATCCAAGGGCGCATTGAGGTTCGCATTAATCTCTTCGCCGATATTGGGCATCCCCTCACCACTAGCTTGGACTTCAGTAGGCATGTCACCCGTAATAGAACGAGCCGCCGCGCCTCCGCCCTCGGTGTGCTTCACTGCAGTAACACATAAATCGAAATGGCGGACAAGGGATTCCAGGAGGCTGGCCATTTCCTGCGCATGTGTCTCGAGTGACTGCAACATGCCCGGCAACTCTGACAATGCAAGCAGACCCGAGTCCGACACAGAAGCCGACGAAGATGAAGATGCTGATGCGCGAGAAGAGGCTATTTTGGTAGCTGAGCGGTAGTTTCGGAGAGCTTGCTTGATTGAGGTGAGCTCATCGTCAAATTCCCTGTTAGAGGTGTCTAGATCTCCGCGCGCAGTATTGGTGCGGTCGATGGAGTTTTTCATCGCCCCGTGCAGCTCCTCCACCCCGCGTTCGTCCACAAAGTCGTGCAGACTCCTCGATGCTTCATCCTTGGGGCGAAACGATGCATCGACGATCGTCTCCCGCAGAAGGTCGAGGGTACTTCGCAACCTGGCGTCGGCGGCATCTAAGCTCCCCAAAGCTTGCTCGAATTCGTGTCGACCACGGAATGAGATCTCTTCCACCTCGGCACGAACATTATACAGCAATCTAAGCTGGGTATTCAGTCCACGGCGCAGGAAGTTCGTACGGGAGGAGACGACGACGCTTTCTTCGAGAGCAGAGCGGGAGGCAGTGACGATCTCGTTGGCGCGCCAGACATGGTTGATGGAGGAGAGGGAGCGTTTGGCGGCTAGTAAGTGGGAGATGAGAGTTTCCAACTGAGGCATTGACTTATGCTCGACTAATCTGTCACCACGCTCCGAGATAGATGATGACGATGATTGAGAAGACGCCATATTGGAGGGATATCTGAGGGTCGTCGGGGTAAATTAAATACCGATACGGAAAGATGCTTGATGCGGTGTGTTGTGTCTGAAACGGACTACGGTACGCGAAAGGACCTAGTAGATGACTGGGAAGATCCTAAGAAAGAGAGCGTTCAGTGCCGGCTAGGTAGACTATGGGATCAGAGTGTCGAGTCCCAAATACGCCCAAGACACCTTGTCAGGAGCTCGAGTGTGGAGGCTCGACCAGCAAAAGCTGTGTGGTAGGCCGGCCTAGAGCCAGGCACTAGCTGCAAGATGTGTCATTTTGGAACAAACGTACCTTAACGTCCGGGACAAGCGCACGTATGCGATGGTGTAATCCCCAGGTTCCGGCACGATGGACTCACCCACATAGTCAAGACGATGTGCGAAAAAGTGGAGACCTATCAGATCCTACAGTATAGCGTATCAGGAAAAGTCGGTCTCAGGCCGGAGGGAAAAGGGAGCCCGGTAGGATCTCCGATCACATCATTGATGTGCTTAAAAGCGGAGATGGCGCAATCGCAGTGATGTGCTCGAAGGCGGTGAAGGGGGAGGACATGATTTGCTTGGCATTAGCCAACGGTCCGACGAAGCACGCAAGAAGAGGCGAACAATCTTTGCTCACGCGCTAGAATCGATTCATCCGATTGTGCAATCGTCTTCCAGACCACGGGGTCTCGCTATATGAACTCGGCCTGTAACCCTGGGTCCCTGACTTTCGCTTTGCATCCCCTCGCCACCCATCCCTTATCGCTACGAGAGCTGTCAGGGTACTCACCCACTACCCCAGAGGCGCTAGGCCTTACGCTGCAACCTTAGTGGACTCCGGGAACAAATTGACAATCTGCTTTTCGGTCAAATCCAACACCCAAATATCTTGCCTCTCGCCCGGTTCACACTTCGACATTCAATTCTCCTGAATACCAAGCGACCTCTCGCTTATCGCCCTCGAAACACCAGACGAGTTCCGTCGTCTGGCGATAGCCAGATTGGTCCTCTTAACCGAGTCTCTCTTGACCGTCATGGAAGAGAACACTCAGGCCTCATCCACATCGCAGGACTTTGTCGGTTCCGTGCTGAGTGTGGGGCACAGCGGATCGAAAACCGATGTCCAGCGCGCTCAGCTCGGCGAGACCACCAGGATCAAGGATATCAAGGATACACAGCGCTTTGATGATATATCAGATACCATGCATCAGCTAGCAAGGCAGAACGTGGAACCCTTCTTGACAAAGTATCACCCCCGCCAATACGCCCCGTTTCGCTCGCAGGACGGCACCCCTGAGATCCCTCGCACGGTGAACGCAGGCTATTGCTACCGCCACCAGCCGGATTCCAAGTGCAGCCGGCAGGCCGATGAGCAGTCTATGCGCCAGCTGCAAACCGAACTTGATACCCTTCCGCAAAGTGACCAGCAAGGCATTGCCCACGTCTGGTCGCTTTTCTCTGCCGCGCCTGCCAAGCAGCGCAAGCTGATGCTTCAGGGCGTTTTGGCCCAATGCTGTTTTCCCCAGCTGTCCTTCATCTCCGCCAGCGTTCGTGAACTAATTCGAATCGATTTTCTTACCGCCCTTCCTCCCGAGCTTTCCTTCAAAATCCTCCGATACCTCGACACTGCCTCTCTTTGCCGCGCCGCGCAGGTCTCTCACCGCTGGAGAGCCCTCGCCGATGATGATGTTGTGTGGCATCGTATGTGCGAACAACATATCCGTCGTAAGTGCGCAAAGTGCGGGTGGGGCCTTCCTCTGCTGGATCGCAAGCGCTTGCGTGAGTCGAAGCGCGAAATTGAACTACGAGCTACCAATTGGGGAAATGAGTCCTCGAAACTTTTGGGTGACGGAGCGCCGAATGGAACTTGCTCAGATGTTGAGGTCACGGTCGATGGCAAGCGCAAGATCGATACAGACGACCAGAGCTGTGCCATGATCAAGCGTCACTGCAAGTCACCAGCTTACAAGCCCGACCTGAATGACGACTATTTCAAGACCCGATACCGCCCCTGGAAAGACGTCTATCGGGATAGATTTGTGGTTGGCATGAACTGGAAGCACCGTCGTTGTTCGGTCAAGGTCTTCCGTGGTCACACCGACAGCGTAATGTGCCTGCAATTCGAGGATAACATCTTGATGACTGGTTCTTATGACTCCACGGTCAAGATATGGGACATGGAAAGTGGTGAAGAATTGCGAACTCTTCGCGGTCACACTGCTGGTGTCCGTTGTCTTCAGTTTGACGACACCAAATTAATCACGGGTAGTCTCGACCGCAGCATCAGAGTGTGGAACTGGCGCACTGGGGAGTGTCTTTCCAAGTACAATGGTCACTCCGAGGCAGTTATTGCGCTGCACTTCGATGCAACTCTTCTTGCATCTGCCTCTGTCGATCGGACTGTCAAAATATGGAATTTCAAGGACAAGTCTACCTCCATTCTTCCCCATCCCGAAGGTGTCAATGCAGTCAAGATCGATACAGCCTCTCGCACTGTCTTGACAGCCTGCGACGATGGTGCGGCTCGCCTTTGGGACCTCGATACCAAGAAGTGTCTTCGAGTCTTCCACAATCACATCGGAGCGGTGCAGCAGGTCATTCCTCTGCCTCGTGAAATTGAGCTTGAGAGTCATCTGGATGACTGTGAGAACGATCACACGTCCCTCAAAGATGGCGATGGCGTTACCAACGTCCTTTCCCCACTTTTGGAATCCAAGTCTTTGTCTTCGCAGCCATCCTCCTTTGGCTCATCATTTGACCAGGACCAGGACCGCCAGGAGCCCCCACGCTACATCATCACCAGCGGTGTTGATGCTACCATTCGTCTGTGGGAAACCAACACCGGTCGATGCCTCCGCACTTTCTTCGGCCATTTGGAGGGTATTTGGGCTCTCTCAGGCGACACTCTACGTATCGCCTCTGGTGGCATGGACCGCATGGTCAAGATCTGGGATCCGCGCATCCCAACCTGCCAAGATACCTACGAAGGCCACTCTGCCGCGGTCAACTGCATCGGTCTCAGTGACAGCCGCTTTATCACCGGTGGCGACGACTACCACGTCCGCATGTACGACTTCCGTGCTTGAATCATCCCTTTCCTTTCTCGGGGGCTCACAACCCTCTCTTGGCCCTCCCGCCATCTTGGACCTATCAATTTATGCACATTTCATTTCCCGAGGCGCTTTTTTTGTTGAATGGATACCCTGGCGCTTTTCAAATTACCGGATTTTTGTGTAAAAAGGGAAATGCTCGTCCACTTTGGGCTTTCCTTCGATCCCTGCATAACAGGCGCACAAATGGGGTCTGAATAACTTACTAATTCTCTATATCGGCTTTTGTCTCGAGTTCCTGGCTCGACTGTTAATACAACTTTATGTTCTTCTTGCTACTTCATCCACGCCCTCTGCCCTGCTAGTCTTAGAGTCGCGACATTTGTGTAAGCCACCTTGATCTGGTTGGATAAAGTATCTTGAAATTGACTTCTGGGCATAACACCAAATAATGAGTCAAACCGAGCAGCTGGTATGTAAAGATGACGCTACATGAAGGTGCGGATGCTAGTCCACGGTCAGCCTCAAACCACCAGGCCGAATCGGTCAGCTCGGAACCACGATACTTGAATGCTCACGCACTAAGCCCCGAATGGTGACCCATAGTCTCTACTTAGCAACGGTATGTCATATAGAGCATCGGAGGTACTGATCTGTTGCCGTTGAATGGTTGACAGTCTCTTTCCTCCACTGTCGGCTTCTTTCATTCTTCATACTCCTGCTTTACCACCATCCATTTGCTTGATTTGAACTACTATTAGCCCTTTTTTGAAAGATAACCAGCTCACATCGAACTCACACCGAACATGTTCGGAAATGAAGACCACGGTCTTGGAAGCCCTTCCCCCGCATATCTGGGCGTTGCCATTCATGGTGAAGACTGGAAACCAGGCCGTTAGTGTCTCTTCAAGCACAATTAGATCTTACATAAATCTGACCATACGCAGCGATCGACGACGGGCCTGTCGCGACCAGACCGACTGAAAAGGATCGCCAAGCTGCTTCGAACAGCATCATGCCGGAGATGGTCCGTCCGAGGAAAGACTGCTGGGGGGGTCATGTTGTCAATGCCGTTGAAGAGTAAGATCCTCTGGGCCGCGATATGGGGCGCCCTCATTGCCATCATCGTCTTCTGTATCCTGATATACCCTCGTCAAATGGCGGAGAAAAAAGAGTCGCAAACCAAATCCCAAACACTGCAGCATGAAGCGTTGTGTCTCAACGCAACACTCAATACCACAATGCCTGATTGCACCGCGTTCATTGTTCCCCAGGTCGCTTCCAATCTGGCTCGATCTTGGGAGGAGTCCACATCTATTTTTTCTACTACTTTGATTCCGACTACTATGGTGTCAGTTTTCATATCGTCTACTGCTGGCATGGAGATGCATGGTGGCTTCATTACTCGGGTTCGCTCGGATCCCGACGAGGGTTCTATAACTTCGATTACCATCGATTAAACGTGCTGATTGTGAGAACATGTAGATAACTTAGCTCTCCTGTCATACTGATCGAATTGCCCTTTGACTAAGATCTAAAGTCGTCGAGAATTGCTGAATGAACAAAGGATACCGTTCTCACCGTGGTGATTCGTTGTTTCGATCTACTCAAAAGTGACAATCTAAGATATTTTTTAGTATTCTGTTCCTTTCACTGATACATTTGGACGACTGTACAGTGTCGAACTTCAAGGACTGGAAGCTTCCAGGCTGGCTACTGTATCTTATTCCATGCTTGACTGATGGCCTCTTTGTTCTCAGGTTACGGTCATGGTGATTTTTCTTGATATTCAAATTCGTCTTTGTAGTTAAGGCGGACGTATCCTGAGGAGGGATACTTTCATAAAGTCCCTGTATTTCGTGAGATATTGAGTGTAGAATCCTGGAGAGAGCCGCCCGGTTGGGAAAAGATTCCTCGGTATTGAGTGCGAGATTCTGAAAAGTGAAATCTATGCGTCCATGAAGGTCGTGCCATGAATAAGTAGTGGATCTTATATTTCTACAGACCAGAAGAGTGTTCGCTTCTGCACATATCACATATTATACCCACTCCTCCCACTGGACTTTCTCATCTAGCCCCCCCCTCATCTGACCTTTGCAAACTTCCAGATATGATCGACCCGTTCATCGCCTTACAGACCGGGCTACACACACAGCGAGGCGAGTCAAATTTGAGTGAACTCAGTGCTTCAAGAGCGCTCTCTCACTTCATGCAATTCCTCCATTGGTAGAGAAGTCGCCCCCAGAGCTTACCACTAAGCGACTGGAGTGTTCAGACCCTATGACTACAGAATACACCGTCGAGAGGTTCCAGCGGGCAGTCAAGGCCTTCTCTCAACCAGCATCGCAGCCTCAGCCCGACGATGCAGCATCTCTTATCGAACCCAAACCTCATTACTACTTGAGACAGCGAGACAAAGCCAAATCCTCCACTTTGGGCCAGGCTTGGATTGACAACGACACTACCAAAACATATGATCCCGTTGAAGATTCACCTCGTTCGAAGCGCAAGCTCAGACCTGAGCAACGACATGGCAATTCGTCCAAATCACGCAAACGACATCAAACCTTCTGCTCAGACTCCCTCGAAAGTAGCATAGAAAAAGCGGAGCAACAGAAACGAGAGTCAGAAGAGGAATCTAGTCTCGAGAAAGAGCTTGATCTCTCCACAACCTCAGACTACAATCTTCGCACTCGCAACAGACCAAGTGAGAGCCCCGTGAAGACTGGGAAGATGGACTACAAGACTGAAACTGGTGGAGTCAACTCGGCTGCTTTTTCCCATGCGCACAGTGCTTGTGTTGCATGCCGGGAACTCGGGATCGAGTGCTCTCTCGTCGAGGATCCTTTCTACTATCCCTGTCAGGATTGTCGACAGGATGAGCTTGAATGTAAGCTTGATCCTCCTGCCCTCTGGAAGCGCGCATGTGAAGGCTGCAAGAAGCACAGAGAGCCATGCTCTTACAGCTCTGGTGGCTATGACCATAGTCAGCCATGTCGCTGGTGCACTGAACACGGTTTCGACTGCATCGCGGGCCCAGCCAAAAGACAGCCACCTTGCGCTGAAGGTCAATCTCGACAATCGAATTTGCAGATGGTCGTGGAAATACCCCAGTCAAGCATGGATGGAGTCGCCGAAAATATATTCGATATCAGCTTGAGCTATTCCAGCCTAGCCGATCTCGCTCATGAGCCCATCGAGAAGAGTCGTCCTTCGAACTTAAAGGTACATACTCAGACGCGACAAGGAAGCGATGCACAGTCTGACATTACTCTCCAGAGCAAGATCTGCGTTATTATGGGACAAACCTCGCCCCTAAATACGACTTCTGCATGGACTCCTGAGGCTGCCTCTTCCAGCCCTGGTGGCCTGACATTTCAGCCCCCGAACGGCCTGCCACCGTCACTTACGGTCTGGCATGAGATCCCTACTGATGGATCCGAGCCTTGCAACTGGTGCTATAATTTTGCTTATGGCATTGTAGGATATGAGCCATTCCCGCCCCGAGCCCACAGGTGTCTATCACGACCCATATACTGGCCAACGGTATACGTATACAGGTGCGACTGAGCCAAGTCGCATGTGCATCAATTGCACCATCGATCGAGTCGCCATCCTGAAATGTGCCCACAGCAAAATCGAACGCGTGCCTGGACTTCCGCTGAACAACCTTGAGATTTGTGCGGCGTTTGAAGAGCTCGCCGAAGCTTCAATGGGCCTCAAGGCAGGATCAATGCACGCAGGAGAGCCGTTTCCCTCCCCTGGATACCCATGGTGCTGCATCTGTCAAGAGCCAGCTTCGTACGAGTGTACAGACCCTCAAGCCTCAACCAGCAGCGAACTGTCCTTAGACGATTATGTCCCTACCGTTGGGCGCTGTGGTCTTCGACTTTGTGACTACTGCGCCCACTACGCCAAGCTATACCGTGGTGACCTTGACGCAGTGTACAAGCGTGGAGCAGACGACCCCAACAACAAGACTGCGTTCCGTGCTGACGTGGCATTGATTCTAAAGCGTTCTCCTAACGAGGAATTCGTGCATTCTGGTTGATATGGAGTCGCGGAGCTTTCAGAATATATCCGCATTCTGATTCTTCTGCGAATGCCTTACTGGTGGTACACCGCGTTTTTCGATATATTCGGCTTTCTCGTTATTTACACATAGTTTTTACATAGCCTGCATCTGTTTATACCATCCAGATAGTAAATATCGTTTTGACGCGTGTTGCACCTTCTCTGGAAGTTTTTAGGAGCATTCATAGCATGAATTCCGCAAAGGACGTAGATCAGTTCACAACCCGTCATGTTCTTCAGATGACTTTGCTCATTTGATCGTTGGTATCGACCAGTGACCAGCTTCAATATGTTCACTATTTTCAATAGCTCTCCACCGATTCAGCGCCAATTTAGGGTTCTCCACACATAAAATGTGTTCCGCACACTCTTCACAGTCGGTGCGGCCGTACCATATCTTTTCACTGGTAACATTTCTTTTCATCTACTTAATTCTTTCCCCTGTTCACCTTCCACTCCTTTTTCTATTGATATTATTGTCACTTTCCGTGGTAAGCTCGTCACCAAAAGACAAACGGTTTTTCTCCGACCCGGAACACTAATTTCTGCCAGACAAAAAATCGGTAAGGGATTTTTTTTCTCTCGCTTCGTCCTTCGAGCTGGTGTGGAGAGTCCTGCAGCGACATCATCCCCATTTCTTATTTCGCATTTGTTTCTTCGAGCTGCCACGCGACGTGCGCAGCTCACCGTCACGACGTCTCCTCAAAAGCGTCGTAAGGTTTCTCCAGAGTGCCCAGGAGAGGCACGACGTCACGGCCAATCCTGAGCCTCCGCCAGTCCATCCTTTGCCACCACGGCGCTCCTCGTCGGCCTCGAATCCCAGGAGCAGCCCGTCTTTGTCTCCTCCCCGTTACGTGCCCGCACACCTTCAGTCCCACGTTTCCGGCAAGTCCAAGCCCGGTGCTCGCTCACCTACTCCCGCGACCGCGACCGCCGGACTGTCCCTCTCGAGCGAACATTCCGACATGCCCGACGCACGCGACAGCACCCCTCATGGTGAGGGGCGCTCACCTTCCCCGGGCGAGAAGCGCCCTGCGTCCGAGATTGATACAGATCCGGAGGGCGGCGTGAGCATGGACACCAGCGAGGATAACTCCACTCCGAACATCGACGATCAGGTCGCTCAGATTTCTATGCTGATGCAGCAGCCTCCGCGGGATGGTCAGAAGGGTTATCTGATATCTACATCTTGGTTGAAGAAGATCCTTGCGCGGAGCAGCACTCACGCCGACAAAGCCGACAAGGAATCGTTGCAGAGCGAGCTAGGCCCAGTTGACAACTCTGACATCGTTCTCGACCTCGGCCCGCTGAAGCGCGACTTCAAGGATGAGAAGGGTGACCATTTCGTTCCGCTGCGCCCTGGTCTGCAGCTCAGCGAGGATTACGAGGTTGTTCCGCAGAATGCCTGGGATCTCATCATGAAGTGGTACGGCATTGCTGATCAGTCACCCGTCATCGTGCGCTATGCCCACAACACCAACCCAGATGGCGTTGAGAACATTCTCTACGAACTCAACCCTCCGATCTACACTATCTTCAAGCTTTCCAACCCCGCGGCGGGGACTACCTCCCAAGTCCTCCGCGAGAAGAGTCTTCCGCCTGCCAAGGTATTGGCAGCCCGCGACACTCGCTATATGAAGTGGCTGAAGGAAGCTAAGCAACTGGCCGGCATTGAGATGGCGAGCAAGGTTCGCGTATGGAAGATAATGGGAGGCATCCCCAGTGCCGAGCCGTCCACCGCAACTACTCCGGCTGTCTCTCGCACTGCTTCTCCTGCACCTACATCGGCTCTTATCTCGAACCAGCACAAGAGCCTGGTTCTTGATCTCAGCACTTTTCTTGCCTTGAACGAATCTTGTCGCGAGAAAATCGAAATTCTAGACCAGACTAATAATGCCAATTATAACGGCAAGATGTCTATGAGCATGGCTGGCTTGATCGGTACCGACGTGGTTGTTCTGGAAGAGCAGGTTGCCGGGTCCAAGGGCGGTAAGTGGGTGTCTGAGGCGTCTCACCAAACACTGCAACGTGCCGGTCTTTCTGTAGAGAAGGCTGAAAAGCCTGAAAAGTCCAAAAAAGAGCTTGCCTCCGCCGCTGCTATCACCACCTCCACCACACACAGCCCGGCGACCAGTGGTCGATCGAGCCCAGTTTCTGAGATACCTCGCGGCCGGAAGAAGGGTGGTCGGCCTATGGGCCTGACAGGTCTCTCGAACCTTGGCAATACATGTTATCAGAATGCCGCAACTCAATGTCTTCGAGCTGTCGAGGAACTGAGTTACTACTTCTTGAGTATGTGATGGTTTAGATTTGCCGAAACTCACTGATACTTATCCCATTCTGCAGGCAATGCGCACAAGAAGGAGCTGAACCACAACAACCCCCTCGGGCACAAGGGTTTGCTCGCCAAGTCGTACGCTGACCTTATTCAATCCATTTATGTCGAGCCGACACCGTCATCGGTTACTCCTAACCGATTCCGAAATATGATTGGCCGGTGTAATCCGGTCATGTCTGGTTTCGAGCAGCATGACAGCCAGGAATTCTTGATGTTCCTTCTGGACGGTCTTTCAGAAGATCTTAACCGAATTCTGAAGAAGCCGTACATTGAGAAGCCTGATTCCACCGACGAAATGGTTCACAACAGGAAAGCACTAGAAGAATTTGCTGCGAAGCAATGGGATATCTACAAGGCCCGCAACGACTCTGTAGTCTGCGATCTCTTCGCCGGCATGTACAAATCGACTTTGGTTTGCCCCGATTGTCACAAAGTCAGCATCATCTTCGATCCTTTCAGCAACCTGACCCTCCCCATCCCGGAACCTCAAATTGTCTTCAAGCAGGTCGTCTACATGGCACTTGACAAGCCTCCCGTGGCTTTCACCGTTGAGGCTAACAAGAGCCGCCCCGTTCTGGACTGGTACAAGTCTGTTGCCATGCGGAGCGCACGTGATGTCGATGCCAGCAGATTGATCTCCGGAGATGTGATGGGTTCGACCTTCTTCCACATTCATGAAGAGCCCCATGTCTCTTACGATCAACTTGGTATTCGACAGGATGATAAGATCACCTTTATGGAACTGGATACTCCCAAGGAGAAATCCATTCTCATTCCCATTTTCCACCGAAAGAATGACGTCAATCAATATACCAAGCGAGCCAAGAGAACGCCTTTTGCTACACCGACTATCATTTCTCTCACTCGCCAGGAGTCTCAGGATCTGGCCACCATCTACCAGAAGATTCTGCGCCATGTTGCCACGATGACCACCCGTGACATTCTCAATGAGACCCAGCTTGAATCAGACCGGGGTCAACAGACCCCCGAAGATGCTGACACCGTCGTGATGACTGAGGACGATGCTCAGTCTGTTGACTCCAGAATTAAGACATCATCCGTCGAAGGCGAAGACAGCATTGTCGATGTTTCAATGCAGGATGCGGCCCAGACTCCCAGTGCTACCACCGACGACACCGATGTCATTGATGCACCGCCGGCTCACCCCTTGGCCAACTCCTTCGCACCCGGTCTCTTGAATCTCTTTGATGTCCGCGTTGTGCCCCAACGCCAACGCCAGAGTGGCACTATTCCCGATGGTCACTCGCTAGACACGGCCAAGCAATACCAATCTCTGATGACTCGAGCCAAGGATGTTGAAAAGTCCCACGGCTCTCCCGACGACAACAGTGATGAGTATAGCGACACCGATGGTTCTGACAGTGAGTCTCACGGTGCCTCCGCTTGGGGCCTAGTCAAGCAAGGCGAGGCGATTGTTCTTGACTGGAACGACGATGCCAGAGACGCTCTGTTCGGTGGAAACAAAAAGCAGAACGATCTACGAGGCGTTGCTACCTACACTGACGCCAACATCGAGATTCCTAAGGATCCCGAGATCATCGCTCGGCGTGCCCAGGTCGACTCAGATAAGGCTAAGGGTACTACTCTCGACCAGTGTCTGGACGAGTTCAGTAAAGTTGAAATACTTGGTGAGAATGACGCATGGTATTGCCCCAACTGCAAAGGCTTTGTTCAGGCCAGCAAGCAGTTCGAGCTTTGGTCGGCCCCCGATATCCTTGTGGTGCACCTGAAGCGCTTTGGAAGCCTGCGCCGAAAGCTGACTACCAAAGTCCGCTTCCCGGTCACTGATCTCGACCTGACTGACCGAGTCACGGGCCCTGAGGATGGGCGGTCACTGAAGTACGACCTCATCGGCGTCGATTGTCACACCGGTGGCATGGGCGGTGGACATTACTATGCTCACGCCAAGAACTTCATAACCGGTGAATGGTGCAATTTCAACGGTAGGCTTCCACACTCCTGATCTCCTTGTTGATCTATGTCCTAACCCCCTGCGTAGACAGCTTCGCCCGCGTTATCGACGACCCCGAGGATGTGATTACTCCGCAGGCATATCTTCTGTTCTACCGCCGCCAGAGCTCTGAGCCTCTTGGCGGACCTGAACTGCAAAAGATTGTTTCAAAGTACCGGAAGGGACTTGCAGAGCCTGACATGGAGATCTCGCGCGAACCCTCTCCGTCGGGGGACCGCCAGCGCCTCGGCGGCTCGCCCAATGGATCATCGAGCGATTCAGCCGGAGCCGAAGCAACTCGCCCATCGGGCGATGATGAGAATTTGCAGTCGTTGGATAAGATGCTAGCGCGGCCATCGTGGTCATTTGATCGTACCAACAACTCGCCCTCCTTTGGAGAGGCCACCACCAATGACGCGGACGCCGATCTGTTCGGAGATAATGACAGCACCGCTGCTGTTGGAGATGGAAACTCGGAGGCTGATACCCGTCTCGACGATCTTAGCTCCCGCCCTGCTTCCGTCCAAGAGGGTTCTTTCGAGGATGTTCCTCCTCCCCTTCTTGGGGACGACTCTGATGATGAACTCCCTGTCGTTGAATTGCGCGTCGGCGATGACGCCAAAATGAACACTGATGCTTGAAGTGGTCGTTAGTAGGTATATACGTGATGATCTTTCTGCATCCTGTGATGCGCAAAGTTTTGGGCGAAAATGGCGTTTTTTTTTACGGTAATAAAAAGGATGTCCTCTCGTCCAACTTATGACTGACGTGGGATGTCGATTTTCATGCATTCTAATTTCATGTCATTTTTCTCTGGCACTTCTGCCAAACATGTGTGATGACTCTTCTGAATCTTTTGTCTCCAGCAGACATCTGGGGAATGCGCATTGCATGGGGAATTGCATAGACTGGCTAAAGCCTTCGTTAGAATCGAATTGCCTTGGCCCTTCCATTTCCAGTTTTAGTCCTCTTCCTTCCCTACTCTTCTCTTTCCGTGTAAGCCATCAAATATGCAGGGAATCGGTGATGACCAAATTAAGAGCATTTGCAAGGACCGAGCTGCTTTGATCCTTCCTTAGCGGAGATATCCATTTCCAGACCATTTTCCCCTTTCGTCGAATCTTCAACTTACCTCAGTCATGTCATCACTTGTGTTTCCTGCATCCGCTAACAAGGTCAGTGGTTCTTTTGCTTCCCTCGCCCTTCGATGTCTGGCTCCTGGGGGGCCAGAAAGCCCATCCGCGTGAAACTAAAACTGAGCGTACCTGAGATCAAGGCAGAACTTCTCGATGAGAATACACTCGCAGAACCAAATACACCAAACATTCCAGCAGATAGCTCCCCTCCTCATCCAGACCACATTCTCACGCCTCCTCCCGCCCGCACGCTCGCTTCGCGGCGTTCGATTCATCCAGACCCGAAACAAAGTCGCACCTACATCCCCCGTGAAAGCGATATCAGTGCCCTAGACATTGGGCCAAGGCTCACTCGGTCTCAATTACAACCCGTCAGTCTTCCAAGAATCATTCAGCCTCCCTTGGCCGCACGTACGGGGTTTATGCGATCAATCCCAGTGGCCGCTCGTTCACGCAACTCAGAAGCCGTGAAAGCTACAGAGAATGTTCAAGTCGACTTCTCTGATCGAGACTCTGAGGTACCTACTTCAGACAATCCATCAATTAGCCCAGAAAGCTTCTCAAACGGTACTTGTCGATGTGACGAGATGTATTCCATCCCCAATCCCTTTGATATTCGTTGTCCACAGCCAATATTACCAGTCAAATTTCGACGCTATGACATTGAGGAATTAGAGGCCGAGGCAGTCACATTCAGCAGCATCATGTCAATTAATCCCGAAGTTTTTCACCAAGAACGTCGCCGGAATCTCGTGCTTCGACTCCTCGAACGAAGACCTCGTGTATGGAAGAGAACGGTCATACGGGACAGTGACTTCCTTGGGCTCGGTTATGGCAGCGGATTCGATGTGGATCTCGTGCTCAGTGACAGACATTTTCATCATGCGATCAATCTTGACCCGCAGACGAAAGATACGTCTCATTCACAGCCACGGTCCCCTCAAGCTGTTCCGCCCTGGAATGCGACAGACTCGTATCCCGATATTTACACTGCAGTTACGGATGACTACAACTGGTCCCAGGAGGTTCACAAACGGTTGAAAGATGACAGGAAAGCGCTCGATGAGCGGGAGGCTCGGCTGGATGATATTCAATTCGAGGGGCCCATGGTGGCAGATGATCCACCGATTGAGGATTTTATGTATGAAGGCCAAATAGTCGAAGAGTTTTGACTGTGTGGGCCTGAAATACGCAGGTCTCAAGCGGCTGGCGAACATCCCAATCTTGCGTGCCCTTTCTTTCTTGACTTATTTATATCCGGCATAATTCCCTGCACGCCACCCGAGAACTTTTATCATGTTCACTGCTATGGCACCCCTCGGCAATTATGCTCACTGCAACTTTGATTTTGCATCTTAAAGATACCCTAGTCCCCAATGAGATGAATGTCAATTCATAGTTCCCTCGTGTTATCCGAGAATCTCTCATCCTATCTCTCGGTAAGCTAGAAGGACTCTGAACTATTCAGTCGAAAGTGTAAAGTGAGGTGTCTTGACCCTACGATGAGAAGTTTGACAGAGATATAAGGTGAAGCTGTCCGTCGAACCGTAGCCTGAATTCGCCGCTATGTCACGTTAGATGATTAACCTAGGTATAAGCTAGCAGCTACCTCGGTGCATTGATTTGTTCGCTGATAATAGCTTCATGCGCTGCAGGATGCTGACCACCTGATGTTGGGTCGGATGAAAATGAGGGTGGACGATTGCATCTAAGCATACTCTGCTCTGGCACCGTCGATCTTCATTCACGTCCGACATCGAATTCAGCTTTCCAATAGTGAATCGCAAGGCCGATTTGACCATAATGCAATGGAAGCCGGGATCAAGGATCTTCTTTCGCAGAATGGGATCGACCCGGAGTATTTGCTGAAGGCTCCCGTGGCCGAGGATTGCAAAACGTGAGAGCTTTGATCTGAAATGGATGGGTGGTGCTGGCGCCCTTGCGTAAGTTTCGTGTGCGCTACCAGCCGGGCAACTGCTCAAACCGTCGTTCTGTCGAGCTATTATAATGAGCGGAGAGGCTCCGATCTATTAAAGTCCACGAAGGTCTGGGAAGCTGCCAGAACCACATCTGCTGCGACGAAATTCTTCGAGCCGATCACCGTCAGTGATGAGATTGTTGTCGATGGCGCTACGGGCGCAAACAATTCCATCCAGCACATGTGGTCCGAGGCTGCAGATGTCAGATGTGTGGGGATGGCAGGACAATCAACTTGAGAACAATATCAGATGTCTCGTGTCTATTGAAACCGGGGATCCCGTCCCTCGAGGCTTTTGGTCCCATTGCCAGAGCACTCCAAAGCATTTCGCTCGAGATAAAGAGACAATCGCCGGTATCTTCGGCAAACACCAGACCCAGATTTTTCAGTCAAATCAGGCCCAGCAAACACGGCATTTCCCTTATATCTCTACATTCAGTGCGATCTTTGGTTGAGCTAGATAGACCCCATTTCCCTCTGATCAGAATAGAAGCCGGGTCCCCCGAAGTGTCACTCGGCAAATCTAAAGACCTCAACCCTAGTACCCGTCGGAATCCACTTCACCGGAGCCCAAGCCAACATAAACATACGACCTAGCTAGCACTCCTCGATCTAGACTTGGACGAAAGCGACACGTTCGTTGAATTCGATGATCTCGACAACCTTCCCTTTCTGGCATTGGAAATTCATCAATTCTAGGAGGGATCCTCACAGAGGTCCAAAAACAGTGCTAACGGGTTTTTGCACACCTTCATCCCGGAGAAGAGGATCCAGAAGAATCCGCTAGGGGAGGTCCTCACGCAGCCCAAGCGCCACACGCCACAATTAAGCCGAGGACTGAAGACGAGCGAATTGTCTTTCTGGAGATGAAAAAGTTTTTGCCATATTGGCGAGAGACAAGCGCAAGTCCCGGACTGCCCGGGAGGTTTCGGTCGAGGTCCGTGAGGCCATTCAATTGGTCATCGACCTGGTGCGTGCCCTTTTCTCACCATGTATGTGGGGCTTTTGACTAATTAGTGGCATATGTGGCATCGTATAGCATGACAATGACACGTTGAGAGGGTCATTTCGATGAGGACCTCGACGATGACCTTGAGAAGAGACTACGTCCAATCCATTCTGTTCGAACGCTATGCCTTGTCGGGCCGTCACCGATAGGCCCCGGATATAATACCCACCTTTGCTTTTGCGCACATCCTTTTGGCGCTTACTTCCGCCCTTATGGGTCGGCTCGGACTCGGGTAGCGCTATTTACAGCGTAGAAAGACAACCCCGCGCCACGTCGTGTATTTTTTCCTTCTAGGCACCTCCATCCTTTCACGCGGTGGGTCTCGGAGTGATCTCAATGAATCCAAATACTCCGCAAGACAGCTTGGAGGATTTTCGATTTGAAATCTTGTATGGCAACACTATACCTGCTCGACTGACATGAGATGTTACCCACAGTTCACGCACGTACTTTCCCACGCGATGGATCGGGTCTATTGAAGTTTGTGATCAGAATCTAAGAATGTCTTAGTATCACATTCCAAGACCACTTTGCCCTGTCGGGTCTCTGCCGATCAATAGTCCCGGATGTCCTGATCATTCTTCGGGTTGTGTCCGTGAATCAGTTCACAGAAAAGTGGAGGCTTGGGAACAGTCCTGTGTTACAGAGCACTCAGCCTCCACGAGAGATGAGCTACGCGGGTTTTCGGTCTTTCTGAGTGCTGACCAAGTGCAAAGATCTGGTATATTTGATCACTAGAACATTAGAAAGTCTTGTCAAAAAATTGATAATGTATAGGTATACACGCGTTACACTGGAAATCACCTAAGTCATATATGTACACCACAAAAAAGTTCCCCTCTATAGTTCTCTCAAGTCCATCCCGTCATGCGTGGATCGACTGGCATTATCATCCGAGATCACAGTAATATCCACCTGCTTTGTAATTCCCAGATCATTCGTTGGGGAACTCGAGTCCCGTCCTATGGCCGTGGTGCTCGTTTGTGCGCTATGGCCATGGTCTAAAATCCGATCCACACTGCCGAGCTCCATGTCGCGGGACTTGTGGGATCGTCGGACGCGCCGAGATGCATTGGTATTGCCGTATTGGTCTGTGCGGCGGTTATTGCTGAAGGGTCCGCTCAGTTCGTAAGATCGGGTTGCGCTGGAGATTTTGCGGACGGAGGAGATGATGAGGGGTCGGATGCAGGGGATGGAGGAGGTAATGATGATAATGGCATTCTCGATGTAACCCCAGCGGATGAGTTCGAGGCCGCCCGTGGTGCCGAGATTGGTGATGCTGGGAAGGGTATTGAGTTTGGTGGTTTTCACAATTGAGGCGACCATGGCGCTGCTTTTGGTTAGAAAGGGGGCGTTTTTTTTTGGCTTCTGAGATGGGATTGACTTACACGATGCCCAGGCTGAGGAGGACAATCAATCCGACTTTAATGCGCATCTTGAGGTTTAGGTTCCAGAATACGACAGTCGGGAAGACGGCGAGGAACAAGTCGGTAGCGGAGTTAAAGGTGTTGGAGTAGTAGGCGAAGTTGACGACGGCCGTCAGATCCCCGCAGGTGGTCTGGATGGTGTTATCCCAGAGGATGTTCACATTCTTACAGATGCTGAGGGGCAGCACGGCCGACGCGACGTTCCCGAGTAACTGGATGACCAGCACGACCCATAAGGCTATCTGATAGCTTTTGCTGGTGCCGAGCACGGCGACCAGGTAGATGATAAAGGCGGATCGGGCGATGGTGGTGCTGAAGGTGACGAGGGGAATCTGGATGGCGATGTACTTCAAGACGAGCGAGGTATCGTGGGTGAAGGGCTTGCCGAGGGGCTTTCCAAAGCCATGTTGAACGGACAGACTGAGAAAGACGGTGGAGGCAATTGCCAAAATCTGCATCGACTCCCAGCATTAATATTCTGACGCCCGCAAGAACCCAAGGTGCGGCCACAATACATACCACGGCGACGATCATGAGCACATCGTCCACGAAGAACCGGTTGATCTTAATCTTCGCAAAGACACGTAGGATCACGATCAGCGTAGCGATGATCACCGCCGCCCAGAGGCCCCGTTCCAACGCGGGACCTTTGTTAGACATGGCAGGCAGGCGACAATCGGGACATGGATGTTCTGGGGCAATTGACGAGGGGGAACTTTATGTGCGAGATTGCGTTACCACTTTGCATCACATTCTCCAAATTCAGGGACCGCGTTAAATTTGGGTCTACGATGAAGATTGACCAGGGCCTCTCCGACCTCCAGGTCCACGGTCCACCGTTTACAGTACGGTCTACGGGCTACAGTACACGATACACGGGTACACTAAACCTGCCAAGAAAAAAGTCATAAAGTTTCCTAGAGTCGCAGTGACTTTTGGGAAAAGCAAAGTGCGGGCGGATAATCACCCAATCGGGGCCTTGAAGAGAGCCGAAGCAGAAAGGAAGACCGAAAAAAGAAGCGACGACCGTGGCACTGGGCGAAACTAGGACGAACGCCTTTTCCCCCATTTGATCCACTTAGGAGCCCACTCTAATTAATTTATGCAATGCCATTGGTTTAGAGCCCCACTGGACTGAGACATCCGATCTGAAGTGTTTTGGTGCCTTGGAAAATATTTCAAATATTAAAAAAAAAAAAACAAAGAAAGAAAGAAGAAAAAGTCTCTTACACAGGTCCTTGGCAGTCCTTTGGAAGTACACTTGGGTGTCTGTGGCGTTCGGGGCCAGTTGAGGAAAGTGGTTGGATCTCGAATCGTTAAGCTTCCCACTGGCCTGCGCCTCGCAGATTCCAAAAACTAAAAGAGCCAGTTTGGAGTTGCCCACTCGCCACTTGGTTCAGGGTACCTGATCGACCGATCCCGATTTCCGATTTCCGATTTCGATAGCCGATGGTCGATGGTCAAATGTTAAAAAAGGTCAATATCGATACCGAGGTCGACTTCGATCTGGGATTCCGAACTTGGAATCCACTCGGACCAACGCCGCACGTTCCATGCTCCAGAAATCCATCGACTATTGATTCGGAGCCGGGAGAACCCCGGCGATTGTCCAGATTGCCCCAAATATGCGAAGTCCAAGGTCGGTCTCCACACTCGGCCGCTGCCACGCGAAAGGGAACTGCTCCGTTCGTCGTGTGTTTGCCATCACATCGAGGATCCCGCAAAGGTTGGACAGGCCGGTTCCTTTCCCCGATAAATAAATTCCCGATCGGCACCATTTGCTCCTGTTTCTGTCTCTTCATTCCATCCTGCTCCTCCACCTCATAAACCATGAAGGCTTGGGCGATTTCTCTTTGGGCGTTGGCCTCCTCTGCTGTCGCTGAACAGTGTCACTGTCTGCCCGGTGACAGCTGTTGGCCCTCCCTCGCAGCCTGGTCCGCGCTCAACAGCACCGTGGGCGGTCGTCTGGTCGCTACCGTGCCCATTGGAACTCCCTGCCATGCCCCGACCTACGATGCCGCCGCCTGTGCCGCTCTCAAGTCGAACTGGACTTTGCCCCAGACCCACCTGGAGTCCTCCTCCTCGGTCATGCAGACCTTCTTCGCTAACCAGAGCTGTGACCCGTGGACTGCCCCGTCTCGCCCGTGTGAGCTCGGCAACTACGTCGACTATGCGGTCAACGTCTCGTCCGCGACGGACGTCGTGGCGGCCGTCAACTTCGCCCGCAAGAACAACATCCGTTTCGTCATCCGCAACACTGGTCATGAGTAAGAGTCCATCTTTTTGTCGCATTGTCATGGAACCCTTTTTGCTGATCATGACAGTTACCTCGGTCGTTCCACCGGTGCCGGTGCTCTGTCGGTCTGGACCCACCACATGACCGATATTGAGTACATGAACTGGGCCAGCGAGACCTATGAGGGTCCGGCCTTTAAGGTCGGTGCCGGGGTCGTCGGTTACCAGGTCCTTGAGGCTGCCCATGCCAAGGGTCACGTCGTCGTCACTGGCGAGTGCCCTACCGTCGGTCTGGCTGGTGGCTACACCCAGGGTGGTGGTCACTCCGCCCTGAGCACCGAGTTTGGTCTCGGTGCCGATAACACGCTCGAGTTTGAGGTAGTCACCGCGAATGGCTCTGTCGTGGTGGCTTCGCGCACGGAGAACTCCGACCTCTTCTGGGCTCTCAGCGGTGGTGGCGCCGGTAACTATGCCGTCGTCCTCTCCATGACCGTCAAGGCTCACGCCGATGCTACCATCGCCGGCGCCACGGTCGAGTTCACCGCGGCCAACATCTCCACCGATACGTTCTTCCAGGCGGTGGCAGAGTTCCACTCCCTCCTGCCCGCCATGATCGATTCCGGTGCCACCGTCATCTACCTGATGACCGACGCCATCTTCCTCATCAACCCCTTCACTGCCTACAACCAGACCAAGGAGGACGTCCAGAAGACCCTGACCCCCTTCTTGAATGCCCTGACCGCCCTCAACATCACCTACTCCGCCACCTACACCCAGTTTGATTCCTACTACGACCACTACAGCACCTACATGGGTCCCCTGCCCTACGGTAACCTCGGTGTCTCCGAGTACCAGTATGGTGGTCGTTTGCTTCCCCGCGAGACCCTGACTCAAAATGCCACTGCCATGGCCGCTGCCCTCCGCAACATCACCTCCCAGGGCGTCATTGCCGTCGGTGTCGGCATGGACGTTTCCAACCCGACCAACGTCTCGAATGCCGTCTTCCCGGCCCTTCGCAACGCCGCTGTCACCATGCAGATCGGCTCCGCCTGGAACGAGACCGCTCCCTGGAACAAGATGATTGAGGACCAGTGGAAGATGACCAACGAGTATGTGCCTCAGCTCGAGGCTGTCACGCCATACTCGGGCGCTTACCAGAACGAGGCCAACTTCCGCCAGCCTAATTGGAAGCAGGTCTTCTTTGGAGACAACTACAATCGTCTGCTCGATGTGAAGCGCCGCTGGGATCCTTCCTCCTTCTTCTATGCTCTCAAGGCCGTTGGCTCTGATGCTTGGAATGTTGACGAGTCGGGCCGTATGTGCCGGGCTCACTCAGCTCGAGAAAATGTTCACTAATTACCCGAGAGTATCATGTACACGACGCTATGTGTTTTACCGAGCTGTCCCCGTCATTGTTTATAATTTTTCATGACCCTTGTTTATATTAGAGATAGACAATTGCCGAATATGGCAACGAATAGACGAGATCACGGTGATATATCACAATCCAATTTCCATGACCTGGCTTCCGATGTAACCCCTTGAACCATGCAAATGTGATCTCAAACTTGAGATTCGGATGTTTCCTTGTATCGAGGCCGACACTAGTCTCGGATCCAATCATGATTGAAGTGGTGAACCTCGGCAGATGACAATGTGACATTGAAAAATGGATATCAATATTGAACCTCGAATCTGATCTCCGATGTTTCGGTCCCAAAATTGAGGCCACAGTCAGGCGAACCACATTCCCCTTTTTAGCTTTAACGGTCAACGGCGGACGTCCCAAAGCGTTTAACCCAACCTCGGTGCCGAATCCCCACTCTATCGGGCGGCCTTCCTATGCCGATCGGATTCTCCGATGAGGGGGATCATATAGAATCTGGATCCACTGTAGATCAAGTGATCGTCGGCGGGGTCCACAATTGTACGAAATCAATTGGGTATCTGTGCGTGTGGTGACAAATCTGACAATCTAAGATGCTCGAAAATGTGACGGGGAAGGTTGGCTACAGTGAGTCGGTTTGGGCAGTGTTTGGAGGCGAAGTTTTATGGATGAGCAATTTCGAGATAAGAATGATAAACATCTGATGGTTTTTCTATGTATTCGAGAAACCCCACCAGTTGTGTATCGTAGTAGACGGGGCAAGTATGTACAATATTCAATGTTCTGACAAAACGCCTCTCTCTAGCGAGAACGGCCCGAATGCAATTATGTACCTAAAAGATGTCCAGGTGGACGACGCGAAGTGCGAATTTTAAGTAATGTGGAGTTGGAATGCTCCGCGAAGACGGGGTCAGGGTTGGTGGTCTTGAGCGATGCAGCTATACACCTTGCAGAATTGTCAAGGGGAATTGTAAAGGGGGGAAATTGTAAAAGGGGGAAGTGAGATGAGAAGCGGCGCGATTGTCATTTCCGACGATTGAAGGTGAAAAAAGGCGTCGAGGCTGCGAAATGTGGAGAATGTCGGACAGCCTCTGTCTTGTGAATGTTGAATATCTCGTTGAGAGATCGAGTCGAACAAAAATAAGATTGAATTGCTTAGGCCAGCGCAATGGGCCACCCGTTGACATATTTCAAAGGGTTGAATCCTAGGAATGCATCCTATAGGTAGCGGTCAGATATTGACGTGGTGCAAGGAATGTAAGAGGATCGGCAAATGAATGCGGGCATGTTCACAAGCCTACCAAGTGGAAACTTACCGAGAATGCAACGCCAATTGTTTTGTTTTCTGCATTATGTTAGCATGTGGTCAGTAGGCTGAGTGAGATGGTTGATGGCTCACGATAGTGGTAGTAGAGGACGTCGGTGTCGCCAATACGAATCACGCCTTGCCCGCCTGGAGCGTAGGTTTCACCGTTGGAGCCGTAGACGATTTCGCCGCCACCATCTGTAAGGTCTTTGCCAGACTTGTCGATAAATGGACCACGGACGTTGTGGGAGCGTCCGACGCGGATGCTGTATCTGGAGGTTGTTAGTTCATGAAAGCATCAGCTGAAACAAGAGGATACTCACTCGGTGCCAGCCGCTGGTAGCTTGTCTTTGTTCAGGTTGCAGCAGAATCCGTGGCTGTACCACAGGTAGTACCATCCATCGTGGTACGAGATGAACGCGCCTTCAATGGCATGAGGCCCCGTGGGGTCGCCGCAGACCGAGGTGGTCTTTTGACCCGGGTTGCCGACAGCATTTGGTTCCCAAGCCAGATGTTTAGCGTCAGGTTCCGTCGTACTCAGCGGAGAAAGGAGCGTATTGTCGAGTGGAACCTGGTAGATGCCAGTCCAATAGCTGCCGAAGGTCAAATAGGGTTTCCCTTCCGGAGTGAGCATGACACTGGGGTCAATGGCATTAGACTGGGTATAGGGATAAACATCAGATCCATTGCCGGTTCCAGTTTGAATGACAGCGCCATGATCAACCCAACCGCCAGGACCAGGATGACTGAGATGTCGCTACACCGATGGCGCTGTCACGGCATCCAGCCTTGCTCACGCTGTAGAAGCAGTAATAGGTACCATCCACATAGACGACGTCAGGTGCCCAGGGCACAGCACGATCGCCCTTGGGAACCACAGCGTTGGCGTCAAGCACAGATCCAACATGCTTCCATGGTCCAGCCATGGTCGGAGCAGTGTGAATGAAGATATGTTCGCCGACATTGTACAGGTAGAAGGTATCACCAACGCGCATAATAGTAGGATCATGGGTATGTTGGTTGGTCTGGCGAGGAGGAGGGAAATGACCGACCGCAGCCTCCTGCTCGAGACGAGCCTCAAGATTGTGATTCAGGTTCACGCTCAGAGCAACCGAGAAGAGACATACTAAACCCAGTAAAACGAGCATCTTGATCCAGCGTCGAGGAATTGAATGATGCCAAAGAGACCGCAAAGACCACCCCTGATAAATATCGTCGACCTGGCCAGAAGGTGGCTTCCCCGGCCGTGATAAGAGGCCACTTCTGACGATCATTCTGGCGGCTATGGATCCAAGCATTCATGACCTTTAGACCAGACGCACGGCGTGCCACCCCCGAGTGGGGTTTCTTGGGGTGCAGAGACAGCCTGTCAGAGGGGCACGCCGCGAGGGATGCAACGAGGTCCACTCGTTTCCGTGTGTATAGGTCCACTGGCAAGCATGCCTGCAAGGCACTGGAATGCGGGAGAAGATCCAGACGACTTCGATGACCTTTCAACGCAAGCAAGTGCACGATCCGCGATATACTGGATAGTGTGCTCCTCGTGCGTCCATCAACTGGCTCTGCATCAACTAGATCCTCAATTTACTGGCCACATTAATGGATGACACGAAGCAAGGGGAAGGATGAGTGAATGTGGATGTAAATGGGAAGGGAAATGTGAAATGCGAAATGTGGACGTGAAATGTGGTTGCTTGTCGATCAACTCCTTCGACTCGACTTGGACCCACCGCGGCTCATGTCGCCGTTCCAGTGGCCTTGACTTTGTTCACATCACAACACGATCCATTCCTCCTTGTTCCCAGGGTGCCACTCCTAGAAAGGGGATCTATGTTGTGGCTCCCCTCCCTCGGATCTAGTGTACCTGGTATCGGTCCTTTCTCATGCCTTTATTGTGCCTATCTAGGGGATCCCTGCAGGGGTTAGATGGATCCCGGAACCAGGTCGCTAGGAGAAGGTCAGACAACTCTACAGATGCTCTGTAGTATATTGCGAGAAATCTTTCATTCGATGCTCGGGCGACGAGCGACATCATCACGGCCAAAATGATACTCGAGAAAATATCCCCCCCCCAGGTCCCTAAAACGCCAACGCCGAAGGGTTAACACCCTAGTGGAAGGTCTTGATAATCTCTACCGCGCCACAATCTTATCCACTTCGTCTTTAGCTTCAGTCCACGTTTCGAGGTTCTTCCGCGCCCAATCTAGATGACAGCGGGCGTATGCGACCTGTGTGCAGCCCAAGTCAGTCAGGGGTCTCGCCGGTGGGTCACTGTACATACCATGTAACGACGCAGATCGGCTTCCTTATCCTTCTGGAAACGTCGGAGATCCTGCAGGACACCTGCACTAGCATCCTTGACGTCTTTCTCGGATACCTCCAGTGCTTGCTCCAGCTACGTGATGTGTTAGCTGAGGACTTGCTTCGACCCACATCTAAACATACCTGAATGAGACTTTCTTTAGTCTTCCCAATCTGGTCCCGACGAGTTCGTTCAGGGTCCACGTCTGCAAATCCATGAATGGCGTGATTAATGCGACCGAAGATCTTGCCCACAACGAATGTCCCGCTGGATGTCTTGCGGTGGGCCGGCGAGGGAGATGGTGAGGGATCAGACTTCTTGTGTCTCAAACCCTCAGGAGCAGGCGGTGGTCCAACAGACTCGCCGTGGGTAGGTGGGAATTCAGAGTCTCCTGAGACCTCGGTGGCATTACCTTCACTGCTCACAGCCGATGACGCGGACAGTGAACGCTGTGGCCTCGTGCCGCCGGCGTGAGGGGTTGTGCGGCTGAGATACTGTTCAATCCGCTTGGCCTCTAGTTCGCTGCGCTCGAGCGAGTCAAGCAGGGTCTTCTTCCGCGCCAATTCATCTCGCGTCATCTCCTCCTGCACCCGCTTCAACACCCGGTAGCGTAGTACTCCGCGGACTACACTGGCAAACTGTGCACTCTCCCGCATGGGTTCAGCAAAGCTAGCACTCAACGCATGAGACAGCTCTTCAGTCTCGATGTAGGATGTATCCGCCGCCTGTCCAATGCGCTCTATCGCGGCGGCCACGGTTGGAGATTGTTCAGAGAGCGAGAAGCCATTGTAGCGCGCACCCAACTCCATGAGATCCGCGGAAAGCGAGGAGAGATGCGCAAGCGTCCTACGGTTGACCTTCTCTATGTTTCCTTGCAATAACAGCTCCAATTCTCGGGTAGAAGCTTCAAAATTCACAAAGTATGGGTCCAGCTCTTGTTCGCTTAGCTTGCGCGAGTCGGGAGGGAACCGTCCCAGGATCTCGGGTCCGGGAGCTGACGGTGCCGAACCATCTGTATTCTCGCCAGGTGATGTGGGTGATGAGGTCGTGCCGGAGGCCCCGCTAGCTTTGAGCTTCGCCGAGGAGGACGGGACGGGAAGCCAGCCATGGGCCGGAGTCGCGTTCGCGGGATCAAGAGGCGGGGCTTTCAGGTTGTTCTTAGGGACAGAGGATGCAGGGTGGGAATGGAGAACCTCACTCTGTATATCAATCGATCAAAATTAGCAGCAACACTCCGTCCGAACCAACTCCGCAACCTACCCAGCTGACGTTGGGGTCAAGGAACCGCCACCAAACACCATCCTCACGAATTTCCTTCATTCGGCGACAACGGTTGAGAAAGACTCCAAGCATGCGCTTGCGCAGTTCAATGATGGCCGTATCTTCTTTAGCTTTGGTAGGCTTCGCGGCGTAATCCGCCATGCTACGCTTCTCGGGGATTGGAGGAACAATCAACGTAGGATGTAGATTCACGAGTGTCTGTCGCAACGATGCAAATTCCGAGTACCGGCGACGGACTTCGAGGTCCTAATGGTTTCCATTAGCTCCGCTACAAGGGTCTTGGCTCGTGATACGATACCCCTGTCCGGATCGTGTAGACGATGAAGGTACCACCGCCTTCGTGATTCTTGCCGGCGTCCGTAATCAGTATAGCCATCTCGGGGTTCTCGTAGAGGATCTGTTCGATGCGACTATCGTATACGCCCTTCCGCGGGTATTGTTGACTGGCGGCACCATATTCGGCTTCTTCAGGGTCACTGAGATCTTCTGGATGAGAAAGATAGTCTGGCGGGTCTAGATTGGAGTCACGGCTGGAGGGTGGGGTATCATCGTGCTCGTACAAGGCTGCCAAGGGTCAGTGGCATCAACGCAAGTGGTCCGAGGAAGAAGCTTACGAGGAGAGAGAGCAGTGGAGTGAAGCGAGTCGGAGAGATGAGCCTCTTGATTGTCAAAAGCCCCATAGGGATTGTTATCCTCGTCGTTCCACATAATGATTCACGGCAACAGGATGTCTTCCAGAGAGGAAGGAAAGCTGTGCCTGGGGATCTGCGGGGGCATGGAATCAACGTCACCCCCTTCGGTGGCCCACAGCGACCAGTGACGAAGTGGCGATCATCCGTAATTACGATCTGACTTTGTCTTGGTGAATAAGAACTGTGTCGTTATGATGTGGTTGTAGTTTTCAGAAGGACGGACTTGTACTCATACCTTCCACATCTGCTCCACACTCTCAGGGGGAAATTCCAGGTGGAGTCAGTCCTGAAGATCGCGGCATTAACCTAGGCTCGCCAAGCCCAGATCTATATAACAGCCGTGATCAAATAAACATCCGGCCTGGGATTGTAACCATGCCACAAACTTCCGGGAGCACTTGACCACCACCTCGACGCATTAAATCTGTCAAATGTCGTCAAATTATGTGAGAATAAGAATGCTATAAACAAAGTTCCTGAATCATGCCAGGATTCCTGCGTGGTATCAGGGGGTCTGAAAATTGCACTCGTCTACCCCGACCTTGATTAATTCGAGCTCATCGTGCCTCGGAAGAAGCATGAACGGCCATGGAGCCGAAGCCTACCATTTCTCCGGTAATACTTTCCCTTCATTCTTCTTCTGGTCGTCCATCGGGACTTGCGAGTTCATGGCGTTGTCATAATTCTTGCTCCGGTCCGATTTCGGTTTATCATGTTTGGATTTTCCTTGATCACTCGGCGGTAGGCCCCGTTTATGCTTGCTGGACCATCCCATTCGACTGTTTCGGTGAATTTCATTGCGGTTATTTGCTAATGTCTTATTCGCAGACACGCGGTGTGATCGGTTGTTGCGCTTCCCATGACGATAACGATCGCCTCCATTGGTTTTTCTCTTTTGGTTGCTAATAGAGTCCTCGGGGCCCAGCTGACTGTTCCATTTGTTGTAGTCGTCGTCGTTCCTGCTCTCCCAGTTGTGGTAATAATTCTTCTGATCATTCTCACTGTTCCATTTGTTATAGTTGTCGTCGTTTCTGCTCTCCCAGTTGTGGTAATAATTCTTCTGATCATTCTCGTTGTCGCCATTGCATTGGTTTTGTTGCCAGTTGTCCTGGTCTTGGTTGTACTGGTCTCCATAACGGCCGTAATTCCATTGATTTTGTTCATCCCAATGGCATTGATCGTGATTGTCCTGTTTTTTATGGTTGCCGAAGCTCCAGTCGTTTTGTTCATTCCACTTGCTGTGACCTTGGTTCTCCTGATTGCCCTTATTGGAGCCGGACTTCTTCTGGTCGTCCGGCTTAGCTTCAATGACCGATTCCCAAACTCCCCAGGAATCTTTCTTCTCAACTTTCTGATTAGCTGGACGGTTTTGAGAACTGGTTTTTTGGTCGTCGTTGTTTTCGCTATTCTTGTCCTCGCTTTTTTTGTCCGCGCTTTTTTTGTCCGCTCTTTTCTTGTCCTCGCTTTTCTTGTCCTCATCTTTCTTGTCCTCGTTTTTCTTGTCCTCGTTTTTCTTGTCCTCGTTTTCTTTGTCCTCGTTTTTCTTGTCCTCGTTTTTCTTGTCCTCGTTTTTCTTGTCCTCGTTTTTCTGATCATCCTTCTTTTCGTCCTTGCTGTACTGCTTGTTCCCTTTGTTTTGGTTGCCCGGACCATCTATCTTGCTCTCGTTCTGAGTTTGTTTCTGATGCTTCGGAGAAACCTTCTGGACTTGGGCTAATCGACATCCACGGCGAATCCTGCGTCCGTCGCCATCCGTGAACAAGACGTAGTTGGGTCTTGAGATAATGGTTTCCTTCCTGGGTGGTCGGACCCAGCCCCTCTTGTTGTTTTTTGGGATGTGGGTGTGTTTGAGTCCTTTCTCAGTATCTTGAGTCAACTCGCGGTCTGCCTTAAATGCACGTTTGACACGGAATTTCGCAATGAACCAGCCGGCACAAGCTATGAGGATTAGTGCCATTAGAAACCCGATGATAACTGCAGTTAGTGTATTTTCACGCATTTTAGAAGAGGCACTTCCTGGCAAGGACGACCTGTCGAATAGTAAGATGTCGTTTAGTGAATCGGTGAATTTGTACTCCAGTGTGCTGAGTGTCATGAGTTCATGAGTACCTGGCACGACGAGGATTGAAGATGAGGTGGCGTGTTCCGGGGAATGTTTTACACTGCCAACCGCGTTGTGGACGAGCTCTCGACGGGTGTGTTGGTGAAAGCAGCGTGCGTTGGGTGACTGTAAAGGGGAGATGATGGGTTTGAGTAAACGCGTATTGGCCTTCAAGTGAAGCACACTTTTGGGAGACTAATCTTCAGTACTTTTCATGCAATTGTCTATGAGTGTTTTGTCTATACCTAATTCTTTTTGCAGCCAGTTTCTCCCCTAACAGAGACCAGATCGAATCCTGACCAGCCACTCGTCATGAACCGCAGCACTTTTGCTAACGCTCAGTAACGTCTGGAGTTGCTTTCTCAATTGTTGTTGCTCAACATCCATCAGCTCTGGAGCCTCAAAGCTCGGGGATGCGAGTGCTGACGAAATACTAATTAGACGGACACCAAGTGTAAATGACTCGGGCCTTGAGACCCAACCGAGAAGTCCATCTTGACCAGATTCTTGAGCAATGTGTGCGGACAGATGACCCAATCCCTCAGACACCCAGCTAGAGATCTGACGCACCAGGGTTTCAGGATACGCGTTTCTCTTTAGTTGTTTTAGAGCAGGAGACCAAACATCTAACTCGCGGACCTCATCAATGAACAAATTTTGCTTCTCTTCGACGAAGAGAGCAGTGCGATCTTGGCAATATTCAGTCAGTAGCTCTGATACAGCGATAAGATGGGTCTGGTCATCAGAGCCACTGATGCGAGGCTCTTGCCCGGTCAAGTAGCAGATCACTCGTCGAGTAAGCTGTACAGAGTCTGAGTATTGGTCAAGGATGAAATTGGCCAAGAGAGCACTCGCATTCAGTGGGCCAAGAGCGACGGCGGCATTCGGCGAAACTGACGAGTATGATAGTACCCACGAAGCAGTTGACGCGGCAATGTCCCTTAATTCTTCGTCATCATCATTAAGCATGTCATACATAATCAGATAGATATCCAGTAATGATGAGTCTGCCCGGGGAGAGCTTCCAGATGGGCGCAAAGAACGTGAAAAGCTGTGAAGAGATTGTACAGCCGCGAAGCGGGTCGTAAACTCGACTTCCTCACTGAGAGCAGAGCGTAGCTTCACAATCCAGCTATGTATGTCCTGTTTGATTGATGATAGGGGGTGTCCATCATTTGAAGAGCCTCTAATTGCAAGGAGGCAGCCCTGAAGACGAAGTGCGCTGTCTGTGGCGTGTCTGTTCCATGACTTGATATCTGCTTCGGGCCGGAAAGCCTTCGTCAGATCATCACAAGGCAATGCAAGTCCTGACAGGGTACTTTCCTGACAGGAAAGCAGCTCTTCCAAAATTGACGCGAGATTCGACACGGCCGCTGTCTTTGCCGACGACGGAGCATCATTCAAAATGACGAAAGCATACAAGTCGAGAAGAGGCTTCCGGAATCTTTCGACCTTGTCGACTTTCTCCTCCAATTGTTCCAGGATCCAAGTAGCGGCATCAGCATCTACCTCTGAGACATCGCGATAGACTCCTGAGATTTCGCTCCACTGCCTTAGAGCAAGCATCTTCAGTATCGTGCACCACGAGAGAGCTCTCCTCAGGAGCGAAGATGCCCGAGTCTTGCTTTCAAGATTCCATCCGGCCTGGGAGCCATTGAACGCGTAACTCAAAATGCCGTCTATATCGTGTTCCGCGCAGATCTCATCAATAGACGTAGCGAGTCGGTCTGTTCCTCGTTAGCATGAAACCCCGCCCCGGGGCAAAACGATGTTATACCTTCAGTACAGGCCTCGAAGCTCCGCTCGAGAGTGTCACTAAGAATCTCGACGAGGGCAGTTGCCGTGAAGGGAGACTTGGCAACCGGGAATAGGGTCGCCAAAACATGACGAACAGTAGCGAGAATCTCATCGGCATGTGCTGTGTTCATTAGAATATCGGACCAGAGAACGAGATTAGGATACTTACAAGTCCAAAAAACGTCTGTAGTCGCTGCGAATCGACGCAGAGCATATCGGACACAGAGTGATATGCCGTGAACTAAGTTTTCGGTGGCGTTGCCCTGAAGCTGATCAGCAAGTCTGCACACGTCCTCAAGGATGTTTGTACGATTCAATAAAGAAGCATAGACACGTGCGGCGTGTTCGCGGATTCCCCAAACGGGGCTCTTCAAATGCTCTCGGACAAGGTCGCAAAGCAAAGTATCATAATTGTCGGGGAATGTGGGGATCTTCTCTCCGATCAACTCTCAGGGCAGGGAAAATCCGTTCCGTTATGATGTCGGTGCCTTCAGTGACTGTCCCCTTTGTCGACGCGAGAAGTTTTGACAAGAGGTCTGGGAGACCAGGATATTTGGGGAAAGAGATCTTAGACCCAGGTTCTGATCCAGAGATGCCACCGAAACCAGCTCCGACACCGGGAACCAGCCGGCACATTCGGATTAATAGAGCTCGGAAGAGCATCAACCCGGAATTTCGGAGTGCCCAACTGTTCAGTAGTTAGCGACTGTCATCATCAAACAGCAAGAATTCAGCAAGAATAACCTACATAGGTGACCCGAGCCGCTCAGCAGACAAAGTCAGTGCAGGCATAATGAAGCTCTCCGTGAAGGGACCGAGTTTTGTGTTCGTGAAGATCTCTTTCAAACAGTTCATCGCATGAACCTGTGGTAGCTCCCGATACTGCTGGTTCTTATCGTACTCCACAGGCAATCGTGCAATCTCGTGAAGCTCATCCAAAGCTTGCTTGAAGAATGCCGACCCAGGACTGGCAACCAAGATACCTGTAACCAGCGCAGGCAAACCAGCGGATCTTCGGGTGAGCTTCGCGGCCGACTCGAAGATAGTTGCTTTGGCTTCCTGGTACCACAGTTTAGGCAGTTCTTGGATAGATACGTCCTTTGAGTCGCTACACCGTTGGCAGCATGTGGCGAACGTCTGTGAGACAGTAGAGAAGGCTCCTCGATGACGCAGCTCAGCCAGTTGTGTAAAACTAGTCCTTCCAACCGCCTCGAAATCGGCAAGTTGAAGTCCATTGCCGTCATCTGGACCGTATGTAGTATTAAACTGCGTGGCGTGAAGCAGCATACTGTTTCGGTTAGCTATAAGCTCATTTCGACTGAAAGAAAAAAGCAGACCTTGATTCGCGCAGAGCTCTCCAAGAATAGGAAAGAATGTCCTTTGGCCCCACTGAGAGATCTTCAGTCGGCTCATCGGTGTGACCCTCAGGAGAGTCGATGCAAAGTACGGGCTTGACTTCCTGCCAAACCTTGTCGCAAATAGTAACAATCCGATCATGGACAGATTTCCACGCAATGAGATCAGAATCCGACGAAAGCAAAGAGTAAAACTTTGGCATAAGAACAATATATCTGGATTAGTTGTCAGTGATAACGTCCAATCTCACAGATCATCCTCGGGGTAAAAAATACCTAAGACCAGACATGTAGCCATGAAGAGGAGCTCCCCGCATAGTAGAGTTGAAGAGACCACCGGAAGACAGAAGTCGTTCTTCCAACTTTGTCAAGATGGTGTTCACCACAGATTGCTTCGTTGCCCACCAATTCGAGTCTTCGTCGGAGCTGGTGGCAGCACAGAACAGAATGTGATAGAGACGAGCGACAGTGTCCGCATTGTCCGCACGACTTGTCTTGCTCGCGATACTTTCCGCACGAGCCAAGGCATCGGTCAACCTTGTTCCGATTGTTGGCTGTTGCTCAGTTGTATCAATAAGCCCACTCAGCAATACCTGCCGAGGGAAGAGATTCAGAATAGAGAGGGATGTCTGTCGAACCTCTTCGAAAGGGTCTAACAGCAGATCCACTAGTAATCTGAGCAAACGTGGGCCAAATACATCCACGTGCAGCTTCCAGCGAGTCTCAACTTCTGACTTGAGTGGAGCAATATCAGTTCGTGGATCAAGACCAGACTGCAACAAAAGTTTCAGGGCCCTCAGCGCACTTGCGTGGCGTGGATATGATGCAGTCGCCACAAGATCACTTTCAAGGAATTGAATGTATGCCTTCAAAAATTCCTTCGTCTCTTCATCACTTCGGACCCAGCCCGATGGCTCCTTGCCAGTAGCTGGCACAGCTGCGTCCGAGATGCCCTCTTTCAAAATTCCACTTTTCAGACGGATGAGAAACTTGCGGGTCAGGCTCATTATCTCGCCTCGGGTATAAGAATCAGAGCCGGCATGCATTGATGGGAGTGCTCGCAGAATGGAGGTAGTTGCAATCGTTGTGAAGGGCTTGACCGTTGAGAAGGTTGTCACCAACAAAGATAAGGCAGCGATTCTAATATTGGGCTCACGGTGAAGCAAGAATTTGCCAATGACTTGACTGTTCAACACCAGTTTTCGAGGGCCCTGTTTAGTATCATTTTGCTTCGAGGAATCATCTGCGCATGTTAGAGTTTGGCCATGAAACTAATGTAAATTGACTTACAATCTTCGTGTACAAGATTGGCTTTCTTGCCCATCTGTAAGGAGGCAAACAAAAGCATATACTCTGACTGCGCAGCATCTGCCATATCGCCCGCAAGCAGATTTCGCAATGGAAGAGCTTCGACAAAAGACATGAAACCGTGTGGATCAGCTGTGAATAAAGGATGGAGAATTTGCGCCGAAAGTGACTCCAAATTATCCGTGTTTTGCAAAAGCATGTGCCGAACAGGGCTCACCCAGAAGTGGGACACCTGCTGGCCGAATGATCTACCCTTCAACTTTTGCAGAAAGGCAGCCAGCACGCTACCACTTGTGCCGGACATTTGGCGATTATTAGTTTGAGTCAATAGACCAAGGATAAAAATCTTTGTGGCCAGTTCCTCCGACGGGACTCCGGCTGTAATTGTGAAAGGCTCGGAGAAGCCAGAATATAGCGCATCATGGTCCTTTTCAAATACCGAAACCCATTTTGCACGGTTCTCTGCGAGCCAAATCTGCAACAAGGAGATCAATTCAGATGGCAAGATAGCTCCCTTCCGGAGGAAAATCTCTAGACAGACAAGGGAACCTTTCAGCCGGGAACGGGGTTCACCAAGAACAACACTGGGCAGGATTGCCTCGGCTACAGCTTTTTGAACATTGGTTCTCTGGTCGCCTCGGTAATATTTAACCAGAATAGTGGTAATCGAGCCAAGCAGCTGCTTCAAGGGCTTCGGCTTGGCATCTTCGTATCGACTCAAATAGATATCGAATATGGCTAACCAAGTCCCGGATTCCAGGGCCAATTGCTGGGTACAGTGGTGTTGAGAAGTAACAGCAGCATCAACGAACGCCGACAAAGCGTGGTAAGCTGCCGATGTATGCTGGTGGGACAGAGATGGGTCTGATGCAGTCTGAATCAGTGACTGCCAAACCCGGTTCACTTTTCTGTTAGTACATTGTTAGCACTTTCAATCAATTCATCCAATCTCTTCCGATACACTGACTCGCTGTCATCAGTTGACGCTGTAAATTTGACTAATGGGCCCTTCGCGATGTCTTGCAGGGTCTTTTCGGACAAGAATTGTACAGTTTGCACAAGTTCCTCCATAGAGACGGAAGGTGCACCCTGGGCACCTTGAAAAGCCTCACTTTGCATGACCAGTGCGTTTCCACATGCCCTTGCTTTCGCAGAACAAAGCACTCGTCAAATAGGACAAGATATCAAATTCGGACTGAGCTCCCCGCGCTGCCTGAGGCGACAATCAAAGTGGGAATCCCAATCGGGATAGTGTCGGGTAAACTACTTTTCCGCGTTAGTCACGGGACCGAAAGTTTTTGCTGGCTCCAGTCGGTGGAGCAATGATTCAAGGGACCATCAGCCATCTTCTTCACTTCGTCTTGTAATTTAATCCACCTTATCTTTTCCGATCCTTCTCTCATCATGGCAATCTGGGACTCCCTCGGTGGTCGTAAGGATGGCCAAGCGCCCTCGGCCTTCGACGCTTCCAACGCGCAAGATGCTACTTCCTTCCTTTCTGAAGTCTCCATCGACCCAACCCAGCTGCACCCCTTGGCTGGTCTCAACCAAGACACCCTCGACTACCTTACCCTCGAAGACTCCGCCCTTGATCAACTTCCTGGCTCGCGTTCCGTGCTGCCGTCTCGCGGCTGGTCCGACGACCTTTGCTACGGTGCCGGCACCACATATCTGGCTGCGTTGACCATCGGAGGCGCGTGGGGTCTCGCAGAAGGATTGAACAAAACACCATCTACCGCACCGCCTAAGATTCGCTTGAATGGTGTTCTTAACTCGGTCACCCGCCGCGGTCCGTTCCTCGGTAACTCCGCCGGTGTCGTTGCGATGGTTTATAACGGATTCAACTCGGCAATTGGATACGCGCGTGGCAAGCATGATTCCGCCAACAGTGTTGTTGCTGGTGCTTTGAGCGGGATGCTTTTCAAGAGCACACGCGGTTTGAAGCCGATGATGATTTCCGGAGGCATTGTAGCCTCGATTGCTGGTGCTTGGGCGGTACGTCCGAATTTACCCGCGTGTCAATAACTCATTTCCAGTTTGCTAACATTTCGCAGGTGACGCGAAAGGCCCTCTTCTAAAGTAGCTGGCATGTCCAGTTTCATCCCTCCCCTTTGGTGATTCGAACCATCCATACCCTCTTGCCCACGACGACACGCGGTAACCCGCCTCCAAACTTTTGCCTTTCAACCTGCGATGTATTACAACGGCTTTATTTACTCTTTTCCCCTGAGATCACTTCACTCTGGCGCTCCAAGCATCCATGTTTCGCATTTCTGCGTGGGTTAGGAACGGGGTGTGCAACTGGTTTTGTACTTTTTTATTGCTTCTGTCCCTGTATATAGAAAAGTCTCTTGCGCATGCGAGGCTTGTTGACTAGGGCGCTCTCTTAGTGTCATGTCATGTAACCTTAATGCTACGAGAACTTCCCAATAGAGAAATTACGCATACTTACGGTACTCAATATCATTCACGGAAACTTGCCATGCGTTGAACATGGTTTGACCATCAAGCAGTTTGGCAAGGAAGTTGGCTTCTATGCCGTGAAGAAGCAAAGAAAAATGAAGAGCGGGAAGGGGCACCGCAATTCATCATCCAGGGATGCAAGCGACCTCTACAGATCTCGTACGTGATGGTGCCGGTCAACAATATACACAAACCTGTTGTCTAGCTTAGACAAAACCCCAGCCGCAGATCCAAGCGGAAATCGAACATAATTGATAGCCAAATTGGAGAACGGGTGAGGGGAAGCAATCCCGGCTGAAGTCGAAGTTGAAGTCGAAGTAGCAGCAACTTCGCTAGAGGTAGCGGTACCAGTCGATTCAGTCCTAGTTGCGGAAGCACTCAAAGCAACGACACCAGTGCTGATGATGATGACCGTCGCAGTCGGAGTGGCATTGGTATAACGTTACACCAGACCTCACTTGCCTCAGAGGCATTGATGAGGCATTCAAGCATGTGCTCTAAAATGATGAAGCTGAAGAAGGTTGCTTGGGTCTCAGGGTCAGATACATGGCACCTCTGAAACTTTTCTCATGTCGTGGAAGCGGAAGTCCGCTATTTATCTCATAGTCCTAGGCAAAATCGACACGAATGTGTACATGGCCAGCCTCATGGGACCGAGGGCCCAAGAAACGAGCGCCAATCTAAACTTCTCAAGGTACTGCGCGGATAGTGTCACTGATCTTTGGCATATTTTGGGATTCTCTGATTTCGGGTATGACTGCAGACGACCTTAGATAATATTGACCGAATGACGCTCACACAGCCACTATTATATAGCGTGACTTGCATCATAAAGCGACGTCAGAAAACTAATTAGACAAAAATTTACCGCTATTCTCAGAGTCTTACTCATGTTATTGCGTCTCAGAAACGGGTCATAAGAATTCATACGAGAGTTAGTGATGAGAATTGTCGAGATTGATATACGTCTAGCATAAGCAAAACAGGTTTTGACATATTCACAGCCTTGTTGAAGCCTAATCTCTTTTTCTGAAGCCCATCACACTAGATCCATCACCAGAAGAGATACTGAAGGAATTTCCAATACAGGCTTTCGTCGAGACCCAAATTCGCGAAGTGATCTCTTGCCGATCTCGATGACCTGCGCCACCCTTAGACATTTTCCGTGCATACAAACACCTGAACAGAAAACTTAGGACTTAACCCCATCCTGAGGTCATTCCATGCTGATTGCCTGTCTTAAGCCGTCGAAACTTCTTTTCCGGCCGACCGAGTGCGAAGAAGTGTGAATTAGGCATAGAGGTGGCTAAGGGTGTGGTGACCAGGCTTCATGTTAGACTGCAAATTGAGTTTGGCTGCCCGTCCACCATTGCGTCTGAAACTTTGGTGCGAGCTTTCAGGCCGGATGGGGGGTTGACTCCCCTCAAGAGCTCCCCTTGATTTAATGAGGCATCAGTCTTGCAAATATTTCTGCATACTATGCAACCCATTCAATAGTTTTTGACAAATGGTGTCGTCTCTGAAATTGCAAGGTATCTCTGCAAAACGCTTCCCCCGATTTGATCTACAGTAGGAGGCAATGCAGGCTCCTGTAATCAAAGTGACTAGGAATTGCCGCTTCAGGAAGTCATCGCCGAAAGTATGGCGGCCTAAGCTACCTAATTGATCGCCCCGATACTCGGGCCTGTCAGCCTCTTCAATTTTTAGTTTTTGACTTTCCTCACATTTACCGCGATAAGAACCCGTACTGCTACCGCCTAATATTTGAAGGAACAAATGCTAGGAAATCACGCTTTGTAACGTGATTATAGAGACCTCTTTCTTATTAGATGATTAATCGGCTTTTCACGTCTTGTAAGTGATGGAATGCTGAAGTTCCCCCCAAGCTATGTTATGGAGTCTTTCCTCTGATATATATAGAGTCCCATTCTCTTCCAATGAATTGACCTCTATAGTAATCCATTTACAGCCTTCGAATCTTCGTATTGAAGACTAGCTCGATTCGAGGATTATTATACACCGCAAAGACCGAGTAAATATACCTCTATACCCTCTAGAAGGTCTCGATCACACCAACATGATGGTTTGCGCGAAGGGCCGATAGTCTATCGGTCCGAGTTTACGCGTTGACAACTTCTCATAGTACTCAAGTCCGCGATGGTCAGACACGCCAACTTATTGTTGGAACGAGACAGAAATTACATACGCTGAGTAGGTTAGGTGCGACCTTCAGGGTACCAATTGCGAGTCCCCAAAAAGGCGACTTGTCACTTTACTGTTTCCTTCTCCTCCAGGCTCTATAGAGATTGGTTCGAGTCTAGAGAATTGTCTTGCAGGATATGCTAGGAAGAGGGCTGACATGGTTAGTACCGAAGAAGCCCTTCTTATAATGGGATGCACTATTCAGGCGTCAAAAAGAGAAAATACTATCAAAATGGTTTGATAACAAGGTCATGTTTTGGCCTTATTAAATGAGCCCAAAGATGCCCGAGCAGCTTTAGCATTCATTTAATACCGGCTAAAAGGGGACAGCGAGCAGCCGCAGTATCGATCACCAGTCAGTTTATGGTTAGACGGAAATGACCCGGGATTTGAACTCAAATCCCGCTCCGCTAATCCCAGACCCAGGTACTCCGATCTATCTAGTCAGCTTTATGAGCAATGTTTACTTTCTGCTACGCGGTGCGCATCAAGAATAACATATTATGCGAGGTCGCTGCACGCCGAAGCACAACCATTGAGGTCTTTTACTTGGCTCTTTGATCCGGACTACACTCAAGTGACTTCGCTTGAGATGAATGCGCCTAGGGGCTCAAGTGACAGCCAGATCTCACTGTCTAATCTGCCGCCAACGCGATCATCAACACACCTACTTGGCCAGCCGGATGAATCACCATCAATGCTAGATGGCCTGCGGGCTCAACAGCAGCAAATCCCGACAGAAGTCGACCGCGGACCCACCCATGATGATATCCAAACGCCAAGAGGATGGAAGTGGAAACACCTGGTCAAAGACCCCTCAGGCGAGGAGCCGTATCGGCTACGAGATGACTGGGCAACGTTGACCCGCATTACCTTGCTAAGATTGATCACGATTACAATTATTACAGGGTGAGATACCACTGGTTGAGATGCCTTATACATTGCTCGACAGGACTGACACAGTACAGAGCAATTGTATTAGGTGCACGTGGCGAACCCTGGGATCTATCCTCCCGTATCCTCGCCGGCATCGGGGTCGACCAGGATCTCCAGCTCACGGCTATCGGTGTGCTCAATCAATTACTCGGAATGTTTAATCAAGAAGCACTATCTCATATAGCTTCAACTCTCCTGACAAGCTGGATGATTCAAAAGGGTTCAAGAGGAGCAACTCTTTCTGATCTAGAATTGTTCGATGAGTTCAATCAGCCGTGGACAGCTTTAAGAAATTTCCTCGATCGTCGGAAATCCGAGGCTCTGGCTGGAAGGTCTTGGAACAACTGGTTTCGACTACTAAGCTCATTGTTCATAGGGGTCAGCGTGATTCTTCTTGGTGCTGCTATGAATACAATCCTTATACCAAAAACGCGGTGGTGGCCGGACACCAGGTTCGAGGAACCACATTTTCCGGATGACCGATTCTTTTTCTCAAATCAAACCTCGCGTATTGGCAGTGTCAGTCGAATGTCGATGTGGGCGCAATCATGGAATATGCTACGGATAGGCGGACCCGTGTCATGGCAAATGGTTGGTGTCTTGACACACAGCCGCTGGTGAAGACGATACTAAGATAATCTAGGCTCAATCAATGTCAGCCGCTCGGTCTCAAGTTGCAATGAGCCAGATCTACGATACTTTCAACCAGGAGCCTGGCTGGCAGTCTCTCGGAAATAACCAGGTTGCTGAGTTCACCGCCATCAATGTCATCAATGTTTCAACCTCCAGGATACAGACTATGGCAGTTCACGGTGAGGTAGCCGCTGCTATGTATAATGAACAATCGACATCGAATAAACACAAGTGGGCGAGATATTCGAGCGGGTGGTACGCCACGCTGAAGGTTCCCGGTCTCTTGCTCGAAACAGAATGCCTCTCGGTCAATGGAAGTGCGGTCAATTCCTGGACAGTTGCTGCAACTGAAAACGCTACAATATCACTGAATATTGGACCATCCACGTTGAACGACTCTTTTGGGGGTGTGCGGTGCTTAGTATCAATTGAAAATGCCCAAATCGCACTTCAGCAGTGGCTTTATGATGGGACCGGAGACTACAGTTATAGTATCACCAATTGGGGCCAAGGTATGAACACTGGTATTACCAAGCTAGGAGGCTCCGGGGACGATCTCTCTATAGCTACTGAAGGCGCCGACTGGTTCCAGGCGTTTTTGCCTAACCTTCAGAATCTGTCGTCGGCTCCCCAGATTGTGAACCTCACATCGCTTGTCATGACAGTTGCCGATAGCCTTGTGAGTTTGAACAGGGGATACAGCGAAAGCTTAGCGATATCAGCAGTGGTTGGTACAATCTTTGCTGACATGTTCACTTCTTTCGAATGGACATACACGGACATACCGGGGAACACTACACATCAAGGCCCAATTCGTTGGCAAATCTATGGCTCTGGACCCCGCTTACCTTGGGAATGGACGATCGCCATAGTTCTGGGCGTTGTCGTCCTGATTCAAGTCTACGATCTCGGCCTGCTTTTCCGGTATCATGGCCTGGCTCAGGGATATTGGCTGAGTCTCGGTGGAATGATGCGAACTGCCAGTTCCTCGCCCCCAATCAATGAAACGTCCGATAGTCAAACCGCAGGAGTCCTGGCCAAACATGCCGAGCCAAATCGGTTGTTCGCGCGTGAGATCAGAGGCTTGGATGGCCAGAATACCGGACAAATCATTCTCATTGACCAGGAGACTTTGAACTCGCAACGTGGACTTGGTGCGGAGCAATACGTGGAGCTCCAACACGACCGAGAATACAGCAAAAAGGACCAATAGCATTCACGGCGTACTCAAACCAAACTTGGAGAGGCATTTCACAATTTAACTACCAATAATCACCGTCGGGATGACTGGATGGAGCAAATGGAATCTCACCGCCAGAATTGAATCTCTCGATCAATTCGTGAGACTTGAAATGTGGCAACGTCAACACCCGTGTCCAGCCTCATATAGGGTCAGGAACCGGCGACTGCCGGTGCGCCGGGGTGTGGGGACAAAATTCAGTCTGGCCCCATCCATCGCCCTGACGGTTTGCCCACCATCGAGCAAAACGTGGGGATGCCGAATGACACTCATTCGAGAAAATTGAAGGTCCCCAAATTGCGCACTAAGACATTCACTGGCTGCTGGACCTGCCGAACTCGCCGGGTCAAGTGCGACGACGAGCGTCCGCACTGTCATCGTTGCCGACGCAGTGGCTGGCAGTGTCAGGGGTATGGCTTGCGTCTTGGGTGGTCGCAAACTCCTGGAAGTCGCTCGCAGCGGCGTCAGATACTGTCTTCAACCCCGCAATCTCCAAATGGCTTTTCTTCTGCGGCCGTGACGGCTCTCTTAGCGGAACTGGATGCCTGCTCCGACGGATCTGCCCAGCGACGGGGGCCATTTTCGGTCTTCTCCGCGTCCGGCACGGAAAACAATCACTCGTTCGACTTGAACCATGTCAATGTCGACGGTCACTCGCAATTGCTACGGAAGAGTGAACAGGCTGTAGAGTACCCCTTACCCTCAATCTCAAATCATGACAAGCGGCCATCCCCGGTGCCGTCCGACCATATCACTCAGGGCGATGGTTCTCGCGGTCTTGCAGCCTTTTTCATCCGGCCACTATCTGCCGGGGCTCTGGATACGAATAGAATTCATCGAAAAGACCTCAAAGTTGGATCTTCATTAGCAGACGTCTCCTTCCTAAAGACGATCAGTCAGGTGCAGCTGCCACGGCCAGAGACAGAATTGGTCCACCATTGGATTGTCTTCCTCAGTGGGAATATGCTGCTTCTGGACTCCCCTGATAATCCCTGCAGGACAGTTTTCATGCCACTGGCATTGAAAGGGCTGGATGCGGCTGCAGGGGAATCGAATATACATCTCGCCATCTTCCACGCCATATGTGCGTCTTCGGCTTTTAGCCTCTACCATCTCCGACGGGACTTCCAGTATCAGTCGCTAGCCATGCGCCATGACCAGCTGGCTTTGCGTCATTTGCGTGAAAATTTGGGTCGCGCAAAAAGGGTTGATGAGCCCACACTAGTTGCTATTTTGTCATGTATCACAGCCGAGGCGATGTCCGGACGTAGGAGCAGGTGGAGAGCGCATGTCGCTGGCGGACTCGGTCTCCTTGAGAATGAGATCCACGGTGGATGGCTTGAAAGCCCCACAAGATCACGACTCTTGCAAAGCTATCTGTCTCTGTCGTCGCTCTGCAGTTTACCCATGTCGACGCAACTTGTTTCATTGCTTGATGGGCCTTGTCATTATCTTGAGCGGTCGCACGGCGTAACAACACAACTTGTCCAGTTCCTGGCACAACTGACTACCATACTTGATTCCGAGTCAAATCTCTCCACAGAGGAACTGGATAGACTGGAACTTCAGTTACATCTCAACTTTCCATGTCTCTCCTCCCCGACGCCCCGGGTTCAACCATCATTCAGCATGCACTGAACTCCTTTTACTATGCGACAATTATCTATTTCCGCCGAACACTACGCCGCTTACCGTTGTACGAAGTCCAAGAACTCGTCGAGAAAGCAGTTCAAGAATTAGAAGCAGTGGACACACTCAAGAATGACAAAGGAGGTTGCGCCTACAACTGGGCCAGTTTCGTCGTTGCAGCCGAGTGCCAGCGACCAGATTTACAGAGTCGCATGCTTACCTGGTTCGATCGCAAGAGCCAGAACGGTATTCAAAATGTGGTCATACTCTGTGAGATTGTCAAAGCGCTTTGGCAAAGACGCGAGCAAGCCAAAGGCCGGGATGTACAATGGCAGGAAATTGCCAAGGAAGCGGACTTTGATATTATGCTTGTATAACAATAGACGCCGGGAAAAAAAGTACAGATATCAGGAATTGGAACTCTTCAACTCATTTAATATCTAGACCGTGTTGCCTCCATCTATCACCAATGCTGCGCCGCACATATAGCTGCTCGTGGGGGGAAGAGAGGAAGGGGAGGGCGTCTGATATCTCTTTAATCTCAGCAGGGCGACTGATGGGTGTCGCATCGAACAAAATCAAAGTGAGCGCTGAGAATCGGTGTACCCACGAAACTAGACTGCATGTCAAAGAGGATAGCTTACGCCGGGCAGACGGCATTGATGCGAATCCCTTATCGGGAGTAAGCTTTCGCATCCTATACTCGGTTTAGCTTGTATATAGCATAGTCAGAGAGATACTATAACATTCTAGTCAGGCCAATTACGGCTATGTATGTCAGTTTCCATTTCATTCCAGAGGGCTTTCCCAAGACTTCAGAGTTATTTTGGGTATAGTTGGCCCTAGGCGTCACATGGGTCTTGGCGCATGAGGTCATGGCAGATCCGGGCGGTGCGCCAGCTTCGGGGCTCGACTATGAATGACTTGAAACTCACCCCCGTCAACATTCTTCTTTAGACCTGTTCTCTGGTGATTTTACGTTTCAACCAATGGCATCCACTCCTAGACCCAGTCGCGACTCCCTCCACAGTCTGGTTAATGACCGTGTCGCTCTTGTCACCGGCGCTGCACGAGGAATCGGGTTCGCGACAGCTGCCTTACTGGCGCAACATGATGCACGCGTAGTCCTGGTGGACCTCCACGAGGAAGATCTAAAGAAGGCTTGTGAGGCAATTGGAAAACAGGCAACATGGCAAGTCTGTGACGTAAACAATTGGGATCAGCAAGTCGCCTTGTTCGACCACGTTAACAAAACACTTGGCCCGATCAGCCTAATGGTCTGTAATGCGGCTGTCAACCCGGAAGTCGCTCTACTGCAAGCTCGCGATAAGGAAAAGCAGGCGCAGATGAAATCGTCTGTCCGACACAATGACCTCGCCGATGAACGCAGCAGCATTCAAGGAGATACTCTGGAACGGCCATCAACAGATCTTATCGATATCAATGTCAACTCGGTCATCTTTGGACTCAAATTGGGCATCCACCATATGAAACAACACGGTGGGGGTCGCATTGTGGTCACTGGATCGGCTGCTTCCTATGTTCCAGTGTCTTCGCAGCCGTTGTATACAGCTAGCAAGCACGCGGTGCTGGGCTTGTGTCGCGCCACGTCGCAGATCAGTGAGGTGATCGAGGCGGGAATCTCGGTCTCTTGGGTCGCTCCTTGGTTGACCTTGACGTCCATGGTGGAGGGTCTTGAGGCCACAACCAACCCGAACACCCTGAAGAACTCGCCGGAGGATGTTGCATGGGGTATCATTGCTGCTGCGGCTGCTGAGAAACCTAATGGCAAGGGCTACTGGGTACAGGGTCAGACAATCAGTGAGGTGGAGGCCGCTTATGACGAACTCGCAGGGCGCTTAATCCTTCCGGAAAATAGGTTCTTCTAGTGTTAAATAGAGTCGGCGCATAGAAGTTCTCCTGCGAGCATTGCACAGCAAATGGACATACCCGCAATTATATAACGCCTCAAGTCTACCGTAAAGAAGTTCTGCAACCTTGCAGCCAGGCCTAAATGCAGCGCACCCTTCAGATGAAGGTGAAGGAAAGAAGAAGACAACTGCTTCTATTTCGAGATGCAGGCGACGGAAGCGAAGGAAACGAAGAACGGGCCAATGAATGTTTGCAGACGTGCGTAATAACGAAAAGAAACAAAATTTAATTGCTCAAGGTATACAATTGGTCCTTTTCAACATACTATTCAAACACCTCTTTCAATACATTCTGATAACAGCGTTATTGAGAGATTTCCCGTGTCAGCAAATAACCCATGAAATCTTTTTTGACTAGAACCGTCCGAGGGCAAATCACTCGCAAAACAGGACTCTGCTGACTGAGCACCCGCAAGTATACTTCAGAAAGCCTTAATATCTTCAAACTCCATCCGTGATGCACCTAGAGCGATCTGTTAGTGTCTGTTTGGCTGTACATGCGTGTTTTTGGAATCTTACCCATGCGATGCATCAGAAACAAGACGCGCGTATTTGCCCAGCGTGCCGCGCATCCGCATGCCTCCTGACGGTAGCTCACCGGCCTCCTTGCGCTTCTCCCAGGCCTTGCGGCGTTCAGCAACCTCCGTCTCGGGAACCTCGAGGTCTAGAACGCGTTTCTCGGCGTCGATGGTAATCACGTCACCATCCTGGACAAGTCCAATGGGACCACCGGTGGCGGCCTCAGGAACGATATGGCCTATACTCATGTCAGTCTAGTCCATTTCAAAGATCTCTGAAAAAACAGGACTCACCGATCAAGAAGCCATGACTTCCACCACTGAATCTGAATTTGCAAGATGAATGCGTCAGTATTGATCTCTTATCAAAATTGGAATGGGAAATGCTAACCGGCCGTCAGTGATCAACGCCACTGAGTTTCCAAGCCCTGCACCCATCAGGGCGGAAGACGGCTTGAGCATTTCTGGCATGCCAGGACCACCCTTAGGACCAAGGTAGCGGAGAACAACAACAGTCTTCTCCTCCTTCTTGATCTCGTTGCGTTCGAGAGCAGCGATGAAGGAATCCTCGTCATCAAACACCCGAGCTTTTCCGGTGAAGGAAGTGCCCTCCTTACCAGTGATCTTACCGACACTACCGCCGGGGGCGAGAGAACCGCGCAGAATTTGAATGTGACCGGTGCTCTTAATGGGGTTCGAGAAGGGACGGATGATCTTCTGATCATCCGGGAAGTCGGGAACCTTCTCCAGATTCTGAGCCATAGTCTCACCGGTAACGGTCATACGGGAACCATCGATCAGACCCTCCCTGAGCAGCATCTTCAATAGAGCGGGCGTTCCGCCGATCTTAAACAAATCTGCGAGGACCCACTTACCAGACGGCTTCAGATCAGCGAGGAAGGGAGTGCGATCAGAGACGGCCTGGAAATCGTCAATGGTGAGCTTGATGCCAACGGCATCTGCCATGGCGATCAAGTGCAGGACGGCGTTGGTGGAGCCACCGGTGATCATGACGAGAACCATAGCATCCTCAAAGGCCTGACGAGTCATAATGTCGCGGGGACGGATGTCCTCGGCGAGCAGCCTCTTGATAGCACCTCCGGCAGCCAGACACTCGACGTACTTGGCCTGCGAGTTGGCCGGATTGGAAGAAGAACCAGGAAGAGTCATACCAATGGTCTCGATAGCGGTCGCCATGGTGTTGGCAGTGTACATACCACCACAGGCACCCTCACCGGGACAGGCGTGACGAATGACATCGAAGCGCTGGGGCTCGGTGATCTCCTTGGTCAAGAACTGACCGTAGGCCTGGAAGGCGGAAACAATGTCGATATCGGCGTTATTCTGGGTCTTGGCGCAGCCGGGCTTGATGGTACCACCGTAGACCATGAGACTGGGGCGGTTGATACGACCCATGGCAATCAGGACACCGGGCATGTTCTTGTCACAGCCAGGGATACTGATGTTGGCATCATACCATTGGCCACCCATCACAGTCTCAACGGAATCGGCAATCAGGTCACGACTCTGCAGGGAGTAGCGCATACCGGAGGTACCCATACTGATGGCGTCACTGACACCGACAGTGTTGAACTGGAAACCGATCAAGCCCTGCTCCTGAACACCCTGGCGCACCTTGTTGTTGAGGTCGAGCAAGTGCATGTTGCAGGGATTACCGTTGAACCAGACGGACGAGATGCCGACCTGAGCCTTGTTCATGTCCTCCTCCTTGAGGCCAACGGCGTAGAGCATAGCCTGGGATGCACCCTGGGCTTTGGGCTGGGTGATGTGACGGGAGGTCTTGTTGAGAGCTCCATCCTTCTCGGCGCGGGGAACAGTAGACGACAGAGTCCGACTGTAGAGAGCAGCAGAGGTTAGCAAGATGTAGGAGCAGTTGAACGGGATGACGCACGCGGTCGCAGACCGGGACAGGCTTCGGAGAGCCATGGGCACACGGGCCCTTGTTTGGGAAAGCATGGTCATGGATCAATTGAGCAGAACCAAAACCACCGTGAATTGCAAAAGGGGAGATCGCGGGGGGGCAGGGGTCGAGAAAAAGAGAAGCTCGAGTGCCCAGGTGCGTCGTCCGGACTTTGCGCAGACCTCCCCGAGACCCGCTTGCCGCCCGTCCAATCTACAATCTGCAATGGTCATCGATCTATTGTGCTAGGTTATGAAGGTGAGCGGGGGATATGTCCATGTTATGCTAATGACCTGGACCCCTTGATTGAGCTTCTGCGTGCCTGACAATCATATTTCAAAAATCATGTTAATGCTCATCTTCCTGTTGAGCAAGTCATTGCCCCAGAAGACGTTGGAATGGCGGAGCTTGGCTTGACCCTATTTGATTTCGAAGTCTACAGTGGGACATCCTAGCGTATCAAATTGAGCCAAACTTCAGTTTGATCGTCGGAAATTTATCTTGATCGTCATATGTAGGTTAAAATGGGTATAACTGTTGGTCTAGCCAGAATCGTCACAGTAAGAAAATAAGAAAACCAGACGACCTCCATGGTGTCAAATACCCCCCATCACAAAGAAGTAAGAGAGAAAGGATGGGGAAAGGAAGGGATGAAAAAAGAAAAAAAAAAGGGCAAGACATGAGGCAGACAGAAAGGCCATATGTATAAATAGGCGTGGTCGTAGGGAAAAAAGGCAAATCAGAAACACTGAGAAAGAAAAAAAGACGCGCACGAGGGTCCAGCCGCTCTACGGGACTTCCTTGTCACCTCGTTTGAGGCCAGCGGGGACGTCAATGGCATCATGAACCCAAGGCATGGCTGCAATCTCATCAAGTCCCTTGCGTTTGGTGTTACGCTTGAGAAGGCCCTCCACGCAGTCGCGGGCACCGTCTAGGCCTTGACCCTTTTCGGGATCCCACTCTTCGTCTTCGTTGGCGTAACGGTACCAACTCCATTCGCAACGGGCAATGCGATGCGGAGTGCGAGCGCGAAGTTTGGCTGGGTCACCACGAGTGCCGGGAAGGGCGTCGAATGGTAGGCGATTCTCCATAATGGCATACAGCAGAACACCGAGGGCCCACGCGTCCGTGGCGCGACCATCATACGCTTGTCCCATGAGAATCTCCGGTGCGGCATAATCTTCGCTTCCGCATCGGGTCTGCAACAGCGGACTCTCCGGGGGTTCTGGAATGCGTCGAGATAGACCCAAGTCACTGAGAACGACCACCGCTCGGTCATAAGTATGCCAGTCTGTCACTTCTTCCAAGGCATGTGAAGGCAAGGTGAGCAAAACATCTGTCAAGCAGGGTTAGCAACTTCTGTTGCATTCAGAGTCAGAGTCAACCAGTATTCACTCACTCTCGAGTTTGATATCACGGTGAACAATGTATTGAGAATGAAGATAGCGCACGGCGTCGACCAACTCCGAGAAAATGCGTTGAATCAGGTTGGGAGAAGTCGGTCGAGCTCCGGAAGTCGCAAACTCAAACAGATCACCACCAGGACAAAAGTCCAGAACAAGCAGAGCGCGCTTCTCGTCGCTGCCGAATGCCTTGAGTTGAACCAAGGATGGGTGATTCACTGATTTCAAGATGTCGACCTCACGTTTCAGTGAGACTTCCAGACGTTCTTCGTCTGCACCCCCGGCCGGGCCGTGCTCTATGATCTTGACAGCGACCAATCTCTGTGTGGCAGCTGGCGGAGCAGCATCGCCAAGGCCATCTAGATCGGGCGACAATGGTGTCTGCACTTGCTCCACGCGGGCGGCCAGACAGACCTTACTAAAGGTTCCTTGGCCAAGGACGCGGAGCTTCCTGTATATCCGGGCTTGTTGGGTGCGAATTGACTTCACCGAGTATATCTCGTCAGAGGACGACAGCGATACAGGATGTTGAATGACTGGCTCGGTGTCACTGTCTCCATATCCACTTCCGCTACTGCGAGGCGGACTCGGAGGACGAACAGTGGGCAAGGCGATCCCTCGGTGTACAGCGAGGTATTGTTCTCGATGGAGGCCGGCCTGTTTGGAGTCGGTACTCGATGAGGGGACCATGCCGGGAGCGGCGCCGGAGACGGCAATCGGACGAGGAACGGTTATACGACCGGGCGGCGCATAGTCGCTGAGACTGCGGTTGCGCGTATGTTTGCTCGATGAATCGTGACGAAGTCGATCAGGCACTGAATCATCCCCCATGCCTTCCAGCCCATTGTATGTCTTGCCGCGGGACCGCGACACCGGCGGACCCAGCATCTGTGAAGAATCGCTCAGGCGCAAACTGGATGCGCTACGTGACGCCGTGGAAGATGTACGAGATAAAGACGGCAATTCGCCGCGCCGCCACGGAGATGCTCCGCCTATGGGAGATGGCAGAGGTGTGATATCGCCCATGGCATTCAGCTGAGGCGAGGACATGTACGAGCCCGGGGATAACGAGCCGGCACTCGAGAGAGGCGGGGCGATCAACGCGCGCAGGCTAGGGGTGCGCTGCAAAAAACTCCGGAGGATACGCTGAGAGAGGCTAATGAATCAGAGTCGCGATGCGAGCTGGTCGGTCGAATACTGGGCAAGTCGGTTCGGATCTGCAGCGAGGGCAGTATCGGTGACGGCGTATCACGTACGGAATGTGCATGGTCTGAAGGCTCCATTTCCAGGTGTCTGAGGGCTTCGCCACGACTGAATGCGGCAGACCTTTCGGCCTCGGCGGGGGACTGCATCGAGGAGCCGCAAGCGGAGGCGAGAACCTACGCGATTAGAGCAGATAAGGGTCGACTCTCAGCCTCCAGACCTAGATCGGCCTCAGCGCGGGGGTATTGAGACCCGTAGGTCAACGGCCTTACAGTGAAAGCACAGTGCGGCCAAATGCGTTGGGGCTGGTGGTTGGAAAAGTTCAAAAGCAAATGAAATGACGATCGGAGCGAAACCACGCGAGTCAGCTGACGCCCGGGCGAACGCGGGGGTGCGACCCTTCGGCCTCGATTGGGGTATGGTCGATCCTTGGACTAAAAAGTAGGGTGACGAATGCTGCAGATGCTCATTGATAGCAAAGCATTGCCGGTCGGTTCTGAAATGTGGTGCTACAATACGGCCGACAGTATGACCGGCACGAAAAAGACGGCTGAAAGGGGGAAGCCGTCATCCCTATATGGTAGGAGTGCTGCCAATCTTCTGCAATACGAGCCCACACATTTTCTGAGGGGGTTTGCCGGCAAGGAAAGTCTGGTCGCGTTCTTGGTTTAATGAAGAACCTGGTCCTGCCGCAGAACGACGCAGGGGCCGGCACGACTGGGCACCTAGTTCCAGTACTACAGTTGGGACTCGGAATTTGACGAGCATTGTTGATCTCAGCAGATTACTACGGGACCATGGATCAAGGTCTCCGAAGTATTCCCCTGTCAATGCTGGGGATGTCACCACGATATCATGGTCTTCGCATAGAGAGGCTATGTGGCTGGCAATGTCGTCAGCCCAGGGCAAACGCTTGAGCGCCGATAAAAAAAAGGGTAGAAAAGTGGCTGGGAAAGAGTGCCGAGGCCAATTCCGATTCATTCCAATTCTGACCATGTAGATGCGGAGTGGTCGATGACACATCACATATTTTTCATCTTTTTTTTTATTCCCCCCTCACTTGCTCATATTTGGCCACGAGCCGCGCAGGCCGCTTTGATGCCACCGATCTATGAATAGAGCCTGCAAGGCTACGCACAAACAACGTCGGGTGGCTGGAAACGTTGCAGCAAGTGTCGTGTGGCGGGCGAATAAGCATGGCCAAGACCCGCTAGCAGTGGGTCGTTCTGGGGCTATCAATCTACCGGGCTTGGAGTAGCCTCTCTAATCCTTGAACCCGGGTGCAACGGATCCATGTCACCAGTCAGCTCTGTCGAATTGTCACTAATAGAGAAATTAGGTAAAGGGGACAATGATTCACGAATGCGTCAAGGGTCTACTCCTGCAGTATATATTTCCTTACATCAAGTTACCAATCGTCGACACGCAGTGATCCCTACGTAAATAGCCAAATTGCTTCCACGTGTGCGTGATACGTCTGTTCAGAAGAACGGTAGCCTTGAAGCCCAGGAGTGTCATCAACGTGCTTTTCGTTAGGCTGATTGACGGCCTTGCGTCCGCCACAAACACTTCAGGCAAGGGAAAATCGCTCATATTGGATTCGACAACAGGGCAAAGAAAAGGAGGGATGCGGCCATCATGGTAGCGGCGATGGCAACCCAAGTATGATTATAAGTTCTTCGGCAACATGATTTCAATTCGTTGATTCGGCAGCTTCAGGATGGCCGGGAGTACCCAGAATGGCTCCACCGGTATCACCGAGCATGACTGTAGCAGAGTCTCTGGCGAGCACGTTTAGAGGCCTGGAAGCCCTTCCATCAAAGCACACGCTGGCTCTCCCGATGTTGAAACTTTTTAGTCTTTCAATCCCTCACTGAGTTGCTTTTAGATGATGGCTGAGGCGCTTGAGCACCAGTTTGGGGATGAACAGTGACAATTGAACTTCATCGTGATTCCCGCTGTTCGAAAACAGTGACACCCGGATTCGAAGATCATGGATGTATTAGGGCGAATGAGAGTAAACTTGTACAGCTTCAATGTATGGTAGCTCCTTGATCAGCCTCTTCGTTTGTTTCACGCTTTGGGGCTCATCTTGCTGCCCACACATCAGGTCACTAGCTCTTTGAATCTGAGAAAGAAACAAAGCAAGGTGGCATGAATGATTACGCACGTAAATGACTAGATGAGACGGACCAAAAGGTTTGGAGCTTCATCAAAGCAAACAAAGGCTAAAGTCCTCGTCTGAAGACATTCACTTCTATATATAACAGATCAGCTCCTCCAGAGCTGATCTGAGGAAAATGTGTCCCATGCATGAAATCAATACTATTTGACCCCACACTCACATCACTTCAAAATGTGCCAGACAATCTGGTACTGCTTCATTGGGTGCAAACACTTTTCTCTTGCGTCGACGCAGCATTGTCTCGAAGCACAGCGAGGCGTTCCACGGCTTCAGCGGATCAACTGTGACGCGATGGAATTCAAGACCGAAGCGAGACTTCTGGATTGGCCAACTTACACGAGGGAACTTGAGACAATCAAGAAGGATGGGATATGCGGTAAGTGCTCGGTGAATCTGAAAGCGGAAATGGAGGCTGCTTTTTGGAATTTCCAGGTGAAGGCGATGGAAAACGATAAGGACCTGAGGAATTCTGAGGTATTGAAGTATGGAGATACTTAGATGCTTTTGACTTGCATAAGTCTAGTCATCTGATGTCAGTGGTTGGGATATAGATTGAATTGATTTTGTTTTTTACTTGTATTCTCGCTAAGAAATGCACCAATACTTAGAGGAGCCTACTTCAGATTACCGTGCTGTTCACCGCTCTTGGCCAATGCATTGATACGGCGACAATAGAGATTTATGCAATATGTGCTGAGGATGCGGCCTCAGTGGTCATGTGTAGCGGTTTCTGGTCGTGCACATTGTTCGCAGTGCCGGGCTTACCTCCGACCCACTCGCAGAAACACCGGCGCCTTGGGAAATTGGACGCTTCAAAGGTCATCACTTAGACATGGGTAGCATCCAGGTTTGAGGGTGCCATGGAGATTAGAATGGAGTCAGTACTTCAGCCGAGGTAGCCACATATGCGAGTCAAATCGACGTGGGGTGATGCAAGATGGATAAGTTGAGACAATGTGCGCCACATTTCACTTTTGAAGCTGGAAAACCCGGCGCTAAGAATGTTGAAAGGCGCAGGTTGACGCATAGCCGCAATAGTCAACAAAAAGTCCGAGCAGCGACTGGAACTAATCTTGAAAGAATAGGGACATCCTCATACACGGTTACATTCATATACTGACTTGAAATTATAGACTTCGGAGTTAGATTTAAGTTGACATTGGATTGAATCTCCTGATGCGATTTCAGAGCAGACCGAAAATGGTGTAAGCCATGATGCACCGATGACGCCAGAGAATCTTCACAAAACTTCGCGCATCGCGTTTGCATTACTCATCAGCACGCTCATGTGAATCTGAAAACATGACAACGCCGCAACTTGAGCTCCAGCAAAGACGTGTCGTATCTTCTTTCATATTCTCGTTGCAGAAGAGGCCGTGCGTTGCGCTATTTAAGCGCAGCGGTTCTGTACAGACATATCGGTAAGTCTCCCGAGGCCCCTCGAGATTCTTGAGCTGATCAATATAGTCACCGACTCGCACCTATTTCAGGCACCATAGAGCCCCCTGAGTCCCCTGTTGCAGCTGCATGGCGTGAACTCAAAGAGGAGACCACCCTGACACCCCGAGACATTGAACTATGGAGACATGGAAAACCTTACACATTCAGTGACCCCGCAATCGGGCGACAATGGACCATCTACCCCTTCGCATTTCGACTCAAACAGTCTGATGAGGGTGGTCGCGGTGAAGCCGGTATTCACATCGACTGGGAGCACGATGACTGGGAATGGTTTGACCCCCGAGACATCAAAGAGGACGGACGGGGTGTGCCGCGATTAGCAGACAGTCTGCATCGTGTCTGGTTCGAGGCGGAGATGAATGAGGAGGCGAGTCAAGCGCTGCGATCTAGTCTCCAGCAGCTCAAGAATGACCATCAAAGCGGATCTCATGAGTTGACTACCATCGCATTGACGGGATTCCGGGATGTGTTGGTGCATCTACGGGATGATCCGAACTGGTGGCGGACTGCTCGTTTGGCTGCATGGCATATAGGGAAAAACGGTCGTGAAAGTATGTCTTCCGCAACACAGAATGCTTTTCTAGCTGTATTGGATGATTTGGAAAAGATAGCGGGCTCCAATTCTGGAAACGGGGTCATATGGGAAAATGTCCTGGGCGTGGTAGATTCCCACCTGGAAAAGAGACGTGAGATGCCGGCTCGCATAAGGGACTCGTTTACAGCATATCTGAACAACACATTCGTGCGAATGACAGACTCACACTCACCCTCTACACTTACGATTCTCATCCTCTCAGCCAGCTCAACGATTCGGGATAGTATCCTGGATGCATTCGCTTCTCTACCAATCTCAAAGTTGGATATACGCATTTTAGAATCTCGACCACTGTGCGAAGGTGCAAGTATGGCATCTTCCTTGGTCGCAGGTTTCCAAACCAAGTTTCCGTCAAGTGGCGACCGTCATCTCAAATTAACGGTCTATACGGACGCCTCGGCGGCCATCGCTGCTGACGGTGTGAACTTTGTGCTACTCGGAGCTGATTGCATCTCGAGTGAGGGATGGATCAGCAATAAGATGGGATCTTTGCCGGCTGTTCTCGCCGCGAGATACGCCAGTCCGACCGTGAAAGTGCTGGTATTCAGTCAATTGGAGAAGGTCGCTGAGCCGGGGTCTGCAAAAGACCATGTACCTGAGAACAATGATCCTGCAGAACTCATGACTTCCTGGCCCGGAAGCGGCGTCAAGGGCTTAGGTCTTCTCCAAAAGCAAATAAATACTCCATCGGGATCGAGCAATTGCGAGGTTGAGGTAAAAAATCTCTACTTCGAATGGGTCCCTAACAATCTGATTGATGGATACGTCTGTGAGGAGGGGACTGTCTCTCGAAAGGATATCAAGGAAAAGGCATACCAAGTGAAAGAGAAGGCAGATAAATATTTAGCATCGCTGTAACTTTCACTTTCAGTCAAACGACAAGTATTGAGAGTCAAGCGCAGGAATGAAGTAAATTGAGCTCTACACTATGCAACATCCATAAGTAAATGACACGCCAAAGACCGATCATAAAAACTCAATAGAAAATATCATCAACCCAACGTAAACGCCGAGGGGTCAGGTAGAGGACAGGATCGTTAGAGACCTCCACCATTCAAACCCGAGGACCTATGTGCAAAAGAGGTATCATCATAGTCAGTCGCGAATGCGCGACTGTTTCTTCGCTGTCCCGATATGTGTCAGGGACACTTTGGTCGCGAATTTTAAACTCGTCAGAGTCTCTGACAGATGGGCCTGGAGTGGGCTGACCATGACGAACATCAGGGTCTTGGAGTTGCCACCCAGTGAGAATTGAAGGAGATAAGTGAGCTGCAGAAGGATTAGCGAGCGTGACAAAGAAAGGGGAGATTTGAAAAATACCTTGCTGTTGCGGTACGGGATGTGGCCGCCCTCTTTGCCCTGACCCAGAGCGGCAATCACATCTCCGAGAGAGCTAAGACTACGGTTGATGTTCTGAGTTTCTTTCAGGCGCTCACCAGTCGCTTGACTGTGGCTCAGACGTTCACTTCCCGCAAGGTCAACAAGGTTGAGAGTGCCTTCGCTGCGTTCGCCGGTGATGTGGTTCTCGCCGATCAGCTTGAGGATAAAGACGGAGTGTGATCGAGATGAGCGCTCGTTCGCCTTGGTAGCAGCCACCGAACGGTTCGCATCCGCGTTCTTGAGTATGGCCTTGACCATCTCCGGAGAGTCCAGATCAACGGTGTTGATGTCGGTGATGGTAGTCTTGCCGCGCTGCATATCATGGCGAATCTCGTGCTTCTTCTTGTCTAATTCATCAGGATTGCCCAAAAGGTCATTCACGTTCTCGTTATAGACCTCGACGAAGTTACCCGTCATCTTGTACCGCCACCCCTTCTCTTCCAGACCCTGGGCAGTCTCGTAAATCTGATGCACGGCGAGAGGGATCATGCCATCTTGGGAGGACATGGTATGCGTTTTACCACTGCCAGTCTGTCCATAGCAGAAAATACAAACATTGTACCCATCCAATGCGCTCTGAACCAGCTGGCTGATCTCGTCAAAGACGTCAGTGTTTGTGGCCGAGGGGCCGAACACTCGATCAAAAGAGAAGGTGTTATTCTTGCGGCTGACGCTGCCGAGGCTATTCTTCTCCTCCGGGCCCATGACGTTGATCTCCTTAGCCTCTTCAGACTCATCGGGGTACTCCATTGGGGTAATCTCAGAAGGCGGTTCACTCTTGAGAGATGGGCGAACACGACAGAAAACTCGAATGTTTCCCTTCAATTCCTGAACTTGGTTGTGGAGCTTGCGACGCATGGTCTCCTCCTGCGAAGCTTTTCCTTTGTGGCTTCAGTCTCGGCCAGGGCGTTCATCATCTCCTGGTTGCAGCGTTCAAAAGCCTGAGATTGCTCCTCTCTCCCACCCTCGAGGAACTCAATACGGGCTTTGAGGGCTCGGATAGTGGACTCTAATGTCACGCCGTTGCTGCCGGCGGTATCAAGGTTCTGTCGTAGTTCATGTGTGGTCTTGCGCTCGCGGTCCAGGTCAGCTTTCAGGGATAAAAGCTGATTGTTCATCATAGTTATTTCACGGTCCTTTCTTTCCAATTCAATCTCGGCCTTTTGGGTATCCAGCGCAGACCTCGATGTAAGCTGCTCGAGCTCTCGAACTCGCATGGCTTTTTCAATCTCGATCTCGCTTTCGAATTTGCGCCTCAACTGGTTCATCTCGTCCTGTTGACGAGCTTTCAACTCTTCCATCTCTTTCCTGCTATTCAGGCTGACAGACTCCACCTCAATGCGCTGACGCCGGTCGAGCTCATCCATGGCAATTTCCTGTTCACGTCTAGCGTCCTTCAATGCGGCCTCTGCAGCATTTAATTGGTTCTTCAAGGCGTCCGTCTCGCAGCGGAGAGACGCATTAGCATCAGTCAGCTTGTCTCGAGCGCTTTCCAGGTCGTTGACTGCTCAATTTAGTACGCGCAAACTCGCTTTTCAGGAAAGTAACTTACTTCTCGATTTGTAGAGCTCAACCGTTTCTTTCAGACCAGAGCTGTGCTGACCTTGCTCATTCATCTTAGCCATTAACGTGTTCATGATCTGCTCCATGTCACTTTCTTTGCGTTCTTGATTCCACTCGGTACCTGAAACTTGGTCAGAACTCTTGCTTGCACAGATTTTCCTGAGAAAGAGAGGAACAGGGGGCCTTCTTGACGTTGGGGCGTTGGTGATTGAAGGGTTTCTGCGAGACCTAGTTGGGCTAAGGAAAGGAACACTACTTTGCCGCACTGGTCCTGCTTGGGTAGATGCTTGGGGGTCCAATTTCTTGGGGGGGATGAAATTATGGATTGCCCTTCAATGCTTGTGGATGTTACGGCAAAGCGCTATTGGGTGGATCTGCACATCTACCAGGGGCTTCTTTGATTACCCGCTGGCGTGCTTCATTCCATGATTTGGTCCGATGGGGTTCTGGAGAGAGGATCCAACGGGGACCAAGGAAATTCGGGTAAGTGGAATGGGGTTTGCTTGCATACCCTTTCGTTTCCCAAGAATGCTAGCTCCATCTTCGGCATGGGTATCTAGTGAGGTAGCGGGGCGCTGGATGGAGGCGCCGGGGGTCTTGCGACCGCTGAGGGACGAGTTGGGCCGGGACATGGCGGACGCTGGGCGAGACATAGCCGATACTGGGCGACTGCCGTAGCCCATGGTGTTGGAGAAACTGCCATTGGTCGAGCGAGTCGTTGTCGAGCCCACTCGCGTTGTGGACGAAGCGAATGAGTTGCCACGAGTGCGTGCATTGGTTGCACTGACGGGTTGGCGGGAGGCGGATGCTGATTTCTTGGGTTCGGGGGCATTTGTAGGCTTGGGACGAGTGGCTGCGACTATGGTCAGAATAGCTTTCATCATAACATTCGAGTGATGGTCCCGTACGAGACAGACTGCCTTTATTGGCGATTGAGCCCGGCGGAAGGATGCCGGACCGAGAGTTAGTGGTCGCTGGGTTCATCTCGCGCAGGCCAGGATGGGGGATGCGCGATCGCATAGAGGCACGGGATTGAGTCTGCGCAAATCAGTAACGGGGTTGCGCCCGCGGGGGCAAATGGAAGGATTGTTTACATTCTCGTCCATGTTGGAAGTCGTGGGTCGCCAGGTCACGGTGTAGACGATTCGGGCGAGGAGGCCGAACTCTCGTCCAGCCACGATTCAAATCAATTAAAGGATGGATGCGATGGACATCCGCGAGGTGAGAGCGGAGAGCATCTGAGTATGAGGAGCTCCGGTTCCTCCAGAGACGGGCGATAAACAAACGCTGACTCAGCATCCTGGGACGAGTGGGTTTGATGGTGGTATTGATATTACCGTATTTGTGACCGACCTCTGGCGCACGTGACTATTGTCATGCAGTTGCGCGGGGTTCAAAGTTGTTGATCTTTGTTGTGTTGCGGTGTTGCTTGTTTTTTTGCTTATTTGAATAGCGTATACTTTCAATCCTACGTCAATTCAATTGTCTCTCCTCTTGAACTTCACAGCCTGCCTGACGGGGATTTCTTATTTCTAAGCCGTCACAGTCGGATCGCAGACTCCACCAGGCCCACTCGAAACACCAGTTCCCGCATTCCTTTATTGCTGGAGAGGGCAGCTGGGCCTCATCTTTCATCCTCTCCTCTTGAGCTCTCCTGTTTCAACTTCATTGCCCTGCAGCCTGAAATATGTCCGGGCGATTTGTGCGTTCCTCCAAATACCGTATGTGATTGCTCTCTTCATCTACAAAGTCCCCGCTGACATCCTTGGAAGGCCACGTCTTCGGGCGTTCGACGAGAAAGGTACTTTTACTCCCGGAAGCGCAGGCTACGACATGTCCGTTAACATAGTCCTTAGGAACAATGCTACGATAACCTTCGCGTCTCCAGAAACGCTTGGGATACCAACCTGATCAAGGTCCGTTCGTTGCGCCATCGCCCCTGACCTCATCGCAACGGCGTTTGGTCTGACAATTCACGATCTAGGTTAATCCGAAACACCTTGCGGTCAATTGGGAAGCTGGTGGTGGCGGCGCTTTTGCTGTTATTCCTCTTGAGGAGCGTGGGAAGCTTCCGGAGCGCATCCCTCTGTTTCGGGGTCACACAGCAGTCGTGCTCGACACGGACTGGTATGGAGGTCTATCGGGTTGAAGTTGCGCATGATGGCTCACCCATTGTAGGAATCCTTTCAATGACGATCTGATTGCCTCGGGTTCCGACGATGGAAAGGTAGATACTATTTGTCCGAGGCCATGGTTGAACGCTGCTGACCAGGCTTAGATCTTCCTCTGGCGGGTTCCGGAGGACTTTACTGTGCGTCCCGATGTCGATGCCGATGACATCCAGGACATTGCACCTGTTGGCAAGCTGAGCGGTCATTCCAAGTGAGATTGCCCCTCCCCACGCGACGCGCAGAACTAAACGCTCCTGCAGGAAAGTTGGCCACGTGCTCTTCAATCCCGCGGCCGAAAACGTGCTGGCAACGGCCTCGGGCGACTATACTGTGAAGATCTGGGACATTGAGGCTGGTGCGCCTAAGCTGACTCTCAATGTCGGCGATATTGTGCAGTCCCAGTCTTGGAGTGGCAACGGCTCCTTGCTGGTCACCACCTCGCGTGACAAGAAGCTCCGCATTTGGGATGTCCGTCAGGAGCGCCCTGCCCACGAATCAAACGGACACTCGGGAGCCAAGAACAGCCGCGCTATCTGGCTTGGTGAGCGCGACCGGATCGCGACCACTGGTTTCTCCAAGATGAGTGACCGTCAATTGGCTCTGTGGGATGTCCGTGCTGCCCGTGAGCCTATTAGTGGCTTCAAAACCCTGGACTCCATTTCGGGCGTCTGCATGCCCTTCTGGGACGAGGGCAACAGCTGCTTGTACCTGGCTGGACGCGGGTGAGTGATCTTCCAGCATGGATATGGCCGGCGTTTTCTAACTGTTCCCAGTGATGGAAACATCCGATACTTCGAGATCGAGAACGATAAGTTCGAGTTCCTCTCAGAGTACAAGTCCGCCGACCCGCAGCGTGGTGTCGCATTTATGCCCAAGCGTGGTGTGAACATGCACGAGAACGAAATTGCCCGTGCATACAAGACTATCAACGACGGCTACATTGAGCCCATCTCGTTCATTGTACCCCGTCGCTCCGACAATTTCCAAGACGATATCTACCCGCCCACTCTCGGACTGACCCCTGCCATGAGCTCGTCCGAGTGGTTGGCTGGCAAGGAGGCCATTCCGCCCAAGATCTCCATGGCTAGCTTGTTTGAGGGTGAAGGCCTCAAGGAGGTCGAGAGTGTTAAGGAAAAGCCTACTACTACTTTTGATGCTCCCGAGCCCAAGCCTGCTGCTGAGCTTGTGGCCAAGAAGCCCGAGCCTGCTGTTGCGAAGCACGCCCCCGAGCCCGTTCCCGAGCCCACGCCGGTGGCCCGCCCTGCCCCGTCCATGAAGGAACAGGGTGGTGCCATGGCGGCCATGGTGAACAAATTTGCCGACGATGAAGAAGAGACTGAATCTGTGGATGATGACTCCAGCTTCGAGGAAGTCCCCAAACCCGTCGAGCGTGCCCGCTCGACTATCACCGAGGCCGCTTCCCCCAGAGTCAGCAGTCCTCTGCGGCCAAATGAGACCGAGGCCAAGCCCGAGCCCAAGCCCGAGCCCAAGCCCGAGCTCAAGGCCGAACCTGAGCCTGAACCTCGCTCAATTGTAAGTCCCCTCTTCCTCCGTCCATTCGTGCTCTCAACCATTCTAACATATTCAGACTCCCGCCGCTTCCTCCCCCACCGCTAGCGAGTCTGGCCTGCCCACTAGCGCCGTGCACCGCGAGATTGAGGAAATCAAGAACCTGATTGCAGAGCAGACCAGAACGATTGCGTCGCAGGCCAAGCAGATGCAAACTTTGACTTCTGAGATCGAGTCGTTGAAGAGCAAGCTGACCTAGCTTTTGTCTGATAACTCCGGACGGGAGGGTTTATGGTGAGTACTGTGGTGAGAATTTTGATGTTCAGCGTCGTGGGCTTGGATTTCGTCCTTGATTGTTGACGTACATGATGCACAAGTGCATGTGGATTCGCGGTCTTGTTTTTTTTTAGCGCATTTGTGAATACATTGGACTTCAAAAGTAATCATCTCAAGCAATTTGAGTTCCCCTTGAAGCTGACTTCTACCTGAGTGGGCTTTTGAATTGCCGATCTCTATATACATTGGGTCTTCCCCTCGACACAATTGCAGGTGGACATGTGGTGTTGGAGGGTGAGGGGACACAGTGGAAGATCTGAATAATATCTGGCATCCAGGTACATTTTTACAAGTCATCCATATGCTAATCCAGAACATTTGAACTCTCTAAAAGCTTTATCATTGAGCAACCTACGAATAGTGTAATCAAGAGTTAGATGACCACGTTTTGATTGGAGTCTCATGTCCTGGGTCTATCCAGTTGATATCTGGTCCCTTCTAGACACCTAATCTCCTATCTTATCTACTCCACAAACCACCGTCCTTCCGTCATAGAAGAAATGACATGCAAGAAGACAAAAAAAAAACGCGAAACCCCAGAAATAACCTCTAATTGATAGACGCCGCCCGTGCCATGAAAAAACTTTTGACCATCCTTCCAAATTCAAAGCTCATCCTCATATTTGAAGTTGATAGGACGGCCGCCTGCCATGCGCTCCGGTCGAGTATCACGACGACTCGATTTGCTGGGCTTGGTGCCTCTGTTTTGTTGCTCGCGCAGCATACGTTCGCGGTTGCGGGCTTCGCGTTCCAATGTATAGGGGTCCTTTTCTGCTTCCGGGGCTTTGGATTTTGGGAGGTCTGGGTATTCGTCTGGTGAGCGCTTGATGCGGCGGGCTTGTGGACGGGAATGATCGGTAGGAGACTTGGATCGATCACGGCGGGAGCGTTTGCGGTCTCGTTCTCGGTCCTTTACTCGTTCGCGCCGGTCTTTGTCTCGGCCATGGTCGCGATCTCGCGAGCGATCCTTGTCACGATGATCACGATCACGATCACGATCTCGTTCGCGGTCCCGGTCCCGGTCCCGGTCTCGGTCTCGGTCTCGGCGCCGAGTATCTCGAGGCTTGTCACGATCGTCTTCGTGGCGGCTGGATCGGTCTTGCCAGATCGATGACTGCTGACACGGCCAGCGAGGTCACCGGACTCAGAAGGTGTCTTGCGGCCGTTGGCCTCCCTCTCCTCTCTGGTCGCACTTACTCGGTCTGGGTTGCCTTCGCCATTCCTGCTATGGCTGCGGCTACGGCCGTGGCGGCGGAATCTGTGTGAACGGTCGTCATTCCGTCGGTCCCGATTACCTTCACGATGCCGAGATCGCGAGGGTCGACGCGAAGAGACACGAGATTGGGAGCGAGAGCGGCGGTCATCAAGACGTTTTGCACGGTCGTGATCTGCACGCCTCACATCGTGTTTTCGGTGGTTCAATCTGTCCTCGTCACTGCCGTTAGCATCAGGGGAACGAGGACGGGATGTCTGATGCTGTGAAGGGGAGCGAGATCGGGATCCTCTTCGCAGAGGTTGAGATGGCGCTTTTGACGGAGACCGAGGCTCCGCCGAGTCCTTTGGAGTTCCAGATACACCGCTGTATATTATTAGCATGTATCTCTCAACATGATAAATGAAGCCCTACCTTTGACATCCTGGTATACCACTCCCCCCGGAGCCTCGTGCTTGATGAAATCCGCGCTGCCGTAAGACGCTGGTATCGGCAAACCCTGGCGCATCGCGCGGGGTGCAGCCGGTGCACCTTCAACGCCGAGGCCGCGAGGCTGTTCTATCTGGGGCTGGTACGAGCCAGCCGATCCACCCCAGTACCCACGCCCAGTGCCTCGCATGTATCCGCCGCGTCCATAGCCCGAGCCTGTAGGACCTTGGTAGCCATTCATACCGGTAGACATCGATTGATCAAGACTGTCAATGGTCGGAATCCCCTGGAGTTGCTGTCCGTTGGCATCACCTGAGTTTTGCTCTGCATTCATACCTGTGTTGCCATCTGGGTTATTTTCCGATACGTGTTCTGCACCATTTCCGTTCACTTGCTCGGAGTCGTCAGTGCCAGCAGGCAATTCATCACTTCCTTCGTTAGAAATGGCTTGGTTAGGGAACGACTGGTTAATTGGACCTGTGAAACCACCTCTGCCAGGTCCAAAGTATCCTCGTCCACGACCGCGGAAACCACCACGGCCATAAGCAGAGCCATAGGTAGGACCAGAGTGAAAGTCGGGGTTGGAATGGTAAGACATATTAGACCCGCCAAATGCACCTCCATATGGAGGGCCTGTGCCATTTGCAAAAGCATTTGGATTGAATTTATCTTGGCCGCCTTGCCACATATTTTGTTGGAAGCCGTCCCATCCTAACGATCCATACATGCCCTGCCCGTTGAAGTTTATCCCCATGTTCATGCCCATACCAGTCATGTTCATTCCATAGTCTCCGAACATCCCCTGATTTGCGGCCATTGGGTCCATCGTCATGGGCATGCCTAAAATGAGTTAGTCGCTGATCGTTTGGAGGAATCTTGAGGGCAACATACCCATCGGGTTCGGAAAATTGAACATGCCATTTCCCATAAAAGGGTTCATTGGGTTTCCATTCCAGCCCATGGGGAAGCCCCCCGGGTCCCATGTTCATCATGTTGGTTCCCGTTTGCTGGACGGGGTCTTGAGCTGAGGCAGGATCTTCAGTCTCGACAGCCGGGTCTCCATTGAGCGACTTCGCGCCGGCATCGTTGCTGGCAGCCTCCGGGACATCATCGTTGCGTTCCGACTGTACCATTCGTTAGTGATATACTCGAGAACAAGTCAACAGATCTTCTCCAAGTACCTTTGCGGTGAGTCCTGACGTGGTTTCCTCCAATTGAACAGTATCCCGGTCTGCATGATTCTCTTCCGTTGTGTCAATGGCTAGGACTTCCGGTGCAGACTCGTCAGTCTTGGTCTCTATTGATGGAACCTCAGCAACCCCAGCTGGCGTGGCCTCAGCGGGCGTTTCTTCGACGGTATTTTCGGCATCGTTTTGCTCACTCTTCGCGAGAGTGGGCGCTGTGGGAGTGAGAGGTGCTGCAGAAAGGCGTTCCTTCTCGCGCTTTTTCTCTTCTGTCCGGAGGAATGCCTTAAGGGTCGTGCGTAGAGCTTTGTTGGGTTTGCAAAGATCAGGAGACACAGGAGTGTGCGCGCAGACGGGACAGGTATCGGTGAGGGATGTTTGGCCTAATGGGTTCATAGTCAGTCGTGTGTTGTTAGTGGTGTGGAAAACCGGCGTCATACAGGTCTCGCAGATTGACTGGTCGCAGCAGGGAAGGCGGAATGCGTTCACCGCCAGCTTGCTGCAGATGGCGCATCGTAGCTTGAAGGGGATTTCATCCGGGGAGAGAGTGCTGGCAGTCAACATTGATCAGTCCGGGTCACAAAGCACCAGCGTGGAACTTACCTGACGATGTCCAAGAGACCCGCCGGCGGATCCGCCGCAGCCATGGCTGGAACAGATAACTTGACGACTGCTCGGCGAAGCAGAGGGAAAAGCACAAGCACAAGCAAAAGCAAAACGCAAAAGAGAGGCCGGCGGGGTGGAAAAGACGATGCAAGCGATGATATTGAATTTGGCCGGAGAAATGGTTCCGCCGATCTACAGGTCCTGAAGAAAAGAATCAGGGAGCTTCAAGGGAACTAGGTGGGGGGGGGGGGAAGTTGATATGAGAAATTAGTACCCAAGCAGTGCACAAGTGACATGAATTGACGGCGTCTCAGATTAGATCAAGTTATTTTAGGTCCATCACCAGCCAGCGCAGCGATACCAACTCGTGGTTTCATCTGGTAGCCTCCGGACGGTGTCATCATCATCGACAGTCATTACAGCCAGGGTCCAGAGGTACGAGGGCAACAGATCAGGGGGAAATGGGGTAGAATAATCATTCGCAAGTTAAATATATAGAATAAGAACCGAACAAAAACACGATAAGCTCGACTATGCACGCGTGAAGGTGAAAGAGCAAAGGCAAAGACTAAGTAAAGGGCCGGAATTCGAATTTAAAAAGGGCAAAGTCGCCCGCCCCATCGAGTCCGTCTCCGAGCTCCATTTTCTCTCGCTTGGCACAAACTAGTGAACTTGCAGCATGAGCGAGTATCGTCCACGCTCCCCAGACCTTTCTTCTCTTCCTCCCTCCCACCCCACTCGCTACGCGCCTTTGAGCCCTCTTGCTCATCGCGCCTCCTACGACGCCTCACCTTTCTTTCATCCCGCCCAACCAGGTCGCGTCGAACAGTACGTGCCGCCAGACAATATGGCTCGCCGTTCCTCTCGCTTGCAAGATGATGCGCCCCTCCCCGCTCTCAGGTGCAATGCCAGACACAATGTCGGATACAATGTCAGACACAAGGCCAGAAATGCCCGTGATGCCCGCAGTGTCCACGATGCCCGCGATGTCCGCGATGCCCGACGAAATTCCACAGGCGCGTCCCGGCGCGGGGATCGAGGTCAAGACCAAGTTCCCAGTCGCGCGCATCAAGCGCATTATGCAGGCTGATGAGGATGTCGGCAAGGTCGCTCAAGTCACGCCGATCGCAGTTTGTAGGTTATGGGCAACAGACAAGTTTCTCACGGAATCGCTAACCTTCCCGCAGCCAAAGCACTAGAGCTCTTCATGATCTCGCTCGTCACAAAAGCCGCTCATGAAGCCAAAGAACGTAATTCGAAGCGCGTCACGGCGTCTCATTTGAAGCACGCGGTGGCCAAGGACGAGGTGCTGGACTTTTTGGCCGACATCATCGCCAAGGTGCCCGATCAACCTGCCGGTCGGAAACACGAAGATGACGGCAGTGATCAAAACGAAGGGCGTCGGAAGCGTGGTGGTCGGCGACCCAAAGAGGAGAGCGACTAGAGCCAAAGGAAAAAGTCACGATTGACGAGGTAGAGGGTTGGTAACTGGCGCATGAGATCGATTTGCTTTGCGGCGTTGGCGGAATGGTTTGATTCAGGCGCATTTTCCTGTAAATAATTATATGGACCGAGGAATCCCGGTCAACTGGAAGGAAACAATTAGGCCACAAGATGAAGTGGTGCAAGTGGTGAAGTTAGGTCTTTCGAGGCCTGTTCGTCTTCTAGACCTTTGCGTCGTAGATTTAAGTACCCCAAGGTCACAGCTCGGAGCGGGCGAGATCGGCTCCACTACTCGTACCTCCCCTTCTTTCCCTTAAGACTATGCTGGCTGGAGATGGACTTTGTACGTGTTTGAACATTTCCCACGATTCCCTTGCTAATTCTGGAGATAGTGGTCTCGTCTCATCGGCGGCTCGCGCGCGCTGTCCAAGACCTCGCGGACCAGATCACCCACGGAACGACTTACGGCGTTTAGACGCGCCTGCAATGCCCTCCAGGTAAACTGAGTTGCTTCATTGTGTCTGCCCTGACTGACTCAATTGGAAACCAGCAAATATGGCGCTCTACCAATACTCCCTCCGCCGAGCAGTCAACCGCCCACGCGCGATCCTACCTTGAGCGCCTCAACTCCATCCTCAATGACGAGTCCCGCGGACCAGCACCACATCCGTGTGTGGCCTACGCGGCTTCTTCTCAAATATTTGTAACGGTCACCAAGCTTGCTTTATCATACTACGACGATGGGGTGTTGCGGTCCGCCACTGTCTTTTTCAACACTCTCATCGATGCCGAGGTGGACGGGGTTGTGGATAACAGGTTGTTCGCTCGCGCGTTAGTGGATCTAGTCCGACGCGCTGACAAGACATCGGGCGAAATTGAAGGGAGATTAGTCGAGCTGCTGTTTGGCATTGCCAACAACATCCGTCTGCAACCCGCCATCTTACCTGCATGGTTCGTGCCCCGGGCGACTCCTATCGGTCCGGACAGGGAGTCGACAGCTCCGACGGAGTTCGCTGGTGCCACTCGCAAGGATGAGTTCCCACTGTTTTACCTACTGGTCGACTACGTTCATAATGATGGTCGCGCGGGTGACTTCGCGCGTACGGGGCTGTTGTATCTCATCGAGACAGCGTCGCGCTCCAAGAACCTGGAGAAATGGTTGATCGAGAGTGATTTGGCCACACTGATGGCTACCGGACTGGGTGCGCTGTATAGTCAACTAGGAAGGTGAGTAGGTTGCTGCCCGATAAGTAAGACGAGATAATTGACCATATTTAGCTTGGAATATGCGTCCACCGACGACAACGTCCCACGCATCATCGAGCTATCTGATCATGCGAAGGAGGTCACGGCCTTGCAGCCCGCACTCGGCGAAACTATGGACGCGTTCATGTCTTACCTGTTGTTTTGGCAGGACACCATCGACCACTGCAAATCCGCCGAGGTCAACGACACCCTGTTGGACCATTTCCAGGTGCTATTTCTTGAACAACTCTTGTGAGATCAGAGCTCCGCCGTTGTGTCATCTTGCGCTAATATACCTAGATACCCCTCATTGTTGGAATCGTCTGATGTCGCAGGTGGTTCGACAGCAGCCGTACTGACCTACATGTGCCGGATCTTGGATTCAATCGACCAGGGCGAATTGGTCCACCGGATACTGCATTTCCTACTTGCTTCTTCTCCACCATCCGAGGAACAGATGGACATGTCAGCAAGTCGCCGAAAGTCCCTCAATGTTTTGGCAGCGTTAGCCTCCGAAGCCGCTCAGCCTTCTCCCTCACTCTTCAACCTACGAGACCTTGTCCTGCTGGGTCTTCAATCCTCTAATCGTCAGACGGTTCTGGCCACTCTACGACTGCTGAACGTTGTCCTGCAGCGACATCACCCGTTCTCTCGGGCGTTGATCCACACTGTACCCAGCCAACCCGCGCAGCAAAGGTCCGTCGGTGCATTCAATGCAGAGCTCGAACAGCTTCTGACTCTTAGTACATCCATTTTTGATGACCCGAGTTTGAACGAGTCCTTTGAAGAGTACGTTGCGGACGCCACATGGACACTCGAATCCCGCCTTTGCATCCCGGTTTCTGCTGCAGACGAGGCCGAAGATGCGATTCCCTTGCCATTGCAGCTCCAGCAGGACGACCCGATTGTCCAGGGTCTTCTCCACTGCGTTGAGTCATTTTTCACCAACAGCGTGATCGTCAACCTCGCATTGACCGGAGTCTTGATGAGTCTGGCCTCGTCGCACCTGTTCTCATTGGACGGCTGGATATTAGTCGACCCAGCCAGCTATGACACATCTGGGGAATCGCACGAGCTCGACCCCATTCACCGAGCATATCAAATCCCATCTTGGTCCGCAACCGCCAAACCGACCCTGACCGCGGCCCTTGAACGACTCGTAGACCAGGTTCGCCAATGGCAGCAGGATCTGCCCGATTTCGATGTCCTAGTTGCTGCCCGGCGCGATTTGCTGCATCTAAGGGATCGGCCAGAAACGCCCTCCCGTTCGCAACAGCCGTCTGAACCAATCTCGGATCGTTCGCGCCCCTCGTACCCGGATCACCCGATGCCTCTCTTCCTGCATCCCGAGGTCGATCTCCGAATCCTATCAGTACCCCAGCCGTGGCTTCCCTGAGAGGTGAGTCCTCGCGACCGACTGAGTCGCGTGGATCATCAGCCTCGCGGGCAGCGACTGCAGAGACCCTGCGCCAGCGACTAGCGACTCCATTCCCGCCCCGCGAGGCGTCAGACGGGGAAAGTGCCGATCCCGAAAATGCCCCGGTCACGCTAGGCCACGTGCTAACGAATGTGGTGATTTTATACGAGTTTCTCCTGGAGCTTTCGGCGGTGGTGCAAGCCCGGGGGAGTCTGTTCGAGGAGGCCGGCTATATGTGAAAATAGACACCCCATTTTCTTTCCAAATTCTACGCGAGAGACCATTTCGTGGTATGTAATCTCGAATTTTTTGGAGGAGACCGGAGTCGAATATCTTCAGGTACATCATGTAAATCATGTAAATGCAAGGTTTAATGATCGCCAAGCGGGACCCACTTGGCTCAGGTTGATGCAAGCGTGTTGGTTTCGCAGACGCAGATTGGACGGCACTTGGCCACCTTGTCTATTCATTTCTCTCTCGTCCCTTCTCCTGTCTCCTTTCCCAATGTGCTTGATTTTCCCCTGCCACTTCTTGGCGTTCCCTTTCCGTTTTAGGGCTCAAGCCTTGCCGCTTGCTCAGTGTGTATCACGTGATCGGTCTGAGCAGCTCAGTGAGTCTGACTCCGAGCGCCCAGAGGAAATCAAGTACGCATAGCGACCTATATACACCGTCATATCCGCGGCATACACGGCATACACGGCATGCCCAGCCATGGCTTCTCTTGACTTGGACCGCGACCACCGCGAAGACGCTCCGTTTCTCGATACCCCTGAAATTGCGCCCCATGTCGAGAACAAACCGGTGCATCCGGAGCGTAATACGGCACCCAGCACAATTACCTTCCGGTTGAAGGTGATATTGTTCGCCATGGTGCTAGCGGTCGAAGTAGGATTCTCTTTCCTCGATGGCCCCATGGTGCGCATCCTAGAATCTATCGCTTGTCGACAATACTACAACGAAGCGGATCCCTCGCAGATCGGGGCCAATGGCCAGGTTCCCGAAGCTTTGTGCAAGATTGGTGAAGTCCAGGCGGAGCTGGCAGCAGTCAAAGGATATCATATGTTCTTTGATGGCTTATTGAGTATGTGCAAATGCGGCAGTGAATGATTCAGGGTCCGGTTCTAACTCGGTGTGCAGGCGCACTCATGGCCATCCCGTACGGTCTGCTGGCAGATCGGAAGGGTCGCAAATCGACCCTCGCCTGGGGAATCCCTGGTTTCGCTATCAACTCCATCATAACCATTGTCGTTCTGTGGTTCTCGAACATATTTCCGCTACGGGCGGTCTGGGTGTCCTCCCTGGCGTGGCTGATTGGGGGCGGCCCGGTCGTGGCATTCGCGATCATTTGGACCATGATGGCTGATGTTACCACCGAGCTGGAGAGAGCCCAATTGTTCTTCCAGTTTGGCATTGTCTCGATGGCATCCGAATTCATTTCTGGGGCCTTTAGCTCGTATCTGATGGCCATGAACCCATGGGTGCCATTCCTCGTCGGTTTCGGTATTGTTCACGTTGGTCTATTATTCATTCTTCTCCTGCCTGAGACGATGCATGCCATACCATCTCGGGAGCTCGAGCCCGAGCCTTCACCTGTTGAGATGTCCGAGCTGGCCGACGCCGAGCTTAAGCCTCGATTCTCAACTCAGGGGCAGTATCACGATGAAAGCGATGTCGATGTGGCTTCCGGGCAGCACGATCACTTGACCTGGAGTTATCCGTCCCAAGAGCGCGATTCTTTCTGGGCGAAGTGCCGAGCTAAATACCAATACTATATGAGGCCATATCTCTTCATCCTGAACCGCAAACCTGTCATCCTCCTCCTGACGTCATTTTTGGTATATCGGCTCAGCCGTGGCTCTTCGTGGTTTCTGTCACAATACGTCTCGACACGCTATCATTGGACATTGGCCCAGGCCAACATGCTCGTCTCGTCCCGGCCAACCATCTCCATCCCTGTGTTCCTGTGGGTTTTACCTTGGCTCAAACGCCGTGTGCTGAGCCCGCGAAAGACAGCCACGGAGAAGGACCTTTGGCTGGCTCGTGCAAGTATTCTCTTCCTCACTATAGGCACACTCGGAATTGGACTCTCGCCGTCCATCGCCACCCTGGTTCCCGCCATGATCATCCAAACCTCAGGATCGGGCTTTATGTTTCTCGCCCGATCTATTGTAACAACCCTGGTCAATCGTGACGAGACCGCTCGTCTTTATACGGTGATTGAGATCCTCCAATCCGTGGGCAACATTGTTGCCAGTCTCTCGATTACAGGCGTCTTCCAACTCGGTCTCCGACTGGGTGGCTTCTGGATCGGTCTGGCTTGGATGATGACTAGTACGTTGTTTTGCATGGTTGGCGCTGCCATTTGGTGTTTCAAATTGCCGCCGACATCTGCACCCCGCACACCGGAATTTGTAGTAGGGGATTTAGAAGAAGATCCATGATTGCACATTAGCATATAGATTCTGCATTTCATAGATCACGGGCCATTTCTTGGGAGTTTAGGGTCTTTTTCAACATGATTTCCAAATACATATCTAACGAATACTTTCATTCATCACAATTACCGTGTTTAAAAGACTGGGGAGAACTGCAGGCCAGGAATGTTCACCCTCGATGTTGCACTGACAGGATACTCATCCCGAGTCATGATTGAAAATCTCCTCGTCATGTCGAACGGGCTCGAATGATTTGAAGTACTGGAATTCTTTAAGATTGCTCCTCAGGTGGGTGAATATATTACCAAGGTTAGTTGTCATGTAAGCAGGCTTCAGGCGCGAAATGCCCAAAAATTGCCACAGCTAAGTGAGCCAGAGAGTTCAATGATTGGGGCTTCCATATGACTGACATAGACCTTTTTTGAACTTGAGTCTTAATTCTTCGAAGATCACCTCGAGGAGTAGTTCGCCAAGGAATAGGTGAAGCCCCCCACCTGGACGCGTGTTCGTCGTTGACTCTGCCGGTCTGTAGCTCACCGCTTTGTTCACCGCGCTGTCATCTTCACATGGCAAAGTTCTGTGAATCCTCAGCTGTCATCCGTTATCGCTGACAATGGAGAAATTCTCTCAGTTTCGGGATCGAGGTAGGCAGCTACAGCTTCCCTGTCAAAACCACAGCTGACAGATACTAGGCTCGGGCATTGCGCCCTTTCTCCCCATTCCCTCAGAACCACTGGGGCTGCAAGCACCCCTCCGAATCTTCCTCTTTTGCTTCCGCCTACCCCTATTCCTTTTTGTGACCTTGGCCTACTTCCTGCTTTTGCAATGGCTTCCTATAGGTTCACTGGGCAAGAAAGCCGCGTTGTGGTGCATTCTCGGCGTTCCAAGTATCTGGTGGATTGATCTGCAGGTGGACGGTGTTCGGAAAGGGTCCGTTTCTCAATTTATCACGCATAATTCTCGCAGCAGCTAATTATTTTACTGGATAGATCTCTTTCTAAACATCAGCAAGCTCGTCTCCCGCAGCCTGGCTCTCTTATCGCCTCCTCTTTTACCTCTCCCATCGACGCCGTCTACTTGGCCGCGATATTCGATCCGGTTTTCACCGCATCTTACCCAAACACTCGACAGGTTGAGCGGATATCTCTTCTCCAGGCTGTTCTACGAGCCTTCGCATCGCCCATGACCCGCCCCGAGCCTGGCACAAAATTGGTGGATGTCGCCAGTCTGATCGAGAAGTATCCTACTCGGCCGATTGTGATCTTCCCTGAGTGCACGACTACTAACGGCCGTGCAATCTTGCCCTTAAGCGAGTCGTTAATTGGTGCTCCCGATAAAACGAAGATCTTCCCCGTCAGCCTGCGGTACTCGCCCGTGGATGTCGTGACTCCTCTTCCGGGAAGCTACCTCAGCTTCCTGTGGACATTGCTCAGTAAGCCCACACACTGCATTCGCGTGCGTATTGCCGAGGCTGTGACTATTGCCCGCAACCCGTTGGATACTTCACCCGCGCGCTCGACGCGCAAATCAACCTACAGCACTAATTATCTTGACACACTGGACGAGTTGACTGCGGATGGCGAGGCCGTGATGGAAAAGGCGATGCTGGATCATGTAGGCGAGTCACTTGCTCGCATGGGCCGCGTGAAGCGTGTGGGACTTGGCGTCAAGGACAAGCAGGACTTTGTCCGTATGTGGAGTAAGACTCGGTCTACGTGGTGATGGTAACGGTTTTCGTACTTTCCATTTGCGCTTATAGAATCTTGAATTTACCCTATATCTGGCTATTCTCAACGCTTTGTTCAATATGTCTCCGTCATGGAGTGAAGGCTGCGTCTCAATCTGGGGTATCATAGACAACCAGTCAATCGATACAAAGGAAGCCGCAGGCAAAGCTCTGAGGGACATGAACATGAGAATGATGTTTACAAAGCTCACGATTGCATACACCGACAACCAGTACCATCTGAAAGCCACTGTTTGGGGAGATTACCATTTAATGGTCAATGGCTTGGTCTTGTTGTCAAGTGAACAGTAGATGCAATAGTCTTGCCACGCACATACGATTTACAGTGGCCGGGCCATCAGGAATGCAAAGAGCAAGTCCGCCACGATATCTCCCCTGCTCGAGTTGGAAATGAGAAATTCCGACAAGAACGATTAGCGTCAAGACAAGTCATCCATGGAAGTTAAGCCACAGAGGGCTAACCCGATTCCAACGTCTCTTCGTCGGTGTTCTTCCGAGTCGTGGTTGGGTCGACGTTGTCCATCTCTCTTTGCGATTGAAGCTCGGCAGACTGCTCTCTTTTGCCAGGCGTTGTCTTAGCCTTCATAGAATGACGACACAGATCCGGCGCTTTCATCTTGCCGGTCATTCTGACCTCCCGGCAGAGCTTCTGTATACTAACAGAAATACTTGGCGGGATAGCGGAATCGAGGGTGACCTCGTGCTTTATACTTGTCCTCTTTTCTTCTTCTTCTTCTTCTTCTTCTCTTCATCATCTTCTTATCATCATCATCATCATCTTCTTCTTCTTTTGATTGGGAGTGCGGGCTCGATTTAAAGTCTTCGAGCTCTCGTCTTAATAGAGTGAGGAAACGGATGCTCTTCAAGATAATTATCGTAGAAAATGGGTGAATTATTTCAAAGTAAACGTGTGTTACCTATTGCATATGACTAAATCGACGAACGTTTGAGTGAATAACAAGTCAATAATCTGTTCACACGAAGAACGGTATTAATGGAAGTGGAGCTTGGATTAATATTAGAGTGCTGAGCTAAACCTAAACGGGACTAGACCGCTGTGGTAACATTACATTGTCTACTATAGAATATGACATGAATGAAGAGAGCAAGTGCAACAGCTGTCCACGACTTCGAACTTTGGCAGCCAGACGTTTTTCTTTCCCTCATCCACTACAGTCGATACAATGGCCACCACCGGCCCATCTAACACAATTTGTCCAGATGCTTTCCCCAATTTCTTCGCTATGGGACGCCGGAGGACTCAGCAAGATCTTGCTGGGCGCGAGTTCCTGACACACTGCCCCCCGGACCTTCCCCCCCGACATCGCATATTAGCCCTCCTGGGCATTACAGACAAAGACGGCCTCGCTAGCCCTAGTGAGGATGGATGGTTCGCGTCAGACTTCTACATGTTTCACCATCTCTTATCCCCTCAATTTCCACGACGTGGGTGTTCCCTCATCTGTTGTCTTGTGCGATCTCTGCTAATCTTACGAGTATCACTAGCATCTAACCAAATATAGTTGACGTGCGAAGACCCGTCGGCCCTCGTCACAAAATACCATGAATACCTTCATGGTAACTCGGAAGGTGACCGTCGGGCAGTACTAGATGGCGAGAGACTTCCAATCATCTTAGGGGCTGGGAACCTGCAAGTTGTGCCACGGAAGGACCTTCTTGAGAGGTACCTCAGCACACTGAAAGAGCAAGTGGCCGAAGCGGCTCGCTGTGACGAGCATCTGGTCCTACTGATTTTTGGCCACGGCACCAAAGCCCATGGGATAGAGGTTGGAGGCTCCACCCTGCATATGAAAGACCTCCGCCATGTACTGCGACCAATGTCCTCCACCACCATCTTCACCACGTCGTGCTACTCCGGTGGCTGGCTCGTCTGCCCAGACATCAACCAACAGCAGCTGAACGCCACAGCTATAACAGCAGCAGGCAAAGGGACTGAGTCATCATCGTGGGCTCTCAGCGGAAGTGTTGGGCGCGCCAGCGGTAGCTTAGCCGCCTCCGCCATTCTACGCTGTCTGATAGGTGTCGAGGACGCAACCCAGGAGAGCACAGAGCATCCCACTTACATTGAATTTTCGAAGTCCGTGTATGAGTGCGTGAAGGGGATGGGAGCACTCGGTAATTCCCAGGAGATCTACTTCTCTGCGGAAAACGACGAGTGGGAGACAAGTTACCAGCCTCGTCTCGGTCTGCCCCTAGCGTCGTACATGGACAAGTGGCTGTCCCTACGAAAGGTGCCTCCCTCCCCTTCCTCGGCCAGTGGCGGCCGGGGCCAGCGAAGACTGGCGGCCGACGCCTCAAACGCCTAAAGTACCTCGCAGAAGAGTACTTTGCCGCAAAGCCCGGTCCGAACGAAACCGCTTCGAATATTGGCCTGCATAATTGTCTCCGATCAGTCCTCAAGGGTGCTACCTACTCGAAAGAAAAGGTAGATGACCTGACGGAAACCACGTCTTACAGGCTAGGGGCAATGTACGAAGCAGACTATCTAAGGGAGGCGGTAGGGTTGAACTTCCCCTCAATCTTCGGCATGGAGATTCCCTGGGGACTTATGATGAATAAGTCCCGCAACCGGGAGTGGTACTCAAAAGCATGGAGTTTGCTTCTGGATCGGAATATCTGTACAGATCTAATTGGGATCCGCCTGTTTTACCCTAAACCCGTCCAGTACCTTGCAATTGCGCTGGTGAATTCATCTACGTCCTGGGAGATGATCCAGGGCCATGTGGAGGCTATGGCCTCCAAGAAGAAGGCCTGGTTTCGATTCATCTACAGGGCTTGGATGGGAAACCGAGTCGCCCATGACGAAGGTGTGGTGAAGAGCAGGCGGGCATTCCTAGAGGCTTGCAAAACGCTCAGGTATTAAACACGACCGACGCCGTCGGCACACAGGACGCGATAGCCTCTTTTGAACGTTCACCCTCCCACTGCAAACACATATTACTGTGCCCATACTTTATTGCTGCATTGCTCTCATGTCTCCCACGAGTTCCATCGCTTAGTTCGCTTTCCTCCCCATCATAGCTCTTAGTACAATCCATATTGTATTTTTATGATCTCGTCTATTTGCCTATAGACTCAAACAGGTCATAAGCCCGGGGACAAGAATAGTAATGCTGATAGGGTGGTCAAGTAGCAGGCTCGATTGTGGCATAACACGTTGCAGTACTCTTACTAGGATAAATAAGCATAGTGAGAAAGAGAAGGGCTTTACGTGAGGTATTACATGGATACACTTATCATCAGAGCACATATCTAGTGTGGTAGGATAGCTACCGCACCCGATCAGAATAGAACAACTCGACTTTCATTATCCCTTCATCAAATGTTAGTACTATAAACATTCTAAAAATTTTTCTCTAATAACCTAGGATTTTCTGGCAGCAGGCCCAGGGAGACTCTCGCGAATGGAAACTGCGAGTCAACCCCCCCTTGACTGAGTGTAATATGAATAACACAGATATTTTTGCTTAGCTTGATCCCTTTCAGAGAGCCTGGAAGCTTAGATTTCATTCAAAACCTCTATCCCAACCTACATCGTAGCATCGAAATACAAAATTTATGATCCAGTCCATCAAGCTACTGCTTGACTTCTTCTTTGTGAAAGATATCTAATTCCATTAGAAAGAGCGTCGATAAATCTCACCCGGAAGAACCGAACTCACTTGGTATCTCTGGCATCCAGCTCGCTCGGGATTTGCAGAAGAACTCGCCCTTTGGAGGCAATGCTTCGGGGTCATCTAGAGACCCTACGCAGATGTAACGGAATTGATCCTTGGCAGTCTCCTATTCAACCTTGTCAGCCACTAGTACTTCTACCATACTGAAGCTCACTTACCCCATATTCCAATATGAAGCTGCCACAATTTTCGCAAAACTCACGATATATCACAGCACCAGAGCCGTTGTCTGCCGCATGTTCCTTGGGCTTTCCTGCGATAAGGTGGAATGCATCTTTAGGAACTTTGGCTGTAAGCCCGTAATTTGTTCCGAATGCTTTCTGTCAAGGGATCTTGGTCAGGAACGTGAATGGTGGGTTCGATAAGCAGAATCTTTTATACTTTACAGTTGCGACAATGACAAAGGGAGGTCCGGGCATCGTCTGGGGAGTCTAACTGTAGCTCGTATTCGATATTGTGACAAAAGCACGAGCCCGAGTATGTCGGCATCTTCTCGAAAAATTTGTGCTATTGTTTTCTGTCAATGTTGCAAAACGGGTTGCAACAGGGCGGGCGATGGGTCAATCTTAGAAACAATGTAGTGACGTCACTTGACGTTACGGCTCGTTGATCTGGATTCGTTGGCAATAAAAACAGGGCCGCTCATCAATGTGTGTGTGTACAGCTTGATTTGACTTTTCAAAAACTGCTTCGTTTTCTTGAAATGCTAGACCTATACTCAAGTTCATCATAATTAGCTAGAAGCTCATCGAATGCTATGAGAATGGCGCAGTCTATATTCGTATTCGGCTTCGACAAATTTGCAGAATGCTTAAAAGACTGGCCCCCGGTCACTGGGTCCCTCTATTTCCCACTCCAGTGTCAAGTATGACATATTAGAAGGTATCGATGATATTTTTATTCGTTGGAATATTGACTTTGGACTGCACTTTTCGCCGTGACGCTCTTGATCACCATGTCAGGAGCGAGAAGCTTTTTACGAATGAAGACCCCATTGAGATAGTCATTGCTATCCACCCGCCTATATCCATCTTCTATGCTCTTTTCAACCCCTGTATGAACATGACGCTTGGCAGTTCGCTCACGGGCTTCCTGTAGATCGGTATCGACGAAGATCTTGTAGTCAACCAGCTTGGCCAGATCTCTCCAGCCAGGCTCGTCCAGAAGGAGGTAATTACCCTCAATAATGATGATTGACACATCCGGTGTTATAAGGATGCCATCTTCGACCGGGTCTTTAGCTTTGTGATCAAACGTCGGTGCTCGTATGATTTCATTTTCAGTCCATGTCCCCGAGTGTGGAGCTGCTAAAGGTGTCTTGTCCGCCCAGATTCGAAGCCGGCCGACGAACTCTACGAACCGTGCCAGGTCGAAGGTCCACGGTGCGCCCCGTCGGACGTATGCCTCTGTAGAGTTGGGTAACTTGTCCAGGTCCGCCCGTGGCAGATGGAAACCATCCATCGAGAGAAGGATCGCATGCACCTTGGGAGCAATATTGAGTTGCCGGACCACAGCCTCCGCAGTGGTGGTCTTTCCGGAACCAGGGACTCCTGCGATGGCAACGAGATAGCGCAGTTTGGAGTGGCTGCTGGCCTTTTGGCAGATTATTCCCGCCAGCTTTCGGTACTCGTTTTCCATCTAATGTCGATTTAATCTATGAGCGACCAGAATATGAGACGAGCAACTCACATTGAGCCAACTCAACGCCGCATACGTAAGAAACGGTTTGACGTCAAGTCATCAAGAGCGAATCGAGTCAACTCGGGATCAACGGTTCATGGCGATATAGAAGAAGGGTAGAGTCAGTTGGTGACCCAGCATGAATGTTCTTATAGAATGATTGACTGTTGCTTGTTCAGTGGTATGTCTGTCGGGGCAGAGCGACCCGCGGGTCACAGTGCTCCGATTCCCCACGCCCTGAGCATCGGTCTTGATCCGAGTCGGATAGCCGGCTTGTCTCTCGTAGCCACATGGCTATACTCCGATGATCTAATCAGAATAGAAATGTGGATATTGCGGGGTGGGGGTAACATGTACTACCCGTCGCCCTTGACCCAGAGCGCCAAATGGCCAATATCATCTCCCTTTTGACATGAGATTGATCATTCAGCGCCCAGGGTCCATTCATACGGGAGAAATGACCTGTTCAAAGTCCTTCTACTTCCGGGTTATTAAAAGATCGCTAAGATTTCATGTTCATGATAATGTTCTCTCGGTGGTGCGCTGAGAATCTCCCCCCCTTGGAGCATTTCCCGAAATCGCCATTTATCTCCGTGTATCTCTCCATCGAGCATAGAGGCGAGAAAGAGAAGAACAATGGTTCGAAATAAAATCATCACTCACTACCCGGTACCCGCAGTCTCAGCCAGCCCTCTGTATGATGAAGCGCGCAATTGAGGCACGGCGGCGAGGCGAGGTTGAAGTTTAGGCGGGCCGGGATTCACATAGAAGCAAAGTAGCTGCTGCTGATAGCAATGTGAACATTGCGGCTTTGCATGGTCGCAGGCAACATGCCATTCCCGACAAGCCTTGCAACCGGGAGAGTCGATATAAGTTGGTGTGGGAGCGCGGGCGGTTTCGCAGCCCCACAACGAAGGCCACAGCCACTTGAAGAGGCGAGCGCAGAATCCCCGCGAGATCGGTTCGATCGGACGTCTCGATTTAGCGGAATTGTCCGAGCTGGTCCTGATCAGCAGTGATCTCGGACACTGGCACCGGGCTTGTACAGTCCAGATTCTAATGAGCACTCACCGTGGGCTCGCCATAGTGGAGGAAGAGAGAGAAAGAGAAAGAGAGAGAGAGAGGGGGAGTGGAACGACGCACCTAGGAAGGGGAGAGAGAGAGGGATCAAGAGTAAAGGGCCAAAGTGCACACAGCACACAGCAAGGAGCAGACTCTCAGACCGCTTCAGCCCTCGCCAGATTCCCGAATTCCACGTTACCTTCATAAATGGCGCAAGGTGTCCGATGATCGTGGGTTGGTGACGCTGAACTGGTCATCCGACTCCACTCGCGCACCGGAATATCTTTCCACGAGTCTCGAGGTTCGGAAGTTGAGGGCCGAAATCATAGTACAGACCCTGCCCGGTCAGCCCTGTAAGCCCTGCAAGGCACAATCGTCATGACCACTCCCCGCTGCATCAGGAGCAAGCTTACTCGGCCTCGTATAGTTCATGCACTACACGATGCGCCTCACTGACACCATCTGCGATGATCATCGGGAGATCCAGTCTTACTACGATTTGACCTACAATGCCGGAGATGCCGACGAACAAAGTCGATTTCAAAACCAATTCACATGGGAACTCGCCCGTCATGTCGTAGGCGAAGAACTAGTGCTGTACCCCGCGCTAGAAGCACAGCTGCCCAATGCCGATATCAGTGATGATCGGCAACGACATCGCGCCGTGAGTCCCCTTTCACCTGGGTGGCATGGGCAGCAAAAGTGACTCGATACAGATCAAAGAAAAGCTCGGGGTCTTTCAGAGCTTGAGCTGCTCCGATCCTCGCTTCATCCCTACGATGACAATTCTGATGGAAGATCTCTTAGCCCACATCCACATTGAGGAGACACTGGATCTCGTTCAACTAGAGTCTGCCATCACAGCCGAGGAGAGCGATCGCCTCGCCCGTGCTTTTGACCGCGCCAAGTTGTTCGCCCCAACCCGAGCCCATCCCGACTTGCCCAATCCGCCCTACGAGACGGTAGCCGATTTCGTAGCTGCTCCACTGGACCATCTATGGGATCTGTTTCGACGCTGGCCGGGCGATGGATTGACTCCAATCCCAGAAATGGATTAGTTCGACGCCATTGGGGAACTCTCCGGCAAAATATTGAGGCTTCTATCCTAGCCACCCCACACGACACGCAGTCTCGGCCGAGTGCTGCCCATTCGATTTGGAGAACACAGCCAACAATGGTTCACAAAGTGAGTCCTCTGATCATATTGGCGCGGTTTGTAAAGCGTTTTGCCTCTGAATGCCACTTTCGCATCGGGGATTGGGCTTCGAGAGCTTTCATGAAACAATACGTCAACGCCTCGTCAGACAGAGGCAAAGGCGTGGTGAGAACCACAGAATGCTATGATTCCAGATACTTCGAAGCCCCAGACTCGCGGTTCGTGGCTGTCAGTATGAAGTGATAAGCTTAAACCATTCATTCCAAATCCCGAAACGACAGGAGGGACCCACTCATTGCTGTAGAAATTCTCTCGACTTACGACCCGTTTAGCCGCTTGCAAGCCTTCTCGCCGCCTTGAATCATGAAAGTAGAAAATCGCCAATGAATTTCGCGATCATTGGATATGCAAACACAGTATCTGTAAAGCACAATGATGTCAGTCTCGCCTTGAGTGGCCACGGACCAGCCCCTAGGAGATGGAGATGGCATAAATATCGGCCAGATGTCCCGGGCGCTTCTAGCAGACTAGTCACCGCCGCATCACACTGGCCGGGTTTACGTTCTTTTGCCAAACTTGACATTCGTTTAGTCATCATTAACCCGGATCCGATCTTTACAATGTCCAACCGGGTGGACCCGATCAAAGGGGCCCAATGTACCTACGAGCCGGGGGATAAAACACCCCGGCCCAAGACCAACCGCACCGTGGACCATTCGCGTACCACGGGCACCGATTTCGATTTGCAGGATCTTCCCATGCGAGGGGACGACGATGTAGAATTCGATCTCGATCTCGATCAAGAAGACCCTATGTCTGCGCAATGTACAGACCTTGTCAAGCAGATCGGTATGCGGGGCGGTGCTTTCTCTCACGACTGATCAGCTAACGATCATCCAGAACGAGCTGGCTGCCCACGAGGATCGCAGTATCCTGCCCCCGGGGGATTATGACAGACAATTTTTGACGGGGAATTGGAAAGTGACGGTCTTGAGGAGAGCCTGTCCGCGCATTTGCGATGAACAATGAATAATGGATCTGTAGATGGGCAGCAAGACCAGACAAGTCCGGACGACCCTCGTTTCACCTGGACATGAGCTATATACGCCTTTCCTTGTCATCAGTGAATAAATAGAGGCATCAAATAGGCGAGTGGATGTTGCCAGGTACCAGGTACCGGGGCAGAAAGGTGAGTGCCAAGACTTTGACCCCTTCGTGCTGTTTTTGGACTGTTTCAATGCGCGACCGAACTTCTCGTGCTTTCACTCTTTGCTTTGGCATGTGCAAAGGATCGGTGCTTTCAACCTTGCTTAAATTTCTTGTTTGAGCTTCTCTGATTCATCATACATATCACATAATTCTTCATTTTCTGCCCGAGCCCCGGTAGATGAAGTCATTTCGAGATCTTCCATGATCGTCCCCCGGGGGACTGTCTCCAGATCGACGACGCGGTCGCACTATGCGACGATGGAATGTGAGATATATTCTGGGAGACGAAATGAGTCGATATGAATTGCCTCAATCTCTTCAGATAGCTCCAGCTCTCCTCCTTTGCGGCGTCCATTAAGTTCGCTAGCGTGATGGCTCTCCTGTTTCATGTGGTTTCATGTTGACACCAGCACCACTTAGCCGCCGCACGTTGTGACTAGACCCTCCTGTGTCGCTGGGTCCACCTATCGCCATTCCTGAGGGATGAACGATCGTCCACGTCAAGTGGATGCATGCCGTGGGCTGGATCACCGCGCCATACCGTTTCCATTCATTATTCGTGAGTGGAAAGAACGGAGGTGCCCAGATGTCTCCACTGCCGCTGCACAGGGGCTATTGGCAACGGGCACAGGCGGGCCCTAATTGGTGGAGATGCTGAACAATCGCGGAAAGAATAAAGAATCACCGGCATGTGCACGGAGTGGCTGAGGGTGGCAGTCTCTAAATACCAGCGTTGCCGCTATTCACCCCGGCGCCTTCCTTTTCCCACGCGTACATTCCTTTCTCCCTTTTGACGATCTGGTATTGTCTGTCCTTCTTTTTTCTGGTCTTTCTCTTGAGCTCTTTTGTCATTCGCTTCTATTTTATCCCTTCTGGTGATTCTAATCCCCCCTTGTCTTCTTCTTGACTGGTTTCGAAGACCTGTTATCTCTCGAAGAAAATGGTTTATTCAATGTTTTCGCAAAGCGCTGGTTCGCTTTTTCTGCTTGCGCTGGCCTCATCTGCTGCAGCCACTCTTGATTACAATCTGGTGGAAAAGTGGGAGGGCACGGATTTCCTGGATTATTTCAACTTCCATGTCGGATCCGACCCCACCAATGGATATGTCAACTACCTCAGCGAGGCTGACGCCAAGGAAGCAGGCCTGGTCAAAGTCACTGATTCCGGCAGTCTTTACCTCGGTGTCGATCACACAAACAAAGTCGCATCCACCGCCAGCGGCCGCGATTCAGTGCGTATTGGCAGCAAAAAATACTACGATCATTCCCTGATCGTGGCCGATATCGAGCACATGCCGGGAAGTGTTTGCGGTACCTGGCCCGCATTCTGGTCCGTGGGTAAGAATTGGCCATCTGATGGCGAAATTGATATCATCGAGGGTGTCAACCTCCAGGACCACAATGAGATCGTGATGCACACTGCTGGCACGTGTAGTATCACGGACCAGGGAATGAGTGGCGCAGTAAATGCTACTGGCTGTGGTGAGGACCTGGGAACGGTCGGTTGTGTTATCGAGGGTCAGACAGGCAGCTATGGTACTTCATTCAACAAGCAGAGTGGTGGTGTTTACGCGATGGAGTGGACGGAGAAATACCTCAAAATCTGGTTCTTCGCCCGCGGTTCCATCCCGGCTTCAATCACCAATGGGAATCCCGATGTCAGCGAGTTTGGTACCCCCATGGCTTTGGTCGAGGAGGGATGCGATGTGGCCACCAGCTTCAAGGCACAATCATTCATCTTCGACACTACCTTCTGCGGTGACTGGGCTGGCGGCGTTTTTGGCGAGTCTGGCTGCCCTATGACTAGCTCCAACCCATTCACCAGCTGCCACAATTACGTTGCTGAGAACCCAAGTGCCTTCGAGCAGTCGTACTGGGAAATCAATTCCGTCAAGATCTACCAGACTGGCGTGAAAGGTATCGAGAACACCTCCAAGTCAACTGCGTCCGCCACCAAAGCCAGTGCCATTGTTGAGACTACCGAGACCTCTGTTACTCAGAAAACTGCTACTCACGTCATCGCTGAATCGTCCGCTAGGCTCTCTGCCGGATCATCTGCTGGTGAGGAGACCTCTGCGGCTGGTGCCGTGGCACCGTTGGGTGGTTCCATCACTACCGCTTCCGCAGCAAGTCACTCAACTACCTCAGAGACTCCTGCAGCTGCAATCACCACCGAGACACATGGAACCACTCGCTATATTACTAAATATGTCACTACTTTCACAACTCTGTGCGATGGCACTTCGTCCGCTCTACCCGCCGTCACGGAATCTGCTCACTCTCAAGTCCCGGCTGCCGCGCAAACTTCTCAAGTAGTTGATACCTCTTCCGCTGCTGTGCAGGCCCAGACTACTCCCGTCTCTACCGGAGGCGCGGAAGCCAAAGCCACCCAGGCGCCCACCACCGACCCATTTTCGGACACAGCTTCCAAGATCGCCACTGAGGCAAGTTCACCTCAAGCCCTTCCGACTGTCATTCCTGGTCCTGGGTATGACGCGAGCATTCTTGCTTCTGCGGATTCAGCGCAGACCTCTAAGCCTATTATCCCGGCTCCCACGGGCAGCTCCGTCCCTTCGGGCACCGTCTTCTCAGGCAGCTCGAGCACCGGCTACAGCCCCGTATTTACTGGAGCAGCAGATAAAGTATCTGTCAAGTTCACGACATTTGCCGCTGCTTTTGCTTTTGCCTTTTTTGCGTGAAGTCGCTGTTTTGATTGTCTGATCGCTTTTTCTGCGTTCCTGATGGTTTTCTGATTCTCCTGTTGCATGTAAATTAGCAGTCCATAGACTTTGGCCTTATCCATTGGGTAAACTGATAGTTATCAATTCCAAATACCAATTACCAAATTGACTCTTGTTCCACACGCACGCCAAAAATAATTCAAATAAAAAACCAGTAGATTCCAAGATCATTGTAGCTCTGAATTGATTCTAAATACATGAGCGCGATTCTCAACACCCGAGCGAATTTCAGCGATAAACGATGCCAACTACCTGATGCCATGATGTTCAGTCTGTGGAGTCATCCACCGACTCAGCCAATCTCGCGCATAGCAATTCAGAATACCGTCCTCAATAATTCTCAAGCGATCGTTGCGTAAGGTGACGCTATCTCTTTCCGCCTTGGCCGTGGCAAACACTTTCGGCCCAAGCCGCACACCCGATGACTTTCCTCCATACATCGCCTCGTAATGTCCGATCAACTTCACAGCCGGATTGACATATTCCTCTCCACGAAGCTCACTCTCACGTAGCATGTCCAACCATTTCTCCATGGATACGGTCTCAAATTGGAATCCACTTCGGGACAAGGACTCTAGCATTGCGGACCACGAGAACTCACGCGAGTTACACACGTTGTAAATAGAATCATCTGCGCTGGTTTCGGTGGAACGGGACGTGTCACCCTCCGTACTTTTCTCACCTGGGGCCGAGCAAGTCTTCGTCAGCTCGATTATCGTCGATGCAACTTTGTCGACGGGGAGCCAGGAACATGGCTGGTCCATTTCCGGTAGTGCTTTCAACGTCAATGCTGACCGTATCAGCAATGGTAAAGCTTCGCTGTCGTTCCACAGACCCTTTTTTGAGTGGCCCGATACTTGTCCAATTCGGAGTGAGAAGGCTCTGGCTCCTGATGCGCGTGCGACGCTGACTATGTGCTCGCCGATCAATTTGGATTGTCCATAACCCATATATGCGCTGTCGAGGCATATGGGGCCTTCTGGAATTTCAGTCAAAGGGGATGCTAGGGCTGTTGAGATTGAGGAACAGAAGACCAATGTGGCGGGCTCAGGTCGTTGTACGGACAGCGAAAATTGGATGAGATTGTGGAGTCCTCGGATATGTGGCTCGAATTGGGCGAGCGCAAGATTAAAGTTGACCGGCCATGCTGCATGGATAATCTGTGTCACAGATTCTTTCATGGAGCGTATCAAGAGTTCGTCACCAAGACCAAACTCGGGCTCATCAAGGCTGCTATTCAGCGCGACGATCCTGGCAGCTTGCTCTGCAGTGATAAAGAGATCTTTTTCGATCAGACTGCGGATAATGGCCTCTAGCGGAGCTGTTCTCCGTGTCAGGCAGAACACAGTTGTAATGGAAGCATCGTTGAGCAGCTCGTATAGAGTGTGGGCGCCGATTGAACCGGTTGCTCCAGTCAAGATCTGGGATACGTTAGTTCGACTTGGTGGAGTGGAGAGAACACGGTTCACCTACCACGGAACATGTAGTTGTATCAACTTCCGATCGAGGGATGTGTCGTTGGTACGAAGAATATTTCTGTATTAGATTCTTCACAAAGTCTGCGTCGGTGTCTTTCGACACCACACTTTCCCCATTTTGTATAGCGCAAATATGCTTTGCCAGGCGCAAGACATTGCCAGTCTCGTAAACCACATTTTGAGGGAGTGCATCTTGATCAAAGGAGAAATTCTGGAGAATTAGTCGTCGGAGATGGATGGCCTTGAGGCTATCGATACCTTCAGCGAAGAAATCGGCTTCCACGCCAGAAAGGGAAACTCCGAGACTCCCTCGACAGAAGTCCATGAGACGAGATTGTGTTCCTGTAAGATCAAGACGGAGGTCGCCCACCACTTGCTCTGCATTTTTGTAGATACTTTCGATGACCTCTGCATATTGTAGATATACCTGCGCCCGAATCATGGAGCCCTTGTCGGTTCGAGGAAATTTGGAAGCAAAAGGCAAGACTGCAATCATGTCTCGAGAGATTTGAGAAAAACGCTCAGCGCGAGCATTCGCACCCTCAATAGTTGGCCAGATTGTATCAATATATTGATCGTTTGAGATGTTCGCATCGCCAGCTTCTTGGGATTGGAAGATCAATAGACCAGGTACGGCCTTTCCGAGCCCGAAAATCACCGCCTCGTGAATCAGAACATCTTGCTTGATATACCCCTCAATGGGCAGTGGAAGAACCTTCTCTCCATTCACAAGCGTAATGCGATCGTCCAACCGAGAGGCATACTTCCATCGATCTGGAATTGTTGGATGAGGAGTGAACACGTCCTTGGAATGGAATGAGCCTGGTGGCTCGTCCGAGTTGGATGTTGTCAATGCGGGGTGCCCTTTGAGATAGACGCACTCATACAGGGAGTCACCAATCGGCTTCATCCAAATGTACTGTCGAATGTTGTCGAAAAATCGTAGATAATTCCAGCATGGGTCGTCTGGAGGTCTAGAGATGGATTCGGCGACCAAACCCGCCTCGGTACTATGTGTCCAGTATCAGCTTTGAATTTCATTATGATCAATCATCTCAAACTCACAGGCCAAATGATCCTCCGAAGGGAATACCATCGCTCACCAGACGATCTCCCAACTCATCTGGACATGGTGCACCCCCGTAAGTGACCAACTTACACCCCCGCAGTGCTGCAATACCACGGGGGTTGTCCACCAGCAATTGCAGCATATATGGAACGGCAGCTACAGATTCAGGCCGAGCAGCCTCCAAAACAGAGACCACCGAATCTGCTGTCAGTGGCAAAGCGGCGTTCCACATATATGCCGTCTTCCTCATCCAAATCGCCTGCAATGCCGTGGAAAGTCCGTGAAGATGGTACCAAGGGAGGGGATTGAAGGAAGTCATTCCAGGTCCCCGAAGAGGGTGGGTCATCAACGCTCGGTGGGTGAGATAGAGAGGTTTGGGTGTACCGGTGGAGCCAGACGAATGAAGAATCAACGCAATTCTGTTTCTTAGTGCCTCAGAGTGGCGATTTCGACGAAGAATCAAGATCGAGGATTCTGTGTTGCTAAAGGAGGCGTTTGGCATCGGACGACAGCTCACAAGTTTTCGTTGCAAAATTCCACCCATAGTGGAGCGGATGTCGCCAGTATTGCCGTAGAGGACGGTGTCGCAGTTTACAGTGTCCAGTAATGATACACAAGCTTCCGCGGATAGTCTTGGGGATAACATCATGATTGTATATCCTAATCGGCTCAGTGCGAAGAATGTGATCACCATGTGCAGATCAGATGGGGTCAAGAGTGCCACTATACACCCTTCATCTTTGGCCTGAGTAATTATCGTTAGTGAATTACGATGGTTTTGAACAATGCATATGACTACCCACCGGCTCATATCCCTTCTTCATCAACACTGTGACCGCCTGGTTGATCATCTCATCCAGTTCTTGTCCCGTGTAATATGTGTAAGACGCCGCGTCTTTCTCAGAATTCGGATAAGCCAAGATAGGATCTTGCACTGAATCTGAGGCTCGAAGACGAATTATGTCATCGAGGAAATGAAGTTGTCCAAACTTCTTCACCAAAGGGTCGGCTGTGCTGGATGAAGCAGCTGGGGCAATCTGGTCCCCCCGTTGGATGGCCATGATGTGCTATGGCCTTGGACTGCGAGATGAGGAACACAAGAGCCTGTACTGGTGTGGCGGAAACAGTCAGTGATATTTATTAGGTTCTTTTGGCTATTGCTACCTTATCCTCAACTCGGCTTGAAAGTGGCACATCTACCGACTGCATTCGGGATGGGCGGGAACGTGCTCGGATTCCGGTTGTAGGTAAAACTTTCCGTCTCTAAATTCGTTTTTGCTGTATTGTATTGAGCCAAGTTTCGGGACATCCTCATCTGTTGAACAGCCTGGCCGCAAGTATCCAGCAGACTCTGGAGGTCACGGGAGGAGGTATACTCCTAGCTGTGCTCCGGCGCTGCAAAAAAAGCCACACGCAGGAATCCACTACAGAATCTTTCCGAAACACACAGCCGTCTTGGTCACAATCAAAATAATGCTGCGAATTGATCCCAAGAAAATTAATGTGAGCTCTGCGTGACTACTTGCCGGATGCGCGTGGAGCGTAGAAACGTTTACTCGCGCCATGCAGCATTATCCTGGGACTAACTTTCTTCTTTTATGCATCGCCCGGCTTATATCGGACCTGCCGGGGTGGGTTACACTGCGAGGGAACCCGATCTCCATCCCGGCTGGCACCAAAATACCGTGGAGACGAAGCCCAGGAAATCCTTGTCCTCATTTACAGCCACGGTGGCAATGAGCCGTGACTGCACTATATACCAAATCAACTCCGATTTCTAGACTCAACGTATCTCAACTGTCTGAAAGACAGATGCTTAGCCGATGTCTTAGATACCAATGCAGACAGCCCGATAGCAGCTTGAAATTGATGATGGCAAGCCCCTAGCCAAACGGCTTGATGCTGAAAACCGTGCTTTGGATGATTTGCGCTGCTTCCGTGAATGGGCCTACCGTAGCAGTTGGCTTGATCTTGTTACATGCGAAGACAACCATTCAAGCCGTCAAATTCCTGCGTTCGGAGAAGGCCGACAGTTCCCGGACCTAGGTCATTCTTGATGGATACTAGCTCTAGATCAGCCAGCCTCCTCCTTGCAAACACAGGACACAGAAAGGGATTCAATAGGCGATCGTCGGACTCTGGGAAGATTGTGACGTGAGTAAATCCAGTATGAGATTCAATACTGAACAATGCTTCCGACATAGTCGGCATGACCGAGAATAACGCGTGGAATATGAGATTGGCCGGTAGCGTGAAATCTCAGCCAGCCGGGCTGTGACCAAAGTACGAAGTGCCAAACATTTTGGGAACTCACCAACATTCTCATCTGCATTGTCCCGAGTCCGCGGAGGTCCACTCTTTGGGCCATCGGGGGCAAAAAGATACAGATCCGAGACATTGCAATGCTGCTCTGTTCCAAGGGTTCGTTGCTGGAAACGGCCCTGCAGAATCCCATCGGTGGAGTACATGGGTCGGATCGCCCCCTTTGTTTGACGGAATGAATCTCGACCCTCCGATTGGGACCAGATATGCCGATCCTTCCAACCTCGGTCAATGCTCGTCAACCCTAGTGGAGAAAAAGATGAACTAGATAGCATGGGATGGATTTCACAGAGCCCCACCCAATGGCACCGACCTGTCTAGAGACCCGAGAAAACAGAAGACGGCGGTAGAATGCCTTGAATAGTGGTATAGTTGTGAGTTTACGTGTCGCGCCGTTCTTCTAGAACGCGAAATAACTCTGCAGCATTCCGCGGATCTAAGACAATTCTTCCCCCTCGGGAAAGTTGGAACGCTTCCGGTGCGGCATGTAGTTGTAGAGCCCAAGTGTGAGGTTCTAGACTAGGAATCGACAGTGCCCCTGAAAGGGATACCTCCAAGGGTCAACCCTAAGATCGGGTGTAATCGATCTCCGGGAACGCATTCCTTGACAGGTTATTGGTTGGCGTTGAGGGTTTTCCACTCAAGTAGAAAGGAACGAGGGCCAATTTGTTCTAGAATTACGTAGACCATCGCCGCCGTTTTCCTTTACGCATTGGAAAGTGTATTAAAACTCAATTCAACAAGAATGCTAGACAGGAACCCAAGGGAACCATCCGATGCCAAATATAGAAAAAGAAAGTAGCAAATATCCTCCTTTCTAGATCCAGGTGCCTACTATATCAGATCGGACTTCTGAGTCTTCGTGTCTAATCTTTCGAGAAGACGCTGCCAGGAGTGGCGAGCTCGCGCGGCATGCTCATTTGGCACCGAGGGCTTGTTTTCGTGGCCGGTCCTAGAGAAGACTTCCATGCTCACATATCCTGTGTAGCCCAGACCATGGAGACAAGCATCCGCAACCTCACGTATGGGCAGATATCCGCCCCGCTCTTCCTCGCACGGGAACAGTCGCGCATTCCGTGACCAGGTTAAGAGCTTCGGCAACCCCGGTGCGTGGAGGAAGGGCGTCTGTGGGTCGACCCGCTCACCATCGGCCAGCTGGACCATCATGACCTTCTCCGGCGGGACTTCCTTGACGAGCCGAGCCAGCGACTTTGATAGATCCTGGTCTGCATGCAACGGCTGTCGTCCCGTCGGGCTAGTTGGATCAGCCCACACCCGAGCGGCGATGTTGAACGTGTCGAGACAGATGCCGAGATTCGGCCGATTTGCTCGCTTAACAATGTCCCAACACTCCTCCCACGTATTCACGTATGTGCCCCAGGCTAGGGCCTCATAGGCGATGCGTACGGGGAATGCGACATCGGCAGCCTCAGCAAGATCGGCCACGAGCCGGTCTCGATCATCGGTGATCTCGGAGGGGTCTAAAAAGGAGGAAGGAATGAGAATGAACAGGTTGTCGCCCAGTATTTGACACAGCTGCTTCCAGTGCTTCAGCTCATCAATCCGCTGGGCATGTTGCTCTAAATCAACAAGACCCTCGTAGTGTCGGAAGGGTTGCAGAGCCAATACAGGCAAGCCCCACTCATCACAGAGATCGCGAATGGCATGTGCTGCGTCGATCTCATATTCGCGAACAGTGCGGGCCGCGGAGCATTGACAGCTAAGACTTTTGGCGTACTGCGCTAGATCATCGTGGAAAAGCTCTAGTCCCCGCTGACCATTTCGTGCTGCAGCCTCAATTTTGGAGGGGAGGGAGTGGAGGTGTGCCGCGCCGAGGCTAACAGTAGCGATAGCGGGCTGCCAACGTAAGTCGGAGATCGACGTCGGGGGACTTGGTAGCGTTTGCATGATATCGAGCAATAGGAATAGCAGAAACCGTGGAGGAGAATGGCCGTCCCTACGTCTCCTTTCCCGTCTTCTTATATAAAGCGAACATGCAGCAAGAAGAATTTTGGTGCACCTGTTTCCGTAACGATCGAGAAGGGCCCAGGGGTGAGCAGATACGTCAAAGAAGTGGGTCGAGATCGTCGCAAATGGCCCAGATTCCAATCGAGTCCATCAGACCGCCAAGCCTCGTACAGCCCCGGGTCTAGCTGCTCCACTACACCATTCAGTGCAGCTAACGGATGTGGTAATCTTGAAGCTGAAGCTATGAAGCTGGTGCTGAGACGCTGTTTTCGGGCTGTTTGATTCCCACCGAAATAGCACTGCATGGCTAAAACGTAAAAATGAAATAGTGAGAAAGAGACGGAAACCGGCGTAATGCTCCGAACAAAAGTTACATGCTGTCGCAAGCAACTGAGTTCGGTTGGACGCGAGGGTATAAAGGGTCTCGTTCAACCAGCAGGAGAGCTTCCGTTACTCATGTTTGTGTTACACGTCGTAGAATCACCTCAATTCTCCCTTCATCATGACGGTCAAATCCCCATTGTACGCAATGATCAATCGGCTAGGTCAATTGGCACTGCAGGACGGCTCCGACCCGTCTGGCCAGACCCACTCCGACTTGCTTCGAATAATCGACCAGTTGAGGTTGGCCGTGGAAACCCCAACGGAATCCGTCTTGCGTTTGATCTATCAGGTAACCGTGTTTCACCAGATTCCTTTGTTTGACTGGTGACCTGACTGTACACAGCCTCCGCAAAATGCTGCACTTCGCGCGGTCATGGACCTGAATATCTTTCCTCTCCTGTTTGAGAAACAGTACCGAGAGGAGGGTATCTCGGCAGCACAAATTGAGAAGTCCACCGGCGCTGAGAAGGATCTTATCGGTAAGCTGTACTCGCGGTATAGGTTGGATTGGCCCGCGCTAAATCCATCCAGTCCGGTTAATGCGCGTCATGGTGTCTTTGGGCCTTTGCATCACCTTGGGACCCGAGATGTACCGAGCCAACGACAAGACTTTGGCTTTGACCCAGCCTGTTGGCCGCGACGGAGTCCCATGCATGTAGGTTGAATCTCGCTGTCTGGTGTCTGAACACATTTGCTAATTGAGCAGATACGACCTCACGGTCCCAACCCTGAGCAAACTGCCCGAGTACTTGCGAGTACACCAGTACGCCAATCCTCAGGAGTATGCGCACTCTCCGATGCAGTGGGCTGTTGGCCAGAGCCAGTTCGAATGGTTGGCCAGTAACAAGAAGCAGCAAACCCTATTCAACTCGTACATGGCGAGTCGTCGGCAGGGACGGCCGATGTGGTTTGATGTGTATCCGGTAGATCGCCTGATGGGGCATGCCGTACCCTGTGAGGACACAATATTCCTGGTAGACGTTGGCGGCAATCAGGGCCACGACTTGAGTATGTTCCGACAGAAGTACCGTCATCTTCCTGGAAAGCTGGTTCTGCAGGACTTGCCCGAAGTGCTGAACGGAGTGTCGGGTGGCGACGGTATCCAAGTAATGAGTTACAGCTTCATGGAGCCCCAACCTGTTCAGGGTGCTCGAGTGTACTATTTCCGCTCCATCTTCCACGATTGGCCTGATCGTATCTGTCAGCAGATTTTGTGCAACACGATGTCTGCGATGGCTCCGGATTACTCTCGAATCCTGATTGTCGACTTTGTCCTTCCAGACACTGATACTCCTGTCATGCAGGCGTCGATGGATATCCAGATGATGAGCATCGGCGCTGGTGTAGAGCGCTCGGAACACCAGTGGCGAGAATTATTGCACAGCGTCGGACTGGAAATTTCAGGAATATGGAGCCCGAGTCCCGGGCGGAGTCAGTGATTGAGGTGATTCCCATGAAACAGATTTGAGGCAAATTGGAGAGGTTTGAGAAATTAGGAGTTTAGGAGTCTAGGAGAATTGGCCTGTGGCAATTCCTAATCTACTTTTTGTCTATTTCATCTATGCTATTCTTAATCATAAACAACATTTCTCATCCAATAGTTTCAATCGTGACTCTCAACATCGAGTCTGCGATCTTTTCTGAATTATCAGCCTTTGAGCTGCTGCAACAACATCGTCTATGACATGGACTCTCCAGAAACACCAGCCCCGCTGATCGAATCGTTGTTGCAGAGCTTCCCGATCTCTCTCATTCTTCATCAGCCCGCCTGCCAGCACGAGTTCAGACTCTTCCGGTGCGATATAACTGCTGCATCGACGGTCAACCAGTCCGGAAAACGTGTCGACCAGACTTGAAACCTGAGTCTCCACGATAGTCATGGCAGTCTTGCTATCAGGTACCAATTTCAGTATTGTCTCGGCCACTCCAGCGATACGTGACTTGATACTTAGCGTACTCTGCTGAGAGAGGAGGCTGGACAGGAGGTCAGTGCTGCCATCCTCCGCGGCGTGGCACCCGATCTATTTGATGTTCGCATGCTCAAAGTCGTCCAGATCCTCACGAAGCCCAAATATCTTCTCTTCTAGGGCAACAAGCGTATGCTTGATGGTATCCAGGCCGATGGTGTAACCGCTGCCCTCGTCACCCAGAACGTGACTCCATCCGCCGCAGCGAGCGACGCGCAAGTGTTGATCCTCGTTGCGGGTGTATTGCATGGCTACGCTACCCGTACCTGCAATGAGAACCACCGCAGACGAGCCCTTCTTGGCCACAGCCAAAAGCAAGTCCACGTCGGTATTTAACCTGAAGTTGGCGGTGGTGTGACCGAGGCCAAAGATTTCTGCCAATTTCGGAGCTAACATTCCTTGTAGATCACCACGATCCTAACCGGCTGGTCCGATCCAGACAAATCGGAAGCTGGTCTTCAGATATCCTCGTCACTCAGGCTCTACTGGTCCTATGCCGTGCGGCAAATAATCTATCAATGCGTTCCTGACGGCTTGAACTAATGTAGCCGCCACTCCAATCCACGTGGCCAAGGGTATCATTTCTATTTCGGGCCTAGACTTCTTATCTCGTCAGAGGGTCTAAATACATTCAGATTGTAGAGTCCGCCATATCCGTGGCTCGCAAGCCCATCGGGGTTGGTGACTACTGCAGCACACTTGGTGCCTCCGCCATCAATACACAACATCAATCGCCCGGATATCTCAATATGCACTTGTTGCGTTGATGGCCGCGATATGTCATCTAGCGCAGTAGCAAGCACACAGCCAGCTGATTTGAGGAGTTCCTCGCAGGTCTTTACTGACTCACCCGTCTCGGCAACCAAACTTGCGAATTCGACACTGCGGTTGCTTGTAGACAGAAGTGGGTCCAACTTGGAAACTGTCATTGAGCCACACTTGGTGCTGAGTCGTCGCAGCGTATTGCGGGTTCGTTGTTCAAGCTTCAGGTTCGATGCCACCAAATCGACCCTTTAACCGAATGTTAGCACCAGCCATTTCTTCTCACTTAGCAGAGAGCCGTACTATATTGCCATATGTCTTGCCTGTCCGAATCATCAAGCCAGTACTCAGCATTTTCGATACTAGGTTGGTGGCCGTGCCGCCCTTCAGTCTTGTGCTTCCAGTTACAACTTCTGGCCCAGGAAGTGCTGCAATCAAAATTCCACGTTGCCCGAAAGTCCAATCGCTTAGAAAGCTGCGCAAACGACTCCAATAGTGCTGCAGCCCAGCCGCTTAGCAAACATGAGTCAACCGAGCACATATGGCATTCCCCCTGAAATCGCGATTCCGGTCACCCTGTCGAGCTTGGAGTCGAGAGCCGAACCGCTTCATCTCTTGCTCGCCGGCCTGCTCGTCATCTTTAGCACCCTCCTGGGCTTGTCGAATAGAGGTAAGCCACGGCCACTCCTGTCCACGATGCGGAGCCGAGTTACCAGACAGAGTTGCAAAGCTGCAGCGTGGTGCTATTCGGCCCCGCTCAACCTACCCCAGCACGCGAGTTGCAGCGGAGAAGTTTCTGGGGAAGAAACTCCAGAATTTATCAAATGTGAAGTCACGGCGCGGCGCTCCCCACTCTGCAACGATGCTATCGCGACAATTCGCCAGTCTTTGACTGATAGAGCAATGCCAATTGCTTGGTTGGACCTGATTGGGCTGGATTCACCCCAGATACCACAACGCGACGTCGGAATCCAGGGATCTGCGAGGGTTGCACACACACACATAACACAACCCCCGGACCGATCAATCTGTTTAGCGGATCGAGACACTCTGCTTTAACTTGCAAGTGTTCCCCGCGTCCCTGGTGTGTTGTCTTCGTCAGCCTAGCATTGACGTAGAATGATGGTGGAAAGAACGCAAATGCAGGTCTCGCCAGCGTGCGACAATGGTCAACCAGACGGCCAACAAAACAAACGGTCGACAATTCGTCAAATTTGGACTCACTCATGGTTCCAAATTCTCCTGATCAGTTTTATCTGCTTCTGCTGTCCTGGAGTGGGTTTTATGAGCTTCTTGCATATCGCAGTCAGAGTACTAACATTTGGTTTGCGTAGATGTACAACGCTCTCACTGGTCTGGGAGGTTCTGGCCAGGTCAACCAAACGGTCGCCGCAAATGCCAACGTCGCATTGCTCTCTGCAACGGCCGCGACTGCTCTGTTCGTCGTTGGGCCAATTTTTGACCGCGTTGGTCCGCGAGTGTGCCTTCTCCTGGGGGGTTGGAGCTATCCCTTGTATTCAGGAAGTCTCCTGTGTTTCAACGGTACGTATATTCGATAGCAAGTCTCTGAACCAAAAATTTGATTTTCTCTTATGACAGCCACTGCCAATGGCGCGTTCGTCATTGCCGCTGGTGCCATCCTGGGTATCGGCGCATCCTTCCTTTGGGTTGCGCAAGGTGCTATCATGACGACCTACGTGCCCGAGTCCCAGAAGGGCCGCGCCATCGCCATCTTTTGGATCATCTTCAACCTCGGTGGTGGTGTGGGGTCCCCTCGCAAGCTTTGGGAGCAATTTCCACTCGACCAGTGGAACGGTGTCGGATGGCACATATATTGCTTTGTTGATCATCATGGCCATTGGGTGGCTCTTGGGTGTTTTCATCTGTCCGCCGTCATACGTGCGAGTAGCCCAACTCGACATTCAGCCACAGTCTCAGAAGAACTGGCGCAAGACGTTGAGCCAGGCAGTGCGGACTATCACCAACTGGCGCGTGTTGTGTATGCTTCCGCTCTTCTTCTCGGCCAACGTGTTCTACTCGTACCAGCAGAATGTGGTCAACGGCATGACCTTCAATATCCGCACTCGCTCGCTCAACGGTGCGTTGTACTGGATGGCGCAGATGGTGGGAGGCCTCGTGATCGGTCTGATTCTCGACATGCCAGGACTCAACCGACGCATGCGTGCGCGTGTCGCCTGGTGTTTCCTCTTTGCTACAGGGATGGGCATTTGGGGCGGCGGATATGCCTTCCAGAAGTGGTTCGACCGTCGGTCGGCCATTGGCCTCAAGCAAGATATCGACTATACTGATAACAGGGTCTCAGTCGGCCCTATGTTTCTCTACATCTTCTACGGATGTTACGATGCATTTTGGCAATCCTTCTGCTACTGGCTCATGGGTGCCAGCTCCAACGACCCCGCCAAAGCAGCCGTCTTAGTCGGTGCATACAAGACCTTCCAATCGGCCGGTGGTGCTATGGCGTGGCGCATCAACGCGATTGGAAAGCCTGCTATGACGCAATTTGCCATGGATTGGGGTCTCTGTATGAGCGCGCTCGTGTTTGCGATCCCCGCCGTCCTGACCGTCACGCTAACCAGTGAGACTGAGCCGGACGCGGTCAAGGGCACCGAGATGCGTGAGTCCGATGAAAAAGCTCGAGTCGAAATGAAGGATTAACGGCAATCTGCGCCGCAACCTCCCTCATTCTCTGCAATCTGTTATTGTTTTTGAAAAAATTTCAATAAATTGAAGTAACCCAAGGACACAAAGGTCTAGCTCCTTCGTTGGTAGACATCCAGGAACATATGTACACAGTCACGCGACCCGCGGCACGTGGGGGATTTCAAGCCACGCATGTCTTGTAAACAGCAGTCGTCATCCACAACTTGGTGTATTGGCGGTGCAGCCATTCCATGTACGCGGGCATCGGGGCCGAGTTCGACTCCGACTTGCCCAGACCCTGGTAGAAGCAGCTCTTCAGCGTGAACTCGGCCACACCATCCTCTTGCTTGATCACCGCACCCATCTCGAAAAGGCCGTCGGAAGGTCGAACATCGCTAATTCGGGGAGAGTCACCACAGCGCACGACAATGCGGTCCTCGGTCTTCTCGAGAACCTGAAAGTGATCGGTGATGATGGTGCCGACCTCGTAGCTGCTCTTCAGGAGATCTTTGCGCTCCCAGAGCTGGTCGGCCGTCTCGGGACCCTGGTATTTACGAGCGAGAATGGCGCGCTGAGGGATGTAGCCTAGAATTGGGGTTTGTGTGGTCAAAATTTCGATCCGCGACCGGACGAGAGTTCGCCGAACTCACCCATGCCACCCCAGACACCGGCACAGAAGGCTTCGACCAGCTTGCCATTGTTCTCCCGTAGCTCGGGCTTAATCTTGTCGAGTGGGACGCGACGAACACACTTGTCATGAAGAGTCGGGTTGCTGTTGGGGTTGTACTTCTTGAAGAAGGGCGAGGAGAAGATTGGGTCCGTCATGTCCATGGGCTCGAAAACGTCATTGCGCGTGGCACCCCAGAAGACACCTGCGGAGGCGACCGTGCCGGCAGCAGAAATCTTCAGGAAGCGGCTGACGAGACCCATTGTGGGTGTCCCTGGGGCTGAAAAGGAAGGTGGTGTGAGGGGACGACAGGAATGCCAGTGGGAAGGTGGAGAGCAAGGAAAGCTCCATAGCTGCGGAACCCGTGGGATTCCCGGGACCTCTTAACGAGACAGTGACGGCCGAATTACTAGATATCTTTCCTCAACTTTCAACTCATCCATTAACTTCGTCTACTCTCTCCGAACCCTGTTTGTGCCTATGCTGACTGCTTATTCTGCCTTAACTTGAACAATGACTCCCGCATTCCTCTTCCGTGCTCTAATGCTATTTGACTGATGTCCTCTGTAGGCCAATTTACCCAATGAGATTAAATTCCATTTGTTATTTTGGTGTTTCGGGTTGTTATGACCGGAGAAAAGTACACTTTCGCCAATCTGAAACGTTTTGTTAATAATTATATGTATTGAATTTGCGAAGGCTTCTAACTTAGGGAGGTCTCGTAGTTGATCTCCTGGAGGAAGAGACACCACTATCGTAAGTTAAGAGCCCTATCTCTGAAATCCATGCTAACTCTTCGATCAGTAAGACGTAGGGTCTTCAACTATGATTTTATGTCTGTCAGTGATACCGGCTTACGGGTTTTATTTGAAAGAAATCTCTCGCACTCTTGTATATATACGAGCTACCGGCCCATTGGATTTGCCGACATCACCGCTCGCTACGTCTCCCAGTATGAAGTCCTCTACGAACGTCTGGTTTTGCTTCAGTCATACTCTGTCTCCGTTCACGCTTTATTTGAACTGCAATTTAGCTTCATTTACTCTTCTCACTACTTGGGCAAAGTGATCCTTTCGTCTAGAGAGTGCCACAGTAAGAGGAGCAGTAAATCCTGTATTTTCATATCTACGGATAAATTATGTTTGAGAATTTGATTCGACCTAGAGAATGGCTTGGACTCTTACGAGGTACGGCTCGGTCTTCAAGGCGACATAGAGCCAGGGAGAGCTCCCTTCATTCTACCCCTCTCGACTGACATACCCCTTCACTGCCCATGAATTGACGACAGTCAGGAGTATGTGGATACGAAACCCGATTTGACACCAGAGCATGATTCATGTAGACTAACGGAAAAGCCAGAGATGATCGCTGGAATGATGACATTGCCGGGTTTCCCGACCTCCAGCTGCACATCCCCACAATCTCAGAATCCGGCTATCTTTCGGATAGCGACACGAAGGGTCAAAGGTGTTCAGGCCGCTACACTGGATAGCTGGCTTTTCTTCAGGTTGCCCGAAGCCATGAATGCGATGCCTCCGAGGCCCACAACTGAGGGGCCGTGATCTCCACTCGATGTCATGACTCTATCCACTCTGGCGACGTAGATCGTCGGAAATGCCGAGTTGCCTTCATATCCACGACCTGCCAGTGGACCCAATGAGACCGTGATCCCCGGGCGCATTTCCCCATGTTCGAGTGTGGGGAGGCTCTGGGGTCCCATCGGTCAAGATTATTTGAGCAGCGCCCTTCCCCAGTCACCGACCTGCCTCCCTTGCTGCCGGGAGATTGCTGAACCCGCGGATTCACAGCATGACGGACATCAAAGAAGATCAGCATTTGAGTTCGACTTGCAGTCATCTGGAGGATATGCCCGAGGCTGACGAGCGTGCTATCGCCTCAGTGCCAGACCTGAAATCGGTCACAGAGGAGAACGTGAATCATCCTCAAGTAAGGTCCCTCGGCTGCCAGATCGCCTCCTCCCTCCCTTTCTACCCTCAGGATGCTGATCTGCGATAGCAATGGTCCCTGACTGCCAAACTTTCGACCTACCTGACGATATGCTCCTTTACTTTCTTGGCGAATGTCAACTCCAGCAACTTCACGGTCGCAACTCAAGCGATTATCCACGAATTTGGCGTCAATCAGACCCAGGCGGGGCAGCTGGTGTGTTTCAATGTCTTCCTTTTTGGCGTGGGCAACATTTTCTGGGTGCCGCTGATGCGCGTCATCGGCAAGCGCCCGGTCTACCTGGTGGCTATGCTGGCCCTCTCGATGATGAATGTATGGTCGAGTCAAGCCACCAGCTACAACGAATTGCTAGCATCACGAATTCTTTCCGGCTTCGTTGCCGCAGCTGCTGACGCTACAGTGCCTGCAGTGGTTGCAGATCTGGTGCCTGCCAGAGATCGCGGCCACTACATGATGTTTTTCCACCTGGCCATGACTGCGGGCCTATTCGTTGGCCCGCTGATCAATGCTTACCTCGTGCAGGAACAGAACTGGCGTTGGATGTGTTACTTCTTGGCTATCGCTGTCGGGATAGTCTTTCTGATTGCCATTTTTACCATCCGAGAGACTACTTTCCTGAGGAAAACTGATACCGATCCCTCACACAAAAGATCTCAATGGCAGTGGATGTCCTTGACGGTGGGATTCAATCGAGATGCTTCATTTGTTCAAGCTCTGTTCGATATTCTGGCTAATGCAGCCTATCCCCGTTGATTTGGTGCGCACTTACCATTGGAATATCTGTCGGCTGGTCTGTATTCCCTTCTCTCTCGAACATCCGCGTTACTCAACAATGGTTTAGGAATATTGTGGTGCAGCTTACATCCTCTCGCACCTTCACGAAGCCGCCTTACAACTGGGAGCTTGGTGACCTTGGGCTTCTCTCACTCTCCGGCTTCATTGGATCGCTACTTGCGTTTTACTTGGGCGGACGACTGATTGACATCATCTCCAACCGAAGCACCGCCCGACATGGAGGTACTCGTGCGCCAGAGTATCGACTTCCTGCTATTGTGATCCCCGGAACACTGGGACCGGCCGGAATCTTGATCTTCGGACTCTGCGTCGCGCACAAGACTCATTGGATCGGGCCTGCCGTCGGATACGCTATGCAGGCATTTGGCGTAGCCGCTATTTCGAACGTCGCGGTGACATATGCGCTGGACTGCTATAAACCGGTACGTTGCGTCCGAGCATTCGATGTGGATTGTGATTGATTATTGAATAGGTGACTGGAGAGGCATTGGTCATCATCTTCGTTATCCGCAACACCATTGGCATGCTTTTGTCTCTTTATGCTGCAGACTGGATCGAAAGACAAGGCACAGCTTCGGTGTTTGGCGAGATGACAGCCATTCAAGTGGTGAGCATTCTTTTTGCCATTCCGCTCTACTTCTGGGGACGGTCTCTGCGATCTTTTACGTCTAGTTATGGGCCGATGAAAAGGTTTCGAGATGCTTGAATGATCAAAAACAACTATGGTGTCAAATTTTGAATGTCATCAGGGCCATGTATCAACTCCATTCGTGTTCTTAGATACAGTCTTCTGTTGTCCACCAACCTATTAAATCAATCTTGAATCAAACGAGCGTGGGGTAAAGTGACTTGAGGAACGGCTTATAAGTGATCTTTAAGAGCGTCCAACAAAACGGCTATTCTGTGTCTCACCATGAACGATGGGCTTCAGGAATTTCGCTTTCTTGCGATCAAGCCATCGGGATGCCAAAAAGCGAAAACCCGGTAGTTGAAGGAGAGGCATCACCAGAAGCGGGGATGGAAGTATCCGAAGTGGGACCGGGAAGAACAGTGGAAGGAGTGAACGAGGGAACAAAGGAAAGAGCACCAGTAGGCACACTGGTAAGAACACCCGAGGGAGTGCCGCTAGGGGGCACTTGTGAAGGAAGGGAGAGTAGGAGGAGTGAAGCTATAGGCACGCTTTTGAGGAATCAGAGAAGCCAAGGCACTGAGAGCAGACTCAGCCTCTGAAGCGAGCGAGGCCAGCCCAGTAGGAAAGGCGGCATTCGCACGCTTCTTCGAACCCAGAGACGAAAGAGCACTGATGGCGGACTCGGCCTCAGAGGCCAGAGAAGCAAGGCCAGTGGAAATAGTAGAGTCGACGCGCTTCTGAGGTACTATAGATGCAAGGACCCCGAGAGCAGACTCGGCCTCAGAGGCCAGAGAGGCCAGGCCAGTTGGGATACCTGAGTGAGCACGCTTGACGTGCGGCAACGTTGGCTGTTCACTGAATCTTGGGGTTCCAGATCCGGTTTTCACAGAAGTGCTGGTAGCAAGAGTACCAGAGGGGGTACCAATTTGTACAGACAGACTTATGCCGGGAGAAAGTAAATAGGTTGGGGAGAGGGACGTCGGTCAAAGACTGGGGCGGCTTGGAAAGACCAGAGCCAGTGGGATAGTTGTAGGTGCCATTGAATGGAGTAGCAATGGCAGCGCCCGAGAGGGAGAGAGCGATGGAAGCAAAATAGGCCTTCATTGTGTAAGTTTGAATGATTGTCGATTAAGGTAAGAGTCAATTTGCGAGCGAGGGTTATTTGCGCGAAGAGAATGTCAATCAGAGAAGAGATTGGATCTGGTTGATGATGAACAGAGTCGAGGAATCCCGAGGCATCTTTATATCTTTCGGTAGGAGGCCTGTAAATGGCGTAGATGATCTGCACCTCATCATCGCGCATCCGAAGTCGAAATATCAGGGCTAGAACCTGTACATCCCTACCCGTTTATCGCTCTCCGGTGTGGGGGGGGGGAGCTCCTCGAATTCCATGGGCTCTGAGATGGATGATTCAAAATTTTGGGGTGATCGGCGTCCTTCCATACCGAAAAGAATCCCGAATCGTGGATACATGTTATAGTACACTACTGCCAGGGCGAAAGCCAACCGAGTCTGGGATGCAGATCGAGTGTCCAGCCGGGAAGTTCTCTTGACAATGGATCTTGGCTCATAGGAAGAACCGAAGTATCAAAGTGGGATTGATGCGCGATTTGTTCACTATCATCTCCAGTGATTTAAGTTTGTCGCTTCAGAAGCAGCTCTCCACTGGGATCGGGAGTTGGAGTCCCTGGCGCGTGGCGGAGGGAAACAAGCACATGGTCACTGCTTGATAGGACGGTTCTGAACACCTTTGGAAGGTGCGCCGTTTGGGGAGGTGGAGGGAGTTTGGGTAGGTGGAGGTCCAATTATCCGTGATACATGTGATAAGATGAGAGCAGGAAAAGACCTCTTGATACCAGGTTCAGGGACCCGACATCGATAGGTGCCGTTGGACGGTCTTGTCGATCACTGTTGCCTCGCCGTTTCTGTCGAAAGTTCCGAGCGTGCAGTTTGGTTCGCCTATGAGTGGTGTTCGCCGATTTGGTATCTCCCTTCATGGACCATGGTTGCGACCGGCGCCTCCCCACGTTGCCGAGCAAAAGTTGTACCGAACTTTTGAGTTCCCGACCAGGGTTAGGCGGCATCGGGAACTCAAATTTCAGAGAAATACCGACAGACCGGCACCCATCGGCATCTAAGGGTCTCGCGAGGTCTCGCAAAGCTTTGACGAGATGTCACCTATGATTCACCTTAGGCAAGGTTTGAAAAAAAAAAAGTACATTGAAAGGAACGACCGTGAGAGTCAATGACCCCATTGGAGAGCTCTTATGTAGAACAGGAGAGCGACCAGGGAATTTATGTAGCGAGATGGGACGATCATCAAGGTCGCTAAGTCGGCAGTACACTACCAAGACTGTGATTCTTGAAACGGAAAAAGTCGTCATCGACGGCATGACCTAGGACATGGGACAACTTCTTGACAACTGATTCGGTACCATCACTCGGCTCTCAGAGGTCAATTTGCTCGAGACAATTGTCCGTTGGTAGGGTATCGGCGTCAGGTAAGGCAAAAGCGTGGCCAGCTACGATTCCTCCGGCTTCCCTGCTGCATCTTGCCAACCTTGGTAGAATTCTAGAAGACCGCAGGTTTCTCGGGAAAAAATACACTGTACACTTTGGGCCAGCATAGCCCAGACATCAGCTTTCCCTAAACTGGCTTTGGTTGATTCGATAGCATAAGTTACAGCGGCCAATGGATGGTCATCTACCCCGTGCCGTGTCCTCAATCTCTTGGGGATCGTGGCAGAATGTGATGAGGAGCTATTAATAACCGAACATGACCCAAGGTATTGCATTCAAAGACGGCTTTGTCAAGTGCCGAACTGGAACTCTCGGTCAATCTCGACGCTTTCAAAATTCTCTATAGTCATTGGGAACGACGCCCGATTGCGCTGCTGGTCGTAAATGACGCCTAGATTATGCGAGCCCATATCCATCTGAGTGCGATAAATCAAAACGAATCGCTCTTTGCCTTCCTCTATCTCGTTGTCGTCGTTGACATACTCGTCGCAGGGCATCATTATGAGACGATCAACCTAGTAGAAAAACTCTGGCTTAGTGTGACGTATAACTATCTTAAGGCTTAAGGGAGGCCGAAGGGGAACGTAATCTAGAAGGAGCCGTAAGTCTAACCTAATTTAGGATAGAAGTGGTTTTATTTCGTAGATACTTATTTCCCTCTTTCTCTCTTCTTCTTCTTCTCTTTCTCTAGTTAAGTTACTCTATTAATAATATGCGACTTCCTTCTCGCCTTTAGTCAGTAACACTGAGGATCATAGATTAAATCCAAGAACGAGTTAAGCGGCGTAGTAAGGCGATTCCGAATAGCTGCTATATCCTCTTCTGCCTCCCTAAAGAACCACCTTTCGCTAGCTAGCGCATCAAGGTCGGGTGTGTCTCTTCCATGACGAGCCATCTAACTGAGACCTAGCACTCACCCGCGGGTGACCCTCCGGACCCTCCACCCGCACCTCCGAGGGTTAGGGTCTAATCTTACTAACCCTAACCCTCTAAGTGTCCCTTAAGGGTTACCCGCGGAGGGTCTGTCAGACCCTTAAATATTGTGGTGGGAGAACCGGTGACATAATAGCACATGTGTGGCCTCAGGCATGATCCAATGTCTGCAGTGCATAGTGCATCTCCAAGACAGATTCGGAGATGGATAAGTCATCTACCCAATTCATTCAGGTTCACTCCATTTTTCTCTATTCATGACGCAGCATTAAGGTTATTCCGTACTGCCGCATCAGGGTATCAGGACGGCCTCATCCAGACCGTCCTCCGCACCGGACAGGCAGTGTGTGTGTGTGTTTGTGTGTGTGTGTGTGTGTGTGTGTGTGTGTTGTCCAGTCTGCACCGCCAGACAGCCATCGAGCCGTTCCCATTTCAATATATAATTTCTCTACACCTTTCCTAGTCCTGGACTGGAACGATAATCAGTCAAATCCAATGGCGCGGAGTATATCACCCAGGAGCATGTAATGGGTGTCCAGTTGCACCACATGTGGCCTAAAATGAATTCAGAACAACACATGCTCTGCACAAAGACGCTTTCGTTGGCAATAAAAAAGATGGCATGCCTGGACTTTCCGGCTTATGATAGTCTATACTTCTCAGATGCGCCGATAGACTCGAACATGAAGGTTCCTTTCGAGCAGGGCTTTTGTATTGGGCCGAATTGCAGTCCGGTTTTCTGGAACCGAAATAAGGGGAAACTTGAACTCTACGGTAGTCCAAGTCCCAACTGCGGCCCCTGTTAGTGCTAGATGCTCTATTCTCTCTTCCACAACAGTACTAACATAAAGTGGGGAAATTAGGGAAAGACCTTACAAGCTATTGCCTAGGCTTGGTAGAGACCGGCTTCTCGCGTTTGCCGAAGGAACCCGTCACCTACGAACTTCTCCCTCATCAAGGGTCCGTTCAAGATCACATGTGTTTATTGAAAATCAGCCAAGAAGTGATGCAGAGGTTGGTAGACAATAAACGCATTCAGGACGCTGCTACTCCAACTCTGCTTCACCCCGATTTTCACATGAGGAATATCTTTGTGTCAGCTTGGTTCCTCGCATTACTGGCCTGATTGACTGACAATCAACAAGCATTGAGCCTGCATTTATTTACGCCAACGAGACGCCTGATTTCGCTGCACTTCCCGAGGAACTGGGGAAGACACGTTCGAGAGCGGACACTCCGAACAAAAGTCTCCTGGCTGCAAGGAACGAGAGTGGAAAGATGCATCGATCTGTTATCAGATATACAATGTGTGCATGAAGGGGCTTGCACCCAAGTTACGCCCTGCAAGACTACTTGACCCGTCTTTGTTTCGGCTCTTCCAATACTGTCACACGACATGGAGGGACAGTGCCGCAGCACTCCACCAAGAGTTAATCGAGCTTTCAGCTCGCTGGACAGAACTAGGGCCACAGGGAGTTTGCGTTTTTTTCTCCAACTGGGAAAAAGGTGAAAGAGCACGCTCAGGAGTATGAAGATTTTGAGACCTTCCAAAAACTTAAATTATGGCTAAAACACTCCCTCCATACGAACTCCGATGGGTGGGTTCCGAATGATAACTGGGACACTGCGAGAGATGCTCATCGCGCAGCGTATGACCAATGGATGCAGACGGCCAGAGAATCTGAGTCTCGTGGCGAGTGTCTGACAGTAGCAAAAGCGGACAAACTGTGGCCTTTCGATGCTGAATAACGGGAGGACAAGGCAATAGAATTTTACTACGAAAAATCAATATCGAAAGAGTACTGCGCTCAATAGCTAGGATTACTCAGGACGACAGAGCTGTCTTTGAAAGAGCCTAAATTCGTATTCAAAATACGGAAATTCCCCCACGTGAAGCGACATCGGGAAAAGGTGGACCTCCGTGATGCCCTCATCGCCAAGGTGCCTGACCCTATCATGGATGCAAGCAAAAATACAGTAGGGACATTTTGACTACTTGTCCTCTCGAGAAGGCGTTTCTTTGTCCCCGCCCTCTCGTGTCCCCTAGTCGACTGAAAGTTGCCTCGGCTGCGACTCGATTGGCGTATCGTGGAATGGAATAAAAGTTGTATTGCTCACTGTTGCAATGAGGAATTCATTCTAATTGTAGTAATTCCAGGCCACCAAGGAGATTATCTGAGGCAAAAATGCCTTTGTGAATAGCACCGTGGGTTGTAGATACAGTGGTCTTTATTCCGCCGTAACTGGCATCAAACATTTCCACGAGACTACCCATTCAAATTCGAGCCTCCTTGCTATGTCAGAGTCTCCGTACACGCTTTGTTGGCGCTAAACTTGCTGCTAATATTAAATCGAGATAAAGTGTCCGCAAGTCATTCGATGTCAAAAATTACTGTTCGATTTTTAGAGTTTATCATATCATCTTAGCTACCAAATAGCATCATAGAGCCTAAATCTCAAGCCGTGAAGCTTTCAGACCAAAGACACAGGCTTCCTATTTCGACCGTTTCCAGCATCCATACCCCCATCTTCTCCAATCTCCGATTGCGAAATTATCCCAGGGGTCTGCGCCCAGTTATTGTCTTCACTGTGAGCTGTTTGAGGAGGGGTATCCCTCAGCGGGTTGTCCTTGGACATCAATGACGACCGTTCCCCCGAAGAAGCCAACCTAAAAGGAACTAATGGCTCGGTTGATATAGTGGAGTTTGACTTCAACAGTTCCCTTGCTGCGATGCGCTTTTTCCTAGCCTTGTCGCTTACACAGAACCCGATGCTAATCCCAATGAACAGGGATATCAAGCAGACTGAAAATACGATAGCGGTGATATTTCCTTTGCGATTCCATTCGGCCAGTTCGGCTCTCGCGGAACTTGTTGCCGACGCCGTGCTTGTCATGGAGGTAGAAGTGCTTGTCGTGGTTGAGATACTAGTCGTTGATGCTGATGTGATGGTTGATGAAGTGGAAATGGATGACGTAGTGGAAGTGAATATGGTCAAAGACGTAGTTGAAGTCGTGGTTGAGGTCTTAGTTGTATCTGAGGAAGTTGTTGATGTGCTCGATGTAGTGGTGCTAGTCGTGGTTGAAGTTGTACTCGTTGTCGCTGCCGTCGTGGTGTCTGTAACCGTTGCGTCTCGGGCTTGAAGAGCGACATGATCGCTGTCGATATCTCCCATGCGTGGGGCGATAAATTCGCCATAAAGGGGTCCTAAAGATAACTTGCTGTCGACAGTAGTCTGCAAAGCGGACCAGTACTCGGTTGAGGTGACATAGGAGTAGCAGGTAGCGAAGACACACTGTGTCACTACTAGCGCCAGAATGCTGCTGTTCATGTCTTTTGCAAAAGAAAATTTTTGATCGATATTCAGAGAAGACAGCGAGGTGGAGGAATTAACAATGGTTTTAAGGCTCCGCTAGCCACGCATCAACGAACGTACCATCTTGCACTAAAGTCTATTATGGCCCACGCAATCTTCTCTCTAGAGATATTTTGGGCTACAGCTAGTAAGTTGCCGCGTCAATGTTCACATCGCTGGGTTATTATTGATCTCAGCGTCCTATAATCAGCCACTGGTGAGGCGGCGTAGGAGGGTAGCACACGCAAAAGCCGCGCGGCAACGCCCCACAGGGCTAGTTCATGATTGCAATTCTGAGAAAATGGTCGGCGAAAACGAATATCCAAATGAACCAGCTACCTTCGATCTCGTCGAATCGTGAAGTAAGATAGTCCATTAGCCAGAGGCGAATAGAGAGCGGCATCCGTCAGAGCGTAATGGAAATCATAGCGAAGCTATGAAAAACTCCGTTGGTCAAGCCGCACTCACATGCAACGAATTACGCGGACCGCCAAGAGACATCAGTCTAGTGTTCCGCCGAATTTTCACAATTGTTGTTGGTAAGACTCCTAGAATTCTGGCCGACGAATCTTAAATTTCTGCCTTTTCCTATCGTATATCTTCATCTCTCAAATGGCATTTCACTACCTGTTCGAATATTGCGTTCGTTAGGCTCAAATCTCGAAGAAATCTCTTCGTAGTCTGAAGTGCTGAATAAAACTCCCGACATTGAAGGACAAAAGCTGGGGAGCTTAAGATCTTGAGATATCTTACTTGTGGAAAGTGGACACCAGTATATGGCGGCCCATGCTACGATAAAAGAAACGCGAATACTCACCGGACAAGTGAAGACGAAGGAAGACAGAAAGAGAGGGGGATATTCAATTATTCTGCCTCAAGCACCAGGCACATTATATATCTGCTTGAGGTCGCGAGTGATTATTAAAGCAAATCGGAATAGTCCAGATTCAATATTCAGCTTCTTGATGACTGTGATCTACAATAGAAAATTAAAATGCTCACCGAAAACAAAATGTCAGTATGAAACACCTTATTCGTATTCTACATGATGTTAGCGACCTGCTTGATGGTCTCCATTCAAGTACGACCGTTCAGTCCTAGGTACGAAAGTTTGGTAATCCATAATTGTATGGTGGCCCAAAAACAAACGCGAAAAATAAAAATCAGTCAACTCGTTAAGATGATCCAAGGCTTGGAAATATGAGGCTCCAATTTGATCAGTCAGCTGATGCGAGCCACGGATCTAGCCTTTCCTCAAGGAAGGTCCAAGACTAATGAGAGAATATACGGGGCTTTCATGTTGATCATCTTGAGGTTGATGATAATCTCGAGAAACCTTCAGACTGATTCAATCTCGCCGAGGAAGGTAGAGGGGACAATTCAGTTCTCAAAGTGTGCGAAATAAGAGTCAAGTCGATCTGCTTCATTAGTTCCAAAGTGAAGTCTAGCGACTGAGAAATGTTTGTGGTGGGTAGAATATATCTTGGTTGCTATGCCCTCCTCATCCGTCTGATTGACCCCGATATAGACAAAACTATTCATGTCATGACAGGTGAGAGTCAACAGGGAAGACATAGAAACAACGGTTTTTCCATCCAAAACATGACGGTACGACCTTGCTCAGCGTGGCTTAGTTGGCGAGCGCCACCAGGTTTGAGGTGTGGTAGCTGAGAGAGATCTGCAACCTTGATTTCTATCTTAGGTTAGACATGGTTCCAAGTCAAGAAATGATCGTTGGCTCGATTGACCCTAGCAAATTAACTTCGTGTTCTAATTGGGGCGTTAATCTATATCACTATCTATCACTATCTACATGCTTGTTCCGTTGACGCAATGGCAGAGCGCCGTTGACAGAATCCGGGGACAGCACCCACCTTTCTTGCATTTACTTGGCCAGTAAGTAGCTCAGTCTATCAAGTCGATAGACGATCTTGTCAAAGCCATGTTCTTACATTGATGTCGACCAATGTCTTCATCGATGTTGCGAGTGATCTGACGTCATCTCACCGCAGCAAAGTCGAAAAGTGCTCTACAGGGATATATCACTAGGGAAGCTTTGACCGACAACTTGACGTCAGACTTGGGTACATAATAAGGGTGCCAGAAAGATCTATTTATTGATGCGCTGTGGCCACCATAGCAAAATCAAGTCGCTTCAAAGGTCAAGCTGAAACTCGGTACATCATTATAGTCGACATCTAGAAGATTGTACCACAAGATTCTTCTATATTATAAGAGAGTGACCTTTAAGCATGCCATTCTTTCATCGAGACTCTGCTGCAAGCTCCTCTTCAGGACACAGCATAGATGATCCCAATCGAGCACATAATCACAAACTCGCTGGAATCCACTCATCGCATTCAACCCGCTCATCTATCTCCTCACACTCAGGCTCTTCAGCAAGAAGCTCTCGTCGGCACAGCCTTCTTCGTCGCATGCCCGAAGACCCATCAATTCAAGCTGCCCATGAGCAAGTCCTTATCGCTGAAGCAGCGGAAAAAGAGGCAGACAAAGCTTTGTTGGCATCTAGAAGGGCTGTGAAGGAGGCTAGGGAGCACATCAAACATCTGGAGCGAGAGGCGGCAGAAGAGTGAGTCACATATTTCTTCAGTTCCTTTTTGTTGACAAAGAGACAAGATTTTTTGGCAATTCTAACGGACCAATTCAGAGCACGTTTAGCTAGAATAAAGCAAGATCAGGCAAAGTCCATCTCTAAAAGAGCCAAGCCACTGGGTCGTGAGTCAACCCCCCTATTGGCAAATGAGAAAGTTAGTCTAACAGCCACGTAAAGGACATGTTTGAGGTGATCGTGTGGGTCTGCTTTGATGTCGAACTTCTTCCGGTAGCTTGATATTTTTTCTCTGTTAGCCACAACGTCATCAATGGCCATCATACACACAATATCGTATTGCCTTGGACCAAGTGCCTTCTTTAAGGAATGTCAAATGAAGTTTTTTTTTGACAAGTATCAGACAATATTGAACTGGAATTTCAATTGGAAGAAACAATCCAGAGCTCTATTATGAGAAAACTGTGAATTGGAAGGTGGGTGGTTAGTTTGGGAGTAGTTTATGAGGCAGCCAATCTTGATTTCTTTGGTCTCCCGGTGGCAAAATTGAAGGGACCATCATTCACCATCAGAAAGTCAGTCCTCCCTTGCCAGGCCAGAATGAAGGCATTCATTGTATACTCGATCGTTTCTGTCGTACTCCAGTCTCGGCCGGCTGATGAGGCTTAGCCATGGCAACTATGATTTACAAATAGTCCCTTTAGGCAGAAGCTCGAGCTCGATGGGTAATATCTACGCGATGAGTTCTGATTTAACCATTTCAAGTGACCCCAAAGACTGTGGCAGTCTTTCCTGGGTCATCATATCATTGGCCCTCTTTCAATCTGCCACAATAATGCTCAAAAAATGAGAATATCCGAACAACTGCGTACAGTGTGCATTGAATCTTGAACTTCCAGATGGAGCGAAATTCCAGTGGGTATGAGGGATACTTGCCGATTGGAGAGGAAAATTTTCATTGTGGGCGAGAAGACAAGTGCAGTGAACAAAACATAGTGTATGGTGGTATTCTCCATCTATTGAGATATAGTAAGGATAATGAGAACTATGGTGGGAGAGGAAAGTGGCGAATACAAATCATGCCAATTATTTCTCGTCTGTTATAAAACAAAATGGATTTGAATATAGTCCCATCCCCGGACTAAATAATATTAATAAGGGCAGGCTAGGACACTTCATTCTGAGTCCTAGGTGCCAAGATATAGTCACGAATGCTCTCCGAGGTTCAATCCACCGCAACTTGGCAAGTGTAGAGGGTCGATAAACCAGCAAAGCAATGCCAAGCGCACCCCGCCACCCTACAAGTCATTTTCTCGGCTCAGGAACAGAATCGGATCCATGCCATGGCTGTGCCCCTGCCCCAACCGTGGGAGACCAGGAATTGAAAGCAAAAGAATTTCAGTGTATCCATCGTAGCTCAACAGGTACCACGTGCTCTAGAGGACCGGATGCTGATTCCACGAGAGGCTCGGAGTTTCGATAAAGTAGTCTGCGAGGTCAAGGGAAGCAGGAACCAGCCAAAGAAGCTGATCGGCCCCACGCGACCGCGCGGCCAAGATTTCTTCCCTTTCAACCTCCCCTCGTCACGTCATGTCACCGAGTCGCAGAGATTTCTTGGCTCCTTCGACCGGTCCCCTCTGCATCCCGCTATGATTCTGTGAAAAGTATTCAAGTTTGGCAATGCCCTGCGATTCCTGCAACTCGCCTCCCCCGGGCTTCAATCCAGCATGTCCGTTGATGGCGACAAGGCGCGGGGGTTCTGGGCAACATGGGCCGGTCAGTTGGTCTCTTAACCCCATCCTTCTTTCTGGGCTCTTCATCTCCTCTCCGGTTTTGATCGAGAGATGAAAAAACACCCGTGGATCATTTGAAGTCAAAATGCTGACTGTGCTATCTGTACAGCATTCATCGCGCCCTTCAACGCACCCGTCGCTGGCCGACAATGCGGTTGGCGCCCGATCGCCCTGCGTCCCCCTTACCTCGCCGGCGTTGTGTGTATAATGTTGACCATGTTATTTACACTGGAAGGACTCAGGCGATATAGCAATCGCGAAGGAGGACTGGTCTTTTTTACCGATACGGACGATGTCTCCCCTCTGGAATCCTTTGGTTATAACTACGTGCCCATCATTTTGGCTCTCTTGCTTATGATGGTGTGGACGGTGACCGATTTTGATGTTCTTCGTCTCGAGCCGTATTTTCAATTATCCAAGCCTGACGGAGCCCCGGCCGCAGTTCTCTTCATCAACTACAATTTCGGTCAGACCATCCTCACTCCTATCAATGCCGCCCGCCGCCGTCACTGGATTGTTCTTTGGGTCTCTATGGTTACCTTATCGATTCGCATGATTCTTCCCGCGCTGCAGAGTACAATTTTCGAGCTACGAGAGGTAGATTTGGTTGTATACGAAACGATGAAGAGTTGGCCAACCCTGGTGGATTTGAATACCCAAGCGATCTGGATGTCGACGCAAGCGAACAACACCGTTGATTCCGTTCTCTCATCTGATGAGCGACTGCGTCGTTCCAGATCTTCCGATTTTGCGATCGCACCAGTCGAAATCCCGAGCAACGAGGCCAACCACGCAGAAGAGGAAACGCTGTGGACCTTGGACCAGGAGCTTTATTGGGCCCAGACAACGTGCGAGAATGTGGGTGTGGATGATGATCTGTCAGTCACCATTGGCCAAACGACGAACGGGTATCCAACGATCTCGTGGAATGCCAGTGGCATCGATATGGAGGATACGTATGGAGACACGGTCCAATGTAAACTGGATTTTCACTACGACAGCATTTGGTTTCCCTCCACCGATTACCTTCAGGTCCGATACTGGGAGCCTGTCATGAGTGGCTCAGCCACGGCCGCGTTCTCGAATCACACGCAAGCTTTCACGGCAACCGGGTGCGATCCATACGACATCTATGGGATGCTTATTGAAGTCAACGCAACCGAGTCTAAAACTTCCCACGAGACTGAATATTCTGCCTCTGGAATCGCCTTTGCTTGTGACATCACCTACCACAAAGCCGATGCACGTGTTTTGATGCACTCAAATAGCTCCGTCGAATCCATCCAGATTCACCCTGCGACGACTCGGACTCTAACTTCGGCAGAATTCAACATCGATCATTTCCAGGCTCTTCTTTCTCGACGCGCTCCGTACACTAGTGACATGCTCTTCATTCGTAATAATGCTACCACCGGCGCTCGCACGATCACTGAGCTTCCGGTTATTAGCCAAGAGCTGGGCGATCTCCAACCCTTTTTGGTCCTTGACATGTCCTCAATCATGACTGAAGCAGACTTGGTATCCAGAATTACTCGCGATGTCAAGCAGACCTTTGTTCTAACTCTCGGGCGTCTCTTTGATCCTGATCGCAAGCCTACCATCATTCCTGCCACTCGGAGCACAACCCAAGTCGCCATCTCTATCGTACCATTCGCAGCTCTTTGGTCTGAGCTCATTCTCGGATTGGCCACCTTGACCGCTATCTACCTTATCTTTATATACCGGTCTCGCGAGACCTTTCTCAAAAGTGACCCTGGCTCGATTGGGGCCATGTGTAGTATCGCCGCAAACATCTTCCACCCTTCGAACATACTCGCCGAACCGCACGCCGAATTCCATCAATTTTCCACCCGTCAATTACGTCGAATATTTCGGAATGCAAGATGCCGCTGGCGGCTTGGCCCGTCAGGCAATCAAATCGAGATACTTGCGGATGATGGTTCACCCGTACAATTGGAGCCAAATTTGCGGCTCTCCAACGACCCTATGCCTCATTTCCTTCTCATCCCCTTCTTCATTGTTGAGTTCTCAGCCCTGGCGGCAGTCATCATTCTCATGGGCCTGGTTGTCTCTTCTCTTGTCAAAGATGGCAAATTTCGACATTTAAACCAGTCGGATTCAAGCACTCTTCAGGTGGTTCTTTCCTTCTTACCCTCAGTCGTGGCATCATCAGTGAGCTCGTTGTGCACATCGATCCATCGGAATCTCAGCGTACTGGAGCCATGGGTTCACCTACAACGTGGGATGGCGTCAGCGCGGGCTTCTCTTTCGCTCAACTACTCATCTCAGAGCCCGTTTGCCGTATTTTTCAAAGCTGCTCGTGACCGACATGTCCTGCTTGGGCTGGTGTCTTTGGCCTGTGTCGTTAACATGATTCTGACTGTCGTTGCAGGCGGGCTGTTTACTCAGGAACTAACGTCTTCCACAATGCCGACAAATGACCTGAGCATGAACTATAGTCAGTTCATGTTCTGGCGCACAGACTTTGCGGCTGAATTCACCGAGTATGACTTGATTCAGACGAGTATCACCAGTGGAGTCCCCATGTTGTCTTGGACAAGCCCCAATCAATCCTTCATTCCGGTCCATGTCCAAAATCGTGACCCAGACGCACTCTACGGAGCAACAACTCTAGGCGTGGGGGCATCGTTGGATTGTACTGCCGTTTCGCCAGATCAATCCCTTTACCGGAACCAGACATCAGGTCACGAGTACTGGCATTATTCGCTATTTGACAACTCCTCGGTGCAATGCGTGGCACAGATGCCATCCTTGAAAAGTAAGAATGAAGGTATTGCGCTTTCAATCCACTTTTTGTCCCCTGCGGATATGAACGGTTCGGATGTCTGTCAAACCTCCACGGTTCTCGTTGTTGGCCGTTGGGACTACCTAGCAGACACTCCGATCAACGACAACAACACCATTGCCCTACACTGCGAGCCCAAGATTCAAATGCAGAACTATTCGCTCCTCTTTGACCAGAAGGGCCAAATTTATGGGCACAAGCCCATTGCAAAGACATTGATCACGGAAGGGGAGATGTTCGAGAACGCCACCGTCAGCCTGGGTCAATTTAACAAGGTGTTTGCAGCCATTCCGGAAAGCTACGTGGGCAATACCAGTTCTCACAATGGCTCGTACAACATATCATCTTATGACTGGGCTGGATTTCTTGTCGCTCGTCTCTATCAACGTGATGACCCTGACTTTGACTCTCTGCGCCCCGAGAAAATGATAGATTTGACTCAAACAGTCTACGAATGGGTCTATAGTACCTATTTCTCCATTTGGCGAGACATTTATCTCAATCCTCTGGACAAACCTTTGCCGGCCGAAAATGCTACTGTCATCAGAAGCACTTGGACGATGGTACCTTCCGTGCCATCACTTGCAATTGCATTGATCATCATCGCCTTCGACACGTTGGTCGTTCTCATCGTATTTGGGACACGGCGAGGCCGCTTTCGAGGCCCACGGATGCCACGGTCCATTGGCGCTATCATACCTTGGATTGCGCACAGTCGGATGCTACGTGACTTTGATGACACGCATTCGTGGAATAACACCCAACGACGTGCCCACCTTACGACCTTGGACAAGCGTTATGGCTTTCGCATGTTCATGGGGCCTGATGGCCGCTGGCGTTTTGCGGTGGATGAAGAGCCAACTGAGGCGAAATGTCCAGATTCTTCACCCCCCGACACCCCATCCCCAGTCCCCCAGGCTGAACCAGAGGCCGAGGTCAACAAGATCACATCTATCCAACTGCAAGAGTTATCAGGATCGCAGTCACGGACGCGAAATTAAGCGGGCTTGCGCCTCTATGTATGTAATGACATCTTTGATTTATTTCTGGACTTGTTGTTTTGCCTTTTAAGGTTCTTGTATATACTAGGAGATTTGGCGTTGAGAGGGGGCTTTGCAGGCGCCTGAACAAATAGATTAATCGACAGGTGAGCTGGTTCTTGCCTTGTCTAAAGAAATCTGGGCCGCTGGGCCAAGTTCGGCAAGTATGCACCGAATGCACCTTGAGATCAGGAGCCTGAGTTTATAGTAATTATTGTTTAAATACACCAATCACGCTTGAATTTGCACTTCATGGTTCTTATGATTATGAATACATATAGCCATCAAACCGTTCGATCAATTTGCCTGGCCCGACAAGCCAGATCACACCTTATTTTATGATTTGATTACTACCAAGATACTAGCATACCATGGAAAGGTTTTTTTTTACTCGCAAGCTGCACTGGCGGAAAGCAGTCAGAGTATGAGAAGTTGAGCCACAACGAATAAGTATATACCAAAACAATGACTGCTGTGGGTAGTAATTGCTAGTTGATCATTCTGGTTCATGCATACAATATATTCCATCAGGTGCGCTTTCAACAATCGTTTCCAGAGGGCGTTTCAGGATAAATTTGCATACGCCATGACTTTGAGAGTTTGGTGGGCTAAAAGTCAGAGGATCGATGTCTCGTTGAAGCACCTCGACAAAAGTGAAGGCAGTCTTTGCACCGCTCTGTCTACAGTGCAGCACGCAGTCGACCATCTATCGCTCGCAGGATGACATAGAGGCTCTCCAAGCGTGGGGCCTTTATTCCCAGCTCTCGTGATTTACGCACTGGGAAGCCCAAAATAACATCGATCTCCATGGGTCGTCCGTTCTTGCAATCAGTCTGCATGCTGCTCCCAATGCCTGGCATGGCCTTGATCTTTCCGATCAGTTGCTCAGGGAGCTCATCTGTTAAAGCAACGCCACAACCGCGAGCAATGTCGATGACTTCACGCATCAACTCCCGAGTGAAGGGCTCGGCGTATTCTGAGGAGTGTAGCCACGTCTGAGTGTCTACCATCGTCAACGCAGTGAGAGAGTTCCATGCCGCGTTCCATACAACCTTCTCCCATCGCTTTTGTTGGATATCTTCAAGAATCTGGAAACGAGTTTGGCCATTCTGGAGCAACTCAGCGAAAATATCGAGGTTTTGCTGATCCGTCACCCTTTCGGCCTGTCCATGGGGGAAAAGGCCGATCTGCATATCCTCGGACTTGGTGTGCTTAACGATGCCGGGGCTAATTTGTGTCGCTCCCACCCAGGTCTGTTATGGTCAGTCAAGATCCAAAGCGTGTGCTTTTCAATGAACACACCACACAAGTTAAAATGGAGCTTGCCGGGAATCGCTTCCTGAAGGCCTCCTCATTACCGACTCCATTTTGTATTATCACGATTGTCGTCCGACTCTGATCCACCACTGGCTGTAATTGCACTACCACATCCTCCTGATCAATGGCCTTGTGGGCGCACACGACGTAGTCAGCGGCTGATGCTTCGGATGGGGACCTGACCACTGATCGATTTGAGTCAACGAGATACCAGATGTAAAGCGAAATGTTTCCTACCTCGATGCGGATGGAAGGTGTGCTTGCCATGGTTCTCACTGTCGATAGTAATACCCTGAGTGCCATTAGCGAGCAGAGCTTAGGAGACTCGACAAATCTCTCCTACATTAGCGTTGACAGCCTCAAAATTTGATCGAGCGACCACTGTCAAGCGCACGTTCTTGGAGCGGCTCAAGATGAAGGCGTAGAAAGAGCCGATGCTATTGCCAAATTAGCGACCTCCGAGTGCGCGAGTAAGTGGGCTCACGTACGCTCCCAGGCCGTATAACAGAACCTCGATCTGATCGGACATGATTTTTGTCCTCTGGGGAAGATAGTGACTCGAAAAGTTCTCTGCGGGAATATTTTTGTTCCTCTCTCTCGCTCACTTCGTCGAAAAAGATTTCTCGAGTTGGAATGTCTGCGCGGGGCGCGGCAATTGCCCGAGACTGACGTGGGGTTAGAATCGGAGGAAGGTGTGCTGCATACCCGAGAAGAGCCAAGGCTCAGTCTGTCTACTCTGGTCAGTCCCGTAGAAAGGCGTTATGTGTACGAAGGGAAAACATGCTTGTTTCTTGTTCTACGATAAAATCGCACCATCTAACGGACACATGAGTTGTCTCATAAGTTGACGCTGCCGGTTACATTCCGCTCCAGTCGGCTTGCATTTACCATCTCTGGCCGTAAGTCCTTGAGATTCGCGGCACCCAGGAAAACCATATTAGCCTCAATTTCTTGACGGAGGATCTCCACCATCCTCCGTACGCCATCCTCACCGTATCCAGCACACATGCTGAATAAAAATGGTCGTCCGAGGCCGACAGCCGTTGCCCCCCAGAGCAATTGCTTTGAGTACATCCGTCCCTCTGCGAATACCACCGTCAATGAGGATTTGCATGCTGCTGTGTATCAAATGGGGTGCAAATCGTCGTATCTCAAGCAAAGTCAGAAGTGGCGATTGAGCACTGTGATTGTCAGCTTCGAGCGCATTGAAAGGTTCGTCTGGAGGACGTACGTATCCTGAGAGCGACCCCCATGATTGGAGAGAACGATACCATGCACACCATGTTCATAGGCAAGCACAGCATCCTCGACACACTGGATGCCCTTGACTACCAGGGGTAGATTGGTCAAGTTTCGAAGCCATTTGAGAATTTCCCAGTCAATATACGGAGAAATTGGGCTGGCCATGATCTTTGCAACTCCTGGGCCCTGAATATTGCTTTCACTCGACTAGATAACTTTAGCCTATTTCATGAGACTTATATCAACTAATACCTACCACAACCGTAAGATTCAGTCGCTCGTCCATTTCCCTCTTGCCAACCACCGGTGAATCCACGGTGATCCAAATAGCTCGAGCACCGGCCTTTTCTGCACGTTTGACGGCCTGAACGGACTTACCGATGTCTCTATTGACATAAAGTTGGAAGAACAGCGGTTGCTCACTCGAGAGCCGACTTTGCATCACTCGCTCGATCGGCATGCTGGCACCATTTGCGAGAACCTGAGCTAGTCCTTCCTTTCCGGCAGCCGATGCAAGTGCGCACTCACCGTCTGGATGAGCAAATTTTGCGATGCCAACGGGTGATATGTAAACAGGAAGTGATACAGGGTAACCAAGAATGGAAGTTTGCGTGTCAATATTGGGTACCTTCTTCAATATACGCGGTCGTAGTGCAACTTTTTGATAAGAAATGGCATTCTCGCGCTTACTGATTTCATCGTCAGCGCCAGAAGAGTAATAGGCCCAGGCCTTGGCTGGCAGATATTTCTCGGCAACTTTTTGAAAGTCGTTCAGATTGATCAGAGTGCTCAGAGGAGGCGGTCCACCAGGCTGAGGCTCTGTTGTTCTCACACTAGACGCACCAGCAACTTTGCAGGAGCCCAACTCGGCGGCATCGATTTGACCTCGTATTGCCGTTCCAGGCAGCTGTTCCAGGACGTCTGGTGAATGAACAGAGTCAAACCCTTCTGTGGCATCTTTTCCAGCGTAGCGTAGGATCACACTTGCGCCGCCGGGATGACTGCTGAGAAACTCTACTAGAATGAGCTTTGCCCCTCAAGATCCTTCCCACCCAATGATGCCTACCTGTCACATCGTAAACAGTGTCATGAATAGCGATCCAGCACGATTGACGGCTATTATGCTGCCCAAGATCCGTCTTTGTAATGGTCATGGTATCTACTTTGGACTTGATCAGACTTGCATGGAATGCCAGCATAGAAACAGCTCGGTCGGAGAGTGCCTCACAGGCTCAGTATTCCCCGCTTGAAAGTTCCCCCCCCCCCCCGAAAGCGTGGGGGCAGGACCAATGTATAGTTGAGCTGGGGGCATCCTCTTAGATCAGCACACAAACATACCGATGACGAAGTGCGGGGAAACCTGGGGTGAAATTGGGTGGAGGTGGAATATGAAATGTCTTTCATATCAATGACAAGCCACTGCTGATAAGCTATATTTCAGCAATTGTAATGATTCTTTTCCATCCAGAATCCCCTGTCACTGCACCACAACTGTCAGCTCGTGAGGAAAGGCTCGCCGTCGAACGCCTATGTGATAATCAGACCGGTGTCGAAAATAAAACTATGAAGCCCCGACAGATGCTTGAGGCCGCTTTAGATTGAAAAGTCTGGGCTATTTCATAATTGCGTTCGCGGCAAACATTCCCAAAAGAGGAATTTCAAATTTTGGCACTCTCATCATCAAAGGATCCGGTTTCTCCACTTGTAAGTGCAAACGCAACGTGAATGGCAGAACAGTTCTGATCAAGGGATAATCGATACTGCTTTGATGCAGATTGCAAATGGCACATTCATCGTAGCCATCGTGTTCGTGTTGCCAAACCTGGCGGTTACTTTCGGGCTGCACTATCTTCTTCAGTCCAACCAAGTTGGACGACTGATCTGCTACTACCTAACGGGCTCTTACCATGCCTCTTTCGTGATAATTTGGTCAATATCCGCCGGTAACATTGCTTGTCACAACAAAAAAAGTCGTAACGAACGCGATGACCTTTTGGGAGTTTGTGCAGGCAACATTGCGGGGCCATTTTTCTACAGGACTGACCAAGCTCCTGGGTATGCACTGGGAACCTGATCAATGATCGTGGTCAACTTCATCGAGATTGCATTGATCATGCTACTTGGAGTGTCACTAGCATGGGAGAATCGGCATCGCGACCGTATACAAGACATGGCTCCCGCTAGTGACAGCGACCATATGCGACAACTGGAGCTCAATCGCACGGCGTTCAGAGATCTGACTGACAAAGAAAGCATGAACTTTCGATACTTGTACTAGACCAGTTTCAAGGACGTACTCCGTATCTTGTAACGTTCCAAAGAGGATAAATGTAGAAGAGACTATGACTACGACTTCATCGAGTGATCGGTGGTTCCCTCCTTTTCTCTCCTTCGCCTCGTTTGGGCTCCGCAGGGCCCAGTAGTAGAATGACACGACAATCTCATTCATACTTGGCGTGGGGAAAATGATCTGCTTTCCCGCCCCCGGACTTCTACCGAGCCCATCCCACGGCGCGCACCCCACGGCGTGGGATGACGGGGGCTGTGACGTGCCGTGCGACTTATTTGATGAGGGGTATCTGTCGCTCGTGCTTGCAATCGCACAGCACTGCCACTTTTCAGCATGGTCCAAATCAAGTCGGTCGAGTATTTCCGGGTCAAACCTCGTTGGTTGTTCGTCAAGATCACTGACGAGGAGGGCCACTTTGGCTGGGGTGAAGGCACTCTTGAGGGTCATTCTCTGGCTGTTGAAGGCGCATTAGATGAAATTATCCCGCGCATCGTGGGATTAGAAGCCGAGTAAGCATCCACTTGGTCTTTCATCTGTCATAGCTAATCCGGGCAGTGAGATCGAACATATCTGGCAGTTAATATGGCGCTTGGGATTCTACCGTGGCGGTCCTGTCTTCATGTCAGCCATGTCGGGTATCGACATTGCCTGTGGGATCTGAAGGGTCGTCGTCTCAGGCGTCCCTGTGTATCAATTGCTGGGCGGCAAAGTGCGCAACAAGGCGCAAGTGTATGCCTGGATTGGTGGCGACCGCCCGACCGATGTTGAGGCTGCTGCGTGAGTACTCCGGCTCTTTGGGGGCGTAGCATGAGATTCTAATGCTTTCACAGCAAGGCACGCATCGCGCAGGGTTTGAAGTGTGTCAAGATGAATGCGACCGAAGATATGAACTGGCTCGACTCGCCGTCCGCGATTCATTCCTGCGTTGATCGCCTCAAACGGGTCAAAGACCTCGGTCTCGATGCTGGGCTGGATTTCCATGGTCGTTTGCATCGTCCGATGGCGAAGCAACTGGCCAAAGCTTTGGAGCCGCATCAGCCCTTGTTTATTGAGGAGCCGCTGCTCTGCGAACACCCGGAGGCGATTAAACAGCTATCCAATTACACAACCATCCCAATTGCGTTTGGCGAACGTCTTTATACCAGATGGGATGTCAAACGTTTCCTGGAAGACTCGTCAGTGGATGTTCTGCAGCCAGATATCGCCCATGCGGGCGGCATCTCAGAGACCAGGCGTATTGCGAACTTGGCCGAGACCTATGATGTGGCCATCGCACCACACTGTCCTTTGGGTCCAATCGCCCTCGCCGCTTCTCTGCAGATAGCCGTATCCACGCCCAACTTCGTCATCCAGGAGATGTCTCTGGGTATGCATTACAACGTGGAGGCGGGCGACATTGACCTGAATAGCTACTTGGTGGACAAGACTGTCTTTGACATTACCGAGGGATTCGTGGCGGCCCCCTCTAAGCCCGGCCTAGGAATTGACATTGACGAGGAGCTGGTGCGGCGCATCAGCAAAGAGACAGAGCCCTGGCAGCCGAAGGAATTCTACGGGCCGGATGGATCAATTCGTGAATGGTAGTACTATTGCCTTAGATAATCATATCGCATCGCCTAGGTCGAATTTTTGATCCTACGCGAATCTCTTCGGTTCTGTAGTGTTATCACTGTGAGCTGATCAGCTCATACTCTCGCACTCGGGACAGACAGATCCGAGAACTCCAGATTATTGGTAAGAACCCCGGGGTTATGCTGAATGTAGTACCCAAGTCGCTGCGGGGAGAGCGTGGGGGTCGGAGATGGAGCGCCGTTTATAGTCGGCTTTCTCCCCGCTTCGGTGTTAGTGAAAGCCAACTCACATCATGAGTCTGTTTTCACTTGCTGGCAGAACCGCTTTAGTGACGGGTGGAACCCGAGGCATTGGCCAAGCGATGGCCATTGCTCTCGCAGAGGCGGGGGCCGACATTGTTTTAGTTCAGAGAGATACAAGCAACCCGGCGACAAGAGAGCAAATTGAGAAGTTGGGTCAGAAGGCCACGATTTACAAAGCCGATCTTTCCTCACAGGAGTCGGTTTCCGCGTTAGTTACGTCCGTCATCAAAGATGGCCACGACATTGACATTCTGTTGAACTGCGCGGGTATTCAGCGACGGCACCCAAGCCACATGTTCCCGCAAGAAGATTGGGATGAGGTATGTGACAAAAGCGCGGCTGCGCATCCCATGCTCATGGGGCTTCAAACAGGTGCTGCAAGTCAACTTAACCACGGTCTTCATCCTCTGCCGCGATGTGGGCGCGTACATGCTCACCCGCACCCCAAATTCGTCCGGCCACCGTGGTAGCATCATCAACGTGGCTTCCCTGGTTTCCTTCCAGGGTGGACTGACCGTCCCGGCCTATGCAGCCGCTAAGGGGGGCGTGGCTCAATTGACCAAGGCTTTGTCGAATGAGTGGGCATCCAAAGGAATCAACGTCAACGCCATCGCACCGGGCTACGTCGCAACCGACATGAATGCTGCGTTGATGCAGGACAAGGAACGCGCCGCAAGTATTCTCGGTCGCATCCCCGCAGGACGTTGGGGTCACCCGGATGACTTCAAGGGGCCGGTGGTGTATTTAGCCAGTCAAGCCAGCGCATACGTGAGCGGCGAAGTACACACAGTCGACGGAGGCTGGATGGGTCGGTGAGGTACGCCTTGGACCCAGATCTGTATATACAAGGATCTGGAAAGATAGTTAAAGGCCCAGAAATGTTCACATTCAATTAAACGACGCGGGATCCTCGGCATAGATGTCCGATCATGATCTCATTCAGCAGCCGTCTTCGAAGATCGATAAGTGGAACCTACGAGACCCACTGCGGGCATGAATAGGCCGCATGAACAGAATCAAAGTATGAGAAGGAAGTTATTACTCAACTTTTTTACCTATAAGTCATTGTTCGTCGTGATGTTGGCAATATCACCATGATGGGGTCATGGAAATGTAGCTTTGGAAGCAGAACGAGCATCGGGGATACCGGGAATCGCATGCGTCCTGCTGCACTAGTGATTCCGCCAAGATCGCCCAAGGCTACAGTGCAGTACAGTAATGGCGCATTGGAGCAAAGAGATCCATCATTTGCGTCGATCATTTCAGCCTTCTCACTCTGTCAACAAGGCCGTTTCTTTGGCCCACTTCAACGAATGCAAAGCATTATCTCCAGGTTGATTGACCCCGGCAGATGGAAATTTCTCGCTATTCCACTCAATCTGGTTTGAACGCTTGTTTAACGCAACTGAGTGCTGAACTCCTCAGGATGCAGATCTCGACGATCGCCGCACTTTCAGCTCGCCGAGGGCGAACTCTGGCCTGAACGGGCCATGGACGCCGCACTAATCCTTCAATATTCCCCACAGGCACTCAGTCTGGATCTCGATCAGCCAGACTAAGGTAGGAGCACACGATGATCCAACTCCAAGCAGCGCCGCGCTGTCCAACGCTAGGCGCAGCTGCCTATAAAGAAGGCCTGCTTTCCTGGTTCGACCTTGCTCTGCCTCAGCGAACTGCCTCTCCTAGCTATCATGAGAATTCCGAGTCTCTTGCCCATTCTCTCCGCTGTGGCCTTGGTCTTGGCAGAGCCCATCCCCAAGACCGACTACGATGTCATTGTGGTTGGTGGTGGTCCTGCGGGTCTCAGTGCCCTGAGTGGACTTTCGCGCGTCCGAAGAACAGCCCTGCTCTTTGACAACCACCACTACCGTAATGATGTGACCCGGGAGATGCACGACGTGATTGGCAATGACGGTACGCTTGATGATGCTGCTTGGCTCCCCAATGTGATACTGACAGGTCCAAGGAACCCCACCTGCTGAGTTCCGTGGGCTGGCTCGCGAGCAGATCTCTCGCTACCCTACAGCTCATTGGAGTAACAACACGGTGATTTCGATCACGCCCATCGACTCGGGTGATCTGTCTTCGTTCACTGTCGCCGACAACACCGGCAAAAATTATACCGCCCGCAAAATCGTTCTAGGCACGGGTCTACGCGACGTACTCCCCAACACCCCGGGCCTGCAGGAAGCTTTCGGAAAGGGTATCTTCTGGTGCCCGTGGTGCGACGGCTATGAACACCGGAATCAGCCTTTCGGCATCCTCGGCAGCATTGCTGATGTTCTGGGTAGCGTCTTGGAAACCCACACTCTGTTCTCTGACATTATTGCCTTTGTCAACGGCACTCAAGATGCCCAGGGCGAGGCTGCGGCCACCGCTCAGCACGAAGGCTGGGAGGAGCAGCTCAATGCCTGGAACATCAAAATCGAGAACCGAACCATCGAGCGCATTGAGCGTCTTCAGAACGGTGACGCTCACCGTAATCGGACCAGTGACACACAGTATGACAAGTTCCTGATCCATTTCACTGAGGGGGAGCCTATTGAGCGCAGTGCCTTCATCACCAATTTCGCGACCGCGCAGCATTCCACCCTGCCCAAGCAAATGGGCCTGAACGTGATTGACAACAAAATCGACGTCACCAGCGCCATGCTCACGAGTCAGAGCGGTGTCTTTGCCATTGGTGACGCGAACTCGGACGGTAGCACCAATGTGCCTCATGCCATGTTCAGCGGAAAGCGCGCGGCCGTATACATCCACGTCGAGATGTCTCGTGAGGAGTCGGCCTCCAAGGTGTCTAAACGTGATGAACTGCTTGCTTGTCGCGAGCTTGAGAGGGAGGCCATCCGTGCCATCGGCGACAATCTTGAGCCTCAATGGACTCGGGCCAGAAAGCTGTAATGATCCACAATTGTAATGATCCATTAAAAGATTACTACGAATCCGTGCGTTGTGACTTAGCCCACTTTCTCATAAATATTGAATATACTCAGTATACAAGAAACCCCATCGCAAACTTCACATAGGCCAGATTCAGTAGCTCCGGTGCCCTGTGTTCTGTGTTGCGGCACACATGCCTCATTCGTCCCCTCCCGGCTTTGCCAATCTCGCTGGGCCGTGGGGCATCAGACCGGCGGACCTTTCGACACCTCCATACCTTGTGCATCTCTGTCGGTTGGTCTTTCGGTCCTAACTCGGGGGCCCTGTGCCCATAATCTCCCCAATTAAAGCCATTTTTGTGCCCGACACTCTTCTCGACTCGACTTCACACCCACGCAAACGTACTCATCAGCCTATAGTCCAGAGCAATCAGTTTTTACTGCTAGATTCCAGGCTTAGAATGACGCCAATGGGATCCCATGGTCATTGGCAATATCATAACATCCATCGTCGGCAATAACCTTGTAGAACTGATTACAGGTCGACACCATGCCCGTCTGGATTGGAGATGGCGTCGAAACCCCATTTCCAGTCGGATATAGGGAGCGGAGTCACGATGGGTGTCTCTGCTTCCTGCTGAAGGTACTGCTGGAGGTGGGAGTCGCGAGTTGGACACAGTAGGAGCTACTCGGCGCCATTGTACCGGATACCGAGTAAATTTAGCCTGGATAGTGGTGCTTACTGAGGCAGATACCGAAGAGGAACTCGAAGTTTCATTCGATGCCAAAGAAGGGTTCCAGAGGATGATTTCCTAGATTGCGTTGTTAGTCACAATTGCAGAAGAGACAGGAAGTAAACCAACCTCATCAGAAGCATTCCATAGCCAGGCTTGGTTCCAACAGTCAGCGGCTGTATTTTCCGTTAAATTTACACCAGAAAACCACATATATCTTAAACTAAGGTCAGAGCTCATCCATTAATTCCCTGAGATGCTGTAACTTACTGAGTGCAGTCTGTGCGGGTTCCATTTGCAAGCGGGATAATCGGATTGGACCCGGTTGACCAGGCCATTGGAGGTTGGCTAGGTAGCGAGGTTGAAGGGGTTTCGTCAAACGGCACTGTGGAAGTCGACGACTCTCCATAGCCTGAGTACGTCACAATATACCCCACCGGTTGCACGCAGTAGTAGGTGTCGGCCAGAAGATTTGTGCAGTTCTGGAAGAGTTTCGGATTCAGGAAAAGGCTATCACCGTTGGCTCTGGTCTGCCCTGCCATAAAAAGAGAGGTCACCCTCAGATTGTTTCTAGAAATGCTGAATTTGTCTGTCATGGTCGTGCAAGTCTCGTTTGCGGCAACCTTGTAATATTGGCCTCAGCGAGAATTCGTGCCGTCTCCAGTAGGCGAAGGAACGGCACTAACACTGTTAGTATATGGGCAATACGATTGATCTATTGTGGTTATTTACGCTGTAGTAGTCACAATAGTCGTCATGCCTCCGAGGCCATAGTTTCCCACTGGGTTGCTCACGCAGATAGTAGTGTTCACCAGACTTCTGAGATTGTTGTGTATCCGTTCATTAGTGAAGTGTTGCTATTAAATGGGCGTCGCCACGTACGAGCAGGTCGAGTCGATTTGAGAGTTCCAAGCGAGAAGCTGGGCCCAAGTCACATATTGCGACTTTCCGATGCCAGTGCAAGTATCACCGGTCCCCACAGTGTAAGTTGTACAGTTTGAGCTTGCGCGGGGTAGGATATCAAAAAGGGGAGGCCTCCGTGGTAGCTAAAAAAGAGAGTGTAATAACTAGACTCTTCATGATTGCTGGAATCGTCTGATCACTAGATAGAAGAGGGGAAGAAAAATGAATGACAGGCACCCTGTGAAGTGAGAAACTTCCAAGACGAAAACGATGACTTGAATTGCGGGATAGTTAACTATATAGGCAAATAAAACTAGACCTCATAAAAAACATTTTAAGGGCCGGCATCTCTCGCCCTCCGCCCGACCCTCGCGAGCGGAGGGCGGGTTCTTACCTGCCCTCACCCGGCCCTTAGCCCTTATAAGGGCCTAGACCTGGCACTCACCCGCCCCGGGGGTCTAAGACCAGGAACCTCTACCCGTACCTTTGAGGGTCAGGATCTAACCTTACCGACTCTAACCCTAACCGTTTGAGTGTCCCTTAAGGGTCACCCGCGGAGGGTCTGTCGGACCCGTATAAGCTACGCTTTACCTATTTAGGATACGCTTTACTCTTTTAGGAGCGCTAACTAAGCGAATTAATACCTAAAATATTAGTTTTTTGCTAGATTTAGTTATATCTAGACCCTTAAGGTCTAGATATAAAGGAATACTAAGGACTAGCGGTGAAGGTTTACCCCGCAGTGTAATAAGCGAGTCTGGATTAGCGCCCTTATAGGGCTCTTAGAGGGTGTATATATTTATTTATAAGGTTCTTATTAAGATATCTCCTTAATTCTGCGAGCTTAGTGTATAAGAGCGAGTAAATTAGTCTAGAAGGGGGTAATACCCCTTTGTTTAATTTAATAGTATAGTTAGTTAACTTTTATATAAGTAAGATGTTAGACTAATTAGCTATAAATATATTATAAAATATCTCTAGTTTATTTAGTAATAATGGTGACGGTAAAAATGCCGCCTCGGGAAGTGATCTGTGAAGGGCTGAAGTAAGACTTAGATTCAATCTGACTAGGCCACAAACTGTGTACAAAAAGCTTGAAGAAGGGATGTTCCCTCCGTGCGTTTGTTCCGTTAACATGCCAGGGTCACGTGGTTTATGTGACCTATACCGGGTATAGGCCCGTGATAATACCCCCCCCTCTAACCTAAGCCTCCTGAGGGTCGCGATAATATGCGTATCGGTGTCGATTTAACGTTATATTATGTCCGAAATAGGGCCGTTTCGTTCCTTAAAGGCTTCTAATATAGCGTAATCCTAGACGGAGTCTAAGTTTTCCTACGTTTATTCTGCCTACCCTATCTATTATATTAGCGCTTTATTACGGTATCCCTGTCCGACCTTCTTACGCCGAACAGTAAGGATTTTCTGAACCTTATACTCTTCTTCGCTATTAACTATAATCGGAGGCGGCTACGTATCATCTATAATTTATAATAGGAAGGGGTCCGCTATTATAGGCCTAACTAATTCGATATAGAAGACTAAGTGAATGCCTATAGGTACGTTAAGCTTAATAGTATACGGTAACAGTATATCTACGACTCTATATTAGGCGTATAGTTAGTCTAGCTTCTTCGATAGTCGTTATATATATATATTCCGAAGGTTTAACTATACCTAGTTATCTTTCTTATAGATAGGGGCGGCCTAGCGTTATCGATTTATCTACTCTTCTTATAGTGCCTATACCGAAGTAATAGCGGCTTAGGCCTAATCGGTGGCTTCTTATAGGTAATTTATAAATGTTTCGCCTACTTTTCCTAGCTATATTAGGGCGTCCGGTAACTAATTTAACTTATCTATCCCGATTAGGTTAATATAGTACCTATAAGTAAAGAAGAAGGGGGAGATCCCTATTAATATTATATCGCGGTTATTAATCGCGGTAGCGACTATTAATAGAAGCTTCTTCTAATTATCCTATATATAAGTAGAAAAGATATATAAGATCTGTTTAATTTCTTAATTAGCTCGCTCCGTTATATTATTAGTCTATAGGTAGAAGGCAATTAATAATTATCGTTAAATCGATAGTATTTTATATACTCTTCCCTAAAATATACTTACAAACTAAGGGCCGCGGTCACTTACGATCGCTAATAGGACGCTATAATATATATAGAAGTGCGTAAGGAATACTTCCGCTATATCTTTTACTATTATATCCCTTATTCTAATAAGGATTACGCCTTTTATTAGCCGGTCTATAATTATTATATAATTCGTTACTCCTATAGATCTGGATAGCGATAGGCTAATAATAAAGTCTACTAATATTTTGGCCTAGATTTATTAGGGAATTAGCAGTAATCTTAATAGCCTATACTTTATATTACGCTATACCGAGCTACGTCCGTAGATAATATAGTTCTGTAAGAATTATTATATATTCTTTATAGCTCTAGGCTAAAAGAATTATCGAGATAATATTAAATATATTGCGTCTTATTTAGGGTGCGTTATTATATATAAGTTATAGATCTTTTGGATAATACCTATTCGTAGGGTCTCGTTATCTGGGATCTATATTTATTACCTAAAATAGAGTAACCCTTAATTATCTAAATAGCACTCCGATAGGCTCGTCTTTATATTTATTTTAGCCGCGATTCGACGGTCTCTCTTTAGTAAAGTGTAGGAGATTTATTAATATATTATATCGGAACTCCTTACCTTTATCTACTCTGCCTATAGCTTTAGTTCCTTAAATAATAGGATATTTCTTTCGGAATCTGTCTCTCCTTATACTTAGTTATTATTTATTTACCTTATCTTAACTAAGACCCTTTTAAGTAGGACTTAGAAGTAATTTGATAGCCTTTTATTAGAGATACCCTTAGGTATATCTTAGTTTCAATAAGAGAGAGTGTCTGGCTATATTACTAGCTTACCTAGGCGGTATTATAGGTTAAAGTTAAACTCCGTTAAAAGGTTAGCCTACCTTATCTACTATTTATTAAGGTACTATATCTTACTAAAGTATTATAGGTTTTTATAGTCCGTTATAATAGTAAATTAAGGTATTATCTTTAGCTCCGGCCTCTATTTATATAGGGCTTATATAATAGCTAGGAGCTCCTTATCGTAGATCTCGTAATTTAACTCTACTAAGGATAGCTTCTATAATAAATAGGTATATAGTTATAGATAGCTATTAAGTCTATACTATAATAAGATTATCTTAGTGGCTTAGCCGGAGGCGTTAGCTTCGACTACTATTTTATAGCCTTCTTCGAAGTACGCTAGGATTAGTACGTTAATAAAAAGATCCTTTAGCTCCATAAAGGCCTATTAGCAATTATTATCCTATTAGAATATAGCGTTCTTCCTTATTAGTTATATTAACAGTACCGAAAGGTCGGCGAAATATAATATAAATAGCTAGTAAAAGTTCGCGAATCCGATAAAGCTCTATATATCCTAAATAGACTCTGGCCTCTCCTATACTCTAATTATCTCTACCTTCTTTAGATATATATAGATACCCTTTCCGGCTTAGATAATAAAACTAAGATATTTCACTAAGTCTTACTTAAATTCTAGCTTCGTAATATTATATTAAAGACTTACGTCTATTAGCTTCTGTAGTATCTCACTAACTTTCCGTCGGTAATCCGATAGCGTTCCGCTAGAGTAGATAATTATATCGTTAATATACGCTAATATAAAGTCGTTTAGGTACTTTTATAAGGTCTAATTAATATACCTTTAGAATATCGTTAGTACGCCTATTAGCCTAAATAATATAATATTCTATTCGTAGAGTCTATATTATATCCGGAAGGCTATTTTCTATTCCTCTTTTAGTTATACGCGGATTTTATAGAAAGCTACGATAATATCGAGCTTCGTAAACTATTAGGCTTAGCTAATATTCCGTAGCGTCTCGCGGATTAGTAGGAGGGGATATCGGTCTTTTACTATTCGCTTATTTAACCCCCTATAATTAATATAGAATTATATATCTCCCCTAGGCTTCCGAACTAATAAAATAGGTATAGCTACTAGGAATTAGCTTACCTATATAAAGTTCTTCCTAAGTAGGTCCGTTAGTATCTTCTATAGATAAAGCAGTTCTTCCTTATTTATATTATAAAGGGGTCCGTATAGCGGTAACTCTTTAACGCTATTTCGGTCGCGTTTTAGGGGAATTTTATAATCGACTCTAGGCTAATAGGGTAATAATTTATTAGCTAGCTATTAGCTAAAGACCTCTAACTATCGCTAATAGTATTTTGGTAGCTTATCTTTTAGGTTAATATACTCTTTAGGTTATAGCGCTTTCTTAATATTATTTAGCGAAACCCTACTAATTTATATATATTCCGTGCTTAATACGTTCTGTAAGAGCTCTTTGATCGTTAGCGCTATAGCCTATATAATATATAGTGCCTTCGCTTCGGTAGATCTAATTATATAGTCTATATAGTTTTAATATCTTATTTATTCCCCGGACCTTATAAAGATATTTAGGTACCCCTTTCTGGCCGAATAGCGTCTGTTTACGTTATATAGCTATAGGTCCCTAAGTATTATATTATTATCCTATAGTCCGATAATATATATAAATACCTAGCCTTACTAGTGGCTATAGATATTAAGGTCGAAATATATAATATAGGTAATTTAGTAC